TGTAGCCTTTACCAACATGAATGCATCAACAAAGGGCCAATAGCGAGTAGATGTTGTTGTGGTCAATGGGCTCGAGTTGCGTCAGATATGCGTCAGGACTCTCCTATGATTCTGCATCATTCCATTGTTGGCGGGAGGAGGGGTGACACTTGGCCCAAAGGGTGTCAAGTGCTGATCGACGCGCTAACAGCCAGATCCAGGGTGAACGCCGGACCACACATGGCATGTCAATCACTGTCGTATTGCAGGTGGGTCCAAGCCTCAGATGGGTTTAGGGCAGTGGCAGAAGAAGTCAAGACTTGCTTGCCACCAAGCGGAGAAGAGGGTGTGGAAAGGACGAGGGTTCTCCCCTCCAGATCCGAGATCATGAACTATTGTCAGTACGGAGTACTCGTTACTGGGACCAGGTGTTTCTGTCAGGCGGCTTGAGGAATAGGCATGTTGCCATGATAGCAGCCTCATCAGCATCCGTAGATACCCTGGTATCTCGGTAGGTGCGAGAGTAATATTGATGGTACCGAGTACTCATCCACGACAGTACCTCGTAGTAAGTCACAGCAGTAGACTGTTCCGTCGGCCACTGGCACAGGACCAGCCGTGCTAAGGCGTACCTCGAGCGACATGGCGCACCATCCATTTCCCGATATTGTCAACCATAACGCGCCACCATCTCGGTTGGAGGATCCGTAAAATGATTGGCACAACATATGGTGCAGGTCGAAGCACCTAAGCCGGACGCGGTCCAGTGTGGTGACAAGTTTCCCACACGGAATCGGGGACGAGACGGTGGTCCCGTAATGGAAAAGATAGGTCTATTCCCTGAGTTGGTGCTTTTGCTGGTGACTCCAATCGTTCCAATTTTGTTTATCGAGAGGATGTTAAGTACGGAGTACGAAAGTCTCGTCAGCACGCGAGGTTGGCATTGACAGGTCTGGCTGTGCTGTTGCAAACTCATGGCACAATGGTGGAGTGGTCTGGTGGTTGTGGAACATGGTGGCCTGTATGGTGGATCGTGCTTGGAACATGGCAGCCCTGGCCTGTGATCGCCAGCGCCGTTGGGCGCCGGAGGGGAGTGTGTTTCGAAATTGTGCGCTAAACCCACGGCGATGGCAATTGGAAATTAGCAGGGATCATCCACCTCGCAGCTTCATACCGTCACCAAACTTTAGCCTGTTGCCGAGTAGTTGTGCCAGCCCACTTTTCTGGTCGGCAGTATAGACTACTGTAAGAGTCTGTTTTGGAGGAAGCAAACCACGAGCGGGGAGTAAGTAGGAGACGCACTTGAGGTGGAATGTGTTAGTCGTGGACTCGTGGTCTATCCGTCTGTACGGGGTACCGCCACAGTTTTGGCTGGTACGCGTACGACGGTAGTATGGCAGTAAAATCGGAGGTCAGGCTGACGACGAGAACCGGGAGAGCATCAGTCCTGCGTACCTTCTCGTACGAGGAGGCTCTGGTACCTCGCACCTGCCTCAGTACGAGGTACTAGTGAGCACCGGACACTGGACCTCAAATGGCGAGTGGCAAATGGCAGATGAGGCAAGTACCTCACTGGTCGTCCAGTCTGGCAAATACGGGTACCGTCTGGGACTCCCGCGGCAATTGAATACTGCGTGTCTGACTCTTAATTTCTCTTTCTTTTCGCCCTGGATTCTGCCAAGGTATGTGTCGGACCTCGTAATGAGACGAGAATCATCGACGGGCTTTCCATTACCGTTGCATTGATATCACGAGTACGGAGTACGCAGTCCTCAATGATTGTCTGCTGTAGCCTGTAGCCTGTGTAGCTCCTGCACTTTCGTTTAGTTCAACGAGTGTTCGTCTTGATCGAGATCGAAATTGGTTATTCCTCATCTGAATTAATTGTGCTTCTCCTCTGCTTCTGATACTGAACTCTCGCATCCATACCCCATACACCTATCACCCTGCAGAAGACTCGGCCCCGTTAATCTTCGAGGTTTATTTTTTCTCATCTACGAGTCCGAGTACTGGTAACATTCATTCCCCATTCTCCACTCCTCACAGGTCAACACGCGACAAGCGCTCGTCTGCGACTCCGACTACTGCGATCTCGACGCTTTCACCCTTCCAACTTCCCTGCTGCATCTGGTCCCTCACCTACCCTGCCTCCCGCCGACGCCATGGCTGGCAAGAAGCGCGCCGTCGCTTCGGACAGAACTCAACGAAAGCTACCACAAGGGAACGCCCATGCCCTTGCAAATGCGGGCGGTATCAATAGCCTGAACCCGAGCTCGAGCAGCGTTCAACCGTGTCAGCCGCATCAATCACCGTACTCGCTGTATGCCCTTCAACAGCAGCAGACCTTGCATCCAACTGCACACCTGGCTGCACCTGGACCTGCACCTGGACCTGCACCAATGCTGGCTTCGGCCGCCGGCGCCCCTGTTGCGTACACGTCCGCTTCCATGCCCATGTCCATTCCCAATTTCCCCCCCACCGGCGGCGGCCATGGCTCCTCGACTGCTGCCTTATCCTCGCCGTCATCTCGCAAGCACAAGCTCCAGCACCAGCACCAGCTCCAGCACCAGCAACCTCAGCAACAGCAAAAGGTGCACCCCCGACACCAACAGCCATGTCAAGAACAAGCACAAGCACAAGCACCTGTACACGCACAGGCCCAGGCTCATGCTCAGGCGCTGGGGCTTGCCCATGGCCACGTCTCTCACCCTGGTCAGGTCCCCGTGGCTATCCCTGGCCCTGGCTCTAGTAATCCTGGCCCTAGTAGTGGTCCTGGTGATCCCGAAGTAAGTCGAACCATCCAGCCTTTAGGCTTTCAATCCACCATCCACCATCCACCATCCACCCTCAAGCCTCTCCACCCGCCCCCCCCGTCCACTCTTCGCAGTTTGTCCTGTCGTGCGTCGTGATGTTGTCATTTGCAAATCCGCTATCACCCCGGTCAGGCCGTTGAAGCTTTTTTCGGTCGTTGCTGGCGGTCCAATGTCCACCATGTCCATCCCGGGATCACTGAGATGGTCCTGGTCATCTCTCCTGTCTGTCTTCCCCCTCCCTCCTGTCAGCTCTCGCGGGCTTTTCAGGGCCGGGTCTTGTTCCCGGTACGTCTTTCACTTGGGAGGTGTCGTCCACCCTGACGCTTGGACCATTCGGTGATCCACCCATGATCCATCCAACCTTTCATCGTCCACCATCCACGACCGACCGACCGACCGACCCACCCGCCGACAAAGCCCAAGTTCCAGGTTTTCTCGGCTTTCTGGCTATCCTGGCTCCCCTGGCTCCCCTCGCCATCCTGGTCCATCTATGACCTGCCCGCCCCAAGTTCCGTTATTCTAAGCTCCCGCACCTGTGGTCCACTTGATGGCCAAACTGCCAGTTTCGAAACCGCGAATCCACTCATCGCTCATCTCTTTCTCTAGCTTTGGCTTTGCACCAACCGTCAAAAAGTCAACTCAAAGCCATCCCATCCCTGCCCTGTCTGGCCCTGCCTGCCCCTCGGCTTTTCTGTATTATTCCATCTCTTGCGGTCGCCAAAACTTGTTCTCTTCGTCCACTCTCTTTGACTTGCTCACGACACGACTTAACTCGGACCGTTTGCACTGCGCTGCATTATTACCACTACCTGCCACTCCGAGTCGCCCTTACCACGCCCGTCTTCTATTCTGCACCGCCACGTCTGACGTCTCCCTTTATTCATCTCCCTCGTGTCCTTGCCCCGTCACCAATGCTCCAGCTCCAGCTCCATCCAACTCGACTCCCTGTCAGCGTTTGCCTTTTCTGAATGCAAATAACATCAACCCATCTGCATCCATCCTGGCCCTTCTTCCACATTACATAGAAGCGCATATTTCCTTCAAATCCCCGTTCCATTCTACCAACCCAACCCAGCCTATTCAGCATCCGGCCCGCCCACGCTGCGGCTACAGTCTAGTACATGGTATGCCCAAGTCCCAGCTCCAATTCTCGTCCCCCGTTCACCCAACATCCCCCTGTCACCCATTCCCCATGTCCAATCTACTGTGGCTGCCTTTACCCATTTTTCACATGCCCGCATTCACCCCTCCAATGCAATTCATCAAGCGTTTCAAATCCAACAAAATCTGCCCTGGCCTGCCCTGGCTCCGGCTTGAACAATCAAGCCCGTTTTAAAGCCTTGCTCGTTCGCTGCATCCTGGCCTCTCCTGGCTTCGTTTTGTTGCGCAAGGTCTCTCGCCTTTGTTCACTCTTCAAATCCACCCCAGTCCTGGCCAATGAAACCCCCTGGCCGCGAAACCAGGAACGATCAATTTGGGCACCCATTGTTGAGCTATTCAGTACGCGCGTTTCGTCTTGGACTTACCAGTTCATCAGCATCAGATCTCTTCATCTCCCAATTGATCATTCATTCCCCATTGCTGTCCCCTGGTTGTTCCACTTCGAGCCTGCCTGGCTCAAGCGAGAATGGCGATCCCAACCACCAATCCCCCCCCCCCGGGCCCCCATTTACTGAGATCCTCGCCAACAGATCAGGCTTGATCTTGCTTCGCCTGTTTCCTCTTTTATCCTTGTTTGTCCATCAACGTTCTGTTTTCATTGCGAGTTGACTCTGCTACTTGGTTGTCGCAAATCCTCACTTCCATCTATCAACGAGTTCTATACTGACGAATGGACCCTCAATGCAGCATCGCACAACACAACCCTACCAGAACGTTGCTCCTGTGCATCACATTCAACCATCGCAACCGCAAGCACAGTCGCGAACGCTGAGTAGCAGTCAACCGCAACAGCAGCCATATCCGTCGCCAAACGTCTATACGCCACAATCAGGTCTTCAGTCTCCGTTCCTGAACAATCCCCCGCAATTCCAGACCCAACAGGGCCCGAACGACGGCCCAAACTATTATACATCAAATCCGAGTCCTCGTAGTCAGCACAGCGGCGGCGCACCGTATTATTCGACAGGTGAGTCTAGGTCGTGGGTTCGAGTTGACAACAGGTTGACTGGTGCCCCAGAAAAACCCGAATCTATGGCAGCAACAACCATGCAGAGGCCTTACCCTCCGATCTATAACACTCCACAATCGAATTCTCCGGCTTCAGTCACTTCGCCTCAAACGCACGACCATGGGAGGCCAATGTATGGACAGCCAGGCTCACAATTGAGTCAGCCACTTTATGGTTATCCACAGTATCCGTCAATGAACCAGGTGCACCAGCCACCGTATTCAACTCATCATGCACAGACTCAGCAGCATCAAATGAATTCTCAGCCTATGCTGCCCTATCAATCCAATACTCCTCAGATTTCCCAAGGTCAGGTCGCTCCACATCATTCGACGATATCGAGCAGCCCCAGACTCAAGTCTGAGGCAAACCAACAGTACCAGCAAACTCCACAGGCACGAACAAGTATGATCCCACAGCAGCAGCAACAACAACAACAGCAGCAGCAGCAGCAGCAACCCCAACAGCAACATCCTGGGCCTGCTCCGCCAAATTCGACTCTCCAGCAAGCTGCGCAGCACCACGCCCAGCAACAACAGCAGAATCAGCAAGCTCCTAATGCTCCTCCGAATTCAAATGCTGCCCCTGGGCCAATTCCTGCAACCACTCCATTAGTAGTACGTCAAGACGGTAATGGAGTTCAATGGATTGCTTTCGAATATTCCAGAGACCGTGTCAAAATGGAGTATACTATTCGTTGTGACGTTGAATCGGTGGACGCCAATGCTTTATCACAGGAATTCAAGTCCGAAAATTGCGTTTATCCACGTGCCTGTGTACCCAAAGAGCAGTACAAAGGAAACCGTTTGGCGTACGAGACTGAATGCAACCAAGTTGGATGGGCATTGGCAGAATTAAATACCTGTCTTCGGGGAAAGAGAGGATTGATTCAACGAGCTGTTGATAGCTGGAGGAACAGCAACCAAGATCCACGTCTGAGAAGTCGACGAGTGAGACGACAAGCGAAAATGAACAATCGTTCCAAGTTGTCCGCTTCCAGCGCAGGTCAAGCACCTGGATCAGCTGGCTCCGTCTCCACCGGGCTCCCTGGTCCAAATTCAATGGCAGCTCCAAGCACAAGGCCCCCTGGTCCTCTGTCAAATGCTCCGTCCCAGATCCTCCATCACCCCCAAGACGTGTCCCCCACTGGGCAAGAGAGCGTTGGAGGTATGTCTCAAAGTTCGTCCTTCATTGAACAATTGAAGAAGCTTCCTCTCCGCAGAGAATAGCCCACACCATTTGACAATGCTAATATCTGCATTGATAACACGGCTAACTTGTAATTAGCTCCGACTTACAACACAGGCCCACACGGATACCGCCAACCAACAGCACCTCAACACATGGCCAGCCCAAATGATATCCGTCAGAGCCATGTGTTCCCTGGCTATCAGAATTATCCCGCTGTGCCAACTTCACTAGCTCCTTCCATGGCTCCATCAATGCAGGGCGGCTTGCATCATCTTGGGCGACCTGGCGGCAATGCTGCTATGGCATCCAAGGACCAGGATGAAAAGGATGAAGAAGATAATGCGCTCTTCGGAGAATTGCCCGAGGGAAAACGACGGAAATTTATCTTGGTCGAAGACACTCAGAAAAGTGCTCGTGTTCGAGTCAAGGTCACGCTCGATCAGATCGAAATGAGCGAAATTCCTGATTCATACCGCAAGCAAAATTCGGTCTTTCCACGCGCCTACTACCCGGTCCAGATGCAAATTGGTCCGGAAACCACTCGCGGTGATCGCTGGGTGGATGAAGGCGACGAAGTGGATGCAGGCCAACCAACTGTGGGCAAGACAGCCGTTCCCATATCAGCCAGTGACGGTGAGGCCGAAGTTGAAGTACCGCAAATTTCGAGGAGCAAGCGTAGTCGGGAACAAAAACTTAATGAACTAGGATACCGCATGGCGTGGGGACAGGGCCGAGTATTCTCAGGCCGTCCTATCTTCCTTGCTCGAGCCTGTAAGTGACCTGCACAACATCCAAAGTTACTATTTTGAGATTGACTTTTCTATAGTGGACGCCTACAGGGGCAAACAACGGAGCGCTCTTCTAGCCGCAGGCCAGGAGCCGTCTACCATTCCTGCCCACTTGGAAACCCGACCTGGCAAGCGGAAGTGGCAAGAGAGAACAAGCAACGTGACACAACCGTTGACACCGCCAACAGCTGCATCGAACTAAAGGCGTTATCTTGATCACCATCTCTCACTCTCGAGCTGCTTTCTTGCTGGGTATTCAGCAGCATTGTCCTTGAAGCTGTTCTAACCTCGTTCGAATGTACATTACCTGTGGGCTGGCATTTAAGCTCTCACGAACGTAAAGCACCGCCAGGGTCGAGGAATGTCGAGTGTTTGGTTTACTGTTTGATCATCCTCCCCTGAGTATAACTGGGGATTTTCGGTTTTGTTACTCTCTCCAGCACTAGCAAAACAACCTTGCTAGGTTCTTTCAGACGAGATCTATATGGCTGCTAGGTGATGTATTCGGTAGAGGCGGAAGGCAATGATGTTGTGCTGTCCTACTCTGTACCCGTGGATATTCATCACGTCTGCTTCGTGGTGGCTTGGAAATAATGGTTGGATATTGTGTGATGCGGATACCCCTTTGCGAAAACGGATTGACTTGAATGTCTACAACATGTTGGAAAGTCCCACTTTCTGTCATTCTTATTCTCTTCGACCACGACCGGATGGCCTGGTCGGCTGATCCATGACAAATGATGCTGCAGTCGATTATTATCACTGCTTTTCGCATCCGTCCCTGAGCGATACTTTTTTGGTACTTTTGGGATTTGTTCCGATGATTCTGGCATATTTGTGCTGCATTGGCGACTACTTGAATTCTTGAGGAGGACATTATTTCTTTCTTTCTTTCCTCCGGATTGGAATAGGGACTGGAATATGGTTATGAGGGCAAATTGGACATGAGAGGGGGGAAGCAAGGAAAGGGAATGGAATGAAACAAAAGAAGGGAAATGAACATTCACACCACGAACAAACAACGGCGCACTCATCATACTCTCACTCTCACAAATCAGAATGGACATTTCTACGGGGTTTTTGCTTTCACCCCCCTTATTTCTTTTCTTCTTTTGTCTATGTATTGATTTTCTAACACCATCCCACTTGTTTCCCCCGCCTGGTCCCTCTTCATGGGATCTTCTTCGAGCAGTGTGGTATACCTTGACTCTGGTGTCCAATGTTCAATATCTCCTTGTCCACACGCCTCTGGGTGTGCATTTAGCGGCGGGAAGGGAAAGAGCTCGTTAATGATGAAACTGAAGCGGCAGCTGGCTCCCTACATGTACTCAGTACTTTCTCATGCTATAGATAGGAGGCGAGAGAGAAGAGAGGGAGTAATAAAAGCCGGGGGGGGGATCGAAAATGACCAAAAATGCTGCTTCCTTATATACGACTCTGCAAGTTCTCGTTAGAGACCGTCTCTGCACATCGTTACGCACTCCGTACTCGTGGCTTGAGAACGTTGGGGATCGCTAGCTACCTAGGGGAAAACCCTAGTGATGCATAGCCTCTGTAGCTTGCCCCAGGTAGATAATCTAGCTACGTACCGATGTAAGTACAGATGTGTGCTCCGAACTCCCTCCGTACTGCAGACTCGGGAAAATGGAATCGTCATCGTTCGTTGATGCGCCGGGTAGACTGCTTAAAGCTATATAATTAATTATACTGAGTACGTGTGAACTAATTATGTACTCGCTGCCGCCGCGAACAGTGCCGCCCCGCCGCGAGACTTGGCCAATTCAGGGCAGGTCCTTTTGCGAAAACCGTTCGTATCCCCCACACCCCCCTTACTGCTGGATGTATGTACGTCCATACATGTAACATACTCTTTCTTGCTGTATATGACATGTACAGTATGTGGCACGAAACAGCCGTTCGTGCGCCGGCCGTCCGCGCCCCGTCCAAGGTGCCAAACACATTAGGGGTGTTTTTTAATCTATGAAATTCTTCTCCTGCCCTTCGCTTCTTCGATACTTAAGCCTCTGCCTGCCCACTCCCCACCTCCAGCAGATGGATGGATGATTGGGTCATTCACTAGTCCCGAAGATTGGCCAACCCTAAATATCGTGAACAGCGTCGGTGACCTTTATGTTATTCATGACATGCTGCACGAGCCATGCTTCTTCGCTCTGTTTTTGGCCGCGAAGATGGAATACACATGTCTGGAAAACGAGCGAGACGGAACTGAACTCCTTTGGTAAACAAGGTTAACTTTCTAGACAATACAGATTATAATAAATTCTCTCACTGTCAAGAAGTCATTTCCCTCTTCGTGTTCGTTGCTCATGCCCTTTTAATGCGCTCGCTGCGCCTATATCATGCTGCTGTCTCTGTGCCTCTGAATTCCACGTGGCAGTAATATACAATTCCGATCCCAGCGCGCTTCAAAATACCCAACTCTCATTGTGCCGTGCCGGTTGCACATCCGCCGCCACATGAGCCTCCAATCCACAGGGCTTGCTGATGTGGCAATGGGCTAGTTCTGCTAGCACAGAAGAATGCCGCTTTCCCGCTTTTATACAAACTCCATGTGAAATGTCCAACGGTGTGCGCGGGGTCGTGGAAGACTATAGCCTGGTACTGATACAAGAGTAAGTGAATCTCATGAGCATGAAGGTCAAGATCAGCATCTGAACCTCCGTTGTGTGGTATAGAGCTCTGGTCTGGTGTCGGTGCTTGGGAGAGTGATCGTGCACTCCCGTAAATAAAAGGATGCGAAGACGTCTGGCTGCCGAGCTTGATCATACTGTCTTACCACCACAATCGGGAATTTTGAGACCTGGTTTCAGGTTTCTCCCAGGATCCATCAAACCCCACTTATCTTCCCAATTTTGGTCTCCTTTGTTGTAAACGATTTTCCATGGTTCATCAAAGGCTTCGAACCTGTCGATATGTTAGTGTATTCTTAAAGGAGACGAAACCAAAGGTCCTCTTACCAGAAGTAATCTGTGCCATTGTCCAACGCTTGGCACACCCAATTATCCATAAATGTATTCATACCGTCGACACTAGCAACGGCACCGCTTTGCCCTGGAGTGCAGGAACCATCAGTGCCGCCGCAATCGGTGCCTCCACCACTAGGCCAACCAGTTTCACTGATGACTTGCTTTATGTCTGGCAGACTTTGAGTCAAAATGACATCGTGGCCTTGCCAAAAGTCCCATGTCCAGCCAGCCGCAACGTCGGCAGTCACACCAGCAAAGAAAGGATGAATATTGGACATGACATAATCGACGGCTGTGACGAGCTGAGCGTTCCAGTTATCTCCCAAATCTGAGGTAGCGACGGGTAGGTTGTATCCTTTGTCAGAGAAGTTTGATTTAACATGGGTCAAAATGTCGATCAATTCTGCTTCTGATTGGGCCTTGTCCTCTCCAGCGCGGTACAGAGCTTCATTACCGACAATGACTCCTTTGAAGATGGACTCTGGGTCCTTTGTGTCTTCGAGGATCTTGTACATCTGTGCCAACTGACGATCTGAGGTGGTTTGATTGGTATCTATCCAAACACCCATCCAGACTTTCATGTCCTTTAGTTGGAGACGGTCAATGGCGTGGAGGACCATTTCGGTTTGATTGCAGTCGGTACCGTACAGGCGGACAACATTTGTCAACTGGGCAAGAACAGCCATGTCGCGAGTGACGTTATTCTGCGAAGGAGGGTAAGTGTGGCAGAGAGGGTATTGCGTACCCCACGGAGTGTAGTCCATACCGGGAAAGACCTTGTGGAGGTTCTGGTTGTTCATCAGGGCTTTGATTTCGGCTGAGTTGAGGTCGAGATCACCGTTGGCCGCCGTGTCATCGTCTGCATTATTAGTGCTACCACTGCTGGAAGAGCCACCACCATCTGAGTTTCGGGTGCCGAGGACACCACCCACAATACCACCCACCAGCGCAAGGACAATGACGGCACCAATGGCCACACCGACCCAGCGTCGCATGTTACGCTTTCCCTTGGCCTGGCTGGCCAACCATGCACTCTTTTCGGCTTTGGAACCGGCTCCGACAGCATCGTATGTACCGCTGGGAGTGACGTTTCTTCCCTTGCGACCAAAGAGTCCTCCGAAAAAACCAGCACCTCCGGCAGCGGCAGCAGGACCAGCAGGACCTCTGCCATTTGCGTTCGGGCCACTGTCATCCCGTTGAGTGGGAAAGTCGTCACCGTCGTCGAGGATGTTGTTGGGGTTGATGTTGGCTTGATGCATAATGTTTGAGGAGTTCATGGAAGGATTGTAGGAATTCTGATAAGGGGAGTCTTGGTAGCCTGGGTAGGCCATGGGATGACTGGAATTGGAATGGTAGTCCTCGAGAGGAATACTTCTACCAGAGAAGCGATCAGACCGGGGCCCAGGAGAACTGGTAGGAGTGATGGTTCCAGGAGTAGCAGCTCCGGCAGCAAGAGCAAAGGAAGAGCCGTAGGAATTACGGTCAGACATGGGCAATCGCGAGGGAGGCGGTTGCGGTTGCGGGGCATGATGGTTGTAGTTGTCTCGGGGCCAGCCTGGATTGTAGGGAGAATAGGACTGAGGCATCTCTCGCACAGCATCCATGCCACTGTCACGAGGATGACGGTCTGCCACTCCTTGTGCCACACTGGTCAACCCACCTCCCTCTGCACGATCGCTGAAATTGTCCATGCCGGTCGTCACTTCCGAGAAAGGACGATTGTACTGTTGTGGGTGGCCAGAGTCGTCACGCGCCAGCCTGGTTGGGCTGGCGCGATGAGGCGGGGGAGGAGGCGGTGGGATATCGTCGTAGGGTGTAGGTGCGGCCCGACGAGAAGGAGACTGATCGCTGAGCAGTCGAGTGTCTGGTTGAACAGGACGTGTTGGAGGTGAAGTAGGTGGAGAGACCTGGTGGGTAGCGTATTGTGGAGGTGGAGAGATTATGTCTCGGGCAGGCGAATCTCTGTATTGTTGGTCGTAGTGATATGGTTGAGGTTGTGACCTTTGGTCAATCTCGTTTTCAAAGGAAAAACTCCTTCCCGGGGCCATCGTTGGATGGCACTGCATGCGTCCGGGGCGGCGAGGGCCCTTGCGTGAAGTGGACAACGATCGAGGGAGGACGGGAGGACGGGAGGACGGAGTTGGAGGGGCGCAGGATTGGACGAGGGGGCGGCAGTGTCAGCGAGCGTGATGCTGAGTAGAGAGAGGGTGAGAATAAGGCATGCGTATGGAGGGAATGGTTGAATGTTGTGTATAGGAGGTATCAGAGTGAGGTAGGAGTTAGGAGGAGCACGAGAAGGCTGATGCTGGTGGTAGTGGTGGTGGTAGTCCGTAGCGGTGGTGTTGAGGCGCAGAGAGAATACTGGACTCCGACCAGGTCAGTCCAGACTCCATACGGAGAAACAACAGAAAAAGCTTGCAAATCTGGGAGGTATTCTTGGTTGCATACAGTAGTGTCAAGTTAGTGCCAGGGGGGGCGCAGCCCGAGCAACCAACCGGTACTGGTACGGAGTACTACAGTAGGGAGGGATTAAAGACGGGCTGAAACGCGAGATCTCAATGGACAATTGGTCTAGCCTTGTTGAATCGCCCGTCAGCCATAAGGACATGGGAAATATGCGAGGCCCCTCGGCCGTTCGTATGGGTCGTACGGAGTAGTTTGACAATGAAAGGAATCTGATTGCACTGAGTAGGTTAGTAATTCAGTCCTTGGTTGATTCCACAAAGGAAGACAGTCGACAATACATGTCACTACGCGCCGAGTACTCGTCCTGTATCTGTATCGCAAGGTCATGAAAGAAAGAAAACAAGTGCCTATGATTTCGTCATGGACTCACTGGAGGGGTTTCAACTTAGTGTGGGCGCCGGGCATCACAGGGATCTTCGTTGGTTACCCAGGTGAAACAGTGTCCTGACGCCACGTCCACGCAAGCTAAGCCAAGCCAAGCGCACACCCCAGTCGCCTTGGCCATTCATTGCCTTATTCAGTCTAAGCATTGAAATTGATATGGAAGATTTTAGTATTCGATGTTCAGCAATGGTGTATTAATCAATCTAAATACGCAATATGTATCCAGTAGTACATAGGCTTTATGTTTCAACATCAGCTAAGACCCCCATGTTGCCTGGGGTTGCAGTAGGCACTTCAGTCTCTGTCACTGCCGTCCAAACCCGCCTTGCTCGCTTACTCATCGTCTGGGCCCTCGAGGATGTTATACGTATCTGAACCAAAGTAGATGACCTTCTTTCCACTCTTTGGGTTGGCTATAGTCTCACCTAGGACCGGATTAGCTGAATTCGCACGTGGCTCACAGTTTTCAACAACACCCTTGACTTCTCCTTTCACCTGAGCATCCTTTGTTGGGTGAGGCATCTTTCGTCGAACAGGGAGATTGAATGTCAATTGTGTGCCCTGATTCGAAATATTTGGACGCTTTCGGGGACCTTCCTCAGCGCCAACAGCCGGTTCCACACCGCGGTCGTCTCTGTTGGTATCAGCATATGAGCTTGTACTTCCTGACAGGCCACTTCTCAAAGAGCGCTTGGGAACATGCGGCGGCGACTTTGGCACGTAAGGTCTAGCGGCTGCCCGCAATGTTGGAGTTGCTGGCGTTCGAGGTGTAGAATTTGACTCCTCCTGATAGGTTCCCAGACTTCTCTTCAGGGTGGGCGGCAGTAAGTTCAAGCCTGATATTCTGTCTGCCCGCTTCTGCCCTGTTGGTCTTCCATCCTCATGACACAAGCCGAGATTATAAAGCTTCTGTTTGGCCATGTATTGAAAGCGAAATGTCACAAAAACTTTCTCGTTCTCGTCCACATACTCATAGTGGACCCGGATAGGTAAAACTGCTCTTCTGGACGATGCAACGACCCCAGCCATGTGTGTCATATCACCTTCAATCAGATTGTCAGCGCGGTCTGGATAGTCGCCGGCGTATTTCGAGCAAGAACCTACCGTACGAGAAGCATGCGTGCGGACTCTCGAAACCTGAACATCAATTCCTTGAGCCAACTTCGGTTTCGTAGTTCCCAAGATGTCGCCGTTCAGCTGGTTCTGCAATTCAATGAGATCACGACTATGGGCATCAGTCGGAATCTCACAATCCTCGCGCTTAATCGTCATGCCTCGTAGCAAGTGCTCAATGCCGACAGATGTGAAACTCCAATCTTTTGTCACCATACGTCCTATGGCATCGTGACCCAAGCGCCCACGAAGGACCCTCTCGTCACCCAATGTTACCACTGATGCGCATTCAGCGCAGGGGTTGCCATCAATAAAGACCTTAACAAGTAGACGCTCTCTACCTTCGTCGTCCCATTCTCTCTTCCTCAACCCGTTGTCCGCACCAGACAGCCCAGAATTTACGTTTGAACCGTCAGATTGTTTCTTCGCCTGTATGCGGAAAGGATCGTGCGCAGACTTCCTTTTGGTCTGGAGAGGCGGGAGCGTCCTCGCCGTCTTGACTTTGATGGTAAACTTCTGGTTGTCCTCGCATAGAACCATGCTCGAGATGACCTGGCCGGCAGCACCTGAACTGCGAAGATTGCGGGTGTCAAACTCGGTGAATAAGCCACCTCCTTCTTTATGCATTGACACCGTGACTCCATGAGAAGTTGGCATCTTGAAAGTGACCTTGATCGCTGCGTACTGCCGACTCCAAGAAGTATTCGCAGTACTGAGGTTTGTAGTATGATGGAAGGATCTTCACTGCCTTCGTGCACCATTCAACGGACTATTTATATATAGTCGATGCGTCGAGAAGGCAGGGTGCTCATCGTTCGAGTATAAAGCTTTGGTCAAAGAAGTCGATGCAAGACAAAATTATCATGGTGCTTCTTTGTAGCACACTTTCCCATCCGTGCATTGTCTTCCAAGGGAACAAGGCGAACGCTTATCCCCTTCGGGCTCACAAGGAGTTCACGCTGCTCTGCTTTGTACAGTTGTTCGTTGGGCGACTCATCCTGATCTGATTTTGTGAAGCACTTGTGTTGCCTTTGGCTACCTCATCGATTGGGTACTGCTATCTCGTAGCCTAGTAACACCTCGGTCGATGCTCCTTCCCAACCTCGATTACCCCCTGTTGACAGCATGAATCGACAAGCCGGGTCGAGATAAAGATGTGAAACAACCCCTGTACGATGACCAGGCACTATTAGAAACGGAACAGTGGATCTCGTTGCTTGGGAATCTTTCAAATCGTACAATCGGAGGATATCATAAGATGCACAAATGAGGTGGCGGCCGTTGGGCATAGCCCTTACCGATGTGACTGCACCGCTCCCATTGGGGAATCGAAACACGCGCTCGGGCCCTTTCAATCCTTTCCGCAGGTCGTACTCTTCAACAGTATTGTTTCTTCGCCCTGCATAGATAAAATTGCCATCGGGGGACCAACACGCGCTGAGGCACCAAGGTGGTGTATTTCGAGGCAGAATCCGTGCAACAGGATCGGCCTGTCTACGATCCCAGACACGAATGGTTCCGTCGATTGAGGTGGCGAGGAAGGTTGAGTCAGATGTGGGAGGTGCGTCCTCATCTCGATTGCTTCCCTCGTTCATTGGCTCCTTTTCCAGGTCTTCAGCGTGAGCAAGCCCGTTCGTCAATCGTTGTTCAGCAGTGCTTGTGATCCCGTTCACCTCGTTCGTGACATCCTGAGAGTTGTTGCTTTCTTGGCCTTCTTGTTCCGTAGCCGCCGGCTTTTCTGTCGAGTCTTGCATGACTTGGTCGACCAACTCCTCTGGATGTGGCGCGCTTGTCATTGCCCGACTCAGTTCATCGTCTTCCCCGCCAAAGACGTCGTTCAGGTCACTACCATTGGTCATATTCACGTTGCCGTCTCCGAACAAGTCGTCGTCTCCACCATCGCCAAATAATGAGTCCGGTGTAGCTACAACTCCCTGCGAAGCGGCTCGACTGGAGGCCTCCGCTTTGATCCCATTTGTGGTAGGCTTTGCATCATTTGAAGCAAACGTTCCGCTGACAGGGGCCACCTCTCCTAGCTCAGCGGGCACAGGCAGAGATGACATAGGTCGACTTTCAATGGCAGAAATTTGTCCGGCACGTGCACCAAATGCTGTTCTGACTTGACCAGTCTCTAGGTCCCAGTCCAGAACGGTTTTATCCCAACTGCCCGAGAGGAGGCTCTTTTCGTCATGAGACAATGAAAGCACGGAGACTGCAGAAGTGTGCTTCCGCAGCAGCGCGATCTCTCGGCCTTCATCATGTCTGATAGATTGCAATCTAATAGCTCCAGACGAAGTACCAGAAAGCAGCCAAAGAGCCTGACTTTGACATGCGAGTGAGTAAACAGGAGACAAAGCTTGGTTTGCCACAGGTCTCGCGTCCATATTTTCCCAGTAAGTCATGAGAACCCCAGCCTTCACTACACTGTCCACAAAGGGATGTCGCTGTGCAACGGTAAGAGCAAGCTTATTATTGACTGAATCAACCCAGTTGAATTTCCGGATATAACCGTCTGAACCACCCGTGAAAACCCATCGCATGTCAGATGTGGCACAGACAGCGTTAATAGATGTACTTTGTGGGGCTGCGATGGTAGGGACAATGTCATAAGTAAGAGCTTCAAGAAATTCAGGGAGGATGTTAGATTGAGCTGCTGTTCCGCGTGAAGCATCTCCCTGCGCAGAAGATGATTGCTGCGTGCCATCCTGGGTCGCTGCTGGCTCTCCAGACTCTTCGTTATCGGAGGGCTGACTGCCACCAGATTGGCTCTCAGCATCCTCTTCTTCGTCGCCTTCACCATCGCCGTCACCTTCTCCATCCATATCACCATCGCCGTCTCCATCTCCATCCTGATCGCCATCGGCATCTGGGTCTAGGTCGCCATCGGCATCTTGATCAATATCTCCGTCTCCGTCCCCATCATCAATGTCTCTCATGGTTTCATCGGCATCGTTGTCAGAACTGCCATCTTGAGACCCGAGCACATCACGGTCATCATCCTCATCAAAGGCCACCATGTTGCAGCTAGTTTACATGCCTCGAATCCGCGAAGAAAATCTCGAGAAGTGATCCAGACCAACAAGGGAATCGAGAAACGCCAGAAGCTAACGAGTAGTTGAAAGTCGTGGCACGTTGTGGCACCTTTCAACCAAGCTAGTCAAAGTTGGTCATAGCGTAGCTTGCGCATCTCGGCATCGGATATACTTTGCGCCGACTTTGTGATAAGTCTATGTCTTCAGGACGGCAATCGTCAGTTCTCTAAGTTTGGTAGTGAACGACCACATTTGTTGTCAAGATAACGAACAGAGGCCATATGTTTAAGGCTCTGTCCTAACTAGGATGATGCTTTGTAATGACGATTCCATCCCACAATAGATTACAGGCATTGGTCAAACCGCGCGGCTGCTTGTTACGCTTTGAGGGTTGAGTTGTACAGTACTTTGTCGTCGGCACAAGGACATACATTCTGCTTGTGAGAACCTTCCACACGCTGGTATATGTTGCCCTGTCAAAGATTGCTCACTCAGGTCATTCAAATGCACTAACCGGCGATCAATGTCCGAGACCGAGGTTAACAATCCGACGCATCTTTCTTTGGGCTAAGCAATAGCGACGAGACGAGGCGACTACCACAACAGCCAATGACCAAATTTGGCTCCTAGGATATCGAGAAACATCTGGTCGACGTTCAGACCCAGCAAAGCCAGCGAGGTACTGGCGATCACCACAATCCGATTCAAGGTCTTGGCGCTATTCCCCTAGAGCCCTGCTTAACAACACGAGCTTCCACTTCTTTACTGTTCCCTCTCATCCATCACACTAGCTTCGATTGCCCGTACTTATCTCCTTCCAATTCACCATAAGGCAGGTTCATTCGACTACCCTTCTCATGCATGACCTTGAACACTCCCTGACAACGACCTTTTTCGTTACTGTTCGCCAGGATGCCGTCAAAGCGAGGCTCATATCCTGGAAATAGCCAAACAAAGGGTCGAAGATATGATTCGGGTAATACTGGTGCGTGTCCAACTCTTAAAGTCTCTGACAACCTCCCAGCTGCGGCTGTCCTGCTGACTTCTGTTTTACACCAGGTGAAGACATAACTTTTAATGGCATGGAAAAAGGAGGTAAGTACCAGCAATTCAAGGCTGATTATGAATACGAACAAGTACTGACCTAACTGTTTTTCTCAGAGATGAATGCCAACCTCTCAGAGCGTTTTCGAGGCTCAAGATATCAAAATGCCTACAGTTCCGCCAATCCGAACATATGCAATGGGTTGGAACTCAATTTGTCACTCGACATTCGAAATTACTTTCTCAAACAAAAGGAAATCAAAGAATCATCTAGAAAGGAAAATTGGCTTGCTATACCTGAGATTCCAACATTTGAAGAACTATTGGTTGGTGAGATGAGCGTCGCCGTACCTCCAAACAAGATTGATGGTCCTTACAAGAGCAAAGATAGATATCTGAAAACGCAATACACTCTACTGCGTGAAGATGCTGTTGGCTCTCTACGAGACGCAATTCTCGACTTTCAAAAGGACCCCACGACCATGGATACATTCAAATTTTCGGTCTATGATCAGGTATGTAAAGGGTGCTGAATCGTATTCATGTCTAATCGAGTCAGGTTCATATTTCTGGCTTCACATTCTCGAGGAGAGGGCTTGCAGCCAGAATCAAGTTTTGTACCAATCGGGCAGGCAAAAAGATATCTTGGATGACCACAAAACGACTCACATCCGGCTCCATTGTTGCCCTAATCAGAAAAAAAGACAAAATGGTAGACTTCAGCGGCGTGATAACTGCGATTGTAGCAGCAAGGCCTCTTGCAGGTGTCCTCTGCGAACCCCCCGAAATCGACATCTACTTCGGGCGTCCAGAGGACATACAGGTTGATCCACAGGAAGAGTGGATTATGATAGAGGCCAAGCAAGGCTACTTTGAGGCATACCGGCACACACTCCAAGCTTTACAGAAGCTTCACCAAGAAAAGTATTTACACCTCCTCAGCTCTACCCACCCCTTGCTAACATGTAGATCAAGATTCCCACTGTCTGACACTATTTGCCACTTGTCGCCTGCAAGCGAACCTCCCAACTACATCCAGCAGCGTCCTGTCCTGGACTTCAGCGCCGCTGCTGAACCTAACCAAAAGTCAGTTTATTCCAAGGTGGACGTCACAGGAACATGGCCACCAGCACCGAGTAACATGCTCGATGAATCTCAGTGGCAAGCCTTCCGAGAGATGTTTACAAAGAATCTCTCAATCATCCAAGGACCTCCCGGCACCGGGAAAACCCATATCTCCAAAGTTGCAATTCAGGCGCTGCAGGAAAATCGACTTGCAGGAGACCCTCCACTGATTATTGCAGCTCAAACAAATCATGCCTTGGACCAATTGCTAGGACACATCTCAAAGTTTGACCCCAACTATGTTCGACTTGGCGGCAGAAGCACCAATCCTGAAGTCAAAAAGCGCGCTCTCTTCGAAATCCGGCAAAATGAAAGAATCAAGCAAGTACCGGGCGGCATGTTCGGAAGAACTAATAGCTTACTCGACAAGCAAGCCAAAACGTTGATCAACATTCTAGAACCCTTCACGAAACCTGGTTCTGACCCATTCTCGACGGACGTGACCCAGAGCACTACGGTTCTTCTGCAATTAGGTGTTTTAAATACCCAGCAAGCGAAATCTCTCGAGGATGGCGCTTCCCAGTGGGTCTCAACAACAACTCCTATGGGCCACGGACCTTTCCAGTTATGGCTAGATACGGCATTGACTCATTTCGAGTTCAAGTACACAGATGACAATTTCGGCTTTCCGGAAGTCGAAGACGAGGATTTAGAATTTGAACAGCTAAGGGAGACTGAGGACTCCACAGGCGTTAATGATGAGGAAGACATCGAGATGTTAAAAGGTCCTTGGGCAGGTATCCGTGACAAAGTCACGGTTCAGCCAGCTACTCCAAGCGACATTCTACGAGCCGAGAAGCTACTCGCCACCAGCAATGACCTCTGGAAGATCCCGCCACACCTTCGAGGACCAATGTACCTGGTCATACGATCAAGAGCCCTCGTAGCTATTGCAAATAAGTTCCGCAAAGCTGCAGCAGAATACGACAAACTCGTCAAGGATATTTTGGTTGGTAAATGGGAACAGGACTATGTTTACCTCAAACGAGCTCGAATTATCGGTATGACAACAACAGGTCTAAGCAAGTATCGCGCACTTATTGCTGCTCTAAAGCCTCGAACTATACTGATCGAAGAGGCTGCCGAGATTTTAGAAGCCCCAGTCACTGTGGCATGCGTTGAGTCACTCGAGCATCTCATCTTGGTTGGGGATCATCAACAGCTACGAGGACATTGTTCCTTACATGAACTGGAAAATGAACCATTCTATCTCAATGTGTCCCTGTTTGAACGGCTTGTACGAAACGAGATGCCATATCGAACACTGCTTTCTCAACGTCGAATGGAACCTGAGTTCCGACGACTCCTGTCAAGTGTTTACCCAGCACTTGTGGATCATTCTTCGGTGATCACCCGTGCAAATTCCATGAACGCGTGGGGAATGGGGACCGTTAAGTCCTTCTTCTTTACCCATCAATGGTCTGAATATAAGGATGATTCATTATCAACCTACAACGAGGAGGAGGCAAAGTTCGTTGCCGGATTCTATCGACACCTGCACAAGAATGGCATTGAGCCTCGACGAATCACCATCCTAACATTCTATAACGGTCAACGGAAGCGAATCTTGAAGGAAATCAAGAATTTGACTGATATCACAGGACCTGGCACTTACCACAATGTCAAGACAATCGACTCCTATCAAGGCGAAGAGAACGATATTGTACTTCTCTCGACGGTTCGAAGTAGGGAAGACAGAAAAATCGGCTTCCTTGCTAATGACAACCGTGTAACGGTAGCACTATCTAGAGCGAAACTTGGCTTCTATCTTTTCGGTAATGCCAAATCTCTCAGCATGGGTAGTACACTATGGATGAATGTTGTCAATACCATGAGCGCCAATCCACGACGGATATACCACCAGCTCCCCATTAGGTGTCAAAGACATCAAACTACCGTCCTGGTCCAATATCCAGAGTATTTCCATGTTACTGAGGGAGGCTGCGACCAGCCATGTGGTGAGAGACTTATGGGATGCCATCATCTATGTCCGTTACCCTGCCATCCGTATTCGCACGACCGCGTCCAGTGTGTTGCCGATTGCCAACGTGATCTTCCGTGTGGACATGGATGCAGCAAGAAGTGCTCGGACAAGTGTTTCTGTTCTTGCAAAGAGTTTGCTGATCATATGCGAACCGAACTGGAAAATGCTGCGAAAAGCTTGCAAGTCTCGAAGGAAGCAGAAGGGCAGGGCAGTGGAAATATCCCTCGTGGTGCTTAGGACGCATCATCCCCATCTAAATTAGCGCCACAATATCCCCGAACTCTAGAAGAGTCCACCAGACTCAACCCCCTATCAGCCAAGGCGCAGAAACAAAGCCAGATAGGTTGGAGCAGATTTGCCAATGGTGGAGTCAAGGTCGATGATCAGCGTCGAGCGCACTCAGCAGATCAGCTTCAAGCTCACGATAAAATGGACACTCCTGCTGTGAATGATTTCCAATCATCAGCGATTGCGCATGAAATGTCTGAAGAGATCGAGAGTGGGAGGACTCGATTCACACAGGCTTATCGGGTGGCTACAAAACGCTCAGCTCGACAAGCAGATACTTCGGAAAGCACCGATAGTGGCGCGACTGTCATGCAGAAGGTATTTGAGACGAAAGAAGGTGCAATTGAGGCTCATGAGAATACGACCACATCTGCTGGAGGCATCATGGATGATTTGGCGGAACTTAATGGGTATTATCTCAAGTCCTGATGTGAATTGGGGTGTTGCAACTTCACTGAGGTCGTTGTGTCAACGGATCGAGGACATGGGGTCTGGTGAGAGTGGATTCGGCCTTGGGTCCTACCTTTCCAGTGTATGCATTACAAGTTGGGTGCCAGCGGCAGGTAATCGAGTTAGAGTATTGGCCGCAAGAGTCTGCATGGAGAGAAGTGTGCAGCATCAGCACGCTGATCAACTACTTAGGCGTTTACCATTTCAGCTGTCGGCTCCTTATTGTGAAATATGTGTGCTTCCCCCTGCAATTGTCATTGGACGTAGTAAGTTACCTTCCATACAACCTGCGGCAAGAGTACCAAAGAGGTCGGCGCAGCGAATTAAGAATCCGTGACCCTGACGTTGACATCGATATCAAGACTCACCCATCAGTAAGAAGCTCGGAGAAAGTATGCACACAGGAAACCAAGGGGTTAGAGTTGCACATTATTGCTCATCATCCCGTCTGCTCAACCTAATCTCGACGCTGTGGTCTCCTTGGTGTGCCCCCCCCCCCCCCCCGGGACCAAAATCGTCACTAAGCAAATGTCCCACCCGTACAGGCGCCCACCCGACCGCGGGGGATTGTGCCCACCCGAGCGCTGCGCTGGCTTTTGCTCACCAGGGTTTGCTGACGATGGGAACGGACGTTGACTAGTGCATGGTTTCCCAGAGAGCAGACGTAATTAGAATATTCCGTAAGAGGAAGGCAAGACACGATGGTGGATTCGGGTGGGCAACAAAGACTTCATCTCCAAGACTACGGTATTACGAAAGCAGCATTTACCGGTCCATCATCCATCATCTTGTGTGCGCGTGGCCCACCCGATCTCCATATATCCGAGCATGGAAGGTGGGTGGGCTTGGACTTGGAAAGGTTTAAATAGTTCAACTCCTCCATGACATGACCTTAAAAAGTCAGATCCTTTGTTCTGAGTTAGGGGCATCGAAGTATAAGCCCGTCAATTGTCATCGAAATAGAGCCTTTACACCATCAGTCTGATTAATTCCACCGGGGCTCAGAAAAGTCAACATGGGGTCTGGTGCCAAGTCGTTCAGAGAACTGGTCGGGGTGCCACGCGACACGGCTTCACCACAGGACTCGACGCTGATCATCATCGACGCACAGAATGAGTATGTATATTCTTCTCTTCACATCTCCAGAAATGCACCTTGGTGATATTGACACGGGAGGATTTTTAGGTATGCAGAGGGCCACCTCAAAACCGTCAACGTGGACCAGACGCGCAAGGCGATAGGGTCGCTGCTAGAGAAATACCGAGCGGGCGGGGACGGCAAGAACATCGTGCACATTGCGCACAAGACACCGGACGGCGCACCGATTTTCACGCCCGGGACGGTGCTGGCCGAGGAGTTCGACGAGGTGAAGCCTCGCGAGGGCGAGAAGGTGATTTGGAAGGAAGCCGTGTCCAGTTTCGCCGGCACTGATCTAAAAGAGTACTTGGGCGGGTTGGGCGACAAAGGCAAGAAGATCCTGCTCACGGGCTACATGGCTCATGTGTGCGTGTCTAGCACCGCTCGTGGTGGTGCTGACCTGGGATACACGGTCGTCCTGGCTGCTGATGCAATTGGAGACCGTGACATCCCCGGCCTCACCGGCCCGGAAGTCACAGATGCTGTGCTGAAGGAGTTGGGTGATGCCTTTGGAACAGTGATTCAGAGCTCCGAGGTCAAATAGAGTTCTGGGAGATTGTAAGGATCTGAAGACACGATTCCCTGCACCTATATTCGAGGGCCATTGTTACTGGGATGGCTCCCGAGTTCTGGAATGTCGACCAGTGGCTGTGGCTCTCATATCCAGACTGCTCGTCGCCTCTTCTTAGATAAATTTCCTACAATATTTCGATACGGTCTGTTCACCCTTGACCTAGTTGTTCTTGGACTTCAAGTCTTGGACTTGTGGCTGCCTTTTCCGTGTTTTCACCGTCTTCTACAGGCCAGTGAAGGGCACATGATTGAAAGGGGAAATTGTTGGCGTTGAGGTCTGGGAGAGGGAGAGACTGATGAGACTGCTTGAACGCCTCGTACAATTGATGATTGATGACATACTCTTCTTGCAACCGTCTCTCTCCAACGCCGGGGTCCAGTTCTGAGCCATACAAGGAGCTCCAGTCCGGGTTTTGAGGATCTCGAACCCTTCCATTGAGCATCCAATTACTGAGTTGCACTATCGAAGGCTTCCCATCCTTATCGAGAGGCCACCTATCCTGGAGGTGTGCATGTAGCCACAGTGTCGGCTGGGAGTGCATAATCTGAAGTTCTACCCACCGTTCAGCACAAGGGGAATATGCAAAGGCATTGTCATTGATTAACTCAAACCCTCGAGGATGCGAGACAGTGGATATACCTAGAGTGCCCAGAAGCTCAACATCCAGCTCGGTGTAGTATGGCTCTTGTGCATAAGACTCCGGGCGATGACCCTGGACTTGCTCAATTAAGTCGATTGCGCTCTTGAAGGCGGCGAGTTGATAGAATGAAACGTCCTCACGACCTATGATCGCAGCAGAGAAACTGCCAGAGCCGAAGATGAGACATGTTTTGACCACTCTCTGGTGTTGGGCTACCCGATCTTTGCTTAGAGCCATTCTGAGGGCCGCGTAGCTGGTCGATTCTAACCACTTTGCCTCCAAAATGCGATATCTGGCCAGCATTTTGTCAAGGCAAATTCCAGGGTGGATCTTGTGCGGGCCAGGCAGCCAGGAACGGATGTTCACAGATCTGTCACCAATCCCCCACTTAAAGTGCAGCATTTGTTGATCCTGAGCCAGCTCATTCTTGACTAGGAGGGCAGGGGCAGTCAATCCGCCAGCTGTAGTGACCCGAGTCCAGCCATCATCGTCAAGAACTTGTCTGCGCTTATTCTGAGATGTCTTCTTCTTGCGGCTCGTGTGTGGCATAATATAGGCTTGGGGCCTGAGAGGGAGCAATTTTGGGCAGCGACGGGTTCTATGGAAAGAGGACGGACGGGTAGCGCGAGATCACGGCCGGAACGCAGAGTATCGATCGGCTGGGGGATGAGATTTGGAGCCGAACGGTAAAAGAACGACTGGAACTGATGGCTGTATAACGGTGTGGGCATCTAGTGAAGTCCTCAAGAAACACAGACGACCAGCACAACATGTCTACCATTGTTCAAAACTGCAGACGTGGAAGACGAAAAACCTTGTGTCGAACCGGAGATGCTGAATCAATTATCCGAGGTTCTGCCGGCAAGGCTGAGTGCAGAGAACTACAGACGTCTACGGCGGAAGTGTCTTATTAGTACTATAGTTCCCAGGTATGAGACATAGTAGTATCATGATCTATTTCTTTACTGTTTTGCCTTAGTCAATCTCGTGCTCAGAGCCACTGCTTGGTACCGTAGTGCGATACGAAAGCACCACCACTCCCGTTTTCAAGACTGGAATCATAGATTACTCCGAGTACCATCTCCGCTGATTGTACCGGGGTTAACGGGCCAGTCCAGTGAGGCATGGCGGCCTTTAGCTTCTGGACGGTTGTGGACTCCTCTAACCCTTCCCGGGTAGCCACGATACCCGGTGAGATTGCAAAGAACAAAACGCCTTGATCCTTGTACTTGGCATTGTACTTGAAGATGGCCATGTTAGCGGCAGCCTTGCTGATTGTATAGGGGGCCGAGTCGGCAATTCCACCATTGACCAGATCAGGGTCAGCCATGCCTGAGGAGATCAAGACAGCCTTCTTGACGGAGCTTTTCTTGATGAGTGGCAAAAAGACATTGATTGTGTTGATGATTCCGACCACATTGACATAGAACGATTGGACCAGGTCGTGCTCGAGTTGGTCTTGCCTATCGTCGAACTCGTCAAGGGCACCGGCCTGGGTCGTTTCAGCAATGAAAGCGGCGTTGTTGATAAGATAGTCGAGGCGTCCGCCAGTAATCTTGAGGACCTCGTCTCGAGCAGCGACCAGGGATTTGCGGTCAGCTATGGCGGCTTGAATGAAGGTGACGTTCTTGATGCCATCCGCGGCGAGTTGCTTATCCGCGGCTGTCTTGTCGCGGACAAGTCCAATGACTGTATTGGAGGAATCTCTGGCCAAGACCTGGATAAAGCCGTACTATTGTCTGTGTTAGTGGATGGTATTGAGAAGTGTCGCTGAAGTACTCACTCCAAGGCCACGATTTGCCCCGGTGATCAAGTAGCTAGCCATGGGAAGAGCTGGGTTGCAAAGATTGAGATTGAGAAGAGAGTTTGGATATCCAGTTGCAAGGAAAGACCAAGGGACTCAAGGGCAGGACTCTTCCAGGGTTTTAGCTCTTTATAAAGATGAGATTGAGGTGATATTTGCCATTTTCCCGAGGAGCTACCAGCTTACAAATGTTGATTTGTGTAACACTGCTCAAGATCCCGCTCTCAGTGGAGTCCAAAGCTGTTCACCTCTGGCTTCAGAGGACCAAATCCATGTGGTTCGTCCGCCGTAGGCCACTGGCTGAGTAGAGCCATCCTTGTGGAGGGACGGAGAAGCTTAGCCTTGGAGAAGACCAGGGGTATGATTGTTGATAGTGCGAGGCGAGAGAAACCCAAGTAGATATATGCTGTTGCAACAAAAGGCGCTGGAAAGGCGAGATTGAATGTGTAGAAGGAATATGGTGAAAGTCAAGGATACGTGGGATCCGGAAGGTCTCAACGGACGAGGCTCAATACCGGATTTGGATTAGCATGGTCGGTAATATCGAGAGCATGGGGAAGATACTCGGCATGATGGACGGTGACCGTGGCTCTTTCCCGACCATGGTGTACTCTTACGAGATACCTCGTCCCCTGGGACAGCAGGTTTAGTAAGCAGTGGCTGCTCTGACCATCCACCCACAATCACCCAGACCATCTTAGTGCCATCGAGTCAAGCATTTCGAGCCTTTCACTTCCACTTTGATCGAGACAGTCGATTTCCGGACGGACGAAGTGGCCGTGAGGACAAGCATGACATTGACCCCTAGTAAACCCAGTACTACTAGATGCCTAGGTGGTCAGTAGCGTTACCCTCGACTCAGTGACAAGCATGAGAACAGCACTTCTCGCTGACTTCGTCTTCCGAGGCGCCTGGGGAAAGTGTGTTGAAGCATGCATGCAGTTATGATTGGCAGCGAAAATGCAAACAACCACGTTTTCTGAGGGAATCCGTCTGGAGGAGATGAAAGTTGTTTCTATCAGTACTGTAACCCCCTACCGAGCACTCTGTTCTCTGTGGTCCCTCCAAAGTGAAGAGATGAACCCTGTCGGCGGGCTCTTGCCTGTCAGCGGCCGCCGAACGGAAAGAGCGAACGATTACAAAGTCCTTCGTCCCAGTCTCCGACTCACCCGCTCTTGCCCAGGGCCCTCCCTCGGGCGGTTGGCTTCTGGGCAAGAGCGACCCCACCAGCATCCACGCCTATGCCCGAGTAGTTTGGCAGGCACAGCCAATCAACCCTCCAAATCCGCACTCTGCAGCCGCCCGGATGGATAATCGGCGTCGGTTGCACGCACAATTTAACCTAACTCAGACAAATCATATCTTCTATCACCAACTCCATCTTCTCCATCCCCGTCATCCCTGTTCAACTCGTTCAAACTGATTCAACATGGCTGCTCGCCACTAGCCTTTATCCCAGTGTGCTACCGAGCGCTCATCTTGCCTTCAAGCCATTCAGCACCTCTGCTGTAATTCATCTGGGCCAGTCACAGCGTCTGCATGCGTCTTACAAGCTTCGTCGGCGGTTGACCACAGCCTCTGATCAAGCCCTGCATACCGAGTGGTACTCTCACACAACCTCGTTCTCCTCTTTAATGCCAGGCTTTCCACCATGGCCACCTCGGTCATGTCCTCTGTTCGTTGCTGTTGCCATTGCCACTGCTACTCCGACAATCGACCACCACCACGACCATCATCCACCACTGCTCTGTGAGCTGGTCAGTCCAACACTGCGCCTAATTCTTCGCTCCTGTTCAACCCACATCACCTTATCAATGACCTGATATTGCGCTTGCACATTCGACCACTTCCTCGACCACTTATACAGCTATCTCCGGGCCCTTTTCGAAGATCACTTTGCTGTGCCCTCTTCCCTCACATCCGCCCTTCTACAACTATCTGTCAAAATGCTGTCCAGGCCTATCTTTGCCCTACTCTCCCTCCTCAGCCTCGTACACGCTCATACCGTCATCACATATCCGGGATGGAGGGGAGACAATCTACATTCCAGCGGCACCGTACTGGAAACCAATGGCTTGGGCACTTTGGAGACAAACTCGAACAATGAAACACTTTTCCCCTACGGCATGCAATGGATATATCCTTGTAAGCTTCCTAATCTGTCCATTCTCTGTTTTCTAAACCTGTGCTAATTGGGAACCGTCAAGGCGGTGGAATGCCGACATCCCAAAATAGGACCAAATGGCCAGTCAAAGGCGGAGGCGTCGCATTCCAACCAGGTTGGTTTGCTGGCCACGAAACTGCCTTCGTCTTCATCAATCTTGGTCTCGGCACCATACCCCAGAATATGTCCCTTTCCATGCTCAACGGTATCCAACTCATCGGGCCGACCAAAGATCCCTATCCTGGCAGCTTCTGCTTCCCACAAGTCCCACTTCCCGCCGGCATTACCGTTAATGTAGGCGACAATGCCACCATTCAAGTCATCGAACTGGCTGTCCATGGCGCCGCTTTGTACAACTGCGTCGACATTACCTTCGCAGAACCCGAAGACGTCGAATTGCTCACCCCGGATAATTGCTTCAATTCCTCTCAGATCAGCAGTTCGCTGGTTTTTACCACCACGTCATTGACCGAAGAATCCACCGCTGCCCAACTATTCACGAGTCCAATGGCTTATTTAATTGCCGTGGCCGTCATGATACTCAGCATGATGCTCTTGTGATGCATGCGATTATGAAACAAGAAGGATTCTACACCTGAGCGTCCCGACTTCCGGTCGAAGTGCATAGCATGATCCTTCGAGGGGCAGGAAAGACCCCGCGGGCGCCACCCGATCCATGCATGCGGCCTAGCCGGCCTTTTTTTTCTCCGTGCACAGCCTTATATCTTAAGGTCAACATCTGGGGGCGAACTGATGCGGAGAGTACGGATGGCGGGCTCTGATGCTCAACGCTCAAGCCGACATTTGAGGACCTCCATCAGAAAATGGGGATCCGGACCACAGAACATCCATTGAGATTTCTTTTCCACCTTGTCAGCTCAAACATTTATTATTGGGCATAACAGGGACCTGGGCCTTTATCATGCAGCCTCGCATTAGTGCAGGATTACATATTCCCAGATGCACAAGCATTAGAGAGGGCTGCACACAGCCCCCACTCTACAGAGGCGGAGTCAAGGGCAGAGCATGAGGCTGGAAGCAATCGAGCTGTAGGTTTCAGAGAGAGGAGAGAGAGAGAGCAATTCGCTTGTGAACATTATTTAATCGTCTCATCCATCGTCAGCATCGAAGGCGTTCAATTGAGCGCACATTCATCTAGTCACGTATAGACATCCAGCGATGTAACTATCTACCCACCTACAATATAAATCAACTCCTTACGAGTGTCTGGGTCACCTGTGTCCTACTGAAGTATTCACTTGTCTGTCCAGCCTAGTCCATCTCGACATCAGTCACCTGCGACACCTGCATCACATGGCGGCACACCTCATGTTGTACCAAGGACGGTCAACTACTAAGAGACCAAAGCTAGACAAAGTAGTCACATCGGAAGAAAATTGACATTCACCTACATAGGTACTCATGCTTGAAAGTAGCCAAGTGATAGATGCTGTCAACACATTCCACCAAATGTGACCGTTTTCCTGTTCCTTGTACCGAGTATACACGCGCATATAGCCACGCCGACTTCATTAGCAAGCTCCCTCTCGTCTTGAATCTCCCAACACTTTACTCCACCAAGATGCTTCCAATCTACAATCTCGAACCATGAATAATCTTCAAATCAACAATCAACTCTCTTCCCCCATCATTTATCACCAGCACTCGTACACTTCCCCGTCCATCGTTGTAGGCACGCTCGATCTTGTTGAAGAGACCGCCTTGGTCGACGACGGGGATGCCCTGCTTGACATCACCAGTCTCCGTCATGGCGACAATCATTCCATCGTCGCGGATATCCAGGACACGGTACTGCTTGAACACCGGGCCTTGCATTGTCTGCACCACCACTGACGGTTGAGGATTGCTGACAAAAGAACTCTCCTCATGTAATTGACGTGTGAACAGGTCGACACCCAGATATCTGTACTGGCCGGTCTGAGACGACACGGTGATACGAATGACCTGGCACGGTCGACCTTGCAAAAGGAGGATATCACCAATGCGGATGAAGTGGCACTGGATAGACACGCCACCACGACCACTGAAGCGAGGCTCAACATAGCGGACTGCTGGGGCTCCAGAGCCAGCACTGGTGGGTCCGGTTACACGCTGCTCGCTGATGATGACCTCCTCATTGCGATCGCCGCCGTGGTGGTGATGGTGGTGGGAGAAGGGGTGCATGATCTTGTCAGCAGCACGTTCTACTCCTCGGCGGAAGCTGTGGTATTGACCTTCGTCGTCGTAGTAGCCCATGTCTCTTTTGATTGGTTTGTCGAGTTTGATGTGTGCCTTCTCAACAGCGACGTCCTCTTCAATTGGTCGGCGACGCTCGTATTCTACGTCGTAGGTGGGATTCAAGCGACGGCGGTAGTCTCGTTCGGTGATGTCGAGTTGGGATTCGAAGGTCTGGTCGTAAGTTTGGCCTTGGGTTTGACGTCGTTCGTAATCAACGTCGATGTGGTCCTGGGAGCCTCGGCGGTCAATCTCAATGTCAACGTTGGTTGACTTGTATTGCTCAGGGGCAGCACGGTACCTGTGGGCACGGATGTCAGCCGGAACGTGGTCATTGAAATTGTCAAAGCGTCGAGGTCCGAGCATTCAAGCACAGAGCACTCTGGGGTAAAGATGGAGTCAAAACTTACTTCTCACGAGAGAGTTCTACCTCAGGGTAACGATCACGCTCTTGATAGATATGGGCGTCTTGCTCGCGGCGTGGACGGTTGTCTCTGTAGGTGATATCGACTTCCTCCTTTGAGAATCGAGTATCTTCCCGTCCGACGCGCGAGGAGGTCTTGGGTAGTTGAACTTCCCCTTCTACCTTTGAGACGGTAGTGGTTTCTTTGGAAGCGTCACTCCTGTACGTTGACGGGAAGACACTGATTGGGATGGGGACACGGGCGTCAAAGTCCAGATTGCCGGACTGTAAGGCGCCTCAACTCTCTTCTCCCTTTCGGCAGTCGAGAGTCAAGACTGTCTTGGGGGGATTCTCTTGAAGAGGGAAGAGAATGGGAGAAGCGGGTTGATGAATGCTGGTAGTAATATGAGGACGCTGAACAAACAGATGCAAAGATCAAAAGATCAGAAGCGAGTTCTTTTTGGCTTTGGATGGGTTGAGAGTGAGTATGACAGAAAACAAGAGGAAAGAAAGAGGAGTGGACGTGAGCATGGACCTTTTAAAAAGTCGGCCAGGGGGCAGAGGATGGCCTGCTTGTCCTTCCACAGGGAAAGAGCATGGTGGATCAGCAGAAGGAGTGGCCTTGCGACCAATCAACCGGCATGTCGGAAGGCACCACAAACAAACAACAAGTAAATAAGAGCCCGTTGCCCGGCAATGCTGTCCGCCATCCCCTTTCGGGCAAAGCGTCATGAGAAATCTGTCTCATCACATCCGAGGCTGTTGAATTATTATTATTGCACTTTCTGTAGATTCATGCGAGTATGTACGGAGTAGGTTGGTTCTTCTGGTACCGTATTATTAGGCTTAGGATTATTATGACAACACGTGCAGTGCCTATTCGGTATTCAACAGCATCAACTTGTGCAGCGGTGTGATTGCAGGACCCGCATCAATGGGGCGTGTACAAGTAGATTCCATCCCACTCACATGCAATCCGCCATGGGGATTCAGATCGCACCAACCACTCCCAATTCCCTCCCCAGCCCAAGCAGTATCGTGTATTCCATCCATTGGTTCTGTGTGCCCTGCCAGCCCGACCTCTCGCAGCCAGAAAAGGGTTGCGAGACCAGCATGACCCAGTTCCTGGTGGCCTCTCCGTCTTCCACCCAGAGAAAGAAGCTGCCGCGGCCTACGAGGTGTTTGACGTGAAATCGTTTGACGCGTGGACACGGCCAGGCTGGGCCTGGGAGGCCACAGTTTTCAGCTGGCTTGAGCCCTGGCTTGCATAAAACTCTCCTTACTCGTAGGTAGCGATCACGCAGGTATGCAACAGCCGGTCTTGGCGCATGTGCACCTTGCACCTTCGGCTGACGGAGAGCAAAGTCCACAACGGGGAGGGTATCTGTGTATCCGTATACGAGCATCTCTTTCTACGTTTTAGACATTTCAGCCACGACCCTGGCTCTCGCCCAGTGTCTTGTAGATGCATATTGAGATGGTTCAAACGAGCCATGTCGACTTTTGCCACAAATTGTTCTTTCTATCAAGTCTATGCCAAACAGCTCCAGAAACCTTGTCGTCTTTCCCCCATCATCATCACTTTCGTTTGTATGCAAAATTGGCCCTGCCTGGGCTTGTGTGTTGACGCCGCTCGCTATGCTTGGAAAGTCTCACACCGGGCTCGTCCGCAGCACTTGCAGACACCCTCAGATCTAGTGCCTCGAAACACAATTCCATTCGTACTGGTTCATCCATGTTAGCTAATGCACGCCTGTGAGAATCTGCAGGTGTCAGAACTTACCACTCTGCCGTCCTCATCCCCAGTGTACACCACTTGTGGCATCGGTAGAATGCAACTGATTCCTGCGGTGACGTTTGCCCCATCATCTCGAGTGCTGTCTGCATGATTGAGCTGGCGAATGAGCTCCAATTCAAATTTTCCTTCCCGTACTACTCTGCTCCAGACGCGAACTTGGCCCCGTTTGTGTCCGGTGAAGACAAGGTCTCGCTCAAGCCATTCATTGCCTGCACCTTCGTAACATGCACATGATACAACGCTCTCCTGTGACCGGTCTCCCGAGTCTTGCCGCAAAAGAAGGTCCCCGTTCAGGCTGTAGATGCTGATCTGATGGCCATGGCACAGGACAATGTTTCCCGTAACGTCATTGATCGCGGCACAATTCACAAGCAGGTCGTCATCCAACTTCCGTACAAACTCACATCGATTCAAATCCCAGAGCATGACTTGTCCGTCCGTAGATGCTGAAAGCAATGCGTTCAAAGACCGAGAGAGAGCCAAAACACCGACAGGTTTTCGGTGCCCAAACAGTGTAGCCCGTGGATGCAGCTCGACAGATTTTCCGTTCTCAATGATCGACCAAACCGCCACAGTACAATCAGTTCCCGCCGTGACTAACGTTTGCGAGTCAGTGAATATGGCGCACGAGAGTTGACCAATGTGTAGGTGCTCAAAGAGGCCAATCTGCTTCCTGCTTTCGGCCGAGTAAAATCGAACACTATTGTCAGAAAAACCCCATTCCATATATATCTCGTAGCTCGGCGGGATATTGATTCTAAAGGCTCCGGAGCACAAAAGTTTGTCTGACTTCCATGAGTAGCTCAAAGATGCCACTCGCTCTTCGGTCTCGAGAAGCGTTGATGGCACCCTGGTCAGGGACTCGGCTGCTGTGTCTAGCCGCTTGTATTTATGACGTATCTGCTCCCGGACTGGATGCCCTCTGCCGAACACTTGGTATGGAGTCTGCCCAAAATTATGAATGATGCCAATGGTAGCAAGCCGCTCAACAGAGTCTGTGATGGTGTCCAGGTCCTTCGCTCCTTGGTAAGAAAGGTAATGAAACACATTGACCGCTTCCACTGCTGAATCTCCCTTTTGCTTGCTACCGAAGATCAAGTCAATCCATTTATGGAGATTGCGACTAACGTGTGGGCTTTCCAGCGCTTCACGCTGTTTAGCAATGAATATTCGAGGATCTCCCTTCGCCCACGGCGGAAGCTCAACGTTGCCAATAGACTTGTCTGAATTTTGTCGAGTACCGAAGTCAAATCCATTCAAATTTACTAGGAATTCCGGAAGATAGTAAAATTCTGGAGTAAGCTCTCGGACATCTGTCATGTTTATCCGCGAGGCGGACTTCCATGCTCCCTCAATCGAGAAGAACATTCGATCTGGATGGTCAAACGTGCCGCCTTGCAACAACAGATATGACTTCACGAATGGTTGCAGGCGGATGAGATAGGACGTGACAATCATGGCCGAGGAATAGTGAGTACCGTAGTGGAATGCCGGCGTGTTATTGTCACCCATTTCCGCAAAGGTCTGATAGCGTTCTCGAAACTCTCGTTCTCGCTCGAGTGTTTGGCATCCCATCGGCTTCGAAAGATCACGGAAGCTCCTTGGGTCCGTGAGATCAAGTTCCTCACTAGAATAGTCGGCAATGACCCAAGGAAATACAGGGTATTGGGTCAAATCATTGTACGTTCTTCCAGCCATCGTATTGATCAGCATCAGATAATGGAAATTAGACATCTCGCCCTTTTGCCATTTCCTAGTCGCCGCCAAAGTGCCGGATTGTTGGCTGAAGACATTTGCAAACCTCGAGCTTAATGTCTGAGGCTCATCCTCGGCGCTACGTAGAGTTTCGAAACGCCACGCAGTTTCTGACGCTGAGCTGTTTGATCCAGCTGGAGGAGAGGCCTTGCTGCTTATAAGGTTGTGCAATTCATTGCGCAGTTGAGGTGATGTAACTGTTAGCAGGTAGCTGCGACCATCACTAAAGAAGATCTCTGTTGCAACATCCCGGAACAGGAACCGTCGTTTGGATACACTGATGATTTCAGACCACTTCCAGCTTCGACTCCCGTGTTCATCATTTCTTGAGATATTCTTGCGTTCAGTGACATCTCGACCAGATATCATTCGAACGTATGGGTCGCGTTCCTCCAGTGGCGCTTGCCATACGTTGACAATCTCACCATCGGCACGCTGGAAAAAGTTATCGATCAGGTAGATATGATCTTTTCCGAGTATGAGCAGTCCCTCAACCGCTTCAAGACCTAGAATTCGCGAGATATTCGCAACATGTTTCACTTGGTCTCCACGATGAAGACTGCGCATGACTTTTCTATTTTTGTCCTCGAAGTCATCCAAGTCCACATTCGGATCCTCCACGAGTTCGAAGCTGTCGTCACCTTCTGCCTCTGTGACCTCGCACTCAACTTCGGGCTTATCCTGGCCTTCTTCCATTTGGGGAAATGGTTCTGTTTCATCTATCTTCTTAGGTGTGTCAACCACCGGTGTATTACCACCCGGAGTAACTCCAATTGATTCTGCCGTTGAGATCTTCATGTTCTTGGTATCCAACCTCAACTGAGGCATATCAGAACCTTTCCGCTTTGGTTGATCATCTTCCGCTTTCGAGAAATCTTCATGGAGCCTCATACGCATGCGATTGCGGCCTTCGGTCTGATCTAGACGCCATTTTCGAGGCTTGTTGGTACTGAACAAGCCTGCCGGTCTGCTAGTATCCCTCTGCATACTGTGAAAACTCGTTTCTGTGTACTGTATATCATCCTGTTGATCTTGAAGAAGTCGCTGATGCTTCAAGTACTCTGATGAGTAGATGTTTGCCGTCCAATTTTCAAATGCTAATTCGTGGCGCCGGATGAGGTCCTCGCGATCAGCTTCTTCACGCGCCCATTGCTTCACCTTTTCTCGACGACGGGAAATCCTTAATCGCCCATTGTCCTCTGTGCGCTTGTTTTCGCTTGTAACAAAAGTGTTCCAATGCTTTGATAATGTCTGAAAGAATAAGGAATCTAAGTCGGCGCGGTGTTCATCTACCCAGTACAAGAACGTCTCGTTATCTAGCTCAACAACTTTCTCGAAACTGGAGGTCAAATTCTTTTGCTCGGGGGTGTCTGTCTGTCCGAATATTGCAGCGGCTTCAGCAGGCTTTTGAACCAAGATGATCCTCCAAAGATTAGCCGCAATTTGACGTACAGCATCGTCTGACGAGACAAGATGTGCATATAGCAGATAACAGATTAGTTGCAAATTGGAAGACTGAGTTTCCTCTGCGGAAAGAAGTACGGTTTGCCAATATGTCAACTTCTCGAGGAACTTCAGAGACTCATTATCTTGGATCGACGATAGGCTTAAGAGAACGATGCGAAAGACAACAGCCCGAATGATGGTGATAGTTTGCGCACAGAGGCGAACGGGTTTTAATCCAGCAATCTCGGGCCGGTGCAAATACTCTAGAATCGAGCCGGCCAGGTCAAGGACAGGATCTGCGCCACCGATGAACCATCCTTCGAAAAGAGCTTCCTCAAAATGTGTGAACAAGCGCGCTAGGTTGATCAACACTCGAGGTTCCACTAATACTTTCTGGTTCAAGGCAAGATTGTTCGACAATTGTGATATCGTATTTCTCAAAATCCAGGTTTCGAAGTAGGATTGGTGTTCAGCGAATCCAGGAGGAGTTTTGAGAAAAAGACCAAGGCCAGGGAACTCTTTCCTTGCAAGAATTTGGTCAAGAAAGATTGCGATGACGACTTCCAGTAGACTTTGTGTGATTGAATGCCCCTCATTAAGCGGAGGGATTTTCCCAAGGGCAGAAGTCGAACCGTTCGGAAGATGGATTCCGGAGTCTCCTCCGTTCTGATGTGTCTGTTCTCTACTCACAAGCACAAAAGATGACCCTCTCCGAAGCGTCTTGCCACGAGTTTTGGGGGCAATTGTGTCGGAATCGGTGATGCGCACGATCGGTGGTGTTGTAGACAAAGGTTGAACCACAACATCTCCACCGTCGAAAGTCAGCATAGAATCTCGTGCATCAAGCTCGGTCTTAGCCTCAACCACATCAGAACCAACTACAACAGGGAAGAGTACTGTCAGCAGGTCTTGAATATAGGATGAGTTCGCAGCGTAGTCACGGAACTTTTGGGATCGCGTATGCAAGTCTGCCATGAACCTCACAACTGTGTTGAAAGTGTCAACGTGCTGATTGGTGACTATTGTGAGAAGAGGATCAGGTGGCGCCATTGTTGACATTGAAAGCCTTTCCGGAGGCTGGTTGGTCGACTCGCTGAGCCGTGGAGCTAGGGTTGAGCTTGCTTGGTGTCTTTTTGAGGAAACTATTGTCTTCAGACCACTTTGCAGCATTCCCTTGATGGCTTCTAAGATTTCAGGATACACAACAGAAAGTTCTTTTCCGCCGGCAAATAAATCAATGAAGCCGAAAAGGTCAAAGTCCCTATCCAAGTCCAAATCGGCAACGTCCAAGCCAAAGAGAATTGCAAAACATGCTGGCCACAAAGCCGGCAGGTGCCACCATCTCTTCAAACGATATGCCATGATTGTGAATCCCGATGTTTTTGAGCTGTCTTTGAATTTCTTGACGTAACCATCACCGTGGATGACCAATAATCTTGCTAAGATCCTCATGGATAGTACAACAACTTCCGGGGATGTCTCGGATAGGAGGTAAAGGAGCCACTTGTTTGTGACAGTCTTCGCGAACTTTTTAATAACGTTGTCATCACCCTTTCGACAAAGTATTTCAGAGTATAGTCTCAGGACTTCAACGCCAATTTCAAAATGCGTCAGATTGACTCCTGGCTCGTCTTTACCACTGTGAGAAGATCCGTTCGATGAACTACGCTGTCTTGCTTCTTTGCGTGTGGATTTGCGTGATAGCAATCCCAAATTGCGCTTGTTTACAGAAAAGGTGATGAACAGTGCAAGCGATCGAAGATTCTCAGCTGCTAACGATTGAGGCAAGAGAACTTTAAAGGCAGCCATATACATTGGCATAATAGCTCGCGTGACAGGTTCAGACTTGAGAGCCTCCATCAAACGCTTCAATACTCTCATCCTTGACAGTCGCTTTAGGTTGAATTGTTTGTGCTCGCTCTGTTCTGCGAGGACGAGAAATTGATCGAAATAAAGCTGTTGGACATTGAGTGGTCCGCATCTCCAGATACTGCTGTCTGCAAGCAAAACCTTGTAGGCGAGCGGATTGTTGATTACTGATTTAGAAGGCTCGTCGTGATCGTAGCCGGTAAAAGCAAGAATAGACTTTAGACACCGAAGAATCAACCCGTTCCTATCCAGCCGAGATGTGGGGATTGCAATCGTTGTCCTCACTCCTTCTCCATTCCCCTGTGTTGGGGATGCCAATTTGTCTTTTAAGAGCATTGCCAAAATGGCATAGCCACTATCTCGCTCCATAACCTCGCTATTTCTCCAGCTGTGACGAACAGTCTCCAAGGTAATATCGACGGCTAGAGCAATATCTTCAGTGGTTCGAGCACGATGCAATAGCCCCAACCCAACGGCAGCGCAGCCTCCCAATCTCCAGCTTGCATCATCAAGGGATTGAGGGACCGTTATGGTCGGCTCACCCATAAGCATAAATGCACCTCGAGCTTGTATCAGGGCGTCGTTGATTGCCGGGACAGCACCGTTGATCGCGACGGCATTAGTGCCTGATCTCGTGTACGCAACAAGATTCTTTGCCGCCAGCTTCGATAAGGATTTCACCAACTGGGTCTCGTCGATAGCATTCCGATCATCATTGTCTAGGATTGCAGCGGGTGATACGTTGATAAGAATCTTCTCTTCTTTGATCAGGGTGCTTGCCTTTTGTCGAATTGCTAGGATAAGGTCCGAGTGCTCTTCTTTGCCTGGATGCAACATCTCGTTGCGCAGGTTTAACGCAGCCGATGCCTCGTAGGTCTGGAAAGAGCCGAGGCAATCTTGAAAATTTCCGTGATACTTAGGCCCAAGATGAAAGAAGACAGAAACTAAATCATCACTCATGACATCTTGGAATAATACAGCAGACCCAAGAGACCATTTGGACAAGCAAGTTGCCCTGGATGGATTAGGTGAAAGGTCCTGAGGAGTTCCGAAAAAAGCTTGGATCTTGACGCTGGTTTGATCACGATCAGTTGGAGACTGTGATGGATAATTCGCCTTTTGTTGTTCCATAAATTCACCATCAACGAACAAGAAAGCCCTGGAGGAGGATGTGGCCTTTGGTCGTTTATGTGTTATGCAGATATGATACCATTTCTCTGGTTGGAAAGCAACAGACTTGAATCTAACACTAGGTCGGTTACCTTGTATCGCCGTCTGCAGAATAAGATGATGTGAGTCTCGTTCAAGATAGGCCAAAATGAAACAAGTCTGAGTTTTGTCAAAGGCACCGAAGAGAGTAGTATGGGCCTGACTATCGAACGAGTCGAAACGTGCCCATAGACTGAGTGTGTAGCCGGTGCTGTCAAGGGGAGGGAACGGCCTTCCGAGGGTCGCAAGTTCTGTTGACGCAAAGCCCTGTTGGGACAAGTCAAACTGGACGCTGGGGGGCTGGCGGGAGACACTCAAGGCGTCAAGAAGAAATGAAGCAGCTTCGGACGACTTGCTTGCTTGGGTGAATAGAAAATGGGCATCATCGAGGCTTGAGACACCTTCTTGGCATAGAAGAAGGGCGACTTGTTTAAATGCAGCTCGTTCGGCAGCTGGTAGGCGCTCGTCAAAGATCAGCTGTATAATAGCTGTGAAGGCCCCTGCAGTATGGGCGGAGACGATATTCCGTCGGGAGACAGAGAGAACCTGTCTGAAACTTTCTGGCAAGGTGAGCCTTAACACTCTCCGTGGGATACTGCCTGTCTTTGCACCAGAGGCCCAAAGTGTCAATGACAATGTTAGGAGCTCGGGAACCTCCAAGTCATCGACGCTGGAAACAGATTTATTCAGTGCACTCTGGGCAAGGGCAAATGCTTGGTCGGACGTAAGTCTGGTATCTTGCCGAGAAATCGCACTTTCAGCAGCAACAAAGAGATCATTTATCATTTCCACGCCAGTAGCGGTTGCGAAGAGTATGCCGAAAAACTGTTCGAGAAAGAGGTCATCCCTAGTCTGCGACCACAGGATAGCCAGGAACTGTTCCAAAGTGGATTGTAAAGAGACCCAGCCACCGTTGTCGACCTTAGTCCTGAAATATCTTTGGTTGCCCTCATGGCCCTCCAAGGCGGCACCGAGAACTACAAACCACTGGGAGAGGGTCTGCAAGAAGGACTTAATACCAGGGGTTGGGTCGTTCTGAGCAACAAATATGTCGAGCAGGGTGCGAAGCAAACGAAGGAGTGCCTGGAAGCCGCCGGCTCTTCTAAAGCCACTGTTCGCACCATGGAGCTGACTGTCGTCTTTGAGGAAATGGCGCAGCCGTTGCAGGCAGGTCGACTGGTCGAGGCTGTTTTGCAAAGCATCGTAAGAACTGCGGTCGAGGGTGTCCAAGGTTCTCACGAGAATAGAAATGTCTTTGTCCTGTGGTCGCAGAACGTCGGCGGTGGATACGGCGCGCATGCGAGTGTTACCGGTGAGGCCCATATTGATCAAACCACCTCTTATGTGGGCGCAGCACCTGAAATTCGGGTCGACACAGCTGCATATGGAGAACTGCAGCACAAGAGTAGATGGTCAACTAATGACAAGTGAATGCGGCCACTGTACACAAGGCTTCCCAGCATTGGGATGGAAATCTCGTAATTATAGGCGGGGATCAAAATGAACAGTTGGGACGCGGGTGAGGGTCTTTTGGCCCCCAGTCAGACCGAGCAGGTGGAAGAAATAAAGTAATGGACAAGACCGTCAAGTAGAATCGAGGCCTTTGAAAGCCTTATTTGAAAGGTGCAACTATGCACAGAGCAATGGTGTTGCAGTCTATTGTAATTTGTCGTCTTCTACAGGGAGAGGAAGACTCGGCCAGGCTGGAACCAACGCTTCTGCGCCAGCGCCAGTGAGTACTGCACTGAGCAGTTGTGATAAATAGCGGCAGTGGTGTTGCATAAGTGGCACTGGTAGCCTTAGCGGCCGGATCTGTGCGGTGCGTCACTGTGCCTGGCCCGTTTTGGAGACGCTGGAATTCTCCACGGTGCCGTTGATGCGTTGATGCGGAATGTCCTGCCTCGAACTGCACCGGTGTTCCGTCGTAAGGCATTCCACTCTGAGAATTAAAAGCAGTCAAGTTCTACAGGGTGTATTGTAGACTGCAGTCCGGTCCTTCGAAATTCGGACAGAGTATGTGAGCCTGCGGGTGGCTGATGATGTTGTTATCATCCACTACTGGGCCATCCATGGGCCTAGTTAGGTCAAAAGCACTAATAGACCTAAGTGGTAGCTAGTAAGTAGTAGCTAGTATACCACATAGTTGCTGTGACTGAGCCCAGCGTTGAATGTGACCTACTAGGCTACTACTACTCCGTACTGGGTACTCTAGAGTTCCAGAACGAAGTGCCAAGTGCCTGTGCCACCATGCCGAGAGGAAAGCGTGGGGGCACCTTGGGGGAGGACCTGTGGCTAAGGCTTAGGCAACAGGTCCAAATCCATAGCCCCTCGGCCCATGGCCATAGCGTCTCGAGTCGGGTGTCCGGGCAACTGGGTGAGAAACTGGGAAGCGGGAGGCGGAGGGGCGTGACTCTAAGTCATGTGGTGGGCCGTGGCAATGTGGCAGGCAAGGACGGATAAATGCCCTGGTACCGCCTAAGGACCGACCTCAGTTGGGACTAGTGTTCCCAGAGTGACGCTCAACCCGCCTCAGAATGCATCATCTGGTCTTCCGCCTATCTCGGGCGGTGATTCACTCTCTCTCTGCCATTATCTATCTATCTGTCCGCCTACTCAATCCATCCTTCCCCAACCCCATCTCATCCATTTCATTTTCATCTGCATCTGCATCTGCCCTCCATTTGCCTACTCTTCCATCATCCATCACATTGTCCTACTGCCGTGCTCATTGAATCTGAGTACCCTGTCTCTTCCCATCTTCCTGGATCCTGTTGTCCTTCTCGCTGCATCCTCCCAACATGAAGAGTTTCCTCGGTCTCTCCCTACTCCCTCTCCTGGCGGCTGGCTCGCCAGTCATCGTGGAAACCATCCATAAGGATGCTGCTCCGGTCATCTCCTCCTCCAACGCAAAGGAAATTCCCGACTCCTACATGGTCGTCTTCAAGCAGCATGTCTCCAACGCCGATGCAGTTGCTCACCACAGCTGGATCCAGGATCTACATTTGACCAACCAGGTCAATAAGCAAGAGCTGAGGAAGCGCAGCTTCGGTTTCTCTGAAGACACCATCTTCGAGGGTTTACGCCATACATACAACATCCCTGGTGGTCTTCTGGGCTACGCTGGCCATTTTGATCAAGACGTCATCGAGCAAGTCCGCAGGCACCCTGATGTGAGTTCCCTGCTCTGTCCATGATTACATTTCCCAAGTTCGCAGTTATTGGCTGCAACCATCAGCTTCTGAACCTGCAAGACTTGCTTGATACCCCAATCACAATTCCCACATGATTTTGGGTCTTGCTCGCTGCCATTGCGTCTTATCGAATGCTCACGTGCTTCCCTCTTTAGGTCGAATATATCGAGCGCGACTCCGAGGTTCACACCATGAAGGAGACACCTGCCCTCGAGAAGAACGCCCCATGGGGTCTTGCCCGTATCTCTCACCGCAAGTCCTTGGGCTTCGGAGATTTTAACAAATACCTCTACTCCGAGGACGGTGGTGAAGGCGTTGATGCTTACGTCATTGACACAGGCACCAACACTGAGCACGTCGACTTTGAGGGTCGTGCCAGCTGGGGAAAGACCATTCCACAAGGCGATGAGGATGTTGATGGAAACGGACACGGAACTCATTGCTCTGGCACTATCGCTGGCAAGAAGTTCGGTGTTGCAAAGAAGGCCAACATTTACGCCGTTAAGGTTCTCAAATCTAATGGATCTGGTACCATGTCGGATGTCGTCAAGGGTGTCGAATGGGCTGCCACTGCTCATTCTGGCTCCGTAAGCGCAGCGAAGAAGGGCAAGAAGAAGGGCTTCAAGGGTAGCGTCGCCAACATGAGCTTGGGAGGTGGCAAGTCTAGAGTTCTCGATCTCGCCGTCAACGCCGCTGTCGATGCTGGTCTTCATTTCGCGGTCGCCGCCGGTAATGACAATGCTGACTCCTGCAACTACTCCCCTGCTGCTGCCGAGAACGCTGTCACTGTGGGTGCTTCAACTCTCGCTGATGAGCGTGCCTACTTCTCCAACTTTGGCGCATGCAACGACATCTTCGCCCCCGGTCTCAATGTCCTTTCCACCTGGATCGGAAGCAAATATGCTACTAATACCATTTCCGGAACATCGATGGCTTCGCCCCATATTGCCGGCCTCCTTGCCTATCTCTTGTCACTTCAACCTTCCAACGACTCCGCCTACGCCGTTGCTGAAATCACTCCCAAGAAGTTGAAGGCCAACATCATCGCCATTGCGACCGAAGGCGCCCTCACCAACGTCCCCGCTGACACAGCCAACATTCTTGCCTGGAACGGCGGTGGCAAGTCCAACTACACTGAAATCATCAAGGATGGAGGCTACACTCTTGACAATGCTGCTGGCACTGAATCCTACCTCAGCGAGAAGGCTCAGGAGCTCAAGCTTGAGCTCAAGAAGATTGCTGCTGAGTTGGAAGCCCTCGTCGAGGCATCCTGAACTCTTTGTGTTCACGACTCGTTTCTGCAACTGAGCGACTCTTCGACGTTATAGTTAGGCTTGGGTCTTTTGCAGATATGGGATAGAGCATATTTTACTCGGGAGCTGGTTTGGCAATGGGGCATGGGTAATAATCCTTGTTTGATGATATGGACAGGATGGTTTGCAGGGATGGTGGTTTCAGTGCAACATCCTTGGCATCGTATTTCAAGATCTGGCGAATACGCGTCCGGCGGTTCAGAAGGTTTTGATAGACCCTCCAGCCATAGACTAGCATTCTTGTCTAGTATTCTTATCAGACTTTGCCAGTGAACTGTGTGAAACTACCATCTTTTCCCTTCCTGGATCTTTTTTCATCATCAGTATTCCCTAAGCATAGCGCTCCCTGGGTTGTTTATAGCACCTCCCTCCATTCCAGTCGTGCATGCACGAGTTGACAGTTGGAATTTCAGTAAGAACACTCGAATCTGTGACCCGATCACGGGGCAAAGGACTTGTCTCGGAGTTGGCGGCGTCTATCTTCTTGTCTCTGCGTTGAGCAGCGGAGCTCCGATTACTCCGGCTCCCCTGCTGCCGCTGACCAGGTTCTCCACCTTCCTCTACCTCTCCATCATCACCTTCTCCACCAGGCAGATCTTTGAATTCGCCCTCGGCAACCCTCGCGACAAGCCAAGTCCCCTGGCCAGCGGCGCGCTTGAAGAAGTCCTGATTCTCCTCAAACGTGCGGCGCGCACTCTCGGGACACAACAAGTACGTCAGGATGCCAGCAATAGCATTGGTGATTGCGAAGACCAGCAGCAGGAAGTACCCGAGGCTGTTGAACCCGATCGGGGTCAGCAGCGTGACGGCGAAGTTCGCAATGCCCCAGACGACGACCGAGATGGCGGCGCCCTGGGCGCGCGCTGTCGATGGGAAGATCTTGGTCGGGATCAGCCATGGTGGCACCAGCCAGCCAATCCCGAAGACCGACGTCGCCAGGTACAGGACCGTGATGCCGGGGGTGCCGGTTGCAAGCAATGGCATGGACAGCTGCTCTCCATTGTACGCGAGGCCGCCGAGCAGTGTGAGCAGGGCGAAGGATATGCATAGCCACAGCGCGCCCTCGACCATCAGTCTGCGGCGCCCTACCCGGTCGATTAGGATCCAGGCCAGCGTCATCGTCGCGAAGTAGAAGAGGTAGTTCCCCAGTGTGATGTATTCTGCTTCTGTGACGCCGAAACCTAGGAGTTCGAAGATCTGTGGGCCGTAGACCTGAAAGTCGCGAGTGCTAGTCAGTATGTTTCTGGGGTAGAGTACATCTGTTGTAGAAGAGCAACTGTACCGAAACCGCTCCATGTCCGGTCAACGCTTGGTTGACTTGGCCCATAATTGTGATGGCCGTCGGGTGGAATTGGGAGCCCGAAGGCCACAGCATGTCCGCATAGCTGACCGATCCATCCCCTCTTCCTGCTTGTGCGCCTCGAGCAGACCCTGGATCCGGTCTTCGACGGCATCCTCTCCAAACACGCGAGCAATGGACTTCTTCGCTCGATCCTCTTCACCGTTGAGGACCAGCCAACGAGGCGTTTCAGGGAGCAGATTCGCCCCGGTGAAAAGCAACGCGGGATATATCTGCATGATGATAATCGGCGGCCGCCATGCCCAGTTGATGCGACACTAGCATGTTGACGATAAAGGCCATATTCAGGCCGAAGATGTTGGCCTGGAATTCCTGAGCAAGGGCGGTCCCGCGTTCATCATCGGAGGAGATTTCGCTGCTGTAGACGGGCACAACCGAATCGTTACCTCCTGACACACCTAAACTTCGTCAGCGCCTGTCACCCACTGCAAAATGTTGAAGAAGGCTGTTCCAGCCAAGGGGGGGATCCTCACCGACACCCAGTCCCATCACAACCCTAGCGACCAACATTATAGCCAGCGCAACACTTGGATTGTGGCCCATGTTCCCAAACCCAGAGATGAGCATCAGGAGGTCGCCCACGCTGGCGGTGGCCAGACAGGCAAAGATGCCAGGTCGCCTTCTCTTCGCGTCGGCAAACTTGGACGCGAGCACCACTCCCACTGCACAGCCAAGATAGTACACCGAGACGACTACGCCGACAATCGGGGATTCCTCGTCGATGCCCATGGTTGAGAGGTAGGACTTGTTGGTGTTGATCAGGGACATCATACCTTTTTGGTTTTTTTAGGACGTCAGCGTCAGCTGGAGGCAAAGCAGCATGTTTTGGGAGTGTACTTGCCTTGGTCATATCCATACAGGGCGATCGCCGTGGAGCTGAACAGCACGACTTGCGTCTGCTTGCCCGTGATTTGCGAAGGCTGAAGCCAACCATCTCGTACTTCGCGTCAGAGGAATTGCTTACGGGCTACACCTGGGCCAGCTTGTCCAGCAGCGCAAGGGCTTATCGACAACGGGTCGCTGTGGCCACTCTCTCTCTCCCGCCAAGCAACCAAGCCGAAATCACTCGCAGAAAAGCATTTCAAGAAGAGTATGTAAATGGAGTGAAGCTAATAACCCAATGTCGGTCGACATGATTGACGAGCTAGGTACTTGCTCCGTCCATGACATGCACACAGGTATGTACCCCACCAAGGGTCTGCAGGCGCCCCAAATATATATATTGAGGGGACTTACCTTTCTTAACCATGGCCCTGGGCCATACGGTGCTTACAGAACGGGAGGAATGAAAAATGGTGACGTCCGTAGTTGTGACTAGTTAGCTTGGTGGTCGTCGGAGTGAGGGGCACAACAGCGAGGAATATGTGTAAAAAAGTTCTTCGGTGGATTGATGCAAGTGCAAGGAATCTCTTGTTGTCCTGATGTTATTCGATCTGCAAATCTCGCCAGTTGCAACCAAGCATCGGCTGCGTGCGAGCCTGCAGGTGCAATATTCCCAGTGACAGCAACTTGCTTATGGATCCTGATCTGTTCAACCATATCACTGTTCGGGAGGCCCGTTGCATTCATTCTATGGTACATACATGTGAGGTACTTGGCACAAAAGACCGCTCCCAGGGAAGAAAAAAAGATCATTTATTCGGAAAAATATCTCATATGCTCGTAGAACGCCGCGTCCTGCGCTGATGAAATAAAGGTGTAGTCTCACCATCATCGTCACGATCCCCCACTGGTCCTAAACCTAGTCCATCATACCTCCCCGGCGGCATGGTGCCTTGCACTCCAAAACCCTCGGTCTCCTCCAGGATATCGACGTGCCGGACCAGGTGCTGGTCAATCTCGTTCCTGAAGACCAAGTTGGAGGGGGGCTCCCGCCAACCGTATTTGACGCGGATGCTGGCAAGTTCTTCGGCGATCTCTGGTCCGCTGAGCAGACATCCCCTCTCTCCCAGCTTCTCGACGATGGGACGTAGTAGCTTGGCCGTACTCAGGCAACTGGCATCTCGGATGATGGCCGAGTTGCCCCATGCGATCACGCAGACGAGGGCGACCAGATGCACGAACGGAATCACGCCGAGGATGGCGCTGGACCATTTCCATTGAATGTCCACCTCCTGCGCCGGTACGGGGTAGTATCCAGTGACGTTGCTCCGCGGGCCGTTGTAGTCGAACGACGCAATAGCTCCTATACTGTACTCCATGATGTTCAGGGCAATTCTGGTCGTGTTCGCCGGGGAGTTGGGGCTCCACCACGACTGTGTCGGATAGCGTACGTATTGATACGTGTCATCAGCTGAGAAATTGAACCCCGTCCACCCAATGGCGCCGGCCAGCATGCGAGCCTGCGGCTCCGGCATTTGGAGTGTGGCCACCGTCGAGTTACCGAGCACATATGGTTCGATGCCTGCTATCTCTGTCACCTTGTTTTGGCAGCTGTAGAATGAAGGTGCCGGAATTGTGCGGCCATTCGCACTTTGCAGTGCCATGATATTTGAACAGCGTGGGCCACATGTTGAGTTTAGCACTCCCACGTATGTCATCGCACCAGGTCCCACTCGAACCACATCCAGGGTGCGCCGTTGGCGATCCTCGTCCAGGTAGGTGATTATTGGATTGGTGCCGTTGCCTCCTTCCAAGACTTCAAGCTCGACGCACGTCGCAGTCACACTGACATTTCGACGGGTCATAAGCGTGAGATCCGGATTCCAGGGATTCGCGTCCTCAAAGATGTACGTGAAGGTCGTGTAGTCCTTGTTGTAGTATACTGTCGGGCTGCTTGGCCGGCCCCAAACCGCATCGTGACTCACGTCTCTGTAGCTAGCATCAATCAACTCGTAAACATAGTACTGAGCCTGACTGCCATAAATGTTGGCAGATCCAAGCTGAGAGCTGAAACCAGGATCGGTGTTGGTCCAGGGGTCATCGATGAAGGTGAAGTTCGCAACGCTCAATTGGCCGAATTTGAGAGCCGGCATGCTCGACGTGTTAAGATTGTAGGTAAGGCCAAGGAGGGCCACCAGGACCTGAAGCATAACGTTGACGCCTACCCATACCAAGCATAGCCACTGCGTCTTGTTGATCCACAGTAAGGGTCGCCCTCGAGTTCTGGCGACCCAACACAGCTTCAAGACCTTCCTCAGACTCTCGCAGTGCATGATGAGATCGAATTCATCGAGTGAGCGATAGTTGGCAGCCAAGATCTTCCAGCGCAGAATCAAAGCCATTTCTTTGAACGAGCTGGCGAGATTGTTTCCGAGGAACAGCGACAAAAGGACGATTATGGCGTTGAATGCCTTCACTTGGTGCACTGACATCCACGCCAACCTCCCAAAAACAGCCAGGCATGCAGCGAGCAGACCGCATAGGAATACGGTGATCAAGAACTGCGTGAATCCAGCGGCAAACAATCGGCGTCGTTGGCGACCTGGCCGAAACTCCCTCACGGTGCGGGAGGTGGGAAGAGGGCCATGTCGAATGGACACCGAGTGTCGCCACGGTTGGCGCAGCACAGTCGGCCCATTCTGTCTGCTGTTCCCTGTCCTTTGAGGAGAGATGGGAGAGAGGGGAGAGAGGGTATCGCTCCACGTCAACGGCGCAGAGACAGATTCAGTTATAGGCGAGCGAGGGTATTTCTCCATGGGTTGATTGCTAGTCCTTGTGCCACATACTCTGAGGACATCAAGATGGGATGATTGACGGTCATGAAGTTTGAAGGAGGCATGGTGAATTCAAAAACGCACCCACCGAGGTGGCGCCCGAGATAAACTCTTTCAAGGGCTCAGACATCGCTTGTGGCGTCGACGTCTAAGCTGCGCGCCCAATACTTACCCACGGGAGGGAGGGGAGGCTCAACCAGAAGTTCCGAGCAAAATCTTGCTGAGGCCTGGACCAGCCGCTGGCCATAGCTGAACCAAAAAGATGGCTGCATCGGCTGAGCCAAGACGTGGTTGCTCTGCGATAAAGGCGCACGTACCACCCCTTCTCCCATCCATGAGAAGGATGAGATGCTCGGTGACCAATCATCGAGGCAACAAATCTTCGTCTAAAATAGATTGAGATTAGCGAGACATTTTAGCTCAAAAACACGGGATGCGACTTTGGGTTTTGCGATGCAACATTTTCCTAACAATGTCTTATTGAGCGTGATGACCATCCATTTTGAATCGGGTGTCTGATGATTACATATAGAAAGATTCGAGACACCCCAAAAATGCCACCATATCTAGTGCTTGCTATTCAATTTTCTCATGTTTTTTCAGACCCATTTGGTGCGGGCAAGAACAACTGTTCTCAGGGCAAATATTCGTCGGCATAAATATCATGGTCGTACATTATCCAGGAGGGTACAGCAACCTCAAAGTCGAGATTTGCTACAGCAATCCGCTCTCCCGCCCGTGCCATTGGTTGCGGCATTTGTAGCGCCATTGGTCAGAACAGATGCATTATTTTTCGACGACGGGACGTCGATGCTTGGGTTTTCCGAGAAGAAATCCGCTGGTCGAAGATTGATTTGATGGATCTCAACTGGCCTATGATCTGGTTAGCAACGTCGCCCATATTGAAGGGGAGTTTGGGGGGTGGGTGGCATACATAACCGGCCAGTCTTCCACTCTGGGATTATGGGTCAGGCCAAAAACGCTCCATACAACAACATCTTCGTCATTGACATTTTCGTTTCGCTTCACTGCGTCCGCAACGCCGCCAACTTCATCTCGACTCTGAAGAGTATATCGACCTCCAGCATAGTATTCACCGTCAAGGTGCTTTGTGACCCAAACGTGATGCTGTGCAAAAAGTGCTCTTCTGGATTGGATAGACGTCGGATCCGCAAGAAGAAGCTGGGTTGCGGGGGGCGTAAATTTGTAGCCAACCGGCTTACCACTGATTGGATTGAGCTTGCTTTTGTTGATCATCTTGATAACACGATTATGTTGAGGAGCAGCGTCGAGATGTTGACTCGTCTCGATGACGTTCTGCCTCACTTCATAGTAGTTACCGTATGGATTTTCCTCCTTACTGATGGGTGCCCTGTGAGACTCCTCTGCGAGCACAGTGTTCTTGTAGCCATCAATAGCCGGATCGATGCGGACACAGAAGACGTGTTGATGGTTCTGTGCCAAAGCTCCTGGGGACACAACGTTGCCATAGGCACTCGTCTTTCCAGCGTCGATATTGACAACAGACACAATACCAGTGGCTCGGGTTTCAATCGTTATTCCACCTGACTGGTCAAACTTATACGCGAAGATGTACTCATAGTTGGCCAGAGTAATGATAAACTGAACGACCAGTTCTCGGTTTCTAGTCACAACAGCACGACCAGTTCTCCAATTGGTGTGCTTCCATGCAATGCCATTGTCCTGCTCATGGAGGCAGACCACATTCTTGGCGGGTTGGGCTGTCCCATCTGGGCCAGTGCGTACAGCATCAAAATACTAGAAAGTGTGTCAGGTTTATAGCAGAAGAGCTCGATAGCCGTGCGAGACACTCACGTTTATCACCCCGAGACAGTCACAGCCAAGATGTAAAGAGTTTGCACAGTTTCCAGCACCACCATCGCCAAAGTCGAAAGCCTGTTTTCTAGGAAACGGTCCACGAGGATCCGCATAAGGGACAGTCTAAATTCTCATCAGGTCCACTCGCTATCAGCGATCTGAAAGCAACTTACCATTTCGCTGACACTAAGTCTGTAGAGGACACTTCTTCCATCGAAATGGACATCATGAACGGTAGCTCCTTCTCTTGGGTTGAATCCGACTCGGAACCTCCAGTTTTGCCATTCGATAAGTCCACCATCAACCGAGAACGATGGGCCTTCTGGTTGCAACACATTGAGAGGCTTGAGGGTCTTTCTTGTTCCATTCTTCAATAGCTCTGGAACATACTCTGAAGTCTTGCAATGCCCAATAATATTCTTCGAGTGGGTTTTTGCATCTAGAGCGTCACCTTTCCCACCGGTCGCCAAACGATCGACGCGAACAATCTCTTGTTTTGCTGCATCTAGGACTGGGATAAATGGGAGGGGATAGGCGTAGAAATTAGAATCCGGGTTCCCAGATCGTGTGTCCCTGGCGAAGCAAAGTCCCTGGAAGTAACGCGGGTTGTCCTCCTCTGGTTTTGGGCCTCCGTAAGGCCAGGGCTCGACGATGACTTCAAAACCTTCCGGCAGCTCAAATTCTGCGCATACGTCTTTGAATAGTTGAGAAGTCTTGCAAGCCTCAACAAGATCATCAAACTCGTTTCTGCCAAGCGGTCAGTAAAGGACACTAGAATGATGGAGATAGTCTTACAGCGTCAGGCCAGCATGGTGGGTCTTGCTGTCGACAACAACATGCTTGATTCTTTTACCTTGATCCAAATCCACGATTGCCTCATTGTAGTGAGGTATCCGATCAGAACCGATCACATCATATTGCACAAGAGCTGTGCGAGCTGGAGGTGGGACACTCGTTCCGGCATGCTCGGCGGCCAGAAATTCGATTACTTGGCTTTTGGGAGGCTCTTCTAGATATATTTCTCGAAAGCTAAGGACCGTATCTTGATGAAGGCTTGCCACGATATCCCGAGCCTGGTTGGTCTCGTTGACAGACAGGATATCCAACGGATGAGGAGCCATTTTCTAGAAAGATGATGAAGGTGATGATGACTGTGCAAAGGAAGACAGGTTATGGCCCTGTGAGAGTGTAGGAGTAGCAAGAAATCTCCGGGGTCGAGTATTTATATCTGGAACATCAAGTTGCTTGGCTGGGAAACGCTATTCTCTCTTACCTATTTGGGTGAACTTGATAGTGAGCTAGCACTGTTTGGCTGTATGCAAGGTTATCAACCCAGGAAGCTCCTCATGATGGAGGCAAGTATGTCCATCAAAACAGATAAAGGCGAGTCGGCACTTGGAAGGAATCTTCGGAATGGAAATGCTGAAGACGTTTTGTGATTTCGGTTGGGCCTTCTCTTTTAGGGCTTGACTGTTGCACCGTTTGGCAATGCAGCCGCTTTGTGAACAGTATCCGGTCAGACGGGCGAGTATCTTCATGTGAGCAGTTCAAACACCGGGGACCGGGTAGGGTTGAATGGAACCATATATCAACATGGCACCTGACTGAGATGAAAGCCCCTGTCCGGAGATCTCGACACTTCATGGGATCTGTGGGAGTCGCTCTCTGGCGAACGTACGCACCTGTGCAGGTCGAAGATACTATGCCTTATCAGTTAATTTCACCGGAACCCTCTGAACCCGGAGGCACTCTGGTGAACCCCCATGGTCCAGCGGATGACACACCTCGTGAAATTCGTAATGATGATCGCCCCGGAAACTTTGAATCTCGTGGATGAAAAGGGAAAGAGAGGAAGGAACAGATTCCTTGGATGGCCAAGTCACGGGGTAAACGCTATTGGCTTTAAGGTTTGAAATGCTGTCTCTGATTGGCTGGCTCAGCTCACAGGCGGAATGTGTGCCGCAATCCCCCTTTGGTGAAGTCCAAAGGGTTTCTGTGTAACCATTTCCGCCACGCCTTCTCCTCACTTCTCTTGACGGGCTTTGTCGTGTTCTCGAATTGTCTTGTAGTTTGCATGACACTCTGTAACTCGTGATTGGCCCGGTGTCGACCCAGGTTCTTCTCCCCAGAACGCTGCATTCCGTGGTAGACACTATGAGCTGGACGGTAACAAGTAGGTCTAGCGTGTAGAGCCACGGGCGACACAATGGTCTATCGAGGCTGCGGAAGGGGTTTATATATCTTTCTTGCACCCGCAACTATCGCCAATCGTCAGATGATAGTGGAACTGCCCTGTCGTCCTCGTCCCCAAGCACCTTGCCACTATGGACACTGAGAAGTATGGAACATACAGCGCTGGGGAGAAGGTTGTTGTCACGGGGGCACCTACCCATCGACAATCACTCAATGATGAGCAGCTGTTGGCTGCCATAGGGCACAAGCAACAGTTGCGTCGGGAATTTTCAATATGGTCCCTTGGCTGCTTATGTCTCTGCTTGATGGCAACCTGGGAGGCCTTGTCTTCAGTTGTCGCGACTGCATTGATAAGTGGGGGTGCGCCATGTCTATTCTACAACTAGTGAGTTTCCACAGGCATTCATTCCTAGGAGATATCGACTTACTGGTGTCTATAGCATCATTTCCTTCCTTGGTACCGTCGCAATTGCCGTATCTCTGGCCGAGATCGCAAGCATTTGGCCAACGGCTGGTGGCAAGTTGAATCTCAGTAGATGGAACTGTTCTGAGTATATCTAACGTGAAAAGGTCAATACCATTGGGTCGCTGCCCTCGCTCCTGGGAATAGTCGAGCTGTTGCCTCTTGGTTCACCGGCTGGATTTCGATCGGTGGTCAGATTGTTCTCACCGCATCTGCAGCCTTTGCCGGTGGATTGCAGTTTCAAGCCCTCATTACCCTGAATCATCCCGACAGCTACGTGCCTGAAAGATATCAGGGAATGCTTTTCTACTGGCTCATTATTGCATACAGCACAATCGTCAATATATGGGGCATGAAAATACTCCCGCATACCAACCTTGCATCAGGGGTATTGCATCTGGCAGGCTTCTTGGTGATCACCTGTGTTGTTGGAGCACGATCAGAGAAGCACTCGGCTCACTATGTGTTCGTTGAAGTCTCAAATAGCAGTGGCTGGTCGAGCGACGGTGTCGCCTGGTTGGTCGGTCTGCTGAGCTCGGTCTATCCGTTCCTCGGGTATGCTCCTTCTCCCAATCATGACACGACGTAAGTTTAATTTTTGATCTAGGTATGATGCTGCGGCACACTTGTCTGAGGAGCTACCGCGCCCATCAAGAAATGTCCCCTTGGCGATGGTGGGCTCTGTCGTCGCCAATGGGATAATTGGATTTATCTATTGCTTGGTCCTCCTCTTCTCACTCGGAGATCTGACCACACTGCTCGAATCGCCCACCGGATTTCCGTTCATGCAGCTCTTTCTCAACACAACGAATTCTGCCGCAGGTGCCACGATCTTGACCTTGATTATCTGCCTTATCGCTACCGCAGCAAACGCGGCAGGGCTCACTTCTACTAGTCGAACTTTCTGGGCATTCGCAAGGGATGACGCGGCGCCGTTTTCAAAATACTTTTCCCACGTTCACCAAAAGCTCGAAGTGCCGGTACGAATGGTGGTGTTGGTGGCGGTGTTACAGGCTCTGCTCGGATTCATCTACCTTGGAAACACGACCGCATTCAATGCAATTCTTTCGATGGCCATTATAGGAATGTATCTCTCATATCTCCTTCCTATTGTTTATATGCTGCTATTTGGACGCCCCAAACTCTCACCAAGCGAATATGGGCCTTTCAAACTCGGGAAAGTGGGTGGTATGGTGATCAACGTCGTGGCTATCTTGTGGCTCGTCTTTGCCATGGTTTTCTCAACATTCCCAAGTTTCCAGCCCGTGACGGCGCAGAATATGAATTACAGCACGGTCGTTCTTGCAGGCTGGGTTGCAGGTGGTGCCGTATACTATTTCCTGGTTGCAAGGAAGATTTATCGTGGCCCTGTGGTTGAGACCGAGAGTGTGACTGTGGGGGATTCGAAATAAGATGAGACGGGCCATTGGGAGGAATGCATGATATCTGAAAATGCGCCTCTGTCTTGTGTATTTCTACATAGGCAACTTGATCCTGTTCTTAGGGAGCAAGCAACTAATTACCTTCTTAACTGTTCGGCTTACGATTTGCATTTTTCGGTTCTTCATTCTCCCTTCTGGTGGTCCTTGCGTTGAAGCGCACGTGTATGAGGGCTGCCTTGCGAGGTCATTTACCACCTGTGACCCTACAACGTGGCACTCCTTTTTGAATCTGTACGAATTGAATTATGTCAAATTCCCAGCCATGAAATTAGAATGGTACTCACATGGCCACTTGAGCCGGGGTCAAGGAGCATCATCCTCCCAGACATCCTTCTCGTACGGTGGTAAGCCGGTGAGTCTGTACAGTCACCGCATTTCTGATACAGCAACGGGTGAGAGTGAAATGCATTCTTCAACTGAAGCCCATCGCTCTCGGCGAATCTCGCGAAGTGTTTCGGATTGGAGAGGAGCGGTAATTGACAAGAACCATGACGAGGATGTCCGTTGGCCCCCATCTTGAACAATCGTTGCAACAATCGGTGAGAGAGGCCACAGCTGGTTGCAACAAAGGGCAGATCTCGCTGGAAAATTCACGGCAGCAATAGCTGATAGCGAGCGCCCCTACAGCAAAGTCACAGCCAATTATTAGCACGGATTATCTAGGCCCAACCGTTGCGCCCATAAATAGGAGTAGGAGCTGCAAGGTGTGCGCATTTTACTCTCTCAGAGGCCAATCGGGCCGAGCTTCCTCATATTCATATAATTGAATTCAAGGGTGCATGTGGCGAGTTAGTAGGGCGGCGTTTCATTCGACCATTTGCGATGCGACACTGCGTACTTGGGAGACACATACATATCCATACTTGTACATGCATGCGACTTGACGAGAACTGCCGAGGACCTGCCTCGCGCTCGGTACCTGCGTGCTTTCAGCTGCGCAGAGCTTTGACCATAGGTTTATGTCAAGCACGCTGTGCTTGCTGGCCTAGTGCCTGGCCGCCTAGCCTGCGTGGTCTCACTGTGTAAGCCTTACCACTGGCAATAGATTGACTAGGCTTCACCAGTGTACGTGATGGGCACGCCCGCGTTCGGCGAGTCGGTCAAAAATGGGTTGGCCAAGTCGGTGAGGGAATTGGTCAAACGTCTCGAAATGTATTTTTGTGCAAGAGGAGAAGTTCAAGGACTTGAATTTCGTTGGCCTGAAATCTCGTCTATTGTGCGTGGGCTGAAGGCTCCCCTGGACAAACTTATCTTAGAGGGCCCCAGTATGGAGTAACAAGTGCCAGTGCGCATCGACCTGCGCAAAAGGGCCCAGGCACGCAATTGCGGGTTTACTGTATCGATGGATTTGATAGAGCCCGATAAGGGAGTCAATCCGACAGAGGGATGGATGGATCGATGGATCGACCCGTTTCCAGAAGGAATGATGTGATGTGATGGATGTTTCGTTCCGATGCTGGCCTGGCATGGAAATAGCCCACAGGGCAGACAGATGGGTACTGAGCAAACCTCATTTCCCCGTCTTCCATGAAAGAGGCAGGAGAAAGCTCCCGGACCGACCCCTGGCAATCATCCTTGATCGGAGATTTCTTAGTGTGGGCGCTAGCTAGAACCAAGTTCCCACCTCGTGTTGGCTGGTGCCGTGGAAGTGGTCAGACCCAGGTTCAGAGAGACTGATTCGTACTCCGCGAAGGGAGCAGAGACACAGGAACCCAAGGACCGGTACAAGTAGTTTGACAGCTTGTAGTCCAAGCTATTGGCCAGTTGCACTGTAGGCCCCTTGTAGCCACGTTAGGCTGAGGAACAGAAAGAGGACTGCCCTCTGCATGCTGTAGAAGTAACCATGGATGTGGCGATCATCCACCAGGAGGCTCAAAGACTCATGAGGCGCAACAATCTCAAGGAACGAGGTGTCGGATCCCCGGAAAATCGTCCACCAAGCAAATTGAGTTTCTTGAGTCTTGTCTCTCATCTCGTCTGGCCTGGGCGAAACCTGTTTCTCCTCCTCGAGCGCTCTGGTTCATCCAATTTCGGCCCCTGTAACCGCGGCCCTCCAATCTGCAGCTACCCACTGCACACGTCTTCGTTGCTGAGCGCCCCAGCAGCCCTGGGAAGCCCCGTCGGCTGCGTCTGAGGCACTCCGTACCTGGGCGTAGATCGCCTGCAAGCTGCAATGAGTGGTCCTCGTTGCTGGGAGAAAATCTCCGTAGGCCAATGCATCGTGATGCAGCTACCAGGACCTCGTCACATCGGGACCAAAATAGACAATGACCTCAACTGACCGCTCTATCAAAGTCCGGATATTCTTCATGCTCTGGGAATCAATCAACGCGATACACGTAATGTCGTTGCCGTCACAGACCCTCTCTCACTTGCTGGTGTCAGTCGATTTCCCAACGGATTCCGCCACTTCAATCCATGGCTCCCGTTCCATTGTTGAGCATCCTTGTAGGGTTTCTGCTTAGCGGCAGTCCTCCACGGAAACTTAGTTCACACGTTTGCCATTCGCTTTGCCCTCGTGCCCGCTTCGCTTGCTGCTCGTCTGCAAATTGAGGATCATCTTGTCCCAAAACGTAAGTCCAAGGGACCTGGTGGCTTGCCTCGTCACTCTCCCAATCTTGTTGCATGCTCGCCTCATCCCTCATTTGGAGAGCCTCGGGATCCACATCTGCTAAGCTATTCATTCTGATTCAAAAGAATGGCTGCTCGCCGTCACCTGGGGGGTGGGGGAAGGCGAGGGTTGTTCGCAGGGCTTCTCCTCTCCATTGCATCTTTGCATGCATCGTCTTTCCATCTTGTTACTTGCATCCTCGTTTGACACTTCGACGATGTATTGACCGAGCCACGTGAATTGTTCGCTTTCATTTCCGAGCAAACTACACCGACTGACGTGGAAGTGTAACGATCGACCCGCTGTGTCTTAATGTGCTGAAAAGCCCGACCGCTGCGCGCAAAGCGCAGAACGACCTTCTACTAGTACCTTTCGATATAAAATGCGGCCGTCTTATGTTATATTGCTATCCCTCTTGGGTGGTGTAATCCCCTTGGGGGCGTCTAATCCCGATAATGCTCTACAGAAACGGCAAGACACAGCAACTACTGGTAGCGGAACAAGTTTCCCCAGCCTGACAACCGATTCACCAATTGCGTCGACCGAATCCGCCTCTTCGACAAGTGAGGCTGTTACCTCGGAGAGTGCCAGGTCAACTGGAGATACTGATCCCTCGCGAGAGACTGCTACATCATCTGAGCAGCGTTCGACTACGGCCTCCCGCTCTTCATCGACGACATCACCAAGTCCTACTGCGGACGACTTCGTGGCAAGCAATGGGACCGACACTTCAGGTGATGCGAAGCAGGAAGATAACTTGCCATGGGAACCCACAATTACTCCAGCATTAGGAATCGCCGGAGTGTTTCTCATCGTTCTGGGCTCGATTTATGCTCTAATAGGTGTCAAGAGCAGATGGGTTCAGATCTTCTTGTCCACTGGCTTCCTTGCGAGTACTGCAACCGCGGCACTCGTAGAGTATGTCATGCATCCACCGGTCACGAACGCTATCCAAGGAGGATTCTTTGTCGCTATTTTTATGACTGGACTTGTCTTTGGGGCCGGAGCTCTAGTTTTCAAAGAATTCACAGAAGGATTTGGTTGTCTTCTCGGCGGCTTCAGCTTTAGTATGTGGCTGCTGACTCTGAAAGCGGGAGGTCTCATCACCAATCCTGTTGGAAAGGGCGTCTTTATCGGCGTCTTCTGCATACTTGCATGGGCGCTTTCCTTCAGCTCATACACCCGCCCGTATGCCTTGATCGGGTCGACGTCCTTCAGCGGCGCAACTGCCTTTGTCCTTGGCATCGACTGTTTCACCAGGGCAGGAATGAAGGAGTTTTGGTTTTACATCTGGGATCTTAACGATGATCTCTTTCCGTTAGACACTACGTTTCCGCTCACAAAGGGCATGCGAGTGGAGATCGCTGTAATCATCATTGGTACCATCATCGGCGTCCTCTCGCAGATCAAGTTATGGAAGGTCATCAAAACCAAAGAGAAGGTGGTGGAAGCAAATCAGCAAGAAGTTGATCGACAACAGGAGGCCATCGACGCCGCCTTAGGACTACATCTGCAGCGACAGAACGATCGCGAGAAGTCTCAATGGGAAAAACAATACGGTGATAGGCTACAAAGCAAGCGCAACACTGTCCTTTGGCAGGATGCACATCCCGAAAAGAGGTACTCAAGTGTCTCGGTCGTTCCAGTCCAGCCTGTTTCTGCGCCAACAGACAGCTTGGAGATGAATGTCTATACACCTCGGAGAATCTCTGGGTATGGATCCAAGAACAAACGACAAAGCTCAGTCGCCGTCGATGTAATTGAAGAAATCGAGGAAGATCCTGTGGTGGTCGCGGAGACCGAGCGTCGGAAAGCTCTGCAGGCTCTTGAAGAGGTTGACATCTCGGCCGAGGCTGCTCCTTCAAAAGACGACCAAAAAGCAAGAGGTTTTTCCACGGCGAAATCGACGAACTATAAATCGCTTGCTGGCGAGGAGCCGACTGACACAGGGAAGAGTAGTGATCCGAACGCTCAAAAGAGACAGTCTCAACAACTACTACCGCGCCTGTCGAAGCGTCTCAGCCAGCCTAACATAGGTCCATCAGAGTCAAATGAAAATCTCCTCGAGACCGAAAGACCCTACAGTAGGGCATCTTCAGTAGCCGCAACTATGGATGGAGCCAATGAGGAGCTCGACCTACCAGCACTTGAGAACGGGGAAGATGATGTACCGATGCCACCGGAAATCGTGATCTCTCCAGTTGGATCGGACACCGGAGAATCACGAAACATCGGCCTTCACCTACCCACGGAAAGCTCAAAATTTTCTAGCCACTTGCCGGAGGCTGCTGAGTTGGCTTCTGACTCAACGGCCTTGAACGACGGCTTGGGATCGAGCAATGTCTCCTCGACAGAAGGGGTAGACAAGGACGCGCCGCGAAGCCACAAAGACTACTCACAATCACAGACAACTGGAAGCTCGAACTCTAGCGCCGATAGTTTAACTGCTCTGGCTCTTGCTCAAGTGCCAAGCCAACTGTCGAATGTCGTGTTATCCTATCGAACAAATGAATGGGCGAAGCACATCAGTGTTGCTGAAGTCCCGGTTTGTGATGAACCTGAACCCATTGACGGAAATGATGAGGAGTTACCAACCCAACTAGCCAGACCGATCCCTGAAGCGGAGAAAACATTTGAGCCCAATGTCCCTGCTGTCGAGGTACCTCAAGCAGAGATGCTCCCACCGTCTGTGAAAGCTAATAACGGAGGAGTTGGTATTGCCGCGAGTCCAACCTTCTCTCAGAGATCTTTCTCCGACCCAGATCGGCGCAAGAGCACGACTATAAAAACCCCCTCAAGGACCGGATCCATGCAATCGTTGAAGTTGCCCGGACACAGGAATAGCAGAAATAGCTTCGACCCCGGTTCCACTACCTCATTAGTCACAACCCCAATCGATGAGAATGTGCCTACAGTCTTCGCTGCCCACAGAAGACCAGAACGACGAGTATCCAACGGTTCGTACATGCAACCAAACCGAATATCGTCCACATCTTCCTTGACAGGGCCAAGCGCTCCACGCCCACACACATCCCGAACCGCCACGTCTCCCTATCCCAACAACACCAGCACGGCCAGCCTCCCATACTCCATTAGGCCTTCGAGCCAACAAGCACCAATGCAGATGGGAACACGACTTGACTCGTATGACTCGCGACAGCCGTCATGGTCGGGTAACCGAAACAACAACGAACGCAGGGAATCCTTGCTCGCAGAATGGCGGCTCTCTCAGCAACAGCGTGCAACCAATCAGGGTATCAGTGGCACAGCTGTCGACACCGGGCGGGCCCAAATGCAAGCGGAGCGAGAGACCAGGCGTATAGCCGATGAATACCTGAAGCGCGAGCAGCAACGCAAGCAACAGACAATGGATCAAGTCATGAGACGGCCCGATATGCAGGACGCACACCGTGAAGCCATGCGAAGGATGCAGGCCAACGCCAACAATACCCTCCGTAACTCCTCTGCCTAAACACCAACACGGCATTCTCAGACATTCAAACCGAATCCCCGATCTTCTCGAACCTCCTCAACTCTTAGCATTGACATCACCATCACATATCACCGGACCTAACTTCACGTAACGACGAATATGCCCCAATTTTCCCTGGACACTTGTTTGAGGTGCAAAAAATCCACAGCCTCACGCATATATACCTCCGGAGTTTTCCAAGATCTTGCCGATCCCATTCTTACGGGAAACCATCCATACGTGGCCATGGTTTATCTTTTATTTGTAACGAGAACAACTTTCCCATTCAACCCATTCATTCTTTGAGAGGCAGCATCTTGATCGGTCAGCGGCATTGGGAGAGGGAACAAAAAGCGAACCCAAAAATGGTTCGTTCGGTACAGCTACAGCAACTACTATTTCGCGAGGAGTTTTTTGTGTCGTGGACGGAACCCTTTTGGTTCCCCCTTTCTTCTTGGTAGTGTGCTTCGGCCCTTTCGAGGAAATTCTCAAGGAAATGATATCCGTATGGGAGATACTTGGTCCTGACTGACCGACGGCCTGACACGCAACTTTACGAGCCAAGGACCGAGCGCTGCCATCTTACTACAATTTGCTAGTGATAAGAAGAGAAGCTTTGCCCGGGGTTTCGAGAATTTTTCTCTCTTGGATATATACTTGCATGATACCCCAAATCTTCTCGGCCGGAAAAGACAAAGCAGCCATGAGAGAAAGATTCGATATACATTATACTATGCTATACTACATAGTATGCTTTTCTATACAAAGGCATATAATATTAAAGAAAAACCTTAATTCTTCAAAAACATATATGCTCGAGCTACATTGTATTCGGTTTTGGATATCTGCCTCGTCCTCGGTTTCTAGTGATCAGCTACTTCTACCTTATGGAGCATTAGCCACCATATATGCCACAGGATCGGGCCACAATGGCGGGGAGCCGCATGAGGGGGACTTAGTGGGGCACCTTGCATTTGAGATCCCGTCAGGACGGGTCCTTACCTCATACAAAATACTTGCCCAGATTGTACCGTACTGAATATCCAGCGGGTTGATCAAGTTACACAATACGGAGATGTTCCGCAGTCGAACTAGCCTGCTTGATATATTACTTTTTGGTCCTCAGAATCGCCAATAATCGACAGATGGAAGAGTCAATCTGCCCTGGCTGCTAGACCAAGTAGCTGCCCGTCCATCCGTGTCGTAGTAAACTGCCTGGGATTGGGCTTGTAGGGCAGAGGGCGGTGGTCCTACTGTACGATTTACGCCGGCGGCTCATTCACCTGAACATGGATTTTTCATTCTTTGCATAGCATGTTACTTCTGTTTTGTAGCTGGCACCCCGCTCACTTCACCTGCCCGTAATAAGTATCCAAAGTCAACATGGGTGGGAGAACGAGCGCGCCGTGCTCTTCCTCCTCATCGCCTTGGAACGGCGTGCGAAGGGCCGTCAATGCCGGCGCGGGCGTCCGCCTCCGACTTTGTTTCATGTCGTCGATGAAAGGACTTCGCACAGGTATTGAATATCGACCATGCAGGCCATGAGGACTGGGCCGCAGCGACGGCAATCGTGACGTGTTCGCCCTCGCACCACATTGGAAATTACCCAGTGCTTCTTGCCAGCTGTCATACCATCTTCGTGCCAGTGCCTCGTGCCAAAAGAACTGACGCATTATTGATTCCACCTCCTCCCAGCGTGCGGCTTCCTCAAAGTTTTCGAAAAAGGATCGCGCTAGCTCGAAAGTGTTGTGACCGAAATTGGAGTCGAGGCCCCACGAGCCAAAAAGGACAATCCAGATCCAAATCAAGCAGTTACGCTCGTCCGTGTTGCGGTGTCGTGTAAAGGGAAGCGATCTGGTCAACTCCTTCCTCGACCCCCTGTACGCAGTGATTTTCGCCAGTCTGGCTGTGGGGTTATGGATATTGAAACTGAACAGAATCAGGGCAAGGCATAGGTTTTTCTCCAAACTATGTTCAGTGCTCGATGAGGCGTGGAGGCAAGAACAGGCGTCAAAAATGTCGGGAGAGTCATGGCCGTCAGCGCTAGCATCACTTCCAGCAGCTGATCCGGGCCTCGAGACTCTAGATAGGATTTGCAAGACATCTATCCCAAGACTGCCTTGCCGAGCCACGGCAGAAAAGCCAGGTGGGAGCGTGGACACCAAGGAGAGAGTGTTAGGGTTGAATGGAAGCTGCGGATATTCTCGAAGTTGTTTTCGTTTCGACAACGGGAAGATACTCTTGTCGCCTGTTTCCAGCATCCAGAAGAAATCGAAATTCACGAGATACGACTTCATCAAGCCTCGGGAGCCTAAGTTGTCCAACCCGCCCTTCAAGGCGACAAGGAGCGCCACGCCCTTTCGATTGGTCATTGTGTCCTCTTGATAGACGACATCGAGACTCGCGAGAGCTAAGACGGTGACAAGCGCACCATTGTCCGGGGGCCCATCAAGGCTATTGAGCTGATCACGTAGCAAGGCTACGGCTTTTTGCCTGTGGAAGTCCACCTCTGGCGACGGCCGTGATGTTGGGGAGTAGTTCTTTTCCAAGTAAGCTTGTGACAAAGCCACCGCTCCATGGTAAGTACTCTGATTGGAGACGATCAGTGGGAAAATCAACGTCATTAGAGGATTGACCATATTGAGTGTTAGTCGCAGTGGCTCTTGGAGCGGTGAAAGTACATTGACATAGTAATCTAAGGCGCGGGTCACGCAGGGCGTTCGTTCGCCAGGCAGAGAATCAAAAGGATCTGTCCGAAAGCCTGCAGAGATCGTCGTTATGGGCGATAGGATGGGCGGTTGAGCCAGTTTCCTCAAGCCGATCTGCTGAGACTCTGGTGAAGACCTTTTTCTTTTCCGAACAGGCGCTGTAGTGCGGTGATCTACAACATCGGCCGGTAACGTTTCAAACGCAAGACGTTGAGGCAATGCATAGCGAGGCTCAGCCTGCTGTCGGACGGCAGTTCTGTACTTGCTCGAGATGTGGGATTTGACAGCTCGTCTATGCGAAGCACTATGACTAGGGGTGTTGTAATTCAGAAAAGTGAAGGCCTGGGCGTTGCGGTCTGTAGTGTCAGCCATTGGATATCAGTAGTGCCGGATACCATGCTGATATGGCGTCCGTCATGTACCGTGTGATTGGCGTTGCAGTGCTGGTTGTAATGATTTGTGGATGAATCTGTGCAAGGACCATGGACGGGAGTATGGATACCAGGTTCTGATGGACGTTGATGCCCCTAGGACGGCTGGTCGACCCTGGGCAAAAATAGAATAGAGGGCGAGTCTTGGCTGACCAACCCAGACGGGTTTGCAGCGATCGTCAATCGCCTGCAGAGATTCCTAATGAGCTTTGGGGGTTGTGTTGAGTCTTGACTAGAAACAGGCATCGCTCGAGGCACAGCATAGCAGGAAACGAAGCGGGCAGGCTGGAACTGGCAACGCAGCGGCACAAGCGGTGACACCCACAGGTGACAGTGACAGTGGCTCCCTGGCCTGCTAATTGACTTTAGGTTAGGGGGTGGGTAGTACCGACGGCTGGTACCTAGGGCTAGGTACCAGCCCTTGGTGCACACCGGCCTTGTAGGTGCCTACTGTAAGTTACTCGTACTCCGCAGTTAGCTCAAGCTGACTAAGGGCTGATGCCAAGCCTTCCGTCCGGATTCACTTAGCGGAGCTTAGGGCTAAAATTACTGAGTCATTACTTACGAGTACATATGTACCGTATGAGCACACGATGGGCTCTTTTCCACATCAAACTGGTGCAACATTGGATGCCGCTCCACGCCAACCACACAGGGTCGAACCTACTGGCCAAACTGGGCTGATCTTGTAATTTACTCAATCTGGCAGCTTCTACATCCGGCAAATATGGGTTTCACCAGACCCCTACGGAGTACTCGCGCACGTCATTCGGTGTCATTGTAATCCCTGCTTGGCCACGAATCTTCTGTTCCGTGCGCAGGTACGCTTACCTAGGCACCCCTAGGCACCCCTAGGCGCCCCTAGGGCACTCAGTATTGGCCTTGCCGCACAGGCGCTCTAGATTGATATGCACTTCCTCTTCCATATTATGCCTGAAAGGCAAAAGAACATTCCAAACAACAAATCCCGCAACTACAACTTAAGCGTTGGCTGTGAACCACACCTGATTCAATGTGCAGGACAGTATCACTATCCCACTCTATACACTACTATGTTGCCAGGGTGTCTTTTTTGCCGTCTCAGGGAAAATGGGTTCCAATCATCAAAATGACCCCTGCCTTGTACTGATGCTATCTAACTATCGTCCTATGTGTACTCGGTAAGGCCGACACATTATTCCTCTTTATAAGCCACCTGGTTGGCTCTCAATGCAGGGTACTCGGTGGAAGAGGTGGCACTCCACAATTCAACTAGCAAGCGGTCCAAAAAATGGGGACCGCTATTCTGAATTCAGCACTGTGTACCGCCTATATGATTGGAACGTCGCATAAAAAAGACGCTTCACGTGTCGTTAGCCCTGGTGCTACTGCAAGGCGAGCTTGTTGCAAATGTCCCAACATACCAGTGGGGTTTGTTTCGGAATGGCAATAACAGGTCTGAGACTTATAACTGTTGACTATCTAAGGATGCCGCCCCAGGTATTGTTCAGATCTCGATCCTCGATCCTCACCGAATAGTTCGATTGCATCAGCAGCGTCCCAAAAAGAAAAGGCCGTTGATCGTGTCAAAATCTCCCGTATATGCCATCATTGACACAAGCTGTGGACCTGAGCACCTAAGCATGGACTACTTCTTCAACAATCCTGGGGCCTTTCTTCCTCATGGCAGCCACCGCCGCGACGACAATCTTCCAGAACTGGTCTCCTCCTCATCCAGCTCCTCGCAGGTATCTATCCATGCCTATTCAATACTTCACAAATGACAAGTGAATAACCTTTCTTCCTTCAGAGCGCCGACCAGTTATTCGACTATGCCAACGCAAACACAGATGTGTACCAAGCGACCGACCAAAATTGGGCTCCACTCGACCTCGACAACCTGTTAGACTTCGCTGGAGACGAGCTGCAAGTCCTCGAACCCGGCAGCACATCCGCATCCCCCGATGGAGAGAAAGAGGAACAACAGACCACGAAACTAGTACGTGCGATTTCCTTTTATCTCCTCACCTATTTCCCACTCAGCTCTTTTTGCTAGTTGCTAGGTGCTACTGCCCAAACCTTTGTACACGTCTGTCTCTAATACATGGCCGTTTGCAGCGCCGAAGAGCACAAAATCGAGCATCGCAACGCGCCTTTCGAGAACGCAAAGACCGCCACCTCAAAGGGCTCGAATACCAACTAGAACACCTCAGCTCAAAACATCAAGACCTGATGCAATCGTACATGAAGCAATCCGAAGGCGTCGTCAAACTCAACTCGCGCCTAACCGAGCTTCGCACGCAGGTGAAGGCGCTCAAGACACACCAGCGCTTGATGTCGTCCGCTCATGCAGCAACAGGAACAGCGCCGGGGAGATCTGACAACGACAAGCGTTATAAATCCAGCTGTGACGCGGATAGCTTCGATGCCTTTTCCTTCATCTCACGAGAGGCCTTTGGCTTGGATGAAGAGCGCGAATCTTCCTCTTCTTTACTCTGGCACGACATGATGCGCTCGAGCACCGGTGGTGACGCAGCGGACCGCTTCCCGGGCAACGATCTACCAGCATTTGAAGATCTATTGCAGCTCAGTTGAGCGCTCTTTCTGGCTTGGACTTTCGTGTCTATTATGACCCTATTTAACGAGTGTCTTCTTGCGAGCGTTTCGTTTGGTGTTCAGGAGCTGACTAGCTAGGCATTTGGAGGAGAATTTGCAGGCAATAGCAATAGGTCCGCAAGCCTTCAAGGAGTGCTCAAGGTAACTAAGGATCGCGCGCCAGATGTGAGCTCTTCTCAGAACTATTAGTTATATGCCTGTCGGAACTCGGTCCCTGGTGGAGAGGAGAAGAGCAACAGAACGAAAGGAAAACTTCGTTCCTGCTCCCTTTGATGTTTGTGATTCGTATGACTTGTCTTCTTTTATCGTCCAGCAGATTTGGGGAGTGGAATTGTAAGAAAGGAAAGCGTGTGGGGAGCGGGTCCTCTTTCTCTGGGTATTTGTGGTTCATGTGATCAGCTTCTTCTTACATCATTGCACGAGACGACCGTCGACTACGGCAGCAGCAACGACGTCGACAATAACACTGGAATGCTGCATCCAGAAGAACGTCAGAAGTAATTTTCTGCATTCTCACACTCTCTTGTCTTGTTCTAGTCTCGTCTAGTCTAGTCCAGGTAAGCGTGCTCGTGGTCAATCTACTGTTATGCATATCAAACCTCCCTTCCATATTTGGCTTTCGCCTTGCTTAACAACTGTGGCCCGCCTCGATCCAGGACGAGTTGCGACAAATGAGCAGGCGTCACAAAGGCTCCTGTTTCATAGCTTGGCGAGTACAGCTGCAGCAGAAGACACCTGGATTGACAAATTGGCATTAGTACTTTTTTCTTCTAATTCGAGTCTCCTGATCGTAAAAAGAAAGTCGTTCCCATCTGGGGCTGACTAAACAGTGCGACCATCTGCATCATCCCTAATTGAAAGGATTGGGGACAATTCGAGGGTTTGTCACAAGGTTTCTTGTCTTGACCAGGTGTCAATGCACTTTTGGTCCAACAAGGGACTCCAGGCTCGAATTTCTCTTGGGGGAAAAGGAAGTCTGGAGAATGTGGAAAGAGAAGTTCAAAAAAGAGCCGCACTCACCGTAACGTCTCTGCCTGGCTCTTTTTCAGCGTACGTGACCTTTCCGTGGTCGATGACTATAGCATAGCGAGCGGTACGCTCACCAAGATTCCAGCCTATTGATTTGGAGAATTTTGTCTCGGGGTCGCTGAGGAAGAGCTGAGAGCAGACATTCTTCGTCAGCCAGTTTCTCGAGCAACTTTAAAGAGGTAGAATGGCATGGGCGGGTATCTTCCCGAGCGCCCGCCGCCGATGCATGGGAGGAAGCATCCATGGTAAGGTGAATTATACTAACAATATCATCATTTTTGATCCCATTGGCTTTACTCCACGCGCTCATGACGAAAGCGTCATTGAACGCCAGGACGGCCACGATGTCGACCTTCTTGCCCTTGATCTCCTCAAGCTTCTCGATGTAACCTGGCAGATGGCGGACGGAGCATCCAGGGGTGAATGCTCCCGGCACAGCGAAGAGCACCACCTTCTTGTCTGCCCATTCCTTGGTCGCGTTGTAGTTGATCGGAATGCCGCAGGCCGTAATCTCAGAGGATTCAGGCGTGTAGGGTACATAGCTAGAGGATTCGTTGTTAGCCTCGATGTAATAGGAGGGTTGGGATGCATGGCAAGGGATAAATGAATCAATACAGCCTCTTATCTGTACTTTTCATGTTGCAGGAGGTTGATATCAGCGCGAATTCGTTGAATACGTACGAGAAGACGACATCGCTAGGGAAAGCATCCCCTACTTTGAGACCTGCCATGCTTGCGGGTTGTCGAGGAAGTAAGAAGCTTGTAGACTAATGAAAACACCGTGGATGGAGGAATGTTCAACAGATTCTTGGTGCCAACGAAACAACGTCGCCTATCAGTGAGCCGCCAGGGGAAAACACTTGCTCTGGTGCCGCGGCATTCCCTGCGACAGCGAGTTGGCCCACTATGTAATCACGCAACCCTGCGCCTCTTGATGAAATGGAGGGGCACACTGGCCGAAAAAAACCCCGCTGCGGGGCCCGTTGGCAAGCTCATTGGAGATCTAATCTAATCTTCACACCCGGAAAGAACGTTGGTTCAAATCCCCTCGAGTTGCCGCTTTTAGCCTCTGACGATTGTCTTGCCGCTTCTTGAGCCGAGCTTACCCAAAATAGTAGTCATAGATCTATCTTACATTCGCTTGCTTGAACCTGACGCCGTACCTTAACATTCAGGCTCAAGATTGGCTGACTGGAGGTTCTGATTCCGCTTCAAAGCCTTCTGGACGCAGGTCAATGGTCTGCCGATTGGCCATTGAACGACAACCCAATGTTTTTCACCATAAGATTCGTCATGATGCATGCCGAAGTGACGTTGGTCCACCAATCGTGGATTCAGTGGCGTTGAGTTATTAGCTGGCCTTGTGTGCAGGGATGCGGAGGTTCGGATGGTTTTTCGAATGGGGTTAGAAAGAGCCGCTGGAATGTGGGCGAGTCGTGGTAAACTAACAGCAGTTTGCGTAGTCAGGGATAGCGTTGAGCGTGTCCACACCGTTGAGGTGAAAGTGCATATAAAGACTCTGGCTCTACCAAAGGGCCTCTCGTGGAAGTTCTCGAGAGATTCCAGTCCTTAAAACCACTCAACGGGTCCTCAATTGTATCTTGTCCAACATAAAATCATACATACCAGACATACCATGGCCTCCATAAAACCACCTTTCACCTGGGAAACTGCCCAAGAAAAGGTCAAGGCTGCTCAAAGCTTGTGGAACACGCAAGACCCGACCAGAGTCTCCAAAGGCTATACAGCTGACTGTGTATGGCGCAATCGGTCGTCGTTCATCGAGGGCACAGCTGAGATCATCGACCTCTTGACTAAGAAATGGGCAAAGGAAGCCAATTACCGACTGCGCAAAGAGCTGTTCGCGGTCACTGAGAACAAGATCGCCGTCCAGTTTTGGTACGAGTATCAAGATCGCCATGACGGGATGAAGTGGAAACGATGTTATGGGCTTGAGGACTGGACGTTTGACTACGAGACAGGAAAAATGAAGAAGAGACAGATGAGTGGCAATGATATTGTCCTGGGAAAGAACGGGGATGGGGTGGCCGTACCAGAAGAAGGTATCGAAGGAAGATGGTATATTGACGGAGTAGATGTGGACGATGAAAGTGTCACTAAGAAGCTCACGGCGATACACTTCTGAGGCAGTCAGATATGGAGGATTGGTTGAGAACGGGAGACATTTGAAGGAAAGGACGCAGTTTTGTACTTGATCAACTCCTTGCAATATCCATTCACCTAAAACTCCGGCTATTCCCCTAGAATGTGAACAGTAGTAATGATTGTGGATCGCCGTTGCATCATTAGATACAATCAGCAGGTGCCGCTACCTGTGGTTTAGCCAGAGCTGTGATTGTAGAGGTATTGAGATCCGGGAGTGTAGCAATTAATCATAACTCAGGATTATATTCAATCCATTCAGAGGACTCATCCTCCACTTCGAGAGGGTCTTCGACGAATGGCGCAAGCCTGTTCTTGAATTCCTCCAATGTCATGTTGTCATCTGCAACACTCGAGGCACCTGGAGTCCTGGGTGGGATGAGCACATTCGAGAGGACATGAATGACGCCATCTTTGGCAATACCATCTGGAACACTGACTCTTGTGAACCCGTTGATCTTAATGGTGACGAACCTGCCGTAACGAGCGATGTCGATGCTCAAGCTCTTGTCTTCAAGGCCGGTGGGCAGGTCGACGTGGATAACGCTTTTCGGGATCTTGTGATGAGGCGGGGCATTTGCAGAGTCTTCTTTGTAGATAGCATCAGAATACAGGGTGACGTCATCTGCCACATGGTACAGAACCAAGGCTTTGAGATACTTCAATCCAAATCTGCTAAAAAGGAAAGCATTGATTTTAGGACCAAGTTTCTTGAAAGCGAAATTAGATGGGGCAAACAAGGTTCCGCCGTGATGGCTCGAGCTATCGTTAAAGGCCGGGAACAAACCAGTCTTTTGGAGTGCGAGGTCAAGAGTACTAAATTCGCCCGGGAGGGCGGAGAGGATGTCCACAGCCTTTGGGGGAGGAAGCAGAATGCTGTCGAGACCATGAATGACACCGTTGGTTCCAAAGATGTCGATGGCCACTACTCGGGCATAGAAATTCAAGCTCAGACCGCGGAAGCCGATCTGAGTCGAAATACGTTGAGGAACTTTGCCAATGGCCTCAGCTTCCAGGGCAGTTGGAATCGTGCGTGAAACAAAGATGCGGCCAGCGGGGTAGAATTCAGGGGATACATGATAGGTGAGCAACTTCTTCAAGAATTCTTTTGGTGGTTTGGGGGCATGCTTGGGGATCTTTTCGAAAGCTTTGTCGGTAGGCGCAAACACAGTGTAATTGGCTTTGGTACCATTGAGGAGCTTCACCAGATCGGGGAATTCGTCGATGGCAGCAGCCAGCTTGGTGGTATATTTGCTCTTAGAGATCAGTGCGTAGACGGTCTCATTTGGAGGACCATGGGGTGGGTGGTGAGGCTTTCGACCTTTCCCGGGACGTCCACGGCCTGGAGGACCACGACCTGGGGGGCCATGGCCAGGAGGGCCGTGATGAGGTGGGCCATGGTGAGGAGGACCATCCTCAGTCAAGTCAAGGTCATACTCGGCCGTGTCGAGCCAGGCGTCGCCAGCAAAGGCGCTCTGGAAGTCCTCGCTGTACTTGACAGTGGTTGCTTCGACCGAGTCCACGACCTCGGCAAACTTGTGTTTTGCACAGTGAACTGTCTGTGTGAACTCCTGCTCTAGATCCTGCCAAAAAGACTCTGCTTTATGGTCCCTGTCCCAGAAAGGGTGCTCGACAGAGTCGTCAACTTCCTGAGTTTCAATGGCCAGAGACTCGAGGGTTTGTTGGTCTGGGATGACGAAGGCCGAAGCAACCGCGGCCACGGAGAAGATAGAAATGGCTCTCATGATGGGAGAGTGTGAGGACAGAGGAGATGCTCGGTTCACAAATGCAACTGAAGCAGAAGATAGAGTGGTAGCTGATGAAGAGGGAACCAACTACGAGGATAGTAGTGGGGGAGATAGATATCAGGCAGACGTCAAAGGGAGCATGAGCTTGCGCAGCCCGTGGATAGAAGACGTAACTCCGTTCATGGAGGCACTGCAACAGGTTTGTCGATAAGAACACTGACATGCTTGGCCCAGCAGCCGGACCTATGATAGGCCGGCGGTGCCAAAGAATGGGGCTGGCGCGACGTAAGACGAGCTGAGGCTTCAAATGCAGTTGCGAGCTTCGGCGGCGTCACTGGGATGGGCGTGTGGGCGGGTGGACGTGTGGCCAACATGGCCCGAGGGGCCCCAAAGAGAGCTTCCCCCAATCAAGCTTCGAATTGCACAGGTGACACGCACCCGTGGCTGGAGCTTGTTCGCCCTGGTTCCACTAACCATGGAGGCCGCAGTACGGAGTACTTACACGTTAGTAGGAAGTTAGTACGGAGGACTCGTGGTAACCCGCAACCACTGGCAGGCCCCAAGCGCCGGCCGCCGAGACATTAGCGCCTCCCTCATACGGGTAATAACAACAGATCCTTGAGCCGTGGGCAGTGGGCACATTGTCCGAGATCAACTCCGTCAATAGCCCGTTCAATCTAACAATGATTGAACATCTTCCACCGGACGGTGACCACACTGAAAGGAAGATTCCCCTGAGATGAACATGATGACCAAGGATTCCTGACCCTGCTTCGTGAGATGGTTCCTGAAGCCAGCCCTCTGTGTCTTTGTCCTGCAGCTGTTGCTTCCAGTTGTTGCTATACACATCATGCTGTCCGCTCAAGAGGAAGGCTGTAGGTCGCGCTTGCTGGGTGTCCATAATGGACTCAAGCAGCATCAGCAGGACCTGCCCTGTGTGCCTCAGGTAGGGAAGGTAGATTTGGAAGGCGCTTCGTTGCACCTGCGCTGGGACTCTGGGACGCACGGGAGCAAGACCGCTTGCTCAAGCTGTCGTCCCATCCCATCCCATTCCATCATTTTGTCCGTTGCTCAGCGCAATCAACTTGATTACCATCAAGCGAAGTCGCTCTTCAAGTCGTTCTTTTTGGATCCCCTCTCTTCATTTTGGTTTTTGGGTCTTTTTGGACTTACATAGAACATCTGTTGGCTTCTTACATGCCCAAAGCGCCAGCATTCCTCATTTGTGCCAATCACATCCTTTCCGACTTTTCAGGAATCTCACAAGACGCACAACAAACAAACAGGTCAGAAGTCGGTGAAAGTGAAAGGTCTGGCTGTCCCATTCAGACAGGTAAGGCGAGTTCGATGAGAAGGGAACCCTCCATCATCATCGACCTCCGTTGCCACCTGTGAGGACCTCCTACAGCCTGGGCGGTCATCCTGGAGCACACCTGATATTGCTTACCGCGTCTCGCGTTATCCACGCGCCAACCACTTCACAACTTGAGCTTGACAAAATCAAAACATCATCACTTTCAATCATCCTCTACCCAGCAAACAGGCCCTCTGCAACAGGATTCTTCGTCCGCTTCTCGTGAGTTGTCCATCCAGATCTCAAACACTTAGGATAACCATTCTACGCAGGTCTTGTTGGATGGCTGGTCTCAAGTGAGACGTCATTGAATCCGTGGCCGAGATGTCGTCTTCCCAAAAAGGCGGGTCGCGCGGTCTAAATCCTCCCCCTCACCACCCAAGACCAGACAAGACGATAGTCGCGAAGAGAACTGCCCTTGCTGAGATACAACCAAGATCATCACCCTCACGCGCCCAGCCTACTGATCATCTGAGCGAAGTGGCCTCAAGTTCTCGTCGTCTTCCGCATCATGAGTCTCTCAAGCCTGAGTGTAATCTAACAGTCCAAGCCAAAATGTCGAACAAGGTCCCTGTCGTTGAAAACAAGCGCCTGTCCATCGTCGTAGATGATGCCGGACCACCCACTGATCGGGACTCGCATGTCTCGACTTCTTCAACCACCTCGGCAAACGGAAAACCCAAGAGAAAAACTCACGTTGGCCCTTGGCAGTTGGGCAAAACCCTGGGAAAAGGGGCAACTGGAAGAGTACGCCTTGCAAAGCATGCTTTGACTCATCAGACTGCAGCCGTCAAGATCGTCTCCAAGAAGTCTGCTGCACTGGTTCAAAGTGCTAGTATGGCTCGAATGGACCGTGAGAACAATTCTGCTGCCGTTGCTGCCGGCCTACGAACTATGCCTTTCGGAATCGAGCGTGAGGTCGTGATCATGAAGCTGATCGAGCACCCCAATATCATCAATCTCTACGATATATGGGAGAATCGTGGTGAACTCTATTTGGTTCTCGAGTATGTCCAAGGCGGTGAGCTTTTTGACTATGTCTCGAGTAACGGCGCCCTTCCAGAAGGGGAAGCCGTTCGACTATATCGCCAGATGATTGCTGGTTTGTCGTATTGCCATCGCTTCAATATTTGCCACCGCGATTTGAAACCTGAAAACTTACTCCTGGACAGCCATCGAAACATCAAGCTGGCCGACTTTGGAATGGCCGCTCTTCAACCAGATGGAAAGTGGCTTAACACATCGTGCGGAAGCCCACACTATGCTGCCCCAGAAGTCGTTAATGGACAACAATATCGTGGCGACAAGGCCGATATCTGGAGTACAGGCATTATCTTGTTTGCCATGCTCAATGGCTTTCTTCCTTTTGATGGTGGAAGCCTGGGCAAAACCCTCCAGATGGTGAAGAAGGGCGATTACTACCTCCCCCCCACGCTGAGTGTAGAAGCCTCCGACCTCATCCAACGCATTCTTCAGAAGCGCCCGGAGAAGAGGATATCAATGGACGATATATGGACACACCCATTGATCCGCAAATACGAGAAATATCATGCAAGCTTATCCGCCCCGGAACCACTCATTGTCGCAGCACCACCGGTAGAGATACAAGCGCAGTCAAAGCGTGTTTGTGCACGGTCTGAAATTGATGCCGAAGTCCTGCGCAATCTCTCAACTTTATGGCATGGTGAGAAGGAAGACGAATTAGTCCGTCGACTCATGAGTGACGAGCCAAATCATGAGAAGCTCTTCTATTGGGCCTTGATCAAGTTTCGCGAGGATCAACTCGAGAACTACCCGGGTGAGCCACTACATTACTCTACTAGTGACTATCACCATGTCAGCAGGCCAGCTCCAAAACCGAGCAAGAAACCCGGCACTAGCCGAGGTCATGCTCGACGCACTTCTCAGTTCTCCATCGTTAGTGATGAGAATCATAAGAGGGAAGTCTATTACAAACATCCAGCTACTGCCGCAAGCAAGGTCACACAGGGCAGCTATGATCCTTTTCGCGCTTCAAGGACGCCACTTGCAGATTATAGCTACAATTCTGGCACTGTCGTGCGCCGTCGGCCTACCACCACCGCTGGCCGGTCGATGAGCTCGACTGGAAGTTTGAGGCACCCTGCCGCTGGCCGGTTCCCAGAAGATATTCCAGCGATTCCCAGCTTCACGTCCGAGGAACTGGAGAAGCTCGTGCAGAAGAAGCATGCGTCGTACTCGACGGCTACTTCTAGAAGCTCGCTGTCGAGCATGAGACGTCGTCCAGGCATTAGAAAGTCCATAAGTTATAAGCGTCAAGTCAGTTTCCAACACAATCGACGCCAAGGCTCAAATGGAAATGTGAATCGTCGACTGTTTTATGAAAGTGGCTCAACGGATCGCCCTCCAACCCGGAGCACCATCGACCCGATCTCCGAGACTCAGAGTACACCTAGCCTTCCCACACCACCCCAAGTATGTCGACCACGAAAGTCCAGTTCGGAATTCGATGTCAAGAACGCTCGCGTCGCAAGCTATTACTGGAAGGATGACACTCGCAAGGTCAGTGCGGAGCTGGGTAAAATATGTGAAGAGGCTTTCAATCGTTCTTCAATTTCAACCGCTAGCGAGGCAAGCCCGGTCCAACCTCTGCAGTCATCGATTACATCAGTCTCAGCCCATAACCACAAAGCCCCTCCTAGCATCCGAGATAGACCGCTCCCTGCCACTCCAGTTCTGCAGGAGTTGTTGGAGCGACGACAGAAGATCATAGACACCTGGGGCGACGCTGACCAGACCGTACTTGCTGACATGCTCGCTGCTCTCGATAAGCGAATTGATACTGAGCTCGACAAGCAGAGAGGCTATGAGAAGCGAGCTGCATCCGACCCAACCTCTGCAAATGTCACGACTCGCCAGTATCGTCCAGTATCGCCCGCCGGCACCATGGATGATCTGAAGTACGGCCGAAACGGCAATACTCGTGCCGTATCTGACCCCGTGCAGTCCCATACACCTCAGGCTGGGAAGGGCAATACCATCCGACTGGTAACACCTGATTCTGCTTCACCACTTACTCGCGTGGAGGCTTTGAGAATTAGAAAGAATAAAGCTGCCCCCATCAACTCTTTGAGGGGAGGTCCGATCGAGTCTTCACCATTGATGTATGAGCGTAGTGGCTATGATCAACGTTTATACTCGAGAGGTGGATTGGACACGATTGATGAAAATCCTGGTTCTCCAAAGAGAAGAGCACATGGCACAACTTCTACGGCTGCCCGGAAATGGTCTTGGCTCGGAAAGCGTACTTCCTTCGCGCGAGACTTACCGGACCCCTTTCAGTCATTAGACAATGTTGACGAGAGTTCAGAGCAACAAGGATCTCAGATGGTGCATCCAAGCGACTCTACCAATTCCTCAGGCCTTTCGAGACAGCATGCCAGTGATTCGGACATGGCGGAGATGGAACTCACCATGGAGCGAAAGCGAAGCTGGTTCCAGAAGATGTTCAGGAAAACTGCAAGGGGCAAGGAGAATCTCGGGACTGTTCCAGGCCAACATCGCATTGTGCAAGATTTCACAGAGGATTCGGAGTCTCATGAGATAGGGAACGATGGAATTGCTGAGAACCACCAGCTGGGCAAGATAGGGGTCCGCACTGGCTATCCACCCTCCACAAGTGTTGATGCTGCTGTTGCGGCCGCTGCTTTACGCCCGATCGAGGTCAACCAGAATTGGTTTGCAAAGTTTTTCCATATCAAACCAGCAACTCGAGTCCTCTGTCTTGTGGTAACCAAAGCCAAGGCTAGGAAAGAGCTCTTCAAGGTTCTGAGAGGGTGGCATCAATATGGAGTAAGGGATGTCGTTGCCGGACGACGACCTGGAGGTGATGTCATTCGAGGTCGTGTTGACACAGAAAATTGTGAGTACTATCCTCGAACATGCCTATGTTTTCATACTGACAGGATCCATAGATCTTTCTCTCAAACCTGTCTATTTTCATGCATATGTGTATTCAGTCCTTGAACATGGCCGGAAAGCCAATTTGAGCGTTATTAAATTCACTCAGGAGAGAGGCGCGGCGAGCACCTTTACCAAGATCGTCGAGACTCTTGAAACGAATTTCCGCAAGCGCGATCTCTTGATGATCGACCCAGTCCGAAAGAGGGGAATTGAGAAGTCTTTGAAGGAGGCTGGTTTGTGAGTGAGGAAAGCTTATGATACTTGGCAATACGTCGTTCTTGGAGGTCTCAGGGGGGATGAAGTTGACCCCTTGTGTGTGTACATTCGTTGCTAGGCACAATTGGAGAGAGCTTCTTGGGATAGGATAATATGGTTGTCCAGCGGACAGGGCAAATGTGGTTTGTCAGACATGTTTACAGAGCACAGAGCGAGACGAGCTTGATGGTTGCGTCTTGAGCATATCTCATTCGAGGAATACCGAGACCCATAGTCAATAAATGGTGGATCTGAACCTGTGAGGCAGCTTCCCGAATAGAGAGCTCTCGAGACTCCCACGTCGCCTACTGAGATGAGAGCCCCTCGGCAATATATTCCGCACAACACATTGTAGCAGCCCATGGCCACGGCCCTGCCAAAGAATCCGTATCAACGCATCCACGAAAGGACCCAACCGGACATGGCCACACTCGGGATAGATCTCCGTTCTCCGCCAGTTTCCCGCAGACACTCTTCAGACTAGCTCAGATCTTCAAGCCAACCACCTCGGAATGCTACCTATTTATACCTACTTAAAAGTGAGGCCGGTGCTTTGAATTACGAAAGTCCTATCAGTACATCCCCCTCCAGCGCTTCTTGCCCCGAAACTCTGGGCAGCTGTGCCTTCCTAGTGACTTTGGAAGGCTGCGTTTGTAAACTTAGTCTAAAACACTAGGAAGGCACTCACCCAGCCTTGGCGTTGGCTTTTATACTCTCTCTCTGCTTCACGAGATACCAGGCCCAATACAGAAGAGAGATCCTAGCAAGATGGCAGCCACAGAGAAAGACCATGCTGTGATCGCTATAGCGAAGCAACTCAACCACATCCCAGAGGGCGAGGAGTACGAGAAGATGATCTCGGGAATGCTGTATGTTGTTCCCCTATGTGGACAAGTCTCTTTCCCCCCCACCCCTCCCTTGGTTGAGCCTGACTACATGAGAGAGCTGACACAGCCACTGGCGGTCTGTGGGAACGCAGATACGACTCGCTTGTCCCCGAACTAGAAGCAGCACGTTGGAAGGCACGCAAATGGTGTCACAGATACAACACCGAATTTCCTGGCCTAGACGACCCAAACTTCACCATGGCCGACGCCGCCAAGGCACGCTACAAGAAGCTCACACAGATCTTTGGCAAGGTCGGCGAGGACGCTTTCATCGAGCCGCCGCTGGTTCTTGATTACGGCTGTAACATCTCCATTGGCGAGAGGTTCTATGCTGGCATGAAGTGAGCGCCCTCCCCCCCCCTTTTTGTATCGATGGAGTATGCATATGCTGCCTTTGAGCCCCATCCAGCCGCCATCCAATGTGTTTGATGAGTTGCACTCGTAGATGGAAGACCCCAACTCTCGTCCCTGAACATTGCACGCCGCCCACCCACTGACACCGTGCCTTTCGCACAAAACAAACAGCACCGTAATCCTCGACTGCTCCCTCGTGCTGGTCGGGCACCGCGTAATGTTCGGGCCAAACGTGTCCATCTTCGCGGCAACACACGAGACGGAAGTCTCCTCACGGCGCGAGAACATCGAGTTCGCACGCAAAGTCGCCATCGGCGACGACTGCTGGATCGGCGGCGGCACCGTCATCCTCCCTGGCGTCACCATCGGCAAGGGCTGCACCATCGGCGCCGCCAGCGTCGTCTCCAAAGACATTCCCCCCTGGTCCGTCGCCATGGGCAGTCCCGCACGCGTTGTCAAGACGGTCCAAGAGTTGCCCGATATGCCTCCTGGACGGGAGAACTTCAGTGCGATTGAGCGGCAAGGGTGAGGGACCTATCGGTTGTCAAGGCGTGGTGGATTTACACACAGTGGGCTATCGGCCTTATAGAATGGATGGCTAGGGGACCTCCGTAAGAGGATCGAGTAGCTGGGCAAAAGTACCTTCGTCAGAGACCTCGCGGGCACAAATACATAGATAGTCAGCTCGGGACGAACGCAGAGGAGAGCAGTGCACGAAAATGACAGATGTCTATCCACCCATGTGGTTTTGATGAATGGACACAATCATCCAGACGGAAAGATGGATGGATTGCATAGGAGCGCCATCTTCATCCCCATCCTCAAAACACAGGCGTTGTACGTCGGGAACGTCGGGAACCTTGATAATCTCATGCCACCTCAGCTCACCATGTAGTAAGAGACATACACTAGTGAGTTCTAAAACCTTGTACGGGGGGATAGTATACAACACGGGCAATAGCCGACCACCTAAGGTTCACCGTCACTCATATCGTCGACTAAGGTAGTTAGCACCTGTGCTTTTCCTGGTGCTGTAAAGTCCTGATCTGCTGAAAACACCCATCGGCGGAGCCATTTTGTTTAGTCCGTTCCATATCCCCCACCAGACTCCCCATTGCGGACCGTTTTCTGTTATAGCAGGCCGTTTCAAAATCAATCAATTCGTTCTCGTCACTGTAAATGCGTAAGCGTTAGAGAAGGTCGGACGAGGTCCTCGGAACGGAAGTGTAGTTTGCCACAGGTTTGTGGTGCCACTCGTGCGACTTGTAGGGTCGCATATTCCTTCTCCTTTCCAAGCATTGGGCAACCAGTTGCTGGAAGGAAACTGTTCCAGTGGCCATCACAATTTTTCAGTTCGGAAGATATACCCCTCGTTATCATATCGCAAGATGCATCTTTTCTTTTCTACATCCCGAAAAGTCGCTGCTGCGATGCCAAATCCAACGCAGCTCAGTCCAGCGGTGAAACAAAGATCATGTTTGCCGCCAGAGTTGAATAGTTTGGAACAAACCCAAAAAGACTCCTTTCATTCATGACTTTAGGATTTCAAAATAGTAATAACAATATCGTTTGTCTGGAAGTCCAGTTTGTACCCTCAGTGTGATAACGTTGACACAATCGTATTGCTTTCAATGTGAACAGTTGGCTCGGTACCGAGATTGCAGATCCTCATGACTTGTTCTTCAATGAAAAGTTTCCTTAGAGATCCTCAATGACAATGCGTTTCAGTTGATGTTCATCTTCTGGCAAAAAAGTTCATGCTGCCCGCCTGTTGCATGTTTAGCAGACTGTCAGCACGCTGAAACACATCTCCCTTGAAAAATTGGTCACCATATGCACTTGCTGGCGTACTTGGTACAGGTGTGGTTATGGGGACAGTGGCCTGTGCGGCAGGACCCAAAGCAGCAGAAAGTGGTGTGGCAGGAAGAGGAACCGACACAGGACTGGTACCGTAAGAAGAGTGGTTGAACGGAACAATGTATCCATTGAACATCTGTTTCGTGGCTGTGTTGGGTGTCAAGGATGAATTGGGAAGTGGCGGCACTGGGAGGAGCGGAGGCGGGTATGGGCTGGTATTCGAGTGACCCGAAGCGACTGAAGAAGGATATCCGGAATTTGCGCCATTAATGTGATGACCGTTGACACCATTAGTGTAGCCATTGCCATTGGCGCTTGCTGATGGAGACTGGTTCGTATTTGGAACAAAGGCCGTCGGACCAGGCATAGCAGATGTTGCGTTATCAGTAAGATAACGCCATGGGCTTGACTCAATCAGACGCCCAGCCTCTCTGCTGGCTTTCTGGACCGGACGAAGCATCGTAATAAGCTCCTGAGATAGCAGTCGGAGGGACTTTGCCTCCCTCATTTCGGTTAGAAGGTCAATGAAATTCATCAAGAAATTCTTGCACAATAGCCACAGAGAAGGGTCATTTCGTCCACCACTCATCATGTGCGCATTGGGATCCGTCAAACGCATGTTGACGAGCCTAATTTGAAGGGCTTCGCAAACATCGATGCACTGCTTGCTCCGATATACCAGTGTAGACCAAAGATCGTGAACAGCCTTTGGCTGGCGATTTTCCTCAGCAGCTTCTAGACAGCGAAGGAATTGTGCTTTTGCAATCGGTATGGTGTGGAGAGCTGCATCGTAGGCTCGAGTCAGTGCGAGGAAGATTTGCTCGAACACCGTTTCCTCCTGCGCGTCAGTAAGTCCGGTGGCCGGATTGACACGAGTCGAATACACGCTGCTGGGTGGGAGATTGAAGACTTCGCCGGAACGGGGCGTACTGGCAACAGATGAATACGAAGAGCCGTTAATCATGGCTGTCCGAGAGCTTGACCTTGATCTGTACCCGGTACTCGAGGTGGATGTCAAAGTGTTTCCATTACTTGAAAAGGTCGATGAGGTGCCAGTATTAAGACTCCCATTGAATGTAGTATCTGACAGGTGTATAGGTGTCTCAAGCTGTTTCGTGACCACTGGTGGTACAGCAGGCGGTTGTGTTGTAGAGTTGATATCAAGTATGGGATGTTGAATGGCTGTATCGCTGCGCAATCTCGGACCTTGCCTGACGGGCCGGCTCTTGTCTCGGGTAGGTGTAACTGCTCGAACAGGTTTCTGAGGGGTGCTGTATTCTTCGGGAATGGTCTGGAAGTTGCTGTTGCCTCCACTGGATATCTGCTTCGTTTGTCCGAGACCTTGTGTAACCTGAATATCGGCTCCGAAGCTCTGGATTGCATTCCTAACTTCAACCATGCTGCCATAAAGAAGAAGCATCAGAGTCCGGACGTATCGAACATCACTTCCAGCCACGATCTTCTTAACATTGTCTTGCAACTGGGCCGTTACATGGGTGTAAGCCATGATGCAGGTTGCACAGTCTTGGCGGATAGTAGTTTCGATCTTTTCAACTGCGTCCTCATCCTCCATGTCAACCAGGTCCGCTCGCTCTAGAGCTTCATTTAGGCGGTCAACATGCGTGGAAGCATTGAAGAAGGTAAATTCCAGAGTACTTCGCCTTTGAGATTCTTTGCCTCTAACAGCAGCAATCAGGCCAGATATTTGTGGATGAACTTGATACAAAGCGTATAGAATGCCTTTTGCACCGTCGATCACGGGATTGTTCCATTCATTCTCAACTTTGTGTTCGGGCAGACTTGACAGTCGTTTCACGAATGCAAGTCTATGTCTTCTTGCATCCCTAGGGCTGTTGGGGCTTGATGAACTTGCCCCACCCGGTGATGATAAAGCACCGTTCCGTTTAAGAACGGAGCCGTGACTGAAACCTCGGAGATGGCTGTTTCGATTGACTTTCAACTCATCAATGCTGTCCAGTTCTGGCCTTTCTCTTTCCCGACGCAACATCCCCATCCTTTTCTGGCGAACAGCTGCTGTTGCTTGTAGGACGCTCTCACTGTTGCTTCGATCCCTGTCATTGCTGTTCTGATTGACCAAAGGTGCAATTCCGGGCCTACGAAGGCCTAGTATCTGCTGTCCGGATTGCCCTGACGCAACGCGGTAGTGCGAACGGGAAGGTATTGGGGGTGGGTTAGGTTGGATTGGGGAGGATTTATTTCCTTCTGAACCAGAGTCAATATTGTTCGTACTGGGAATGACGGGAAATCTGCTGCTCAGCACTCTTTTAAGAGGTTTGGGTGTTTCCATTGGGCTTTCGTCGAGTTCCAGTGATGTTTCGACGTCGATGGGTGCAATTACTGGATGGGAATCCCGTAGGTATCTCTTGATTTCGAGGGTGATGGCCGTTTCCCGCTCGTGATCAGTCATTTCCGAGAACGACACCTCTGACTCCTTTGCCTCCACGATCTTTTTTAACTTAAAACGCAGGGGGTTCTCTGCAATTTTCAATATTTGCAGTTTCGTCATCTCGCATAGTTCCATCGGTAAGTCCTCAACCCTGTTGTGGACCATCGAAAATACCCTCAAAGATTTCAGATTTTTGATATCGCCAGATATTTTTCTTACTTTGTTCCGGCTGATGTCCAGGATTTCAAGTTGATGCAACTTGTAGACACCTCTTGGAATCTCGCGGAACACATTCGAGCGGATGTTGAGGTACCGTAGGTGTGTACACTCGGAAAAGCGCAGAGGAATGTGCCAGATCTGATTGTGCGACAAGGACAATCTCTCCACTTCTGCCTTGATTAGATCAACGACACTCTCCGGTAATCTTGCAATATTCGAGTGGCCCATGTCCAGAGTGAGTTTTGGTTTTACTGCTTCACTGACTGCTTCATTGCCCGCGAGGGCGTGTTCTGTATCTTGCCTTGCATCGGCAACCTTCTTCCGGAACAGTTCTGTAGTATCTTCTAGAGAAAGCAAGGCAGATTCGTTCTTGGTGCTCTGGCCATTCTGCCTTTCGTCAACTCGTGGAGGGGATTCATCCAAAGCCTGTATAATATCTGGCTGGTCTCCATTGACTCTCGCGTTCTCGCTCACAGCTCGAGGTGTCTCGATATCTTCAAGCCGACCAGCCCGGCTTGTTCGCCCTGCGTCTTCGGGTCTCAATAGGGCTCGAGGGTGAGGCAGCGCAGGAAGGTCTGGTTCCATCAACCTGCTGAGATCCGTATCTCTAAAGCCGGCGGCGGCGATTGTATCAACGGCCAGTATCGAAGTCATGTTGGTGGTAGCGTGACCGGCACACTAACAGCATGTCTTATGATCCAGCCGGGGACAGGCGGAGGAAGTAACCAGAATACGAGTACTCTTCAAGGCGACCGTCCACAGTGAGCCTAGTTCATTGCCATTGTATTCACACTTCACGATCTCTCATGTGTTTGGCAGTCTCGACGGGTTTCAGAAGTGGGATGATCAGAGACCGGGGTCGGGTCACGTATGGTGGTTTTCGGTTCGAGGTTTACCGCGGAGAATTCGATTTCGGGCCTGCTGCTTTGTGTCGTAAGGGTGATTGAAACGGCGAGAACAAAGAAGTGGAGGGAGGAGACACGTCGACGGTCGCGAGAGGGTGTTGGTAGGGGATGGGAAGCGACAAAGCTGTGAAGGCGTGGAACATTTGGGACAAAAAAGTACGAAGCGAGTTATGCAGAAAATAGGGCGTTTACGATGAGGTTAGTTCCAAACGAGCATGCTTGGTTGGTCGTGCCAGTGGTAAATCTGAGGACAGGCAAAGGCGGGAGGAGGAGTGGGAGTAGGAATCGGAATGGGAATGGGAACGGGGATGCCAGTGAGGGAGCGAGCAAGGGTAGCGCCCGACATTTCGGCCTGATTAGGCTTAGGCGACCCTTTTAGCGGCCCTCAACCTGCCACACACACGTGACTGTCCCTGGTGCCTTGCAGTTTCCATTGTTCTAGCCTGGACGCTATTGGGGCCGAGGGGCACTCCGAGCAACCTATGAGCAGCCTAACCAATGGTGCCGAGCTGGGCCTAAAGGAAGCCGGCAACCACCTGAAACATGCACTATTCCCAGCAATCCCCCAGCCCTTTACGGCCACCACTGCCACAAGGCCGCCGGAGCCCACGAGCCCACGACGGCCGTCATGCACTTGGCATTAGCATTACGAGCTCTCCGTACTCCTCATCATACAGTAGGTTCATCACCCGTGCCCAGAGGAGCCGCACAAACAACCTCGCCCCGCACCGCATACGGATACAAACTTTGTGGAAGAACGAAGTTCAACTTCAACTATGCACACTCTTGCTGGCTACCATCTTCCATCAGCCTGCTCTCAGACCCATAGCCATGCAATCCCCCATCCAATATCCACTGTTCATTGTCATCATTGTCATCCTGGACTCTTCGCCAGACACTGGAGCGAGATGTGCCTGCATCGAACTCACGGCCCTTGCCTTTGGCACTGCCCTCAGGTGCCTTCCACATGGGCCGAATGAGCTTCCCCGTAGCAAGAAGGGGATTATTGCTAAAGGCGCCCTTTTCCCCTATGCTCAAATGCTGCTTCGGAGCCTCGGACTGCCCCTCATCGGGGTCTGTATCAGGAGCCTCGTCTTTCTCACCCGACAAGGGCGCTTTTTCCCGTCCGTACGTTTTAACCAACTTGCCGTTCTTGATGCTCATACTCATCACCGTCTTCTTCTTCTCCCAATCCGGCCGATTGGCCTCCTCGAGTTCTCTTAGATATTTCTGCTGTTTCTTCAGAGCGGCGGCCCGTTGAACTGGGCTCATCCACTGCGTGGTGCCCGGCGTGAGCGTCGCATCGTAGTCTGCCGCTTCATCATGTACCCTTGTGCGTTGGGCATTTTCTCTCTGGAATGCCAAAAGCTTGTCTCGATGTGCCCGAGCCCGGGAAGCTGCGGAGGATGCCTCATCACCCGAGGCACTATCTGGTGTCGAGGCTCCGAATAGTGGTGTGCCCGTTCCTGAATGTGACTGTCCTGCGTTGTGGACTGCCATCCGCTCAATGCCTCGCTCTTCCTTTAGTGCTCTGATCATGTCGTTGACTTGGTCCTTGGTTAGAATTGGTCGGTCACAAAATGAGCATGGTTGCAGCCCTTCTAGCGCACATATAATTTTACCGCAATTCAGACAATTTGGAGCTGTCGTGAAGAGTGGATGTATCGAAGCATTACACGTGCATTTCCTTCGCTGTGAAGACAAGGAGGGATTCGTGGCCAATTCCAGAGCAGCTATCGCTGCTGTCAGGTCAGATACACTCGAGGTCGTCGTTGACGTAGTGCGTCTGTGTGGCGTGGAGGTCCCGGATTGCGGCTGTGAATGGCTGGGATGAACAGGCTTCTTCGACTGCTTCGCGCGGACGTTGGCAAAGCCAAAGTCCGAGATTAAATTGCCAGACGCAGAAGGCGGCAGCTTCTGTGAGCCCTTTGCGGGTGATGCATCCCTTGAAGTTGCAGAAGATCCCGTGGTATTGAGATATGTCGTTTGCGGTACCTGAAGCCCATCCGGATGACGATTGCCTTGAACCTGGCTGTCGCTATTGTACTGCTTCGTATACCCACCACTTACAATGCCATAGCCTTCGGGAGTGCGTGCAGGCCCGCTGGAGTGCAATGGCGGTTTTGACTTCTTCGGCTGTCGTTTCTTCGAACTAGGCACACCGGTATCACTATCATTGTTAAGCCCAATCGATGTACGTGGTGTTGGACTTTTCGATCTCCGACTCTGTGCGACACCGGGACGCCTGCTGTTGAAGGATGAGATGAACTCAAGTGCAGGTGGCGAGTCGCCTAATAGGTTTTTGAGATGCTCTGCACCTGAGCTTTTGTCCAGGCTCGATGTGTATGTGATAATCTCTTTGAGGGATTCGTCGTCGATCGGCAAGAGCCTCTGGAGGCGTGGTAGTGCCCATTGCTGCAAATCGGAGCCCATGACCTGTTGAGGTATACAGGTATTTTGAGTGCAAAATAGGGGACGATAGTAGAGGGCGAGAACGACGTGCCTGTGGTATTTACCTACAGGTAGCAGTTCATTTGTGGGAGGTGCCAGGTGCCATAACAGCCTGTCTGGTTGACGACCTACTTATTGTAGTCACATAATTGTCATGACTCAGCTATTGGCCGCTTCCTCGCTCTCGGCGTACCTTCTCCTCCCTGGGACGTTTCCATACATAAAGTTCGATTGCCTGGATATTGCTGCCACTTCAATGCGCCCTCCTCAGAGCAAAGGACAGTGTATACCAAAGCAAAAAGGATGCGCTGAACAGGGTTATCTTGAATAACTTGTATGGTGCTATTGATTGCCTGATGCATTTTATGTGATATCACCAGAAGAATACTAGTTTGATAGCGGCCTTTCTGATCATTACCCTTCGTAATTGTTGTGCTACCATCACGATTCTGAGTGGACGGTCGGTCTACAAAGGGACCTCCGACTTATTGGCCACCAATGCAATTAAGGCAGCTCCGAGACCGCTACCATCTTTCGCCAGACCAATTCTGATGCGCTTTTCGTCCTCACCAATGCCTTCAATCTCCCTGAATGCCTCGCGAATGTACTCCTCAAAGCCAGGGTAGTATTCCACCAGACTGCCATCGACTCCAATATCTACCATTTCCTCCTCTTTCAGTCTATTGCTTGAGATCACGACTGCTCCGAGGGCGACTGCACTTAGGCGGGCGGCTCGTTTTCCAATTGCGTGTACTAGCATCTTCACAGCCACACAGTCCTCTGTGGAAGCTGCTCCAATGCCGAGTTCCTTCTCCAATGTTTGCTTGGTTATTCGCAGATGATCCGATTGATCCTCTTCAACAATGGAGAGGAAGGATGTGTCAATCCCCCACTGCTTGAAGAGAGGGCTGTTTCCATCCACTGTGGTCGTGCTTCGAATGTCGTTGTCATGCGAAGAAGTGTCTTTGAAAAGGGCCACGCCGGCATCCTTATGCTGGTATAGGCTGAGTAAGGCACGGCGAAGGATTTCGCCAAGGAACATGCCGGAGACACGCTTCTCAAACATCTGGATGCCAGGGTTGACGGATTCTCGATCTAGGGCGACGTCATATTCGGTATTGGGCAGAACTTTCATCGGGTTGTCGAAGCTGCCCCATTCAGTATTGATGATCATTAACCCTGTGGATTTGTCATAATTGGCTTCACCACCTTCAGCGTCGTCAATGGCTTTCATTTTCTTGACCTTGTCCAGGGATTCGACGTAGGCACCGTTTGTGCCGGTGCCAAAGATTGCACCAATCAGTGTTTTGGTCTTCCCGGGTGACGTATAAGACCTAGCCATGAGTGTGCCTACCGTGTCGTTGACAAGGGCAGCTACCCTCACGGGTAGTTTCAGAGCATCCAACTCCTTTTGCAGCAGCTCACAGACGTCCTCTCCAAGAGCTTCGTCAATGTCGTAGCCCTTGGTCCAGCGCATCAACCTGCCCTTGTTGATACCGATCTGGTTGACAGGAAAGCTGAATGTGAAGCCCAGATCAAAGAACCCTTGTGCACTGGGGTTTGCCTTATGCTGTTCGAAATGATCGTTGTGATGGGCTACCAAGAAGGCTTCCACTTGTTTAGCAAGGAAGGAGAATAGTTCAGTGGCCGTTTTGGCCTCCATGAGTGATCTTGGAACAGCCACTTTGGACTGCTGTAGGGAGAAGCTCTGGTTTCCGTGCAAAGTAATGGAACAAACACGGAAGTTGGTTCCTCCCAAGTCAACGGCCAGATAGACGCCCTATTGCCATTAGCTGGGTTACAGCATAGTTTCCCTGCCTACCTTTTCGGTGCCATTAGGGACAGAGGTGACGTATGTTGGGATTTGACTCAATGGTGTGCCCTGCTTTTCCAGACCTTCTTCCATCTCACGGATGAATTCCTGAACACCCTTGTTGACATCTTCAGCAGGATACTCGAATTTCGCAGCAATGCGCTTGGCCTCTGCTTCAAGAGCCATGTTGGTCAAGGCGTGGGTGGTGGGAAGGTCGGCGGAGAACAATGACTTGGGCTTGCACTGTGTACCGGGTTCGAGCTGGTTGTAATAAGCCTCCTGCCTGTAAACGCTGTCTCCGAATGGGCTCAGAAGGATTCGAGCGAAAGGAGCGAAAGCAGGAGAGGCAGAGGTTCGAGACGATCGACGGCTGATATCGCGTGACGCAAACAGCTGAGCAAGCACAAGGAGCAGAAGAACGAGGCCAGAGATGAGGTACACGAGGGGTGCGCGGGAACGAGAGGACAATTTTGCTCGAGTCCTATACTGTTCAGTTCCTGGGATGTGAGAAGCAGCACGTTGCCATAAAGAAGGCTCGTGGACGTGCTGGTCAGTGGGCTTGAAGGCCTTGAGGGAAGCCAGCTTTGCTTTTTCGCAGCACAAACCCAGGGACAAAATGAGGGGCAGATGCACAGGTCAGGCAAGGCAATGCAAGGCAGAGGCAGGGAAGGAGAGGGGGCAGGTGGCAAGTTGGCAACGACTGGGAGGAGGTGTATCCGATCTGTGTCGTCTCAGGTCTGGCTGGATCAGAGTAGCATGCACTTGTTTGAGTGTGGCTTTCTCCAGGGTGCAATGAGGGTGGTACACTGGGACTGTCGGCGATCCAGGAAACCGAGACGAGTGACCTCAGAGTGCAGGCCAAGCAACACGACCGGCTAACGCTCTTGGGTAAGTAATGACGGGCGTGGGCTCACTCGTAGACCGCGACAAAATGCCACGAACCATGAACCATGAACCAGCAGACCGGGGAATCCAAGGATAGGCTCGATCGCTCGCCAAAAATTGGGCAATGGGCGTCAGTCAACTCAGGACGGTCAGTCTGTCACACAGACACAAACGCCCAGGCCGGTCGAGCCCCCGCAATTGGCGTTACATCCCAAGCAATTCAACTCATCCCATCCCAATGCATCCTGTCCGAACAAGAAAGTCAGCGAGGTTCCAACCCACCCGACCCACAAACGTTCGCCCGAGGCGCTGAGCACTTCAATTAGGCGACGAACTACTCGTACGGAGTCAATACATATTAGCGAGATCTGTAGATTGCATCTTGGCCACGGATCGCATAAAATTGATGACTTTGGTATCGATCGCATTACTATTGCTATGTGTGCCTGAGTTTCCTTGACGAATGTGCGTCTCTCGTCTTTTTGTTCCTTCATGCATCATGATAATGCTACAGGCAGCTTTTCTATGACTGCTCGTTGGGACTCATCCTCCCTGATAACGCCGTCGCTATTAATGTCAAAACAGCATCTCATTTGAATCATCGCCATGGGTTTCCTTCTCCATCGTCGCGTAGTCGTCCATTGTGCGACGCCTCTTGACTTCAAAGTCTCGGCCATTCAGATTGGTCATTTCTAGCCCTGTCAATTCGCTAGAGTGTTGCCGCCCTCCCCATGGAAACCGCTTCATGATGCTCCCTCGCCGTTGAAGCTTCGGGTCTGGGCTTGCTTGTCCTGATGAGGAATAAGATGAGGAAGATCGAGTTGGCCCAAAGTACGACCGTCTTTCTGACATGGGGCTTGTTGGCGAACTTGTTTTCCGCGATCGAGACGACATTTCTTGAAGCATAGGGTCTTGATTGGAACTTGAGCTCATCTCACTGGCGTCCACACCCCAGTCTTTACTGAACAGCTTCATATCAGGATCTGATTCGTACAGCGTCCGCATGCCTTCCGCATCCTGCTCGCCACGTGGAGCAACACTGCCTCGTCTCTTCCACATATGCCAAAGAAGATGGTCGTTCCCGAGAACCTCTGACAATGAGGAGTTACTTAAATGTTCACTCTCCGTCGTGGACAATGGCATTGGGAAGTCAAGAAGATTATCCTCCTCGGTGGAATCGTAGATCGCGTCCTGTATGTTTGATAGCAACCCGTCGTCGGTAATAGTGGTACCCAAGTAGAGTCCCAGCAGAATATCTTGACTTGAGCAATGGTCGGATGGCTCGTTCGGTGCAAATACTTCCTCGCCTGATATACTGTCAACCCATTGCAAGACGGTACTTTCATACAAACCTGCCCCGCGCTCTTCATAGCCATTTGAGTGGGTACCATCCTCCTCTGTCTCATGCTTCAGCGGATGCAGGCGGATGATATCCTGAGTAAGCGAACTCCTGTTGCCAATCATACTTGGTGCTTCAATTGCATGGGCCTCTTGACTGAAGTGAGGAGCCTGCCGGACCAGCGCTGTAAGCATTGACACATCACTTCCTTGTATGGAGCTGTGTGTCCAACTTCTCCTTTCATCACCTTCACACATTGAGATGTCGGTTTCATGAAAGAATCTGTTGATAGCTACCTCTGCTGGCCCCTGACTTCCAGAATTTGCGTCATGATAACGGGCCATCGCTGCATCCTCAGTACCATGGTTCCATACTGACGTGACGCCAATTATGGAGCTCTGCTTGACAATTCCAGGCGTCCCCTGCGTCTCGGAAAGTGAGCGATCCTCAACAGCCGAGGAAATCTCCCTGTCAAAAACTCCTTCCCGGTCCTTCACAAAGCTTTCCCAATCGTACTGTATCTCCATATTCTGCATGGCCATAGACGAATCCGTGCTTGGTTGCCCACCACCAGACGGACCACTGGTAAGCCATAGTGAAGATAGACGGCGCGCCAACTTGTTGTTTCGAATGCCATTAGCCAAAGCCGCCCATAAGCTCTTGAGGAACAATTCCCGACCGTGAACTTGGCAGGGCTCGTTGTCCACTCTAGAATCATTCCTTGTCACATTGCCGGATGTGGCCGAGTTTGCTCTGTTGGTAGATCTAAACGAGGCTAAAATACCGGCAACACCCGCAATAAAAACTGCTTGCTCCTCGAAGGTTCGGCTATAGCCACGATTGAAAATGTTCGGTGCAAACTCAGATAGAGATGACTTGTGGCACTCATGAAAAGCTCTAACACCGGCACTTAGATTCACTGCATCAGGGCAAATGCACCTTCGTAGACCAACATCAATCAGTCCAACGAGGGTCTCCTCACCCATGAAGAAAAAGCCTTGTGTGATTGTCTGTGTGGAAATGTTTGTTGCTAAGGCTTCATTTGAGTTGAAGAGGCAACATGACGTTCGCTCGGATTTTCGAAGCTCGTCCTTACCGCCACCAAGATTTTTATGCTTCACTTTACGGGGTCCGGTGAAATGGCCAACAGGGTCCTCACATGATGGGAGATTGGTCTGGGCATTAGCTGATTCACCTGATGCCTCTGCAATCAGCGTTGACGCGTGGCTCAACGCGCAGTTAAGACGGACGGATGTTAGGTGCATTAACGATACACCAAATGGGCACCCAAATGTGGAATCGTCATGGTAATCCAAACACTGTTGACAAATCAGCAACAAAGCATGAAGTCACCCGACTGCCCTACACGCATTTCGAAATCGATGATGGATGACCTGTGGTCAAGGAAGCCGTCACCTGGGGTCACAGAGACCTGGCATGCCTCGTAACCCAGCTCTGCCCATAGCTGGATACCCGTCAGAACCGGGTAAATAATATCAACAGCCAACTTACCTCAGCTCTTCCGACATAGTTCACAATTACCTCAGCAGCAGGTTTGCCACAGCTTTCAACGTAGCATATTTCCTTATGAAAGTCAAGACGAAGTGATAGAGTGAAACTTTGAGCTTTAGGGATCCAAAGGAAAGGGGACAGAGAGGGCCCACTGCAGTCTGCGATCTGAGGAGAGCTTGCGGCACATGATACCGTGGCATTGGCTTCGACGTGCAGGATGCACTGCGACTTCCGATGTAGGAGAATGCTGTCATATAGCTGCATATTACAGCTGATCATCATTGGAATTCACGAAGCGGAAAGGCTCAAAGTGATGGCAATTCAGTACAGAGTACCCATGCTTTGCTCCGCAAATTGCACTAGGTAAATCTGTCGAAGTGCAAAACTTTTTATAGGAATTGAAAAGACGGCCGAACATGGGAGGAGATGGTCGATACTGTCGTTCCTGCCGTCGAAGAATGCCAAGGAGCATGACCTCCATCACGAGTTCACAACCCACTGGCCACCATCCATGGTCTACAACTCTCCACCACAGAATGTACTAGCTACCTCGGTAGGCGTGCTCATTACAATCAAGCATCCATGGAGACCTGGTGTCCGAAGCCCAAGTCTAGCGGACTCGAAGTTCAATGCTGCGCTTTTTCACCTTCGCTCAATTTCCCCAACTCGAACGAGATGAGTGGCAATCATCTGGTCCTTTTTACCCCTAGCGGAGCGCCCCACCCCAGTTCCAAGGGCTGTATGGATCGTCAGGTAGAAGGTTGAACATCACTGTCGTTTTGTCAGACAATTGGCCCGATTGCGGGGACCTGCAGAAAAGGGAAGACTCACTCTGCCCAAAGGCACCAAATGTTTCATCCAGGTGTGCGTCAAACTGAAAATCCGAATTATCCACCTGTGTCATGCCCGAGTTCGGATAGCTCGCCTGAGGTAGGTCTTGGGAGAACTGCTGTTGAAGTGGTTCTCTCGTTGGAGACGACATGCTAACATTGGCAACGAAATGTTGAGGGGGTGGAAATGGATTGCTTTGGTCCAGCAGAAAAGGCTCGCTTCGTCGGGGGATAACAGTTCCTAGTTCATCGTTCTGGATTCGAGCAGACTGGCCTATGGATTCTGTGTTGAGAGCGACTGATTGCGGATCGAGAGCATTGTTCAGTTCGCGCTGGATCGTAGCACTCAAAAGGGGTGTAAGTAATTCGTCGAGATGCTTCGCCATCTTGCTGCTATTTCCGTGTGCTCGACTAGTTCTGATGATACGCATTACCCCAGACTTACACTCTTGCGAGCGAGGGCTGAACGGCTCTGTCGGAGGGACGATGCATAGGATGACTCCTGCTGTAAAGAAATGCATGAAAACAAAGGATAGTACAAGATGGTGTTCTAGCTCGCCCAAAGGCAAGCGAGAGATCCTCAGAGCAGCCTCGATTGCGATGTCCAGAGATCTTTCCCGGTACTCTGAACCAGATGTTGTACCACCGGTTGCGCCGTTTAGATTCAATCTATGTTCGATGAGCGGTCGGCGCAGAAATATGACGCTACTATCGTAGGTGGCCTGGAGCGTTATGGCCTGAAGCATTAAAATTCTGTCAGTTTGGTTTGTTGTGGGAGAATTCTGACTTGGAAGCATTTGGGACGCGTCCGTATCGCGGAAACCAGTGTTGTAGAATTCCATAGTGAGGAAATCGGGTATTTGACTGTGCCAGTCCGAGAGCTGATGCTCAGTTTGACGGATTGTGTCCAACAGTGAGTTGGCATCTTCTTCTGATAATGGGTTATTGAGTCTTAGAAGACGAAGGGTCGATAGAGCGTGCTTGGTAATTGAGTAGAGTCGATATTTAAGGACATGAAAAGCTAGCGTCGAGCGTGTTCCGTGTGGAGCAATATCCTCTCCTGATCGGGGCACGGGTCCATTAATGGCAGTGTCATCCATCTCGCAAAGTGGCTGAACCCGTGCGAAGGCGGCATCCAGGCCTGTTGGTCTGCCGTATATCATCGAGGAGAATGTGTCTGCTATAATAACGTGATTCCAAGTCCGTCGGCGAACTTGTAGTTCCACATCATGATCATCGAGGGGACTCTCGCAATGTAATGCAAGAGCATAGGCTGTGCTTACGGCGAGAGAGAGAATACTCCAGGCGGCATGTGCGGAACCGTTGTAGATGTAGTACGTGCCCAAGATGAGACAAACTTGAACGGTCTCGATCTGGCCATCGTCGACCAGGTCCAACATATGTATTCGAATCTCAGAAATGAAATCGGCAAGTAATGCTCTCGAATTCAAACCCTCCGATTCTAAACGTTGATGCCCATGCCAGGAAGAATCGTGCAGGACACATTTGAGGCCCATGGCAGCAACAGTAATGGCAACCACCACGATAGGCAGGTCTTGCCTGGTCCATTGGTGCTTGCGAAGGACAGACTCGACCCGAGCGACAAAGCTGGGCTCATGGAACAAGAAGATGAACCATTGTACCCGGTCAAAGTAGGCTTGGATCAGAGACCGCATGATGGGTAGGGGAGGCATTTGCATCCCCCTGAGACCCCATGCTGAACCAATTTCTCGGATATCTCCCGCGTCGCCAGGAATTGTCGAGCTCAGATCTGGTGACTCGAGATCATGGTCCCTGGCGACATTTCTGGCGAAATTAATAACTGAACTGTTTGCGCCAAACTGTTGCTGCTCTGTCGGACTAGAAGCAGGTATCAGATCATCCGTTGCTCGTCTTTCCGATTGCTTGGACCTGTTAAAATCAAGCTCAGAAGGGTTTTTGCTAGGTTCCGGGGGGAACGTGACGACGATTTCTCGAGGCGGCGCATCCTGGCTTGCCTTTCGTTTGCCCAACACCTGCCGAGGCTTGCATTCTGCTGAAGCGCGCAGACATAGTGTACAAGGTCTCGTGGCATCGCATTTGAGCTTCTGTTTTCTACATCGCTCACATGCCTGCACGACTCTTCCCAGGGACGCCATAGGTGTGAGAGTATATTGATTACCTAAGGTTGTAAAAGAGGTCGAAGTAGGACAGCTTCCACCGGAGGGCAGAGCTCCGAGCATAAATGTTATTGGGCTTACCACTGGAGGGGCCAGAGGGGCGATCTGCTGCGACGTTCGTGCATCTTGGGGGATGGTCTCCACATCTGGGGAAATTGGTCATTGTGGATGATCAGGAAAACCGCGACATACCGGGGGATCTGGGATCTGGTTTGATCAATTTATGGCATCCCGAATCGACGGCTGTCCGGTCTACTTATGTCTTCGCGTATTGGCGAGATTCGAGGTTGCTATGCAAATCAGGGGCAATATGTTTTTGAATATCAGACTTGCCCCGCGGCTTGCCTCATGGAAGAATGGAACGTCTGGGCGAGGCGAGCCATTCCTGAGCTAGTCTACCCCGTAGTTACCGCAAGGACACAATAGTGATACCTACCGAAGACGCGCCATGGCCCATCAACCTCCCACGGCCTGGTGCCATGGCTCGCCATGAATTTCTCCTCAAAGCCAAGGTGAGAAAACTGTGGTGGCGGTCACGAAAATATACATCCAGTAGTACTACTATTTTAGTTCCATCCCTTCTAGTCAACGATCATGATGTTCGCCACTAGGATGAATATCAAAGCTTGCTCGTTTCTGGATGTTTCATAGTTATGGGGGTTGCAGTTCAACCCAAGAATTGCAAGATCTATTGCATGGATTTATGATTGAAGCTGTGGACAGGTGCAGAGAACGATAGAGAGGTACGATGTTTTCATTGCATTCATTTGCAGCGGCGGTTGAGAAATCTTTCAGTACCTCAACAACATGTCGGTACTTCTCACTCAGTGTCTGCTGATCCACTCTACTCGGTAAGAGTTAGGCAGGTAAGGATGGTAGAAGCCACTATCAATTCCCCCCAATATGACTCAAATCACGTTGGTATTGTTTTGCAGTCCATCTCATGAACAAGGTGAGAATGAGGACGAGTAGGAGCCTGTCAGGTACACGTGTAAGTTGCTTTGCCATGAGTTGTAAACTGTAATCGAATCCATCGGATCGGAAATTCTAAACTCCGCCAAATCACCGCATTTTTTCCACCTGCGACCCGCTTCAACCACCACCGTCTATCAGCTTCGCGAGTTCTCTTCACATGCATTCTCTAGCTTCCTACGAATTCTCGATGTTGGGAATCTGCCTACCCACCAACCGCGTCATTTATTGACTCATACAAAGGGGCAGCCTTGCGCTGCTCGATGATGTAGAAGCGCTCAAGCACGACCAATACGCCTCCATCCATGACCTTGAGAATGCGTCACAGTTCAGTTGCATGCGTGCTTCGAGCACAAGCGGCGAGTGCTCGTCACACCCCAGCTTCCCTCAGCACGGGCATCGCATGCAGACGCCTCTTTAATACAAGCAGTAATCGGTCGACAGACGGCGTCTACAAAGCACTTACGGAAATGAGGATCCGCACACCATGGATAGAGGCACTGAGAGAAGCACAGAATCATTCGGGGACCGCCACCCTACCACCACCTCCCAAACCAGATTTGACGCCAAAGAGAATGTCAGATAGCTATGTCAGCCTCGTGCTCCCACTGGCTGTTAGTATACCCAGTGGACATCTTTTCGTTTCATCTCCCCCTTCCCCCACAAAAACGTAGTGAACTTGAGTTGATCTGTTGTTTGCGTTTTCACAGCAAGATAAGTGGCTTCTTGATACCTACGCCAACACCACGGGCCAAATCCGCACGGGGACGCTTCTGATGGACCTCGATGCCTTGGCTGGCGTTGTTGCCTACAAGCATACCGGCGAAGGCGTCAGCACGGTGACGGCCGCGGTGGATCGGATCACCTTACAAAACCCCATCCGAGAGATCTGCGACCTCGAGCTGAGCGGGCAGGCCACATTTGCAACCGGCAGGAGTAGCATGGAGATCACTCTGCAGATCGCGAAAGCGCCGATAGGGGACGAAAAGATATTGCCAGAGCATGTCTTCATGACCTGTGCCTTTACGATGGTCGCCCTCGATCCCCAGACCAAGAGACCAGTCAACATCGCGCCCCTCGAGGTCACCACACCGGCGGAGAAGGCTCTGTTCGCGAAGGGTGCCGAGAACTACAAAAACAAGAAGGCTCTGAAATCCTCCCACATCCTGCAAAAAGCCCCCGACGCCGAAGAATCCATCGAGATCCATAAAATGTGGACGGACTCTCTCGCCTACGCGGACTCCAAGAACCCCAAACATCAGCCCAAGAACGTGCAGAACATGAGCAAGACCACCATCCACAGCACCCAGATAATGCAGCCGCAGTATAGGAACCGCCATAATTTTATGATCTTCGGCGGCTACCTCCTAAAACAAACCTTCGAGATAGCATTCACCTGCGCTGCTGCATTCTCTCACACACGACCACGCTTCATGAACCTAGACCCCAGCACGTTTGAGGAGCCCGTCCCTGTCGGCTCGGTGCTGTACATCTCTGCGAACGTGTCCTACACAGAGCCAGACCCCAGCGGGGGCACGCGGATCCAGGTCATGGTACGGACGCATGTGCGGCCCGTGGAGCACCAAGACCAGGAGAGGAAGTCTACGGGCACCTTTTTCTACACGTTCCTGTCGCCGGACAACGTCAGTGTGCTGCCCCAGAGCTATAGTGAATTTATGAGGTGGGTCGCAGGTAAGAGACGGGCAGAGAACCTCGCCGCTACGCTCAAGGACGATCAGAATACGGTGCTTGCTAGTATGCACGCTGAGAATGTGACGGAATAAGACTGTTTGGAGCACTTTGGTGCACACTAGAAATATCCACTCTGGCACGAAGAGCCATTTTCGTGTCAGTCGTGTGAAGTTAGGGATTTCTCCGATGCCAGTGGCGCTAGCTACGGGACAAGGGAAGGCTTTGATGAGGACAGACCGCCGTCAAGGCGATGTAAGCCACGCTCAATCTAGACTTCTCAGGATCGACACCGCGGCAACAGGCAGGACTTCACGGCCATGAGCTGGCTGAATGCTCACTTCTTGGCCCATATGCCACCGTTCAAAGCACTTGTCAACCACGGTCTCCACCCGCGTGACCTTGAACCCAAAGCTACGAAGTCATCTCAAGTTGCCAGCCGTCGTCTAAGATTCAATCCAATACTCAGATAGATGTTTATCAAGCTAGGCTCGCAACTTTAGCACAGAGGGTCATATCCACGGTTAGGATACTCAGGCCGCGAACGTCTTAGGGAGATTTGGAAGTCCGGGGACAGATCGGTGGAGAGATAAATCGTAGGGCGACCATATGTCGTGAACGATTGGATATATGAGGGGTTCAATATCGTTGTACAAGCCTCGGGGAATTCAATTTCTGTTCTCGGGGAGGAGCGCAATCTTAATCATCCTGACGTCGACTCCTCCGCCGTCGTGCTTTTTCCGGATCTCGACTTTCTCGATGGCTTCGTCTTCTACGCCTCTCCCTATCCTCATCCGACTCAGGGAGTCCATCTGGATTGAGCCTTCCACTTCGTCTCGCACCAAACGGAGGTGGGGCCTGAGATGGTGGTCTAACAGGAGGAGCACCGTCGAATTGTTCAACCCGGTGACTTCTTCTCTTCTCCCTCACCGATGGTCGCAGATCCATCACGTAGTCATAGACTCGGGGACTTCGTTTTAAGAGCGTCAACTCTAAATCAGACAATGTTGCCTCAGGCATTCTGTCCTGCCCACCGCTTTTCCTCGCATTGTGATCAGTCCAGACCACCGCCACGTGGTCGGCATTACCGCCTTGACTCGGTGGAACCATCTCCGTTTGGAAAGTCCACTCCTTCAATGCTGGTGGGTCGTATGTGCCTCGATCCTGTGGCCCCGGCCCCTGCATACCTAGTCTAGCCCGCACGCTGGCATGAATATACTCATTCGTGTGTTTCAGCCTCTTAGACATTGGCCGACCGGTTCGCGGATCCGTGCGGTAGTAATTCCCTGGAGTTCTTATCTTACTGCCCGTCAGGCCATAGAAGCCCTTTAACGAGTTATAGAGCTCGCCGAAAGCCCATGACCGTGTTTTCTGGCCAGTCAGCTTGTAATAGTGTCGATTGTCCTCCCAAAGTCCGTCCACGAAATTTGGGCGGAAATCCAGATGTGGCTCTAGCTTGCTCATCATCCATGCGAGAGTAATGTTTGCGAGGTCCTGGTCATCGTACCCGCCTCCAACATTGCTGTGCACCCCAGGGAACCAACATTGGACCAAATTGGTGCGATCATTATCACGCTTCTCCCACAGTGCAGGCGAGAAAGGTGCCCTCCGTTCATCCAGGGCGAGGGCCTGGAAGGCATTTTCAACACAGGGGTGCAGACGGGTGTCATAAAATTCGTATTCATGGGTCCCTCGAGCCCCAAGGAGGGAGTCGAAAAATCCCAACCTTGGAATTCCCAGACTACCGACCGTGTCCCAACAGCAGATGGCTTTGATGGGCACATTTATTGTCGTCAGACCTCTCCTTGCGAGTTCATCCACGTAACGCTGATCGAAAGGTCCTTTGTCTGGAAATGGGTTGTCGGGGTATCTGCTTACATAGCGGTCGTCAAAGCGATGTTCCCAATCTTCGAATATCTCATTGAAGCTCGGGAGACCGGCTCTCGTCAGTAATCCCAATGCTCCTATCATCCCACCAATACTTCTTGCTGTGAAGGCGCCTCGGCTGAATCCTATGAGAAACATCTCATCACCAGGTTTCCAGTTGATTGCAAGATAAGTGTAAGCTTCGCGCATGTTCTCCTTGAGGCCGAAGCCAGTAGCACCGCCAACAACGCGAGATGCACGGCCACCCATGGTGCCGACACCAGCCTGGTAATTGACAATCTGGGGAATGCCGTCCCGAGAGGTATCTTTAATAGCCCAGCCAATGCGTGAGACATTTGAAGGCGGTTGTTTCTGGCCGTTAACCAATCCGTTGTCAGCATCGAGCCAAGTACCGTCACAGGTGACAATGAGGCGCTTTCGAGGTCCAGCGATGGGGCGTTCGCGGGTGCCAGGCATAGGACCGAGAGTTGCGCTTAGAGGAGGAGGCTCAAGGCGCGACTGTGGACGACTGGGCGCCATACTGAGTGGTGGGGGTGGAGGAAAGACGCCAGATGCGTGAACGCTGCTTGGATAGCCTGGCGGCGCAGGTGGAGGTGCGAGCCCACTGGCCACGGAGGAACGTGGAATGGGTGGGCGTGACATGTTGACTGCCGCGTCTGTGCCTGCCTCGGGCTGCGAACTTGCGAGGCTGAAATGTGTGTATGGGTACCGGTAGCGTGAACGAGACAGAGCCGTGTCAATCGGTCAAATGGCACGGTCGCCTACGTCCGGATATGCGATTCTGTAGTGAGGTTTCCATGGACGAGGAATATGTGGACTGTGGAATGCTAGTGAGTGTTGCGAAAAGTCACGCGGCAAGATGGGTGCAGCAGTGACAGAGGAAGGAGCAGCCAGCCAAAGATTAGAGTTGGGAGGAAGGAAAAGAACGTCGAGGAGAGAGGCGCATTGCAAGAACGAGACAGCGCAGAATCACAAAGTGGTGGTGGTTGCTGCTGCTGCTGCATCTTGTGACGACGCCTAAAGGTCTTACGGGGAACAGCCCACTGGCAATGGCAGGGCAAAGTGCGTACAGTAGTGCATTGTGCAATGCTGCCCCATCCCAGCCTCCCTGCAAACTTCAGTGGCAAGGCTTGCAAGATGGCTGAGATGAGAGCGAATCGACGTCGGGTCAGCCCACTGTCATCTCCGGTTCATGCGGCATGGCTGGGCTCGCTCCCCAAGTTAGTCACCTGAGCTAGATAGACCTCGTAGCTGGTTGGTTTCTGGGCTGCGGGCGGCTGCTAATGCTAATCCAAAGCCTTGTCGCTTGCGCCGGCGGCACTTTAAGGGTTAGTTAAATGATTACGTAGGTTGCACCTCTTTATTTTGGCATCCTGTTGCTCTCAGGCTGGTGAAAATGGATCCAGTCAGTGGACAGTGCATAATCATCAAATGCAATATCAGTCCCCCTCTACTGATTGAAACTGAAATGTCTACAGATTCCGGTTTTGAGCGTCTTAAGCAAGAAATGCATAACAAAGTGGCCATCGTGCCTCAAGCAATAATATCTTGCGAGGCATATCCGCAACGCCACCATCAGCCTTCCACGCCCGATCCATAGTAAAACTGGTACAACACGCACTTCATCTGTCCGGAAAGTCTGCAAAATTATGGATGCTGATGTCCATTCTGTCCCGCACTGATGGGCTCTCGTCCTCCTGAGAGGCGTGCAAATCCCGACCTGAGACACCCTTTGTTTTGATAGGAGGCTTTGGGGAGCCTCCATTCGATCCCGATGCCGGCACAACGTGGCCTCTATCACTGACCATGACCCCATTTGTCGCCATCTGAATCTGATCCTGGCCGGCTATTCCTTGGACAATTGCGCGTCGTGCTTCGTCCATGACCTTGAACTTACGTGTTTGTCCCCTGATGCGTTCAACATGCTCGAAATATGCTTCATCAACGGGCGTAATGTATGAACCACAAAACACTCCAACTTCAAAATTCTGGGGAGCATTTTCGCTCTTGGCTTCTCGAGCTGCATCCACACAGGCAGCCTTGAGGTCATCTAGTGATTGATACACCACACTGTCCGCCCCGATATGCTTGGCGATCGCATCCGCTCCGGGATAGTTGTGTGCAACCAATTCGAGAGGTGATGCCAGGTCAATGCCATAGATATGCGCGTGAGTGATCGGTGGAGCGCAACTGGCGATGTGCACCTTCTTTGCCCCGGCTTCGCGCACCATGTTAACGATTTCACGGCTTGTGGTCCCTCGTACAATACTATCATCCACCAGGAGGACGTTTCGGTCTTTAAACTCCATGGCCATCGCATTGAGCTTGCGTCGGACACCTCTTTGCCTGGCTTTTTGTTCAGGCATGATAAACGTCCTAAATACGTAGCGATTCTTGACAAAGCCGTGACAGTATTCTTTCCCAAGCACTTGAGCCACCAGTGAAGCCGAAGTGACCGATGTCTCTGGGATCGGAATAACAACATCAATGTCCTCAAGATCTTGTGGGCTGAGTGTCCGCTTGACCCGCTCAGCGAGTCTGGCGCCCATATGCTGTCGACTTCGGTGAACGCTGATACCGTCCATCACCGAGTCTGGCCGAGCAAAGTAGACGTATTCGAAGATGTCCGGTGCATACTCAATTTGCTTCTGGACTTGGCGAAAAACAGGCTCATGACCTTTCTGAACAATCACCGCCTCCCCAGGCAAAATATCGCGAGTGACTTTAAAGCCAAGCTGTTCCAGTGCAACAGACTCTGAGGCCACCATATAGTCTTTGCCAGGCCCATCGAGAGAATATCTAGACCCCAGCACCAAGGGACGAATTCCAAAAGAGTCTCTGAATGCAATGATGCCATAGCCAGCGATCATTGCGGTGCACGCCCATCCACCTTTGCATCTTTCGTACATCCGGCTCAAGCTGGCAAAAACATCATCATCATTCACGCGAGCTTTTCCAGTTTCATTGAGTTCATCAGCAAATATATTGAGCATAAGCTCACTATCGCTGTCAGTATTGATATGTCTATGTGCCTCAATGTCAAGGTATTTTTTGAGTTCGGGTGCGTTGATCAGGTTGCCGTTGTGAGCGAGACATATCCCATACGGGCTGTTGACGTAGAACGGCTGCGCTTCAGCATTGGCACTGCTCCCTGCGGTCGGATATCTCAGATGTCCAACGCCCATAAATCCTGGTAGATCGACTATTCTTGAACCATCTTGGAAGACTTTTGCAGCCATACCATTCCCTTTGCACTGGTATATCCTCCCACCAGTCGCACAGGTCGCGATTCCGCAGGCATCTTGACCACGGTGCTGGAGGAGATAGAGCGCTTCATGTAGGTCAACTGCGGCGGATGTAGAAGAACTGTTGGCGAGAATGAGAGCGAGAATGCCACACATGTTGGGCGATTTAAGGACGAAAGGGAGGTAGCAAGGTCTATCAACCACCAAGTTAGTCAAGAGTGATGGCGCAATGAACTGCTATGTGGGTGCGTCCAAAAGGTGTCCGATCAGACCCGAATTTCTCAGCAAGATAGATATGTAGTCTAACATCTAATAAAATAAAATTGGCTCATCCTCGAGATTTTGCAATGGTTTAACAAATCCTTGACTCACCTAGACAGGCATACGACGGTAACCTATGATCTGGCTGGCTCAACAGAACGGTATCCGTGTACAAGAATTCTGTCCACTGTCGCAGTTTCGAAGATGCAAATTAGGGTGTGTAAATGGATGAGATGAACAAGCTCAGGGAGGGAGTTGATCAGACACTGTGAGAGTCAACGGTTCAGAAGAATGGGTAGACCACATGATGTAGTTCTTTGAGAAGAAAGGAAAGAAGTCAACCCCGGGTGGAGAGAATATTTGGCCTCCAACGCGGGCTTCTTTTGGCGGGATCCATAATCTAGAAGACTTTTGAGTGTATCTTCCGAAACCTAAGCCGTTGTCTGGCTAGAAAATGAGATGGAGGAAATTTCTAGTGTCTGCCCCACCATCACCCGCTTTCACGATGGTCGGTTCGGAAGAATATTGGTCCAGTTTGTCACTCACGTGTCATGCTGGGTCGGATCATCTATGCTCCGGTAATTGAGACAGCCCCTGACGTTTGTAGCCTCGTTGTCAGGGACTTGTTCAACAATGAAAGTCTTTTATCTAGCTTATGGAGGTGAAACTCTATGAAATTACGGCCTAATGCCACTAAGGTCCTATAAGTACTTCTAATGGTCCTTCCTCAATTCTATGGGTTCGGGAATATCACCACGGACGCCAACATTGTGCTGTAATACAGGTGAACATTTACACCTGGTAAGGCCCAGCATTTCCATCTCAGCCGCGCGCTATCGGGAATGTAAAAAGGAACGACATGTGTGTTGTAAGACTGCATCCAGCAATAAGCCAGGAAATTTTATCTCCCAGCTGGTCAGCCTTATCAGGGACTGTCCATCTCTGTTGTGATCTGTTCTATACTGATCGGAAAGCATCGTGGCGGAAGTCGCTTTGTGTTATTGCAGGGGTAAGGAACAGAACAACAGCTACAACTACAATGGAGAGTTGCAAGCAGATTCAAGTTTGATATCAATTGCACTATGTGGTGCTATCGCGCAACGATACTTTGTTCCAGCTGTCTTTGACCTTAGAGCCTAGATTCCTCAGTTGTGCTCTCTCTTCTCTCAGACTCCTCAATCATTATCTCCCTTAACAGATTGACTTGCTACCTCCATGTCTCTTTTTTTTCTCATTGTAAAAGCCCCAAATCCCTGACTATCCTTCATATTACCCTGCTGTTAGTTAGCACGCACCTGATCTTTAACAACCCTGTTGTTCCCTCTCACAAGCTTGGACAATATCAACGATCCTCTGTCCTGATCCACTGTCTCCCCTGTATCCCACTTTCCCTCAAGGCTCCTGTGCACTTCGCGCTACCTCCAAAACGTTTTTCACCATGGATTCCTATCTATTCCGAATCACAGATACAGAGATGCAGGATTCTACTGCGGCTGAAATCCCGCCATCTCAGCCTATTGATCCCTCACAAGTTTTCACACAGCCCGGCTGGAGCGTCCAACTCACAGACGGTTCTTACATGTACATCAAATCGTGGAGAACAGACGGTTATGATAGGACTTGGATCACAGGTTACAAGCTGGTCATCCCAAGCGCCGAGGATCATTGTGTTCGCCTTCAGGCCAAAGAACTGTTGTGGGTTATGCACCCCAATGTTCAAGGAAACCTAATCACAGAAGTACAACGACTAGCCTCGGATGCGATTCGGAACTGTCGAATCATCTTCACAAATCAAAAGTACGAGGACTTGAACTGCCACATGGATGCTGGAAGTTCGCTCGAGCCATTGTACTTCTGCAGATGGAAACGCGGTCTCCCGTTGCTGGCTCAGATGTGTCCTAAGAATGATGGAGTAAGCAGGCACTTGACAGGCAGCCTGGAACACATCCGATCACTTGACGCTGATGATGGGTATCGCCTTCTCAAAGATGGTACTTCAATTCCTACTCGAATCTCTAATACAGAGGCTCGAAACAATTGGCGAGGCACCGGCCAGACGGCTCTAGGAGGAAGTCACAAGGAGCACATATATGAAGATCTCCACGTTCAGCAATACACTATGGCTGATGCTTTCTGCGGTGCTGGTGGCGCCTCACAAGGAGCACTTGACGCGACCTTACGAGTAACTTGGGCTTTTGATATGAACTCGGACGCTATGGCAACATATAGGGGACGATTTGTGCCGCGTTCGGGAACCGAATGTTATCTGGAAGAGTGTTATTCCTTTTTGATTCGGGTCATGAAGCATCCAAAGCGATACATGGTGGATATTTTGCATCTGAGCCCTCCATGTCAGCCTTTCTCGCCAGCAAACACTGTCCCAAATGAAGAGAAAAACGCAATAAACCATGCGACGTTCACGGCAGTTGAGGACCTAGTTAGGTATACCCGACCTCGTGTTGTCACCCTGGAAGAATCTGATGCTCTCGAATGGCCAAGTCGCCGCCTTTGGTTCAACAAGCTTCTTTCGATGTTTATGGGGCTGGGATACAGTATTAAATGGGCAGTGTGTGAGCTAAGTGACTACGGAGTTCCACAGACTCGAAAACGGCTCATCATGATCGCATCTGGGTGAGATTTGTCCTCTCCTATTTTCAAAGATATCGAGCTAATATGCATGAAGTCCTGGCGAAGTCCTTCCACCAATGCCCATGCCAACGCATGGCAGAGGATGCGGCCTTCATCTTCCTCCATCTATCAATACCGCAATATCGGGGATCCCTTTTGATTCTCTACACCACAACCCCGACACCGTACACCGTATCACAAGACATCCCATTAACCGATTCCGTCTCTCTGGAACAATAAAGTGTAGTGGAAACAGTGAGAATGTCTATCATCCAAGTGGTCGACGGCACTATACTACACGGGAGATGGCGAGCCTGCAAACATTCCCCATTGATTACGAATTCGTTGGTAAGCCAGGCTCGAAGAATCGACAGATCGGAAATGCCTACCCGCCGCTTGCGGCAAAGGAGGTATTCTCAGAGGTGGCAAAGTCCTTACAAAAGGCGGATGAAGAGGAGATGGCCGGTCATGGTGAAACCCAGTGAGGTTGTGGGTGATGATTGGGGCCCGTGGCAGAAGTCGTGTGAGATCAGATAAATATGGTCGAAATATGGCCATGGGTAGCAATGAAATCAATTGAAGAAGAAATGCCTCTTCCTCAAATACCAAAGCCTCTTTGCATTGATGCTTACATAGACCCTTACAAATATGGTATCTCACATTATCTGCATTCTAGTGGGCGTTCCCCATCAGCACAGAAGTCACAGAATGACCTCTAGAGTTGGTCAGTCGTTTCGTAGATTCAGATCCTATAGGCTATTACCATGATTGCATGGACTGGGAACGGCCATCAGCGATATGTGGCACTAGAATGTTGGTCTATCCGGTAGAATACGTTTACACTGCCGTAGTCGTCTTGGTGTGGTGCCCTCTTCTAGTATAAGAGTGACTCAGTAATACCACCAAAAGTAGCCTGTCGAGTTCCAAAAATGGTCCTGCCTTCCTTCGACTTAAAGCAATGGTGGCCCCACTCTCCAGCGTCACTTCGGCAATCGCGGTGCTCTGAGATGGGAATGCTGTGAACATACGATCACAAGGTAAGGCTGCCGATGGTGCAAAATACGGCATTATGCCTCTATAATTCACGGCCGTTGTTGGCGCCAAAAGTAACTATCGACGGAACAGGCAGACAACCTCGTGATGACGATCAATGAGTCAGTGCTACAGCCTCTGGAATGCTTTGGAATTATGAAAAAAAGGCTCCAGGAGGTCATCTTGCCTAGTAATTATCTATATAAACCAGAACGGTGACCATAGAATAGAAGAAGACAGAAATCTCAACAACGCTGACTTGCCTGTATCGATTGGCCCGTACAGTTGTACAGTCCAAATCCTCCAACAACCGTACTACCTCTGGAACGCAGCTAATTGCTCGACCTTACTTTGCTCCACATTCCCGACAGTGCCCGTGAACACTAATTCTTCGGTTTTCTCCCCTCCATCATTCATCAACCTTGCTGCGAAGTCGTTTGAAGCTTGTCCTGTTGCGGTCAATAGAATCTTTCTCGCATCAAAGTTCAAGTCTCCACCCGTAGAGGATCTCCAGGCCGCATGATCATCCGGTCTTACCAGCACCGCATCTCTTTCCCAGACCTTGCGAGCATGCGGCTCTTCCGGTAAATGGACGAACCTGATTGGGATGTTGACCTCCAACGATGCCTGCGCGGACTGGAATAGTTTGATATAATCCCCCTTCTGCGAGAAATCGACCAAGGTCCATTCTGAGCCCTGGCCGAATAGATCAAATACGCTCGCCACGCCATCCTTCAGAAAGACATGCGGAACTCTTGCCCCAGGCCAGGTTGACGGGATGTAGTGCTTCTCCAGCCAGGGAGGCTCGGTAGAAGCATCTTCCTGCAAGACAATTACATCAGATTTGTACCGATATCCAAGTTCCAGTCCGTGATCCTTGTTCTCGTTATCGTGTGTCACTAAATGTTGCGCAAGCTCTTCTCGAACTGCGTTTCCTTTTTCTGTTTCTGAAGATACTGCACCCTCTGACCGACCGCTCATTTCCCAGCAAGTGACATGGACTTTCCAATGAGCACCAGATCGATCAATATTCCTCATGCCTACCGGCCTTCTTTCGTCTTCGTATGATTGTAATAGTGACCGGCCGCCATAACCCCGGACCGCTGCTGCTACTTTCCAGCCAATATCAAAGCTGTCTCCAACAGCTGTGTTCATACCGTAGCCGCCTGTCGGTCTGGTATTTACTGAGATTAGTACATTGCCGCGAACCCGTGAGAATAATGAGCATGAAAACTGGGGGATTGACGTCTAAGAAAATAAAGAGCAACTTACATGTTTTGGTGAGCAGCGTCGCCGGAGATGAACACTCGACCTCTACTCGACATATAACGGTCAGCTAGGTAGATGTTTGGTCTCCAGATACTTGTGACTAGAATCTCATCAACTTTTAAGGATTCTTTTGACGCGTCAATACCTAGTCCTTTGCTGATCTCCTTGTAAGGGTCCATTTCGGAAAGTTTAGCGTCAATCGACACGGGAACGTGCATAGTCCAAGTATCTTTCTCATCCTGAGAGATAATTACGTATCCAGTGGTGAAGAAAATATGCCAGAATTGACCTTGACGATGGAGGATATCCAAGTCACGAGACTTGAAGTGGATGAGAAACATGGCTCCTGGGCTAGGGTGGCTGTTAGCAGTGGCACTGTACAAGGAAGAGTGAGCCTTGTCCTTACACCGGCCCTCCTGTCATTGTGATTCCGATGCTCTGACGGACTTTACTACCAGCGCCATCACAGCCGATTACGTAGGATGATTTGACGGTATGTGTCTGGCCCGCTTGGTCGACAAGTGTACTAGTCACAGAATCTTCTTCTTCAATCAAACTCTGGAACTTCATCCCAAACCTGGAAGTTATTAGAGGGTCGCCTTCAATTCGCGGTTTCAGCCAGGCTTCGAAAATCGCCTGAGAGCATCTCTGATACGGTTCACGGGGCATGGAGCCATCGTTTTGTTTCTTGATCTTCTGCCGCCAATCTCGAGGCGACGGGAGGTCCTAGCAGGATCATCAACATGTCGTCAACATGCTTAGAGCCAGACTGTGTTATTTCATACCCATTTTGCAATGAACTTTCCATCGTCGGATAGTCCCGTGCTGAATAGAACATCAAAACTAAAATTGTCAGGAACTCCTTTAACGTCATCAGCTCATGTGTATTGCAAGCAGGACGTGCCTGCGAATGTCTTATATTATGCGAATACGTACCAACCTCCCTCAAACCCTCATCTACGCCGAGGCGTTTTAGGAGCTCCATACTTCGACAATTGGTGATGTCCATCTTGGGCCATTTGGTCGTGTCAAGGTTGCGCTCAACAAGCAGGCATGGAATTCCATTTCTCGAGAGCTGCAATGCTGCGATCATTCCCGCAGGGCCCCCGCCTACAACGAGAACGGATACATCGCTTGGGACAGACTGCGCATTTGAGTGAGAGATTTCCATTTTCTAGACCCTTAGCCTAGCAGCTGCGGGATCTGTATGTGCAATGGCGCGTAAATTCGATTATTATTGGAAAAGAAGGACTGTGTCGTGAATATAACATTTGTTCGGTCAGTTCTCAGATGTCATAGTACCGGGGTACGTATTGGTGTCAATCGGCCTGATACGAAATAGTTTTGCCCAAATATGCTTGCCTTGTTAGCATGGACCACTGAGAGCTCAGTATTTGTAAGAAGCGCGTAATGAATACAGCATGAGACTGGCATCTAGTGGAATTGCCGAGGACGGCACGGCCTTATCGGTGTTTCACGGCGTTCACTTGCGTTACTGTCGAGCTTTGGCCGGCCCTCAGACGACGCATCATTGGCCCCATCCCCCCCATGAACTTAGTAATTGGTATTTGACAAAAGTAACAAATCATCAGATGATTCAATACAACGTACAATCCATGGAACCTGCGTTAAGTTAAGCCGAAAAGAGGACGAGAGCTCACATTTTCAGGAAGGACAGGAGTACGTAGTACCTAGATAGCAATCATGAAACCCTGGGCAGGAACGAAGTATATGTAGCAAAATTGCGTCTCGACTCAAGATTTCGTCTATTTAGATGATGTGAAGTTCCTGGTCTCTGAAATGGGCGGTCATCATCGAACAGGGGCTGTGGATACATAAAGACAACGACTGCTACTCGTAGTGATGTTCAGGTGAACAATGAGGACTCCGCCATACCTCCCTAGGTCATGATGAGCCCTTAGAATGCGCCCATACAAGCACTGGCTTTATGGCCTTGCCGCTTTTCATGTCCTCGAACGCTTGGATAAAGTTTTCAGGCTTGTAATACTGAATGATCTTCCCAAGCGGAAGGTGTCCTAGGCGGGATTGATCGATCAGATATGGAATTGACTAGACTCAGATTAGCATCATGGGGGGAGGTTGATCATTCTGCACCGTTCCGAATGCATGCTTACCTCTGGTGGATAGCTCTCTCTCCTCCTACGCTTCCAATAAACTGTTTTCCCATATCCAAGAACTTGAGTGGTTGAATACTGATCGTTTTATCATACGGAGTTGCTCCCACAACCACAGTCTTGCCGCGAACCCCGATAGCCTCTATCATATTTTCGATGACCTTTGGCACCGCCGTTGTGTCAAAGGCGTACTTGACACCAGCCGGAAGGGGGCAGATCTCACGAATCTGCTCGATCAAGCTATCACCCGTACCTTTCAAGGTGTGGGTTGCCCAAGTTCCTTGGCCAAAGACAAGCTATTTTCTTGAATATCCACTGCGATAATAACTCCAGCGGCTCGCGCCTTCGCCGCCATGATCGCACTCATTCCAACAGCACCACAACCCGAAACTATCACGGAGTCCCCGGGCTAAACGTCGAGCACATTCACAATCACTCCTTACCCAATTTGGATACCACAGCCAAGAGGAGCAAAAAGTTCCAAATCAGTTTCCGGCGGCACTTTCACCAGGCAGCCTTTATTGACTATGGCAGTCCGCGAAAACGAGCTTTGGCCGAAGAAATTTCCATATATCGACTTTCCATTCGTACCTTTCAGTGTGAAGCTCTGGTCCGGTCGCCCAGTCCTAGCCAGGTTCGTGAGCGCATGTCATCACAGTAGCCAGGGAGCTTCAATTTGCAGTTGTTGCATTCTCGGCACTGGTTGAAGCTAAGGATGACCTTGTCGCCTGGCTGGACATGCGCTATGTCAGTGCCTATTACTTTCACGACCCCAGCACCTGGTGAGATGATAAGTCAGCCTTGGTGGGTCCATGTCCATGGAGAATTATTGTTAGGTTTTAGTGGCCGAGGACGCGGGGAAATGGGAGGGGAATATAGCCGTACAACACGGTTAAGTCAGCATGACAGACACCGACGGCGTGGACTCCGATGTAAGCCTCGTCAGGTCGAAGTTCGTCAGGTATGACCTCCTCGATGATCGGAGGCTGATTTGGAGCGTTTGCCACTATGGTAATGCTTTTGTGAACCACAGCTGTCGTCCCAAGGGATCTCAGTGCGGTTCTCCTGTACCAGCAATGCGGTCGACGCGAAGATGCCTAGGTACACTTTCACCAAATCTGCCCTGTTGAAAAAGAATGATTAACTGTCACCCATACCTTGAGGTAGTATAGCAGTGCTAGCTTTTCCTCGGTATTTTACGAACTTGAGTCTGGGCTCTGTAGCATAGCCATTAGCCAGGTAAAGTTTACTTCCCCACAAATGTATCCATCCCGGTAATGTCGGATATGAAACGGAGCGTCCGTAAGAATCCCGGCCTACTGAGTATGCAAGAGGATTTGACAAATCATTACCGTCTGCCTCCTGTCACGGGAAATATTGATTGGAATATGAGATTGATAATTCCGCGCCAGTGGCTAGCTCACTACCAAAGTTTGTTCATTTTCATACCGGACCGTCCTACCATTGTCTTCGAAAATATCAGATTCAACACCACAGACCATACCAATAAGATCAAGACCAGAAACAAAGGAAAACATGACAGTCACGCAGAAACACGAAGATCTTGATGTTGTGCCTTGTTGGATAAATGGGAAGGCGGGCCCTCTCGATACCAACAACCTGATTGAAGTCTCCTCTTCGGCCAAAGGGAAGAAGGTCTACTATGCACAATCGGCATCGGCGGAAACTGCGATGGCAGCAGTGGAGTCGGCGGCGGAAACTTTTAAGAGCTTCAGCCAGGTGCCATACAACAAGCGAAGGGAGTTACTGCTGAAGGTGGCTGATGTCTTGGAAAGCCGCGTGGATGAGCTGGCTCTATATCAAATGGAGGAAACCTCCTGCCCGGAGATGTGGGGACGATTCAATGTCATCCTCGCAGCCAAAGCAGTGCGAGAGATTGCAGCTAACATTACCATTGCTTGTACAGGAGAAATGCCTCCACCAGAAACCGCGGACGCCTTTTGCCTTGTCTATAAGCAACCCATCGGACCCGTGCTGAGCATGGCGCCCTGGAATGGAAGTATTATTCTGTCATGCAGATCTCTGGCAGCCCCACTTGCAGCTGGATGTACTGTTCTCTTCAAAGCCTCTGAACTCTCTCCGCGAACTCATCATGGAGTTGTCGAAGCATTTCTCGCCGGTGGCATTCCTGAAGGAGCCCTCAACCAAATTCAGGTCAAACGTGAGGATGCCACGTCCATCACCGAAATGATCATTGCCCATCCAGCCATTCGTAAGGTTGAATTCATCGGCAGTACCGCAGTGGGACGGTCGATCGGCCAAGTCGCAGCGAAGTACCTCAAACCCATTTTGATGGAACTCGGAGGCAAAGCTCCTGCAATTGTACTCAAAGATGCAGATCTCGAAAGAGCTGCTGCCCTCTGTGTCCAAGGGGCGACTATGCATCACGGTCAAATCTGCATGTCAACCGAGCGAATCATTGTGGTGGAAGAGGTCGCAGCAGAGTTTATAAAGCATCTAAATGATGCTGTAACGTCTTTGAAGGGAGATGCAGGTTTTGCCGTCACCAAGGCAATGGCCAAAAAGGCACAAAAGCTAATAGATGACGCACTGTCACACGGTGCCACTTCTTTAGTCGGTGGTAACCAAGAGCGAGGAGACAGCGGTGCCGCCCTTGTGCCAACTTTCATCACTGGAGTTAAGTCTGGGAACCCTATCCATGATGTTGAAACCTTCGGCCCGTCAGCAACCGTGTACGTGGTGGCGGATGAGAAGGAGGCAATCGAAACAGCTAACGATAGTTCATACGGACTCACGGGTGCTATCCATACGAACGATATTTTGAAAGGCCTTCGTTTAGCAAAACAGATGGAAGTCGGACTAGTCGCAATCAATAGTATGACTTTATGGGAGGAATCTCCAGTTCCGATGGGAGGAGTCAAAGGGAGCGGCTGGGGCAAGAATAATGCCAGGTTTGGAATAGAGGAGTTCCTCATTCAGAAAGCGGTGGCGATTATCGCCGCAGCTGGACAACCTACTTTTGGAGCGAGCTAAGTCGGCGAGATCCTGCTCCCTAGTATATAGGTCTCTTGCACTAGGAAACGTGGCTCTGCAACAGGTTTCTGACTTCTCGTCTGTAAACACTGTGCTTGTAGGATTGAGATGTCACGCTTCGATCATTCCTGACAATAGTCAAATGGATTGGCTCAATGCAATGTTTGCACCGGCATCAAGCGGATTTCGATATATATTGGTGCTGTTTTCGTCAATGTCCGCCCGGGACTCTGATGTTTGTGATATTGTAATATCAAACGGTCCGAACGGAGACCAAGAATGGTATGGCCGGTGAATTCCACCGTCATTCAATGCACCAGCTGTTCCAGGAGTGCAATGATCTGGAATAAGACCTTCATCCCTAGATCGCCCTATTTGCGAATCAGGCGCTCTCTTCCGTTTCGACATAGATGGTACGAGGACCGAGTACTGTTTCAACAGCACTTGTTGTTCGACTTGAATTGTATCATGGGAGACGACGTGCAGTCCTTGTTCGACAAGAGACAGCAACCCTATACCGAGTATTAGCCCGCATCAAGGGAACTACAATTTCTGGGTTGGCTTACGAAGCATTTCTGTCCCCAACTTCCAGTACTTTGAGTAGTGTGCCACAATAGTTCTAGCCACTTCACGTCCACGAAGGGCATTGTCAGATTGATTGGTATCAGTTGAGCCAGGCACGATGACCGCGCAGCATACAATGGGATGGCAAAGCGGAATGTATTCAGGGGACCAGACTTGACCAACCCGGTAAAGATAGGACGTTATCCTTTTTGCAAATTGTGATTTGTCCTGGAAGCCTGACGAAGGCTCTATGTCGATCTCCCCATATCGGGACCATGTCGACCGTTCAAGAATAGTCTCAGACCTGTCACGTGTAAGCATGACCTTGTTATCAATGTGGGTTTTCCAGATACTCACGTTATGATCATGAGATGTGTTGCGATGATCCAATTTCCCTGCTCATAGTTATCCCAATCGAGAAATAATGACCGTAGATGAAAGTCGGCTGGAAGGGACAATTTGAGATTGCACAATGCGCTTTCGAGGTCGGCCTTCGATAGTTTAGCATGTCGAGATGGTCGGCGTGCGTTCAAAACTATGTTGGATTTGAGATAGTTGGTCACGAGGAACCATGCTCGAGGAGACTGGTTTGGAGATCCTTGTAAACTCTTCCAGACAGTCTCCGGCCGATGATCAATGAAAGCTGATCTGATCGGAATACCGCAAAGCCAGTTGTAATCAGGAGCGGGGAGAAGGACTTTCATCTCTCCCCTTTCAATACTGAATGGTTGAAATGAGATAGTTGACACGAACGTGTCGAGTTCCCAAATCGACCACCAAAGCCTTCGACGCTCTTCTTTCTGCAGCCATGATTCAACACTCTCACTGATTGGACAGTTGATGAGGGTACCTTCCTCATCGAATTGATCTTCGTCAATTTCGTCTAAGCAAAGATCGTACATAAAGCGGACACAGACACTTGTCAAGACAGAGCCAGGACCGAAATGTCCCTCAACAAGGTTATAGAATGCAAGCATGACACAGCCCATCACAAATTCTATACTGGGCTCTTGAAGGGTCTTCATACTAGAATCCTTCATGTTCGAGGCGCGGTTTGCGTATATCGCGCCACGATCTGGCACCGGAATGCCTTCGAAATGTATGGACTTGGAAAACCTTGCAGCCATTGCAAACATGCAATAGATCATGAGTGCCTCGTCTTCAGAGACTCTTGAACGCTCGATAAGGACACATGTTTGCCCAATCTGACGGATGAATCTCTCGTAGAAGGTCGGTCGGTGGACAAACGTCAGCCAGCTTTGAATGTTATCAAAGAAGAGTTTGATTCTGCAGACGTCAGTACACGCTACTTCAGCGTTGATGAGAAATTACAATTCCCCGGACACTTTTGGAGGAACTCCCCAGCCATTATCATCAGTATCTTCTCCTATATCGAGGCTGTCGTTGGCGATTTCCATTTCGATTGGTAGCCAGGGCTCATGGGTAGGAGAGAGGTCCAGGTTCCATATCTGTGAGGTACCTGTAGGCACAGCAATAGGAATTTCAGATGGTGCCAACAGTAAAGAGTCAATCGAGAGTGAGCTTGACCGGCAGGTGTTGGGTGCTGAAGTGCTTTGTATGTGCGTCGTTGTGGTTCCACCCCCTAGTCGAGCGTTGCTTCCTGCAGAACCCCGTTAGTAAAGAGAGAGGGCAATATGTGCCATCTCACTTGCGACTTACCCATAGGCTCATCCTCGCTGACCGGGTCGCTCAAATCCATGTCTGAGCTCTGGCAAACATGCGCACCTGGGGTGTGAGTTAGGGCTTGCCTGCAGTTCGCGAAGTGGCCATTACATAGCACTCACTTGCTAGCAACTGGGCATCAGTCAACTTGGCTGTCCTTTTTGAGCGACATCGAGGTTTCTGGGGTTTTTGCCGGAGAGGAAAGGTGCATTCTGAGCCAACCCGACGACAAAGTCCGCAGACGGGACGTTTCATATCGCCTTGTGGCCTGCATGTCAGTTGAATGGCTCTGAGGTAGTGTAGCAAAGCCTACATTTTGTCTTCTTCCTACGTAGTCAAACGTTATTAATGATTATCTACGCTGCAGCTATTGCGCGAGGCTACACTTGCCTATTACAGTCCTGACAGGCTCTGTTAATTGTTCGAGTACTGGCGACATTGGCAGGAGAAGAATCCTCGCCGGAGACCATGACCTCGGTTGATATGCCAGCAGCGGACTCGCACAAGGATCAATCAAGGTACTCAGTCGGAGCTAACGTCGAAAGGTGTAATAAATGTGTGGCACGCAGGTAATCCAGGTCTCATAGGCCTCCCAAAATAGCCCTGCAGAGACTGAACTGTTTGAGAGAAGTTGACATACGTTGTCACTGCATGTGTTCAAGGTTGAGGGTTTGCTTGACGCTGGGAGAACAACGTGGGGAAGCTTTGAGCACAGGGCCCAAATGTACCGACTTCCACCGTCTTGAGTTTACAGTGAAGTCTGTCCTCTAACTGACTAATTCGAAATGACCCCCTTGGCATGGGGTACAGGTTCTACCATCCTTTTGCGACGCCATTCTTCCTCCATACTAAAAGAACAGGGTCCTTACGATCTGCATTACTTGAATCCTCACATTCAGAAGCTTCTCAGAGTGAAGACACCTAGTCGTGATGGGATGCTACTCGGGACTTCGATGGTCTCCTTGTTGAGCTCAATATTGACGCGTAGAATGAGTTTTCACCGGTTTAGGCTGAGAGGTTCAATTTTCACAATTCAAAAATGCTTCATTTGTAATTGCGCGCAGCCTCTTGCATGTTATGGAAGTCTGTTGGACGTACACTAGGGAACGCCCTCCTGGGACGCGTTGGCCATAGGGAGGAGGGACGAGGGCCTTTCCGGCGCTGCACCCAAATAGTCATGCCGAATGTGTACCTACATTCCATCACCTACAGAGAGAGGCAATCAAAAAGTCAGAGCCCTTTGGCTTGTCCGACAGACATAATCCCAGACGGCCGACTGATAGTCGGCATATGAGCCTTTCACCGTCCCCTCTCGACGAGCGGCCACACCCGACTCATTAATCAAGGAAGCGAACAACAACGGGTGGACCGTTTACCTCGATTTACATCGAGTAAGGTGCAAGCATGTAGATGATGATACGACTGGCTTCAAGCCGCCCGAGGCCCGGGAATTGAATACACAACCCGTGCGGGGTCGCGGGGAACGGCCAAGTAAAGTGGGCACGGCAATTTAAGTAAGCTTCAGAAGCCTTTCTTATGTCCGAAACATTCTACATCATGTTTCTGGACATGACATCTCATTACCGACCTCAGATTCTCCCGATGCCAACTTTCCTGTCGGGCAAAGACATCGGGTATGAGTAAGCGTAATTTCTGGTAGCCGTCAAGGAGCATTGCCGAATTGCCATTTTAAAGACTCGAAGGGAGGTGGACTCAGACCATTGGTCTCGAGGCAGGTCTAAGATGTTGATGTCTGCTCATAATGGAATGCCCACAGTTTGCAGGATGTAACCGAGGGTGAAAATCTGGTCCAGTCTGTCCACCCCCTACAAAGCATCTGTACGGCCTCGTCAGATCGGCTCAGATACCGTCGCGTTGATCTACTTTAACCTCGTGGAATAGAAGGAAGTCACTGGAGGTATCGTGAACTACAATATAGTTGATCGTGATCCTGTCAATCGCGGGGTGCATTCGATCTGTCTATTTCTTTCATGGAAGGGTTCTTCGGTCATCTGTTCAACCCTTCGAGGCGAATTCATGTTCGTTGTGCCTCTTCGTAATGATCTCTAGGCCCCAAGGAAGATACGGCGCACCTATTGCTTGATCCTGAGATATGTACAGATGACATACTAAGGAACTTCAAACATGGCAATTCTAACAGCGACTGGAACCCGTTCCAATGCATCGTGATTGCCGTTCCCAGCCAAATACTAGAGGCTCCATGTAACACGGGATTTCCGGCCGCACGCCTTACCAAGCCCGGAGTTGAATGGTCACTCCATATATATAAGGTGTCCACCAAATTTTTATAATCACTCGCTTGTATGGTATGCTGTATAACTGTCTCCTGAGTAACCCTGGTGTCACCATAAAACTATGGATTCTCCAGTTCAGCCAGCTAAGCACCGTGTCGATGTCCACCATCACTTCGCACCTGATTTGTATAGACATGTCAGTAACGGCGCTCACTTACAGACTTTTTAAATCTGGAACTAATAACTGGCAGGCTCTCGAGGCAGCCGGTGGTGATCCATCCGGGTCCTGGACACCTGCATGGAGTTTAGAGACCGACGATGCCTTCTGTCAGGAACTCGATATAGGAACGACTATTTTCTCCCTCACAGCGCCCGGGCCGCCGATCGCAGGTCAAGAAGGCTCAGTCAAACTTTCGCGCACCACCAATGACTATCTAGCCTCGGTGAGAGACAGGAATCCCTCGAAATATGGCTTTTTTGCCGCTATGCCGGATTTGCGTAACACAGCTGCCGCTCTGGCGGAGATAGAATACGCATTCGACACACTACAGGCGGATGGCGTAATGCTACTGACCAGATACGGCCCCACAAATATGTACCTTGGCCACGAGGCATTCAGTCCAATCTGGACTGCACTCAATGCTCGCAAGGCCGTCGTGCTCGTTCACCCAACACACTCCATCGATACGAGTCTTTTGGCCAAAAATATCCCGCAGCCTATTGTGGACTACCCGCATGAGACCACTCGAGCGGCCGTCGATATTATCATGTCTAACGGCCGAAGGAACTATCCTGACGTCAAGGTCATCTTGTCCCACGCTGGAGGAACGATGCCATATCTCGCGAAGCGCATAGCATCACTAAGCGATATCCAGCTGGTAAATAAGTCGGTCGATGAGATTGCTGAGGATATTGCAACTTTTTACTTCGATGTTGCGCTTTCCTCGACAAATCAGACCATTGAGACACTCTTGACCTGCACTACTCCTGATCATATTTTGTTTGGGAGCGACTACCCTTATGCGCCTCGAAAAACCATCGACCGATTTGCCAGGGAGCTGGACGAGAGCTTCCGGGGGAACAAGGATCTATCGTTTGCTATAAACATGGGGAACGCGATGCGCCTCTTTCCTAGGTTAAACAAGCAATGAGAATATCACTGGGTGCTTGATAGAGGCCCGGATTTCAACGAGATCAATAATATCAAAACCTGAGTCTCCTTATGGGACATAAGGGGAATTCTCGACTAGAGTGGAATGTCGCACCCTTGCTCTTGTTCCATTTGATTCAAGCGATTCCTGTGGTCCCCTCAACGAGGGTGCCTCTTTACCTCTCTAGCGTCAACGATTAATTTGCTGCTGGAAGTCTATGCGCAGGACCCCATACATGAATTCTCTGCTTCATGGAATGACGTAGCATGGTTCCTGTCCCGTATAATCACAATCTCCGATCTCCCCTGGCGTCTCCAGTGCCGTTTTGGACGGATCGTCTCGAAGGTAGTTCTGCTGTACGATATTGACCACATTCAAAGTCAAATATTATGCTATGTATAGAGTTTCGATGCTCAACAAAAACACATTTTTAATATCTATCAACGCAATCACTCGAGGTTACTTTTGTGACGGCTTCCCTTTAAACCCTTTCGGCTCGTCTTCGGATGCCCAGCTGTTTTCCATTCTCGCAAGCCAGAGATTGGCCCGCTGATGACTCAAATGAAAATAGATTATGCCAGGCAATTTCTGGGGATGGTTTGTACTTCTCACCATGGCGGAATTTAATGACCTCGTAAAAGCCTAAAAGGTCGCGCCTAGATGTTGTATACAGCGATTGTAGTGTTAGAAATTAACACCGAACACATCTGGGAGACGTAATGATAGAGCAGGTTAGGGGAAGACTAACAGTATTAGGACAGACATATGGTATTATACAAATGGTGAGAAATTCGCGGGCTGTGAGCGAGGATTAACGATGGGTCGTGACGGATACAGAACTTTATTGAAGAACTTAGGTACGAAAAAGGCTCGAACACTAGACTGTGGAAAGAGGCTAATCTGAGTAAATGATTACAGCCATCATCCATGGACGGCAATAACTACTGAGAAGAAGCTAACGACTCAGGCATTACCCATCATCCGGACCCACAATTCGTAGTCCGCGTTCCTATGGCCTCGACTGTCGACCTTGGCTCATGCACATTGGACGAAGCAGTTACCATTGTCCTGTGATAGTAGCTGGCCCACGTGGAATTCAGGCAGTAGACAGCAGTTGTGAGAAGTAGCTTGGCATTCAAGCCAATTCAAAAGCTGCTGCAGGGTGGGCGACAGCCGCCGAGATTCCAACTGGATGAATCTGCTCATCAATGTGCACTTGATATGAAGCGCGATGAATAATCAATTCCCTTAGCAGATCATCTGTATCGACGGCCCACGAGGCTAACCCGGGAAAGAGTCTGTCTTCTCTTCTATCGAGCAAGTTCATATATTGAAACAGAGTTCTTCCGGATGTCACATTGTCATAACTACCGTCGCCACTGCCTCACATGGCGACATGGGGCTGCTCATATCAAAAGAGAGAGCCTCGTCCTAAAACCGGGAAGAAAGAGGAGACAGCGTTAGACGTAATGGCTTCGGCAGACCGAATCAGTACAAATTCTGCTATCAACTTCTGTGAGCCTCGCCCGTGCGACACACCGGGGGCATCTTGCTGACGAAGAAACAGTCATTGCCGATCTTTATCCTTCATTCTTCCGCAGCAGAAGGTATGGAAGAGATGGAAGCGAAAATGGGCTTCTTCGCGAGGCTTTCCCATTTGTACTTCAGCATGAATCAATATTTCATTCTATTGTCCTCGTCGCTCAGGGCTCTCAACAATTAATTGAATATTCATCAACTAAAACAAGCACTACGACAATGGCGATGATGCAAAGGGCACTGCAGTCGATAAGGCAGATCATTCTCAGACGTGAACATATAAGTTCCCCGAACGTTTTGGCATGGGGACTGAATGCACTCACTAGCGTATTTGCAAGTGACATATGTACTCATCCGAAATCTGGAATTCAATAACAAAGCAGTGCATAGTATATGTTGAATGTTTACCATCAAGCAGAGGTTCACATCAACGCTCTAAGACACCGTTTGAACCTAGGAACAATGGGAATCAAACGCTTTACATTCCAAGCGGCGATAGGGTAAGCTCATCGTCCTTCCAAATTTTACGCTCCTACAATAACATACGATAGAAACATAGAATATTTTGACATGATTCGCCTGATAGAGAAAGGACTGGATGCTGACCCTGGCTTACTTGGGCCCTGTCTGTACCCGTCTCATCCCTTTTCCCATCCCGAGATGTGCAAGACACTGGCAGCCCTACCACCAGGCTTTAGCAATGTCACTCTGGTGAAATCCCTGAGTATTCGATGTGAGGGTGCTTGCGAGGATAGCCAAATGGGACCAGGAGTGCAAGATAACTGGAGGATTCGCCAAGCTAGAACTGGCTGCTCGATTCAACATAGCACTTGGTATCAAAGTGACAAAAGCCATCCCTTCGAAGAATGACATCAAATAAGAGGTTAGCCCTGATAGGAGCATTTGTTTATACTGTGTTCCTGGGTGGAGATAGTGATTCTCGGTTTGTATTGAATGGGAACATCCAGCTGACCTGCAAAGTGCTGCACAATTTGTTCCCATATACTGCCGAGTATGACCCAGCTTTGAAGTTGTGGACAGCCATATTGCTCAGAACGGTCTCGTAGTATAGAATCTCCAAGTCAATTAATGGTACTCTCTTACCTGAAGGACGACATCCTCGTTGAAAAAAATCATAACAGTACATAGTAATAAGGAGAGCATGGTTGAGATGGCGACAGATGTACCTACGACCATGAAAGCTCTGCAGCTTGTTGTGCGCGTTCCTACAGTAAGTGACAGCGATCTTCTGGTTTTTGCCACACAGTTTATCAGGTATGGGAAGGGATGTATAAGTCACCTACCCCCACCATCCCATCTCACGAACCGGTTGGCACCATTGCTGCAGTGGGATCCAAGGTGGACAACAAGTGGAAGATACTATGGGTACTAGTAGTACCTACATATAGGAAGTACTACCACTATACTTTAGTAGATACTAGATATTGTGAGTTTATATTATATAAGGACTCGGAGTCAATATTGAAAGAGAGCTAGACGATGAAAGCGACGAAAGCGACGAGAGCGACTATTATATATGGTAGTTAGTAGTTCTGAGTCCTTTCCTTCACTTACATATAGTACGTATATATGTATATATATATACTTAAGTAAGTATTTAGAACCTAAGTACCACCCTGACGCCATTGCGCTTGAGGAACGAGAATAAATCCATGGAGCCGACCAGTGGCTCTTATAGAATCGTCTACGGCACCTTTTCGCCTGCTCACTCAAAAAATCTAGGTTGGTTCTCTCTCTAGCGAACTATTTTGGCCGCGATAACATTCTACAGTAGTACTACTACTGGGACCTATGTGGATCCTACATTTTGTAAATGACAACGTTTCATAATTTGGGATTATTACTGGATTTATAGTTCTTTTTACAACACTGTTGGGGGTGGCGCGACCTTTTGAAGTATTAGCGGCAGTTGCGGCGCAGGTGACTCCTTGGGCCATCATTTGAGCTACCACAGATTTCCAATTTTGCTGTCTTGATGGTACTGTGAATCTCTCCAGAAATGGTAAGTGAACGAGTAGGATGAAATGGACAACATGTCACGCACTGTGTGGACGTATGGAAGTTTATTCACCAGTATCCGCTCCTAATGTCTTAGAAAAAGGCCGAAAATGATAATATTAATTATATGAGATTTTGGTGATCATCATGGCTTTCGGTCTGCCCAAACAAGGATACTCATTGACAGCCACCGAAACCTGTATGGCACAACTTAGGCCTCGAGATTCGTGTCCTTCCACAACAGAGAGTCCAAGTTGATAGCTGTAAGATGAGTTTGACCAAACTTGAGAAGATATAGAGTGTGTGGTCATTCCAATACTCGCGCCCACCTTGTCCATGAAGGCGAGAAATTCTGACTGTCTGGTGTCTAGGACTACAGTATCTCTAATTGCTTACCTCGAAAAAAAGCCATCCTGACTTCTCGCGTCAACATTCAATGAGAAGCCATGTCAACCGTGGGGTCAGGTGGATACTTCACCCGATGCCACAACGTGGCCAAGTTGCCGCGTAGGTTGAAGATGCTTTCGTACGTCTGTGGCTGGGTGTTGGAATGATGAAACCTGTTGCCACATTGTGTTGGAGAATTGTAATGGCCGGCAGGCTCTCACCTTTCAAGTTTGATTCGATTCTCGAGGGCGTCACACTTTTTGGAAGGACAACGGTGCCACGTTGCACGGACCAGTTCACCAGCATCTGGCCGACATCGACATTTAAGCGTTTGGCGATTGCTTGGATGGTTGATCGGCACGTCTAGGTGCTGAAAGAGTCCTGTCGCAGGGTCATTCGGGGAAAGCTCACCCGGACGGTAGACGAGAACGATACTGGCCAGTGGATCTGATTGGATCATTAATTCGCTCTGCATCATACTATCTTCGGGCCAAGCATTGCGGCCTCACCCAGCCCAACAGCCTGGATCTCGTAACCCGAGTTGAGCTTGAATTTCTTGTTTTGAGACATGGCGACGTGCAAAAGGGATGGGCAGCAGGAAGGATAACTGCACACTGAGTTAGGAGAAGAGAAGGCAAGTTGAAGGGGAGAAATGGTGGAAGAAAAAAATCCTGAAGTGATCCGAACTCGGGACGATACCAACTGAAGCCTGCATTCCTCATGAAGTCTCGTGCTATAGATTATAGATCCCACTCAAAAGGAGGCCCACTGCGAGCCGGTTGCCCTCATTGTCGTGACCGAAATATTATGAATGCGTTCATAAACCATGAGCTTAAGCTCCATGATTCCCTGACGCAAAATGCTTCTCAGAGACCGGCTGCTTTTCGTACTTTGATACTTCTCAAAGTCTCCACCCTGTATGTATTAGCATTGCTAGTGATTGAGACTGGCTCCGCCTTCCCCAATAGCTTGGCCGGCGAGCATGCAAAAGAGCCGAGGATTCCAGCCGAAACACCCATCCGAATCTTTGACTCTTTGACATTGTAGAGTGTCCCCAGTTGTCACTCCCAGCCGACGCATCGGAAGAACCTCAGCGTGTTGGCACCGAGCCGGAGCTCGCTTGGGCAGGAATCAGCCATATCAATGTCTGGGGAGCAACAATCTAAGAAGAGGCGATCTCGCTTGGGTGAGTGTTGAGAAGCCCTTTGGCGTGCTTCGTCATCTCCAGGCACACGTCATAACATTACAAGAGGCTCATGCTGACGTCCAACATGCTGCGATAACTGTCGCAGGAGAAAGGTACGTGCGTGGATGATGGCTTCAAGTCCCTCTCACAGGAATGTCCACCTCTAGGTGAGATGTGATGAGCGCCAGGGCGGATGCGCTAACCGCGAACGGCTGCTTCTCGAATGTCCTGGATCTCGTCGGCTACAGACTGGGGTTCCTGGAAGTCAGCACCTGCAGGGAAGCCAACGCGGCCCCAGGACCTATCGGGCCTGCGATGAGTGTCGAGCAGCGAGGTCTAAGTGCTCTGGCGACCGTCCTGTTTTCCAGAGATGTCGCCAGAACAACCAGCAATGCTCGTTTCAAAGCTCTCCAGGTCATATGCAAACCGACCAGTTTCGAGGGTCTCCATCAAATGTCGACTTATCAATGCAGACTGAGACAGGTCTCGCTTCAGATCCCGGGCACTCTGACCGTCAACCTGACGGAATGCTCCCTTGCCTTGGTAGCAACTCCCACTACCACACAACAAATTGCTTTCTAATGCCGTTGCAGGTTACACAGCAAGCAGCTTCCAGATCCCAAACGCATTCGTGTCTTGCTCGCTCATTACTTCTAACATTTTCACACTCTTCGGTGCTTCGCCTTCATCCATAAGACTTCATTCCTCTAGAAACTAGATGACGACTTGGCTAATGGGTCACCCAAGACTTCGCTACTGCACATGATGTGTAGTATCGGAGCACAGTTTGATCCACTTTGGCAGGTACAATTATCATGAGCTGATTCTTGCCACAGATTTTATGCTCTGGAATACAGTGAAACAGTTGAACAGCTGTTGCCCAAGACAATCCTTCTTGCTGGGAGTCACTGGGCAGCAATAGCCAGAAGCCTCCTGCTTGCGAGTTTCGACCGAATATCTGTTGAGAATCTGATGGTCAGTATCACCGTCTCGTACACCCTTGTGCAATCACTGAGAACAACATAGACAGCCCAGCTGCTGTACGGCTATTCTCTTCGAATGGCAATTACACCCAAGCTTTCATGCTCAGTGCCCTCATGACACGGATGACCCACGCTCTCCAGATCAATCTAGAATACACTACCGATATTCTCGGACAGCATAGCGATTCTAACACACTTTCAGTAACGGCTCGTGAGTCTCGTCGCAGGCTGATGTGGAGCTGCTATATTACAGACGCTCATTGCGGGAGTGGCGTCGACCAGCTTATCCCCGTGGATCTCATGTCTCAAAATTCGATGAACAACATCAGCATAGCAGCATACTTCATCCAGCATATCGAGACGCGGAAACGTGTACTCAAGTACATCAAACATTAGACCAGGCATCTCTGCCTTGGCTCCCTGATTCCGAGTTCCGTCTCTTTGACGATGAACTTCATACGCGGCGTGCGTCGCTCCCGGCAGAGATTCAATTCACGCCAGCCGTGGTTTCCATCCGCAAAGAATCAAATGAACTAGGCGCACTGGCTCTACTCCACTGCGCCTACCATCAAACGATGTGTGACTTATATCGACTGGGCGCCCCCGCCTTGTACAAGCTTCGGTCTGCTTTCTACTTTCCTCCCGAACAAGGTCAGTTTCTGAGACACCTCCAATTGTCACTCTTCAAAGCTGCGAGAAGTATAGCTGCCATCATCGCGGATGCCGCGCGGCATGGGCCAGCAATGGTCGCGGAAACTTGGCTGCCCTCTATCACATACGACAGTAACCGCATCATGCTATGTTACCTGACCATTGTCTTTAACCCATCGGATCGAGGCACGAAACATCTTGTGATCAATACAATTCCCTATCTGCAAAGCAATGTACAGGCTCTTAAGATGATGAGTGCAACAAACGCGGTCGCCGAAGACATGGTAAGTTACTCGCTACGTGCAATATCCGTATTTCGATACTGTTCTCACTGACAATGGGACCAGTACCATGCGTCACATTCTATACTTGAAAAACTTCGGGTTGCATCCGACAGCATCTCTCCGCAACCACAGCTCGTCCTTGATGATCCGTATCTCACTAATTTATCTCACTAATTTCGGCGCCAGCAGAGAAAGCACACCAGGAACCCCTTCCCAAGCAGCTCCTGGCTACGTTCTGAACCCGCTCTCAATATTTCGCATGGCCCGTAGCGACATTCCAGAACGGCACGCTCCGGAGAAGAGGCACAACACACCAATCGACACGGGTGGCCCGGCGTTGGCTCCAGGGCGGGCAGTCTCACCCGGCATTTCCGATCAGCGGGACTTGAACATCGATTCGGGTCAGGCCTTTGGCCCCAATCTTGACATGTTCATCACGCCGAACTTGACATGGGACTGGCAACCGATGGAAACTGCGGTGGGTTCTGGCATGGACAGCGAGGGCTTGTTACCATGGGTGGACACTTCATATACTTCATACATGAGTGACATGTCATTCATACCAGCCTAAATCAACAGCCTAATCCCTCCAAGAAAACCATGCTCCCGCCAACCTTTAACACAGAAAATATGTTTGCCAATAGGAAAATCAGCAAAACTTGTGTAATAACTAGCTATCGCAAGGTTCTAAAGAGATCGCATCGCTTTCAAGGCTTTGATATTACTCTGCAGGCGTGGGCACTGTCTGTGCCAGCAGGGTCTTGCTCAGCTCAGTCGCGGTGACTTTGGCCAGACCCATGACATAGTAGAGCATGATCCGGTTACTGTCCTACACGATTGAGATTACCCACGAATCTGCTAGAGACTTGCAGCCAGGCCGAAGAGCCTCGGCGGTGACGAGTGCGTGGCTCGTTGCATGTTCGTAGAGGGTTCGTTGGGGGTGGTCCAGGAAGTCTGCCTGTTCGGCGGGAATTGAATTCGCTCCTGCATTTTGTAGAGTGCCGGTGCCCCGATGCAGTGGACGAGGAAGGCAAGCGACGACTACGCAGGCATTTGATGAGGGTATGGGTGGCGGTGCCGGAGTCCGAAGGGGTTGGAGACTACCGTTCTACGACAGCCGAGAGAAGAAAAGGGGCGGAATCCAGGTGAACAATCATCAGCCTTGTCTGTCTTTTGGACGCGGAATAGGAAGAGACAGACGCTGAAGGGACCGAATGTCTACTGCTTTCCCATGAATCACGTCAGTTTTGGTTTAGTCCGTATCTAGCGTATTTCTCACAGCTCGTTCTGTATCGAGGTTGAGGCTGAATTACATGATGGCTACAGCGAATCGCAATCTTTCTATGCTTTATAAGTATTCTTCGCTCACCAAAGCTGACCTTGCTTCAAAATCATCATATCCCTCCACTCCGGCACATTGATGGCGTTTTCATACCGGCTTGGCTCGACACAAAACCTTGCTCCTGCTTTTCTTTCAAAACTATGTTCCCAGGCGGCAACCTTTACATGGTGTCCTGTGTAAAACTGGAATGTTGGCTTAGTACTGAAGACTTCTAGGTGTAATCTAGTGTGAGAATGCGAGAAACTGGCCAGCAGCCGCGGCTCACAAGATCGTGTATCGAGAGGGATGCTTGAGACATTATTATCCAGGACAAAGCAGTGGTCGATTTGGAGTGTCTACGTATCGAGGACGAAGGGTCATCCTGCCTGGGATCCCAGGAAACCTTTCTGTAGGACCTATGTCAGGCAATAGGTCTGGAAGCCCTTGACGATCGCTTAAAAAGACTAAAATCTCGTATCAAAGTACGAGGAATCTCGGACCTATGGGCTATCTACTACTAGGAGGCCCGCGAGGTATCCCTAATAAGGAAGGTAAAGTAGAATGAAATACTGGTAAAGTATAGTTTCGGTCGGAAGATGTCACGGGATGCCAAGGAGTACGTATATATAGTGGATTGCCAGAGATATCGACACTTCGTGTCGATACTCCACGTCTTTTTAGCTTAATCGCTAGGGGCTATGGCATCCGCTCTGACAGAAGACAAGCGACTACTAAGAAGAGTAGAAATATATAAGATGAAGCAAAAAAGATATAAAAGAAGTAACTATGGAAGAAGAAGTATTTTGAAGACTATAAAGATAGAAAAGAAAAGGGAAAATAAGAGAGATCTATATAAAATAGGGGTATTTAGTTATCTCTATAAAGGCTACCTACTACAAGGGATCCTTAAAATCCTCTTAAAGATTTTAGCTTTAGTAAGAGCTCGAAACGGCCTGTCTAAAACACTATCGTATAGAGTTACTTCAATATTATCTAGACGAATACAGCTACCCTAGAGGCTAGAGCTAAAATAGAAGTAGATAAGAGGGTTAAGGAATAGAGAGTGAGTGAGAGAGGGGCGAGGGGCAGCGGAAGAGTCATGAAAATGGGTAGTTCGGGGATTCTACATATACATATACTGCTTGCCTCATCCTCGTCTCACTTCATGTTTCTCGAACCAAATCAACTCCATTAGTGCTGGTTCAAGATTTAATCCCATCTTAACTGCCTGGGCACCTTCAAGGATGAATTCCGCTTTGATAGGGTCGTCGCCACCTTCTACTAGATCGCTCAGATGAGCGATATACTTTGTCTGGTCACTAACATGCTCGAAAGTGAGAGTAAATCCCATTGAACGATCTGTGGCATCGATGAAAATATTGCCGTCTTTAATCTGAACGACCAAAGCATGATAACCCGGATGAGAATAGACGCCTGTGTAGGCCTCGAGTGGTGTTTTCTGCGTCTGAACAACTCCTCCGGGATGATCTGATTTCTGTTGTACCTTGTTTTTCTTTCGGGCTTGACTTTGATTCTTGGCTGTATTCTTGTGCGTTTCTGTACCCTGGTGGTTCGGTGAGTGATAAAAATCAGATGCGACAACCAAAGGTTTAGCAGTGGTAGGGGTATTCGCTGTCGTCTTAAATTTATGGCGTGGCCGCTCGATTTCAGGCACCTGAAGGATATGATCCATAAACTCACGGGCTAAAATGGAAGTGACAGGCCCTGCATTGCTGGAATTTGCAAATATAACAGCGCCGAATTTGAAATCAGGCAAGAATAAGAATCGACTTGCAAAACCGGCGATGTTGCCGTCGTGTCCTACGACCATACATCCTCGATAGTAATGTACTTCTAGACCTGCAGCATATATCGCTGGAGACGAGTACGGCTTTAGCCTCCTCGCGTTTGGATTTTTCAGGCTTCTCCCTCGGACAAGACCTTGGTAGAGTCTCTCACTTATCGGATTCTCCCGATTGAGCAATGCTTTAATCCACTTGATGAAGTCACCTACACTTGAGATGATCGAGCCAGCGCCTTGGCCTTCCTCGCAATCTGAGCTCTGAACTTCATAATATGTCGATTCTGCCTTTTGCCAGTAGTACCCAGAGGCGATACGATCACCTAACACTTTGCTTCGTGCACTTCCTGGCTGCAGGCTCGTCGATTGCATCCCGAGTGGCTGGAAAATGCGATGCTGGAGGAACTGTCCAAAGCTCTGAGTGCTTTTGACCTCCACAAGGTACGTAGCTACTGTGTACATCATGTTGCAGTAAAGATACCGTGCTCGAATAGGTGCCGCTACAGGTAGATTCCGTAGGTTCCGTGTGATGGATTGTGCGTTATCTGGTCTGACTGCTCGATGGCCCATATAGGAACTGTCATGACTGCACCCCAAACTCAGCTATGTCAACGAAATAGGCAGGTTGTTGGGCTCTATAAGTACGCAGCCATGCCACTTCTGTGGCTCAGGATATCTTCCACGGTGACACCCTCGGTATATCCAGTTCCAGACATGACAAAATCATTTGGCAGGAGACTGGACATGGTAGCATCCCACTGCACCTCAGGATAGCTCTGATTGTCGACGACCAGCAAACCAACAGCCGCAGCAGTCAATGATTTGGCGGACGAGGCGATGTCGAAAAGTGTGTCTGCTGTGCATGGTGTTGACCGTGTAAGACAGGCATGGCCGTATCCAACGGAACGAATTTTCTGGTCTTGAACTGTCGCGATGGAAAGACCTGGCACATGATGTTGAATCATGAGCTGTCCAACCAGAGAGGAGAACCTGTCGGAACAGAGAAAGTGATCGCTAGGCATGGCCATTGGCCGAGGGGGACCAAGAAAATCCTGTCAAGGTGATTGATTGTAAAACTTTGAAGCTGTACTTTCGGTACCAGACTTGTATTTTAATTTCTTTCTCTAGAGGCTGTTCTTGTTGTCATTAATATATTGGTCTGCTGGCGCCGTGCGTGGCTGATTTATGTCATGCCCAGAAATATTAGGCGTGCCGCTGGACGGAGTCGCCCGTCCTACTGTGGCGACTATTACTGTCTGTCAGGGGAAGACCATTTGCCCTTTGTTTGCCTCAGCAACATACATAGCACCTGGTATGGTCTTTCACGTTGCCGAAACACGAGTTGCCCCACTTCACAGTCGTGACTCTATGTAGCCTGACTTTCATGCCTAGCATGACTAGGCTTCGGATGGACGAGGTACGGAGTATGCCTAATTAAGATGGGCGAGGATAGGTGCTGTTCCGCAGAACGAACTGCCGGGCACACCTGAGCAATAGCGTGGCGGGGTCCCGTGCTGAGGACCGAACTAGGATCAAGACATTCAATCAATTGATGCCATTCGCATTCAAGGACCTTTGACAACTTACTAGATGTGCCTACTAGAGGAACTTACATACTGTTGACAACTTGAATCTTTGGCAGTAGCGAATATGGGTATTGTCATCAACGGAAGTTGCGACGAGAGGTTTCAAGCAGTGGCGACCCAACTCGAGGATTTCATAATCTCTGGAAAAGAGCTGGGCGCATCTGTGGCAGTGAATCTCGATGGACAGGAGGTCGTCAACATTTGGGGAGGATTTGCGGATGCGGAGAAGACCAAGCCGTGGGAAAAAGACACCATCAGCTGCATTTTTTCAACTACGAAGACGATATCAGCACTGGCCATACTCAAGCTTGCTGATCAGGGCCTACTCGAGGTGGATGAGAAAGTCTCGAAATACTGGCCCGAATTTGCCGCCAATGGGAAAGAAGACATCAGAGTGCGCCATGTCTTGTCTCATACTTGTGCTTTACCTGGATGGCACAAGAAGGTTTCTCTAGAGGATGTTTGTGACCCCGAGAAAACCACACCTTTACTGGCAGAAGATGCCCCGTGGTGGGAACCTGGCACAGCGTCAGGTTATCACTCTCTCACGCTTGGGCCGCTAATCGGAGAGCTAGTCCGTCGAGTGTCTGGAAAATCACTTAAATCCTTCATTGCAGAAGACATCGCACAACCCCTTGAGGCTGACTTTCAGCTCGGGGTTCTTGAGGAGGATCTTCCTCGCGTGTCCTCAGTTATCCCGCCGCCCCAGGAGCTCTCTCCTCCCGGCCCTGATGTTGCAAACGAACCATTGTCCATTTTTGCCAAAGTGTTCTTCAATCCACCCATGCATGCAGCTTTTGCCAACACCGACATCTTCAGACGATCAGAGTGGGGTGCCGGCAATGGTCATAGCAATGCTGCGGCCATCGCTCGGATCATGTCGGTCGTTTCGCTCAATGGCAAAGTGGGCGAGAGGGAATTTTTGTCTCCCAAAACTATTGACCACATTTTCCGTGAGCAAGCGTTTGGCAAAGATCTAGTGTTGAATGCTCCAATTTGCTGGGGGATCGGGTACGCACTGCCCAGGAAGGACACCATACTCGAATGGTTGCCCATCGACAGACGTGTCTGTACTTGGGGCGGATATGGCGGGTCGTTTGTCATAATGGACCTAGATCGTCGGTTGACGATTGCGTACGTGATGAACAAGATGAGTGCAGTGGGTATCGGCTCCGAAACGGGAAAGGCATATGTATCTGCAGTGTACAAAGCAATTGGGGAGGAAGGATTCTGAAATAAGCTGAAGTTCTACTCTACCGAATAAGCCCGGAACACGTGCGGCTGCAATCGACTGCGTTCCTTCCCATCTTGCGACGATGACCGGGATTTAGCTTTCCAAAGGCTCCGGACCTGCGCCGTCATGGAAGTGCAAACTACCTGAGCTTCACAATTGAAATTGATAACATAGGCAATCTTAGCGCTTGTGTTGCAATGTGCTTGCCTAGGTATATGTAGTTGTGGTCGATATGCATCGAGTTTAGGGATCGCTTTGAACGTCAGTCAGGCCGATTCTTCGATCATGCACCAGTCTCTGCTCTTGCGTCGAGGCCTCAAGCCCCAGTACCCAGCCGGCCTCGGGCCGCCTCGGCCCCCTGAAAAGGCTTCATCAGCATCAGCATCAGCATCAGCATCAGCATCAGCATCAGGCTTGGTTCTTCTATTACCAGTACTACGCAATTAACTCCTCAACAAAGGCCTTTATAACTCCCACTCTACATATCGAATACGTGATATCCCAATGTAGTATGTGAGTAATACAAGAGAGCAACAGCCCACTTGCGGCCACATTGGTTTTTTCGAGAACAACCTGGGCAGCTTGAATATTCTGATAGGGTCGATCGACACCTTGAAACCAGCCATCATATATCTATCTCCTCGGCAGATTATGAAGCTGAATTCTACAGCAGACCCAGGGCCATGCACGACTATACGTTGTGTCTAGATCCTGATGAGCCGGGCTGATTTCAACCCAAACAACAGACCGCTGGCCACAAAATCTGCGGAAGCTTCTTTTCGCAAACAGAAAGCGAATTCAATTGCGTTCTGCCTCTGTCAAACCAGCCACACACACGCGCGACGGAGCCTACAATACAATACCACAAGCAGCAGCCAACTGACTATTCACCTGTTTGAGATACGCGGTGTTTGCCGGACTGAGGCGTCAAGTTTTTCGCGAACTGGCCGATCTAAAGTCCACGTGCTGAGAACTCAAAGTAATGCCTCAAAGCCCAGCGGGAACAACTTTTTCCACGTTGACTACCCAGACCCGGACCCAGACCCAGTCGACGGCGAATCCAACAGGTAGCCACTTACAGTTTGGTGGTGTCAACATTGCCGGCTTCGATTTTGGCTCATATGGTACCTGTGGCAACCACCATAATCCCCCATATGTCAACTCCAACAACTACGTTGCACAAATCCACCATTTTGTCCACGATGACAAGTTGAATGCATTTAGACTGCCCGTATCATGGCAATCTCTCATCAACCAGTTTGGTGGTGCGGATCTTGGCACGAACGCACTTAATGAGAATCACTTTGCACAGTACGATTCGCTTGTGTCGGGATTCCTGAATTCTGGGGCTGCTTTATGCCTGATCGACCTGCACAATTATGCTCGCTTCAATGGCAAGATCATTGGTCAAGATGGACCGAGTGCTGCTCAACTTGCTAGTATCTGGTCTCAACTCGCCACCAAATACGCTTCTCAAGGTCGAGTCGCGTTTGGACTCATGAACGAGCCTCATGACGAGAGTTGCAACTCACCGAATGGTGGAGTGATAAACATAAATGGCTGGGCGGTCACAATCCAGACTGCCGTGAGTGCCATCCGCCAGGCAGGCGCCATGAGTCAAATGACTGTACTTCTGGGCAAGGGCTGGACCCATGCAGCCACTTACCTGCCCTCGAACGCGGATGGTTCTGGCCCAGCGCTGATGGGTATCATTGATCCAGCTGGCGGGACTTCAAAGCTGGTCTTTGAGGTGCACGAATATTTGGATTCCAATAACTCAGGCTGCAACTGTAAATGCGTCACCAACAACATCGACACAAGTTATGGACGAGGCGGGCTCTCCAATCTTGCGAACTACTTACGGTCGAATGGTCGTTTCGCATTGCTCACTGAAACCGGTGGTCTGAACAACGCGAACTGTTCAACATACCTCTGCCAGGAGCTGAGTTACCTTGCAAACAATACTGATGTTTCCCTCGGTTATACTGCCTGGGCAGCTGGAGGATTTGATGCGAACTACGAGTTGACGTTGACACCAACCCAGAACGGGAGACAGACACATCCCTCGTCCAGAGTTGTGTTGCAGAATGCTTCCAAGGACACTGCTGAATGATCCATGAGATGTAGCGCCTCCTGGTTCGACACTTGGAGCGAGGATACTTACCTCCATAGAGACTTAGATATCTTGTCACTTTGTTTACATGGTTTAACCTTTGATGTGTGTAATTATGTAGAGAGATTGTAAGAACGGTGCGGCATTCATCCTGTCGACGAAAACGGCACGGCAGCAGATCATCTTTTGATCCGCCATACACATATCTTCAAAAGCTCAACGGCTGAAAATTTCGACCTTGTCGTTGAAGTTCGTCTTCTTTGCGTCGGGAGGCTTAAGTTGAGCCTGAGGAATACTAGTCCTCACTCACAATAAGCCCTTGCAAGCAAGCATACGCACGACTGTGAGACCCTCATGCGCGCCCAGTCTGTGCTTGATGATGATTTCAAATGCGTACTCTTCCAGAGAACGATCTTCTTTCCAAGGGTGCCTTCAGAAAGAAGCTTTGTCATCCATTCATATCGCTGCACCTTATTTTTGATTAAGATGTTGCTCATGATTTGAGAGCCTTCACTGGTAGCCTCAAGAATGGTAGAAAAATCCTATAACCGATTCTGTATCTGCTGTGCTGGACCTCTGGTGTGAAAGCTCGGTTCGTTTTGTAATCGGACAGATGAAGGGAAAGTATATACTTGGTAGTGGAGTGGTGACAATGGCACACCTGGAAGTCGGGGGCGTGTATCATTCTATCTGCTTTGATGCTGTCGCATCTGCTATATCCCAGCCGTGGTGATGGTGTCTTTTTTAATTGCTGCCTGGGGCTGATCGTTTCCTTCTGACTACCCTTCTAACTAGAACACCACAACAACCCGAAATAATCCCGTTGCTGCCCCCTCCGAGTTGTTGACATCCAACCCGATGAAGTCAGGCATGAATATGATTCTTCTGAATTCACCATCATCGAGGACTACAAAGCTTACAAAGCCAGGTCGAATGTTAATCCTTCACAATGGGCGTCCACGCATCTCCTGCGAGACTGCGAAGGGAGCTTGCCGCAGGTTAGTGATGATTTTTGGATGAATAAACACAGAGTATTTGATGAAGAATCCTTGAAGATGCCTAACCCACCAGGAAGCCTTGAACCCTTTCCCCTCGGATGCGCCTCATTCATGCTGCAATGGCCTGGATCCTTCCGAGACCCTATTTAGTTACCAGGGGCTCTCGGGCGTTCGGGATTCTTGCCGGGCCTACCTGAGGCGCCCCTCCCAAACTGCAATGGCTGCACTACCTGGGCGGCTGTGACATCACGCGGATTCACGCGTTTGCCTTAAATTTGGCGCGTGCAAGGTGGAAGCGATGCAACTACCACTCGTTGGCTCTGCCTATGCTGGCGCAGCTCAACTCACTCCTCGCCATATATCGAATGCCTCTTTCAACCCTTGAGCTTGATTTGATTGTTGTTCGCTGCTTGTACTCTTTGAAACTCGTTTTCTGATATGTCCTGCAGTTGCTCCCATGCCTTCTCCAGCAAAGAAGCGCCAAATTTCTGATTTTTTTCAACCATATGTCAAAAGCAGTGTCCCTGCTAAGCGACCCTCACCATCTAGCGAGCAGGCATCACAGAGGAAGAGTCCAGTCAGAGATGTCTCTCCCACACGGACGCCCAAGGCGGTAAGGCATCATCAACTCGATGGAAAAGTCCGAACACCAACCGCTCCACCATTTTCTCCTCTATCCACCCCCAACTCCAGGTCATCCCTCCCAATTCGCAGTCCTCGCCCGAAGTCTGGGTTACAACCACCGACGACTTACCAGCGAGCCCCTCGATTTGGCTCGCAGACGAAGAAGGATGCTGCACCAAAGCCATCGACTCACAGTTTCAATTTTGCCGATCTGCCAGGATCGACGCAAGTAGCTGCCAGAGGTAGAGAGATAATTGAGATTCGCGATTCAGACGAAGACACAGATTCACTGGTTTCGCTGGATGATATTCTTGGTAGGCGGAAGGATGAGCATACAACTTCTTGCTCGTCATCTCCAGATGTTGACGAGGATCAAATCGAAAAAGAGAGGGTCAAGACCTTGAGTCTATTCACCCACGGCCGGTCTGAACCCTTGGTGGGTAAGGACAAGCTGCGAGCACTGTATGCACAACAACATGCTCAGAAATTCGACATCAGGGGTATCCTGGGCGATCACTTCGACGATCAGGAGACCGAGGAGAAAGTGAAGAAAGCGCAAGACAACTACAAAGAATCTACTAAGCCACAATTACAGAACCGGAGCTGGGAGGTCGATCGAAAACTTTTGGCCACGGTCGCAACCACTGAAGACGGTGACGAAGGTGTCTCAAGGCTCCTGAATGCTGTGCAGCGTCAGGAGGTACTGAGTTCAAATCTAACCTTTTCGTTCTTTCGCCCAGTTGGTGATGATGATAGGGCCTGTACATCAACAGCACAGGACCCTTTCCCCGAAGCTAGCATTCCGCACCGTCTCTGGCGCCCAAAGGATGATAGAGCCAGGTCAAGGGCATATCTATCTGGTCATATGGTCGAGCTTGCCACGAGAAGACAATTGGGAAGTGATGTATTCAAATGGACCTTCCACAATGTTGTGCATGAGTCACACGATGGAGTTCGGCAAGCATATATCAACTGTCTCTCCGAAGCGAGCGCGGCCTGGACCAGGACCAATATTACCGCTGCAGATGTCCAACGCGTCTTCCAGAACCTCGGAGCAGAATCTGCTAGTTTACAAGATTCCGGTCTAATCAAACCCAGGCCTCGTTCTACTAAAGACACGTGTGGAAGAAACCCGAAGCATCTTTTGGCAGCACTCCAACTATTTCAGCTTATCTGTCAAGACATGGACTTTGCCGCATTGAGCAAATTGACCTCGACTCTGTGTCGTTTGGCGATCGATCAACAACTGATGAGCGATGGACTGGTGTCTGTCAAGGTGGAAGAGTTGCTTCAAACAATGCTATCATTTACAGACTTCGACACACAATCGCACGTCGTGGAGCGAATGATTGACGACGTTGGGCGCCGTCTTGAAACACCATTGCTACAAGCTCGGCTTCTCGCTCATGTTCTTCCCGTCTCACCCACAGCATGTCGGACACGTGTTCTTCTGGCTCAAGCATTCCTCTTCGGAGCCGACAAATTCCATTCGAATAAGCCTGCGCCGTTCGAGATCAACCTTGACTCCTTGACACAACTCATCACCACCTCGCCGTCCTTCAACACCACCCGCCATAAAAGCTCGGATCCATTGGATTATGCTTCTCTACGCTCACTAGCTCACATCTTAGACGTAGCCATTGGCGATGGCGGGCGTCCACCGAGTTTTCCCTCACGGGGTGAAGAGATCGTATTCAATCGATCGGTCGATCGTCTTGCAGACGCAGTTCGCGCAACGTTCATCTCGATCGTCGACACGGGCGCTTCGCATATGAGTCGCACCGAGGCCAAGGATGTGCTGCAAGCACTCCACTGGCGGCTTTTGTATAGCGTGCGTACGGAGGTCCGACCGAAGAAAAGTATCTTCGATGCAAAGACTGGGAAGACACGGGACGGCGAGGCTATGAGAGGGGAAGACAGGGCCCGAGATTTCTTGAAGCATTTCTTAGATCGGCAAAAAGGCAAGGAACAGGGCACGAAGCAGCAGCAGCAGATGCCTCTTGCGGATCAACAGGAACAGGAACAAGCACCCAGCGGACCAAGAATAGATATGATGGCAGAAACAGACACGCTTATTCTAGAGGCAGAGAACACCGAGCCCGAAGCTCCCGCTAACAGCGCGAGTGTCGTGAGCAATGCGACGACCTCTACCGCCTCCTCGGAGACCATCTCTGAACCGTCGGAGACAGAAACGGCGATCCGGGCGCAATTGGGGTTGAGTTGAATATCATTCAATTGATGAGTGAGGTGCCGCTGCCAGTGTCAGAGGGTGCTTTTGAGTTGTTTCTTGATATTTTGATTCGTCTTTTCGTTGCATGATACCCTGGGACAAGGATATTGGTACTGAGTTATGGACAACGCCGACATTGCAATGTAACGTCTATGAGACAGCGTTTGGGATTGTCGTTTAGATCCTGGTGTTTTTCAAATCATGATGAGCAAGTTATGCTATGCACGATGAACAAGATTCGTTAGGGCAGGGTAATCACGAGACGTTGGTGCTTCTTCGGATAGGCATGGTCAATCCTCCAATATTGATGTCTCTGGCATATCTACTAGGATGTTACAAGTTTGATCGTTCAAGCTTGTCAGCGACCGACTTGCCTGTTTCTATCATTTGCTGCCAACCCCACCCCAGCCTCTTATAATGGATACCAGCCGTGAACAGACATAGCAGTAGTTGCCATTCCGGGCTTAAACACACAACTCCACAAGCTCTAGTAAACACTTTGCTTCCGAGTTTCGAGAAGCTTAGTCGTGGAACTTTCTGTTTTGGTTCTCCCCGAAGAGGGTGGCTCTAATGCTGGGTAGTGCATCCGTCTCGAGCATGCGCAACCTCTCTTCAAACGTATTGTTGAGTTCGATTTTACCGCCACTGCCGTAGAGGAAGACACCTCCGGCTCTGTAGCGTATGTTAGCATTTGCGTGCCTGATTCGTTCTCTTGGAGATGACGAGCGAGCCACTTACGAATCTTGAGGTAGCCAATCCTTGTCCTCAACCACGACCTCTACCTCACTCCCAAAGTTCTTTTTGTACTCGTCGGCGGCCTTTTTGCTGGCTGACGCGGCCTTGTCCTTATCGGCCTTTCTTACTCTGATGCTCACTTTCTTCTCTGCAAGGATATACAGGCCCTCTAGAATCAAACCCTTCAACGTTTCCTCGTAGTTGTTGGTCTTGCCGGCAGCATCGTTGAGCTTCTTCCGAGCATTCTCGAATAACTTGTCCAGCAGTTCTTGACGGGCAGACAGTACCTTTATGCGGGTCTTGTTGGCGGTGGTGGAGCGGGTGATCTGCTGGGACATGGAGGCTTGTTTGAACTTCTTTTCGTATTGATTGTCGATGGCGGCGATCTCCTCCCGGACGAGCTTGGATTTCTCAATGGCGAATTCTTCGTCAGCCTTTAGTTGGATCTCACGAGCTTTCTCGAGGGCTTCTTGCCGGATGAAGGCGGTCATCTTCTTTAGCTCGGATGCGACCTAGGGGTGGAGGGGTTGGTTAGTTGGATTGCTGGGTGAGCAGTGGGAAAGGGTGGACAGTTCAGCTTACCTGGTCGTCCGAAAGAGCTTGAGACGACATTATTGTGGTGGGTCGTCTGTATTTTTTGTTGTGTAAGGCTTAGGGGAAGCAAGTTGTTGCTTTATCCAACCAGCTCGTGTTGGCGAGGAAGCAGCAGGCACGGGGCCTAGATCTTATTGACGGCAGGCGGAGATCAGAAACTGCGACAGGTTTCTACAGACTGCGCGTGATACAAAAGCTGCGTTATAGTGAGACAGCTATACCAGGGTCTTTGTGATAGCTGTAGAGAGTCGGTGGCCAGCTCCTGGACAACAATCAGTTACTTGTTCTTCCAGTGGTACGAAGTAGTGAGAGCAGCAGCCCCAGGATTGATACGGGCGGTGATTCGTTCTGCCGCAAGACAACTGGGCATGAGGGCTGTGATTGGCGGAGTCAAGCCAAGGCGAGCTAGGCCGACTGCGGAATGGATTTCGTCACAAGTCACAAGACGCAAGGCTCGCCCACCTATACAACACAGCCTTGCCGCACTCCATGACCAGTGACCACACCGCTGTCACCGTCATCCCAACTTCCCACCACTGTCATTCTTCCCTTCACACCTCTCCTTTTCTTTCTTCGCACTCGTTCGATTTTCATAAACTATGTGTTGACGCCCGAAAGCTCCATGACTCAGCATCCACAATGCTGCGCTCAGTAGAGCTCCTCCGGTTTACACGCATGGACACCCGCAGCTTTCAATCTTCATCCCCAGCTCCACTATCCTCCTATCTGCATGATGGGCCAGCTCGGTGACATATCGCCCGAGGGGAGCGTCGCCGTAAGTCATTGTTATTTTGATACCACTGCTGCCGGGGTTGGTTGACTGACACTCTACTAGATTGGGATCATTGTCGGCCTCCTGTCCACCTCAATCCAATCCCTTGGCCTTACCCTTCAGCGCAAATCCCATCTCATTGAAGATGCCAAAGATCAACCAGAGACGCGACGTCCTGCTTATAAGAGAAAGAAATGGCAGCTGGGGATGCTCATGTTTGTCGTCTCCAATGTGGTTGGTAGCACCATTCAAATCACTACTCTCCCCCTTCCCGTTCTGTCAACACTGCAAGCCTCAGGTTTGGTCTTCAACACTGCATTTGCCACTATTCTGCTAGGGGAACCTTTCACTCGCTTCTCCATCGTTGGCACTGTTCTCACTTGTTCTGGCGCCGCCTTGATAGCCACATTCGGCGCTATAGCAGAGCCCGCTCACAGTCTTGGTCAGCTCCTGGAACTGCTCAATCAGCGCGATTTTATAATTTGGATGGTCGGCACTTTAATCGTGGTGGTTGGGACAATCCTGTTCGCCCATTTGTTGAAGATCTGGTCATCTCACCAGCACATCACCAAGAATCTCTCGAAATCAGAACGAACACGAACCGCATCGCTTATAAGCACAGGTGCCTCTCCCCGAAGGCCTTCTTTGCCTCAACTCACTATCGCGCACTCACTTGCAGCTCAACTTCCTCCGCCTTTAAAGCTGCGTCTCAGTCGACTCCGGCTCATCCGCGGCCTCAGTTATGCTTTGATCTCAGGCATTCTTTCCGCTCATTCACTTCTGGTCGCAAAATCAGCTGTCGAACTCCTTGTAAGGACGATTATCGACCATAACAACCAATTCAACCGTTTTCAGTCATGGCTAATTCTGGTCGCCTTGTTGTTCTTCGCCTTGACACAGTTGTATTACCTACATCTGGGTCTTCTGTTTTGCAGCACTAGTGTACTATACCCATTTGTCTTCTGCATTTACAATATCATTGCGATATTAGATGGTTTGATATACTTTCAGCAAGCCTCGAGGCTGAGTGCCCTTCATGCTGGGTTTGTTGCCTTGGGGACCGTCATTCTACTCTGTGGAGTGCTCGCCTTGTCCTGGAGATTGGACGATACGACCCCTGCAGAGGCAGCCCATCAGGCTCTACCTCCACGAACGCCATTAACACCCGGGATGGGATTGGTTCAATCTCCCTCCGAAGAACGTGGTCCACTATTTCCTTCAGGACACCGAAGGAGTTCGGCTTCCCCTTCGAGGCAATCTATCGATGAGCAAACCCCACTCCTTGTCGGACGAGCTCGACCACCGACCTTGACGCTGCGCACCCCTTCAGAGACTAACTCTGAGGGTATTTGGGCAGAGCTTGACGATGAAGAAAGTCAGCAAGACTATCTTGCATCTCTTCCTCGCACGCCATCTCCATTTCTGACTCATAATTCCAAGACACGTCGACGGGGGAACTCTGCCTCCTCACAGGCCGTGTCGATGGGGAGCCGGCGCAGCTCATCTGGCTCAAATACCCGGAAAGCCGATATGGAAATCGGTGGTCTCGGGGAGCAGGCAGCAAACGGCGCAAAGCAAAGCCAGAGCAGTGCACCACAGCTACAAGCAAGCCGGTGGGAAGGTGAAGATTCTACACATGCGAGGAAACGAAGTACATCTGTACGCTTCGCTAATGACGAAGGTCAGAGTCACGACCAAAGGCCGAATTCGCGTGAGGCAAGAGCAAGTCGATACTATCAGAGTGGTGGGACAAGCAGTGGCAGTAGAGGTTGGGTAGCGAACTGGCTTTCACTCAAGAAGGGGGATCAGCAACAACGCCAACAAGAAGAACAGGAACAAGAACAAGAACAAGAAGAAGCAAATAAAACCGATCCTAAACTGGAATCACCCGACAATCGGTGACGTGATGATATAGATATATTTCTAAATAGCGATAACGGCCGCAAAGACACCTCTACGCCAGAGTTTGATTCTGAGTAGTCAAAGACTTTTGACTTGGTTCTCGTAGCAGCTGTGAACTGAGATACTGTCATCAGGGTGCCATGCTATCGCTTGAGAATGGAGCAGACGTCCTTCTCTCCACACGATGAGGAACAGTGAGCCACCCAGCAGCAGCACATTGCCAAAACCCTGCGATGCAAACCCTGCGAAGCCGTCTCAACTACGCTGGCCTTACTATTAGTAAAGTCTCTCCAAATTGAAGCTTGAGGGACGTCTCTCATTTCCGCTTCAAATCTGTGGCAACCCATGGGCCTCCAAGTCTAATACCACACCCTTTTCGTTTCCCGCTATTTGTTGGCAGGAAAGCGTTTCGGAGGAGGTAGGGAGACAAGGACACCACGGATTCTGGGTAGGGCTTACACCACTTGCAGGATAATCTCCTTGTGCGTGGCTATCCAACTGTTTTGCTGACGTCGTGCTGCATTCGACATCGCCGCAGAACGACTTTAATTGTTTGCGTCGCTTCCGTGCATTCCGACGTTGCTCGGGTAGCCTCTTAGTAGATATCAAGAAACCCATGCGCATATATATTTGGCTCAACCGACTAACCGTTTTGCATTCGATAGCAGCGATACCAACGGGTATTTCCTTCGGATGAGTGTGGCATTAACTGACTCGTATTGGAAGCAGCGACAGTGGATGCATGAGAAACATAGATTGCCGAAAGCCTTTTTTATACTATAAGGCCGTCAACCCTCTCGCTCCTATTTAGCACTAGCAGGACTATCCGTCAGTCCAGTATGATCTGTCACTGAGCCACCTGTCTCGCTGTCGCTGATACTCTCATCACCAGTGGACTCGTCCCAGATCTCTCTTGATTCCCTTTCGACCCTCCGCATTGCACCGGCCACTTCGTCCAACTTGCTCACCACATCCAGCACGCCCCGGTTGACCTGTTGGAAATAGCGGTCGTTGGCTTCACGCCTCTTCCTTGCGAGGTGAATGTCCCGCTCCGTCTCCGCCTCGAGACTGGTTTTGTTTGTGAACGCGGAGGCTTTCCTCTCTGCAGGGGTGGCCTTGCTCTTTCCAGGGCTCGGTTTCGTGCCGAAGGAATCCGACACCGCGACGGCGGCATCAGCATCGGAGTCGGCGTCATGTTCTTGCAGTTCATCTGCTTCGCTTTTCGCCCACGCCTGCGCGAGGGACAACTGGGCAGCACGCAGGTCCTCGAGGGCCTTGGCGTGAGAGTTACCTAGGACGTGGGAAGTGTTCATGGCGGACAGTTCGACATCGGCAAGGGTCTTTTGCATCTCTGCCCAGAGACTCTCGGCGCGGTGGTCGTCGGCTACAGTGGCGGGCTGGCGCAGTGCGGGCCCAGAGAACGATGTCGCTTGTGGTACACGGGACGGCCGTGGCATCCGATGCTGTGCGTCAGAGTCTGCTGCTGCGCCTGGGGCCCGGTCGCCCGGCAAGGCGAGTGAGATGTGTGATGCATTCTTGGACGGCGGTCCCTGGAAAAGTGCTGGAGGAGGCAGCCGGTGGGTGGTGGTCCTCGTCGTATTGAGCTTGGGCCGTTGGTCGAAGGGTGAGGGAATCTCCAATTGAGGAGTCTTCCTCGTGGTGGAACTCATGATTTCTGGCAGAGAGCGGGCTCTCGCCGCAGGGAGATGTGCTATCAACTCGAGATCATCGATGTTTTAGCATGAGATAACTGAACCTTGTAGGACAGCCTTCAAGGGTGACAGAAGACAGATTCTGAGGTGAGTGATCTGGCACGTGACATTACATGATCTGACTTGATAGTCACGTGATCTTAGTCGTAAATATTCTGCCGTTGCACACCGTCTGAGATACCGACCGCAGTCTTGGCTTTCCCACAGAGACTTTGATTTCTTGGGTGCTGCGAACCTGAATTTTAATCGTCAACGACCTCAGCGCCGCCATTTCCCATTTAACCAGTATCTGCTTGTCACAGTCGCCAGTACGTATTTCATAAGCTTCATCCCAACCTATTTCGCTTTCCCGGGGCACCTACAAAGCTACAACGATCTCCCAAAACCCGCCCACAAACACAATCCCGTCTCTCACCTTCAGAAATCATCTACGCACTATCTAGCGAACTTTTGCGAGGAAGAGAAAGCAAGCTAACATTTCACTACCTTAGAAATGACAAACAGAGGCAAACCCCGCGGTTTGAACGCCGCACGAAAGCTCGTCGCCGCCCGCAAGGAGGGTCGATGGGCCGATCTCCACTACAAGAAGCGTCTTCTCGGAACTGCATATAAGTCGTCACCATTCGGTGGTTCATCACACGCCAAGGGCATCGTTCTTGAAAAGGTCGGTGTTGAGGCCAAGCAGCCCAACTCCGCCATTCGAAAGTGTGTCAGAGTTCAATTGATCAAGAACGGAAAGAAGGTCACTGCTTTCGGTATGTTTTGTCACCTCACATAAAACCTCCCCTCCTGCATCAGCATCTTTGTGTCCCACCCCATCTCTGTTTCGCTGCGACAGACCTTATGTTGAGCAGAAAGTGTCCCTCGCGACGTTTTTCACTCCAACGATCCAACATAATCGCACCACTAACACATGAATTTTACTCTACCAGTTCCTAACGATGGTTGCCTCAATTTTGTGGACGAGAACGACGAGGTCCTAATCGCCGGTTTCGGTCGAAAGGGCAAAGCCAAGGGTGATATTCCCGGTGTTCGCTTTAAGGTCGTCAAGGTTTCCGGTGTTGGTCTCAGCGCCCTCTGGAAGGAGAAGAAGGAAAAGCCCAGATCATAGACGACAGTTTCCCTCGATCAATCCCAATGCCAACCATTCAAACAACGGACGTGGTATCGTGCGGCTGTCATAAGTTCGGTGCGGGAGTCTAACTTCGAGAATGAGACAAAATATTACATGAAGCGAAATGTGTGGTGATTAGTTCTGGAGATTGAATGGCTAGGTATTGCTTGAACCTTCTCTGATTCTAGAAGGGAATTCAAGGATACAAAGGCCATCAATCTTGGGGAGAGGAGTCAGGAGAGAGCCTTTCTTCATTCCCAATAGACAAGGTCAAGGCACCGAGACGAGCTTGGGACATGCATGGTGTTGCAGCTCTGTCACCCATCATAGATGCCCGATCGACAAGCAATGACAAAAATGCGTTCTAAAAAGCTGCAAATCAGCTGTACTTCCGGGGTTCCTCTTGAATCTGGTGGGTGGGGAGTAATGCTTTCATGTTCGTCTTCGACACTCATCTATCAGGCTATGGCAATGGCATTTCCATTTTTGTCTACAAATAATTCAAACCCTGGCCCACTTTCTCTAATTATCATTGCTTTTTTGACTGTCCCTTCCCATCCCCAAACGTCCTGTTTATTACAACATTGAAAAAAGACAAGACAACAACCAAGAATAACTAACATAGATGTCGATTAGGACGAAGGGAGTGAGCGAGTGATACATTAAAAAGGCGTACTGAGGGAATCTGTATTTTCCTCCCTTTCCGAATAGACAACAAGGCTGTTCTGAAGCTGATACTCGATTGAAGCAAAGGCGTTGTTACTAGAGAGGGACAACGGACGGCAGATGTTCTTCCACCTATGCTTCTGGGCGAGAGTGATTTTTCAATGCAAGACGTCCAAGGCTTTGCGCCCAGATTCTTCTTCGTCAAGGTCGCTCACACTCTTTCCCTTGCGGCCTCGGACTGGCGGGGTTTTGAAACCGCTGAAATACGAATCCCCGTCGGGGCTGAGAGGGCTCCTAGCCTCGTCATCCTCACTCCCTGAAGGGCTTGGGGCTTGGCTATCATGTAGCGATCGCCGACGTCGCATCATCTAGGGTTTGAGAAAGTATGTGTTAGCTATTGTACGTGAATTTGGCTATTTCAGATGAATTTCTTACCCAGGATTTGACACCTCCGATCAGACCGAGACTGTAACCGGCCGCGAAGTCCTCACTCCGACTGAGTCTACCAGGCGAGTCGCTTCGTTTTTCTGCACTTCCGGGCACCTCAAGGTGTTTGAGATGCTCAAGCGCACTGACCGCACTGGGGCTCTTCAAACCGTCGCTGAGTTGTCTGTTAAAAGGAGATGGACTGGCCGGTCGAGAACTCTGCCAAAATTGCCGCAGGTCTCTCCCGATTTCACCACCCGCAGTGCTCCAGTTGGTCTTGATGCTATCCCTGAGTTCCGAGACGTGGCGTTTGATGTCCAGTTCGTTCTTCTTCAGCCAGCTAATGTTCAGCTCTTGACGGCTGGTTCCTCTCTTCAGTTGTCGGGCAATGTATTTTTCGTAGTCACGAACAATCTTCGTAATGATGCCAGTTGTGGATACACCTTCTGTTCGCTGCGTCACGAGGAACTTGCCCTCCTTCTTGATGGGTGCGTAAATGTCATCTCCTTCATCAGCACCATAGGGCTCATCGTCATGTGCAACATAGTCAATTTGATGTTCGTCGAGGAACTCGGGAGTCACGATCCAAGGACAGTTTGGGATGACTTCGTCGACCCATTTGCAATGACCGACTGTTTCGGCCCTCTCGCGGCCAGTAAGCACTGTGAGGCCTTTCCTTTTGTGTGTCTCTGTGTCGCCGGTCACACCGACGATCAGATAGGTGTCGGGGAAGGCAGTCTTAGCTTGCTGGAGTTGGCGCATGTGTCTATTTGGGTATGTTAGTATGGTTATAGAGCGGAATAGAAGAATGCAACAAACCCAAGATGGAACAGATCAAAGACTCCATCCGCGTAGACTCGAACTGGCCTTCCTATAGGAGGAGGATTTGTCTTGTAGCCCCCGATGGGATCTCTTAAACCCGCCTTTGGAACACTTTGTAGCAAATCCTCGCTGTCGTCGCTTTGCCTCTGCCTTTTATTTCCCGACTCCTCGATCTCATCGCTACCTTCTGTTGTACTGGAAGGCTCGCCAGGGTCCTGGACGTTCACATCCGGAATAGAGGCACCGTTGGTGTCGACAGGTTTAGCACCGGAACGGGTGCGTGCTCTCTTGCTAGGAGGAACGTTCAGGTCGTTCGACAGGCTGGGTGCATGCTTGCGTGTTCGGGTATTGAGCGAAGGAGAGTCGGCAAGCTCTTCGCCAGATGCATCTCTGGAGGAAGGTTGCTGGAGCTCCACCGCGGAAGACCTTAATCGCTCTGATGCAGAGGTACGTTTCCGTTTCGCGGAACCGGTGGATGACGGGGAGGACATGGTGGCGGTCGAACGCGAACTTGCCGGGTGGATTTAACAAGTTGATGGCATCGAAAAAAGACGAGATATGCGAAGGTATAACACTTGAGCAAGCAGCAAGCAGTGGAAAGAGTGTACTGTAAGATCACACCAGCGGTGCCAAGAAGGAGTCAATAATTTCGAGCGTGGAGGAATTAGGGGAAAGTGGTGCGAATAAGATACGGGGACAAGCAGTTGAAATAATGATTAGGTATTGTATTTATTGTTGACGAACTTACTCCCTATAGGGCGACGGAGACGGGAACGACGAGGGCAAAGGCATTGAAATGATGTGCATGGGCATGGCAAACGGGAAAAAGATGGCACCCACGTAAAAAAGGGAGCTGAGGTGATCTCTGAAGATCCCGAATAGGTTGTGATCACGCCAAAAAGCAGGGTATACGAAACTTTGTGTCTACAGAGAATGTCATTTGTCAATGGTATGCCGTCACGCACTGGGCCAGTTCAACACATGTGATCGCCAGCATTGCTTTTTCCCGTCCATCTCTTGGATTTATTGTACTGTGTCCCAAGCTGCAAGCCCACGTCATGGCTGGTATGCATCTCGCCATGCCATGGCCCATGGGTGGCCATGACCCACGCACAGGTTAGACTCGAAATTCGACAGGGAATACGAGAACACGAGAGAACGCGCCAGATAATACGAGGCGTGGATGCCAAACACTCACAGCCACATTACTCAGCCACAGATATGCAGCCACTCTCAGACCCACCTCGTCCACCCGCATCACTCTGATCAAAGCGTGGCATGGTGATCGTCCTACCTGTATGCAATCACTTCACGCCTTGAAAGTACGAGACTAGTTTGGTAGCGGGAATTGATGCAAAAGTGCTGATACTCTGTAGAAATGCACGACTTGAAACTCGCCCAACCGCGTCATGCACCATGTCTACTACCTGTGCATGTCATCGTCTGTCTGCTGTGTATCTCCTTCATATTGAAAGCAATTAAACCCTCCCTCACCAGGCGACAGCCGAGCAGCATTCGGGCCTTGATGTGGTTCTGGTCTGTCATACACCGGAATTCCGTTATTCCGTCACTTCGTCAACAAGCACGGGCTAAAGGGTATCTTGATTCGTGATGAAACTGGGTCTGCCTGGATCTGTCCTTACTTCATACATTCAGGCAGCCTTCTTCTCAGGCGTATCAGCAACTCCCTTGATCTCGGTACCTGGACCATGCGATGCGTCCCGATGGCTTGATACCTTGATTTCGTCACCAGCAGATTGTGGGCCTGGCGTTCCCTCTCGCTGACTACGAGTCGAGTCAATGTCTGATGTATCGGGCGTGTCTTTCTTGATTTGATTTGCCGTGTCCTTGTCTTCCTCGCTTTGGTCGAACATCTCTGCGTCATCTGAATCTGTCAACACTTCGGTGCCGTCTCCGAGGAGAATAATGCGGCCATTGCGGCCACCAAATCCTCTAGATCGGTGGTCTAGATCTAATTCATACTCATCGTCCGGGCTTTCGTGATCGAATTGATGCCTCACGCCTGGGCCGCGGAACTCAGCTATGCAATAGTCAGATAGGACTTGGTCTTCTGGATAGTGGAGGGAACTTGCCATACTCGGGTGGTGCGCATGGTCCATCACCGTCAGCCACACGTTTTGCAACAAGGTCGTACCATTCCTCCTTGGACTTGCCGTTTAGGAGGGCGATGACAATCATGGTCATGTTATCACAGCCTACGCCGCCAGTCTCACTATTGGAAGCCAGACAGTTATCCATCATGTTCTCGCATATACGTTGCAATTCCTGTTTCGCAGCAATGCCCCGACGGACAAACTCAATAACTGCTTGCGAAGATTGACAGTCCCATATACCTGCGCATTGGAGGTTAACATTCGTCATGTCGGGAATTGGAGTGGATCTCACCATCACAAGCAATGACAAGGAACTCGTCATCACTTGATACCTCATGTGTTATCACATCGGGGAAAGCAGTCACGATCTGTTGCTCAGGGGAAAGATCGGCGCTTTTCTTGAACTCGAAATCACCAATGGCACGTGAGAGCGCGAGATTGCCGTTTACACGACCGAAATCGACGAAACCACCTGCAGCACTGATACGAGCCTTCTCGCCTATTCACGTGTCAGCTAAAGCCCTAGGTACGATTGATCGTTGCAATCCATACCTTCGTTTTGTGGTTTGTGGTCAAATGACAGGGGCTTTGCTCGCCCTTTCACACCCAGCACTGAGCGGGAGTCTCCAGCATTGGCCTGAGCCCGTTAGGAAAGAAGGAAAGACGCTGGTGATCTTATACTTACAACCCATATCTTGTCTCTTGATATAACGCCGACTGATGCGGTGCACCCAGAGACTTCGTCCTCATACCGTGCATCTGTTAGTAATGTTAGTAATCCATCTGGCAAGAGGCCACGTCATCCAAACCATTCAAGATTGCATTGTCTGTGGCAAGGAACCCATCTTTGAGCGCTTGCTCGATATCTCCCTTTGAAAACGCTTGTTGTCTGGCCACAATCTTGTGTATGTTTTCACCAGCGAATTGTGCCACTTTCTCCCCACCATGGCCATCATACACTCCAAAGTACGACAAGCGTTTGTCAGGGGGCGCAGGCTTCTGCGTTTGGCCGTTCTTTTCAGGTTGTAGGTCGAGTACAGCGGCATGTGCGTCTTCCATACTTATGCGCCATCCTTGCATGGCCGAAAGGCCATACAGAACACAGTCATCTGACCCGCTATCGGATAGCTACGGGAAGGTCAATTAATTGCGACGATCTTTTGAAACGGGGAGATAAGATTTGGGAAAAGGTGTCGAGGAGGGTGACGCAGATCCGAGTGCGTTAGTGGCACAGGCAGCTGAGGGTATCTCTCTCCCACTTGAGGAGTCATAATTCATACCTTTTCGACAACGGGCTCCGACAGAGTCTGACCCATATTGACTAGCTCTTATTGGCGTGATGGAAATGGGATGTAGTAACGATCATATAATTGCACGCGGTGTCATAAGCTTTCGAAAGAGGCGGGGGGTAGACCGTGCAGAATTCGACGTGGGAGAAAGGGGAGAAAGGTGGGTTGGATAGTGTACGATGAAGTCGCGACGTCCAAACATGCACTCGCTGGTAGGAAGATAGTTTCGACTACAGATCAAGGCCAGTGGGAAAAAGTCGAGTTGTCGCGTGCAGGGATTAAAGATGTAAGTTGAAGGAGCAGAGTGGGTGTTGTAGGCTGGTCTTGTCTGGGTGCGATAAAATGACGAACTTGAAAACCGTCCCAGTCTCAAAGTCCCAGTGGCAGGCCCGCCTCCGAATTGCTACGCAACCCGTTACGGGCATGCACCAAGGTTCTTCCGCCAAGAGAGCAGGATTAACTTAAGTCCGACTCCGGCAGCGTGGCACCCCCGGCCCCAGGCACCCACGGGGGGAGACCAGGCGCTGATGTATAAGCCATCTGAGAGAGGCTGTTCCCCACCATCTCTTAACTAGACGCCGAATACAAGTGCCTTCACAGTCTTCTGCAATTACTCCTGCAGATATCCGGGGCTTTGTTTCTGATAACACTAGAGCAATGCCGTGACAATACGTGAGTGCCATATACGCTCAACTGAATGAAAATGTTGTTTCCCTAAGCCATAAAGATCCCCTCATTCATCGATCTATTCCATGTTGGGAGATGAACAACGCTATATAGATCTTCAGTCATCCTTAAATTCTAATGGGTTGAATTGATAATCTTAGATCTAGTCATCTTGTTTGGATTTTCCCCCAAGCCCCGACATCACAGCTCAAAATTCAGATATACCGCAGGCTGGCATGCTGACTACTCTGAGTCCTTGTCAACCCACTGGTTTCTACATTCACCATGGTTCGTTGGTCTGCAACCCGGCCTTGTCGCAAAGTGGTGGATGTGTCACCATTGCACATATTCTCTTGTGACTGCGTTAGGGGGCTGAATGGCAGACGCGGACCCACCTTATCTTGCCTCTTTGATGGGCTTTCATCTTCCCATTGACTGCCTGAAGATGCAACAGAATCAAATTGCCTGCTACTTGCAATACTGCCACCTCCTTTTTGGTTCATGATACTTGTGTCAGTGGCCTCGAAGTTGCTTTTCTCGCAATGAGACCGTGACGGAGAAAACAGTCGAGACGACCCTCGATTGGAAAAGCGAGCTGCCCCCTCGAGTCGAGTTCGAGCTCGCTCGGTGTGCCACCTCTGACGCTGTGCCTCGAAGCTCAGTGAGTCCTCAATAGCATCAAACATAGCACCTGAAGGCGAGGTTGCCCTCGCTGTAGTGCAAGCTGGCGCTGAAGGTGGAATGGGGAAAGAATCAAGAAGAACTGTGCTGCGATGCTTTTCACCCAAAGGACTTGAGGTCCTGGTATCTCGTCGACTGTGATCGATGCCAGCGTCGCTTATAATCCCTGCGCCGTGTCCTGCGCCACTTCTCCTATGCGGAAGTCCGACGGACGGATGGATTATTGAATTTCGCAATGCCTTTCCCATCGCTCTCGCATCGCTCATCCGCCGTTGGCTGTTCGCTGTTCTTGAAGGAGATGCTAAGATAGTTTCCTGTGCACGGAAAGGCTGCCATTCTCTCATGGAACTGGCTTCTTTACCTTTCATGCTCTGTGCATGGATTGAAGTTCGCAAATTTCGGGCCTCTGCTTTGTCTAGATCCGAGTTGCACAGTCTTGGCATTTGTTGTTGCTCAAGCGGTTTGGAGCCTGATACTCTTGAATTGGCTTTCTGCAATGAATCGTTGGACCATGCAAGATCGATTCGGGGTGGCCTGAGAGGAGGGTTGCTCCTGACGGGTTCCGCATGTTCGATGATAGACATTATATTCTTATCTCCTTTCCCACGGCTTCTTCGCCGGCGCAGCCATAGAAGAACACAAATCAAAGCTACGACAACCGCCCCCACGACAGACAAACAAATAGCAAGCACAGTAGGTCTCCAGTCTCCTTTCGAAGTATGCGGATTGGTGGTGGTCGAAGAGGTCGCTGTGGCTCCAATAGAAGCACTTGGATTGCGTGGCAGATCTGTCCCATCAATAATTGGCGTAGTTGCAGTGGGCTTGACACTCGTTACCAGACGAAGAATGAGAATCCCTGTGGCATTCATCGTCATGCTCTGAAAAGACACAGAGATATTCCAAACAGCTGGCGACAAATGCAGAGGTACTTCGCCATACAAAGTCAAGTTCGTAGCATTATAGTTGAGCCAACTCAGATCATTTCCAGGGCCGGGGTCGAACCACATGGACGGGTATAAGTTTCGAATATCAAGTGTACACACGAGATACTCTCCTGCCGAAGCCTCGATATCTGCAACCACACCTAGTTGTGAGACTGGCAAGTCCATAAATACAAGAAACCATGTTGCGTTAGCCACATTATGGAAGACATCTGTTACAGATATTGTGATGGTCGTGTTCGCTTGCGTCTTAGGTCGGCCACGTAATGATATTTGGCCCTCATCCAGTTGTACCCAAGGCGGGCCATCCACGGTAACGCTCAATATTTGGTCGTCCCCAATCGGCTGGCCATCAAGCATCAACGAATCTCTTAGAGACTCTGTTCTCCAGAATTCTCCCGTGGAAAGAGCGGCGCTGTGAGACGGAGTTGAAAAAGCCAAAATATGAAACTGAATAACGATGTTGAACTCGGCGATGGCCTCTGCAAACCCTGGCACGTTTGAGGCAATCAAACGAAATCTGAATTCTTGTGCAGGAGGTGTTGTTGAAATTAGAGGCGGGGTATCGCCTGAAAATAGAAGCTCTACAGCGTCGAACTGCAGCCATGAAGGCAATGGGGTGTTGTCGGCGGATATCGCGTAGTACCTGGTGGCGGCGGTAGTACCACTGAATAGGTTCCCATCAAATTTAAATGCAAACGGCTGCGAAGGACGTAATAGCAGAGAATGTGGCCCTGAGAATGACCCAAGGTCAAGCAAATGTTCCTTAATGGGCTCTTGCACTGCCAAATCATTGGATTCAGATACAACAAGAGTAACGCTGTCGGTAGCGTCCCCAGTCACATCTGATGCCGTCAACTGGAAACTTGTGGCTCCCACATCAATTGAGCGAGGTGTTCCCGAGAGACGTCGATTAGCAGTGTCAATTTTCAACCATTCCGGACCACCACTTAAGGTATAGGAGATTTGGGGACTGTTTGATACAAAAGTCGTGGCGGAAAATTCGAAGGTGTAAGGAAGTAAAGCAAGTGCCACGGGTGGGACTTGGGAATTGATCGGAAATGCGAGATCTGGCACGCATAAAACCGCCTTTATCATTAGGACAGATAGACTTCCCAATAAGGGAGTCTTGCTTTCAATGAAAGGCATTCATAAGGTCTGACACCAACGCTCGAGGATCGAGAGGGTGATGAACACCTTGAAGGAATAAGTATGCGAGTAAGCCTCGCCGCGAAGGCTCGACAGGAAATTTGCACACATTTTATCATGTTTCTGAGGGGCTGGCATCCATCGGAGTCCTTGAGCTCTGCAAGGGGTAGCCGCGCAGCAAAGAGAATGTGCCACTACGCACGCTCCCGTAACTCCTTTCTGCGAAGGGTGTCATACTGTAACCCTAATCTGCTTCGGAGCACGATCATCTACAGAGTCTTGCAGGAGAACCTACCTTTGGTTCCTAGGTAGGGAGCTTATGGATCAGGGATGTCTTGGTGAGCGGAGAGGTCAATCATACAGGCCGTAGCCACGAAAAGACCACACGTGGTTATTCTCGGCCTAGCCATATTTGGATTGGCGTGTTTTCACGTGTCCTTTCCTACTACACGTTGACTTCCAAAGTCTTCTTGCAATCACAAGAATACAATACAACCACGTTGTCCTACAAATATTTCGTGCCTGAGCCCGTGTCTCCCGTTTGGAAATCCAGATTGCCTGTCAAGGATTAACGAAAGAATGCCTTCTATGGAGACTAAGCGCGAAAAGGCAAGAGAAGTTGTTGACATCTTGGAAGAAATCTCAATCCTGCTGGTAAATGTACTTATGCAGCCATGGAGACTTCTGTTGACAAAATCAAATAGGATACGCAGCTTGACCGCACTCAATTGTCCCTTTGTATCTCATTGATCGAGAATGGCGTTAACCCAGAAGCCCTTGCAGTCAGTATTTACTATGCAATTGACAAGGCCTACTACTAAAACATCAGTTCAGACTGCAATCAAAGAATTGAGACGCGAGACTCAAGACCTAGAACAGGACTCCGGGATTTCCGAATAATGGGATATTTGACAGCCAATGAGCCGTTTTACCTACGATAGCATAGCCTTTGTTTTGAACACCCCAACTTAACCCTGGTGAGAATTCGGACCTTGGCCAGACGCCTCAAAGTCCCTCAGGAATCGGCCAGCTCATCTTTAGTGTGTGCACCCTACGGATGTCCCGCATCGAATCTGATGATACGAAAGAACAAGGTCCGCGGCCGAAGTGACTCTACATCGGTTATCATGCCGTGCATCCCTAGTAAATGTTGAGCGTTCACGGAGTCTGTTGATCGTGTTTGACTTTGCTCGCACGTGTGCACTCAGCGTTGATGGCGCGACCTCAGCGGTGACGAAAAAGTCTAACAAGAAGACTGTGCCCTCCCTGTGAGCGAGATTCTGGCACTAGTCGAGTTGTGCTATAGCTTTCTTTGTTCAGAAATGGCTAGGCCCGAGCTTTTGATGCAGTGATATCCCGGCGCAAAGAGTCAACGGTAAAGTGGCTTGGGATATTCAGGCGCAATGTAGTGTCACAACAAAATCATCAACAAAAGTCATCGACGAAACCAAGATGGGTTGATACGCTCATATCGCCTGAAAATGTGATATGCCGCGTCCTGGATGCACAATCGAGGTCAACAAGACAAGCTATATACACGTAACCAATGGTGGAAACTAGGAGGGGCCTATTCAGATCATCTGTTGGCCTCGCTCTACAGATCCAAATTGTTTGCTGCAAATTATGCTCCGTACCTATAGCTCGATGAAGGTTTTGAAGTTGAAGGAACTCTGTATCACCTAATAATCAACTTATCAAGCAGAGGAGAGGCTTACAGTACCGTTAGGCTCAAGGATAATGCAGGTCGACAAAGCTAATTTTGTGATCCGCGGAACAGCACGCTCCACGGAGCAACAATCGGGATATTGAGTTCGACAACTGAACCGCTCTGCAAGTCGTAAGCGGCCACGAAACGGCTTGCGACATTCATTGCCAAAAAGTTGGATAGTTCTGCTCAGAAACCAGCTGGAGGGAAAAAGCTGTTGATTGAAATGACGTAGACAGATTGGAGGGAAATGACGATCTCAAGCGTGGCTGAGATTTCAGGTGGTGCGCGCCCAGCTCGGGAAGCTCCAGTCAAACGGGTGGCGCTGCGACGATCAAGTCGCTAGAGGCGCCCACCAGCACGACCGCTGACCACCAGGGTGGCTTTTGTTCAGAAACAAAGGAGGCGCTTGCACTCATTCGTTCAATACCAACCAATCTGGACTCCACCTCTGTCATTCAAACCCTGGTGTTTCTCTTCAAAGAGGTCCGTTCTCACCACCAGCCATCACTTCTGTCCAAACATCGGCCACAGAAAACACGGTCAATGCAGGTTTTGACGCAATTGTAAATATTCCAGGTGAGTCGCCAGACAAATTGTTTATTCTTGGCCTATATCTGTACATTATTCTTAAACCGTTTGCTTTCCTGCATCGCCCCTCAAGATTTCTGCCAAACCACTCTGAGCCACAGACATTTGGACATCAGTTGTGCTTGAGTAAAGCCCTTGCCCTCTAACCCATCCTCAACCTTGACATACATACTATCCTACTATCCAGACAACATGAGGTTGACGGCGGTCCTTACTCTGGCTTGTGCCATTGCGACTTTAGTGCTGTCGCTTCTATCCTTGCTTGCAGGCTCGTCGAGATCGTTCCTACAGGACTCAGATATGATGACGGTATATACATTGCTCTGGCTTGACAGGACTCATGGTTGACAAGCAGTAGCTGAATATATCACGGATAGGCCACACATCCCTATTCAATACGACGGACGGGGATGGAGGGTTCTTCGATGATTTGGTCAACGACCTTCAGGAAGACATTAATGACTTGATCAACGATGCGAGCTCTGACATCGCCGAGGCGCTCAATCTGCCGGACTTCCTCAGTGTTCATGTTATGGACTTTTGCCAGGGCACCTACTCTCCCAACAGCACTGTCAGAAATCCGAGCATGAACACCACCGAATGCTCGAATCGCACCACACTCTTCCATTTCCGACCTACCAAGATCGTAGAGGATGCACTTCCTGATGGAATCACTTTGGAAGACATCCACTGGCCCAGTGAGATCCAGGATGCAGAGCGTGCTATCAGAATTGCCTCGAATGCCATGGTGGTATGCTACATCATTGGGATTGTCTTTGCCGGACTCGCAATCTTCACGGCCATCTGGGCAATCTTCAGCTCCGGACGTTTGTCTGCGCTGATCAACTTCGTCATTGACATGGTAAGTGTCTGTCTGATCATGAGCGAGCCCGAAGTTGAGCTAACAAACCCTCTCCCGTTTCCAGCTTGCTTTTCTCAGTCTTGGCATTGCATCCGCCATTGCGACAGCAATCATCGTCAAAGCAACTAACGCTATTAACAAATACGGTGATGATATCGGAATTGCAGCGTACCGCGGCGGGCGGTTCCTAGGCATGACCTGGGCAGCTACAGCGCTAATGCTCCTTGCATCCGTTGTTTCGATTGTACAATGCTGTGGAGGCAGACGAAAAGAACGTCGCTACGGAGGGAAGTCACAAATCTGAGCAGGCAGTCATTGTGATTCAGATTGTCAAGCAAAAACATGTTTGTGCGAAACCAGCAAGCGAGTGTGGGAATAGTCGTATCATTAATAGACATGACCTGGATATGTAGAATCTAGCATCCTGTCTCTCCAGACCGCCCAGACCGCCTATTTTCACAGGCGGTCAACGTGAGCGTCCATGTGATGGCTCGCATATATTCATACATATATATTTCTTCTGCTCGGAGAATATGACTCGCTCACTTTACGGTCCGTATTCCTGGTTGGGTATGATGTAAGGACCAGGATTGTTTCAGATCGGAGGACAGCCAAGCTTCTTGGGCCAGACGGAAAGTGGAATGGTGGGCCGAGGGCGATGCCGGGGGGGAGAACAGAGCCATTTAGGCCAATGGCGACGGCCAATCTACGGCAACACCTGCCCCTGGTGCCCAAGCTTCCGTCCGTTTGGCATCAGCTACCAGCGGGAGCTTCACCTAAGGGCACCTGGAGTGTCAGCCCTCGCGCCCACTGCACCCACCGCTTCCCACCAGAAGGCACTCGTAGCTGCTCGATAGCATTACTGAACAGTGAACAACAGTGACGCACGCGGGGTTGCTTCGCTTCGCCTTCACTCACCAGAAACATGTCACGACTTATCTCACCATCCCACTCTACACTGATCCCTTTTTTGGTTGACCGCACTTCCCATAAATATTTTCTTCTCACTGCTCCTTCATCTTTACAATCTCCTCGTTCTCATACTATCTTCCAGCAACAACAACCAATATTTCCCTCCCAACTTCCTTCTTGCGCGACTCTCTTTTATTTGGGCCCTAGACCGCTCTGACCATGTACGTCTTGCTCCATTCGTTCTACGTCCATCCCACTGACATTTCACAACAGAGCTTCCTCTCACTACCCTCGTCATATCCTGTCCTTGTAACCAACAACAACCATGGTTGGCACAGCTGTTCATTTCGGTGGAGGCAACATTGGCCGTGGCTTCATCGCCGAGCTTCTTCACGAGACTGGCTACTCAGTCGTCTTTGTCGATGTCGTTGATGACTTGATTGACCGGATCAATGCTACCAAGTCATACAAGATCACTGAGGTTGGTGAAGAGGGGGAGAAGAGCAAAACTATCACCAACTATCGCGCGATCAACTCCAAGTACAACATGGATGATGTCGTTGAACAGATTGCCAATGCAGACATTGTCACCTGCGCAGTTGGACCCAATGTCCTCAAGTTTATCGCCAAGCCCATCGCCGATGGTATCACGGCACGAACTGCCCCCAAGCCTCTCGCCATCATCGCCTGTGAAAACATGATCAACGCCACAGATGCTCTCAAGGCACTCATCACCGACCCCAAGAACCTGAAGCCTGAGATCCTCAAAGATCTTGCTTCCAAAGCCGAGTTTGGCAATTCTGCTATTGACAGAATTGTGCCCACCCAACCAGCCGACGCCAACCTCGATGTTGTCATCGAGTCGTTCTACGAGTGGTGCGTTGAGACTACAGGTTTCAAGTCCGGCCACCCCGATGTCAAGGGCATCCATTGGGTCGATGACCTTGAGCCATACATTGAGCGCAAGCTCTTCACTGTCAACACTAGCCACGCCACAGCAGCATACTTCGCCTACCAGAAGGGTATCAAGACCATTCACGAAGCCCTGGCCGACAAGGAAATCAGACAGGAAGTCCATGAGGCACTCGAAGAGACGGCCCATCTGATCAGTGGCAAGCATGGCATCACTGCGGAAGAACAACAGAAATATGTCGACACTATCATCTCCCGTATCTCCAACCCTCATCTTGAGGATGTGCCAGTCCGCGTCGGTCGCGCTCCCCTCCGAAAACTCGGACGCAAGGAACGCTTCATTGGACCTGCTGCTCAACTCGCCGAACGTGGATATGACGTCACCGCTCTGGTTCGTGGTGTGGAGTATGCTCTTCGTTTCCAAAATGTCGAGGGCGACGACGAAAGCAAGGAGCTCGCTGAAATCATGAGCACTCTCCCTGCTGACGAAGCAACAACCAAGCTGACTGGTTTGGAGAAGGACCATCCTCTCTACCCCAAGATCCTGGAGAAGGTCAAGCTTGTGCAGAGCGAGAAGAAGTAGCCTGCAGATGGCGTTGCAGTACGTGCACAACGACCAGTATGATAGGACGACTTCCCGGCATGATTTACGAGGGAGATGGCGCAGCTATTCAATGAGGGTTCTGGCTGTCATCAATACATCACTTCTATTTTCATTCAATGGCCCGAGGGCTTAGATAGAGTCTTATGCAAGTAGCATCTTTGCCAAATTATGGCCGACCTGCTGGGATCAGGAAACAAAAAAGCCTTGATACAAAAGACCAATTCTCCCCTTCATTTTCCTGTTTCAGCGTCTGTACCTAAATATCTTTTTCTTGCCTTGAACCCTTCCCCAGTGTGCATCTCTGACATCTCATTCACTGCGGGCGCAACGGCAGCGCTGTAAATCCTCAGTTGCCCACCTCTGATATATTTTCCCTGCTTCGTTTGGTATTCTAGGAGGTTGAGGGTACTGACCCAAGATTTTGTTTTGAAACCACTGCTATCAGACCACGTGCAATCTCCACCTTTTCCTTGAACCAAACCCGCAGCCGATCCAGACTCGGAACGTGAAGCACCACTGGGTGAACACTCATATCTAATTATGTGTTGTACACTCGCCACTGCCAGCGGGAAAATTGCCAAGAACTCCAGAATCACATGAGCCGAACTCATTTCCTTTAGAGCCACTTGCTTCCACGGGATAACAGCTGCTCAGTCAAACGCGAAAGCGAGCTCTCACAGCATCCAACTTCAAAAACTCCTCGACATCAGCCCACAGCAGCTTGGGCAACTCGAGGGCAGCAAAATGACCACCCTGGTCATGCTGCCTATAAAACAGCAAGTTATCCCCAGTACGTTCGACCCAGGCCTTGGGCATGGGGGATAGCTCCAACCTGAACCAGGAGAATCCGAAGGGCTTGTTGTCGCCGATGTGCCATCTCGGGCTAGCATGCTTCTCTGCATCAGGGCCATAGAATTGGCGGTACGACCAGATGCTGGTTGCAGGGGTGTTGGTCAGGCAGTCCAGATTCACGGATTCGAGGATGACGTCCACAGAAGGGTCGTCTTCCGCCCGCTCCAAATCTTCTCGACGCGAGCAGGGAGAGTGGGCTGGCTGATAGCACCAGCCCGATGGTCGCGGGGCGCGGGGCGTGTTCCTGGGCATACGCGCTGCCAGTTGCGACGAACTGCACGCCACGCCGGAGGCCTGCTTGCTCGAGAGCGTTGGTGGGGTTTTTAGCTGCGCGGCCATGATGCGCGCGACTCGCGCGCCGACGTCGCCGCACTGGACCATGTAGGTGTTCAAGCCGAGGTGGTCGGTGACAACACCAGACGGTCGAAGATCCGCGCCACATCGTCCGTGGTGAAGTTCATGTCGGTCGGCCGCGCCGAGGAGAATGCGTACCCCGGTAGACCGGCGGCGGTCAGATGGTAAGGGAGATCATCCGAGGCGCTCTTGTATCGCGAGCGGAGCGTTTCGAGGATCGGGAGGAACTCCAAGAAACTGCCCGGCCAGCCGTGCAGGAACACGATGGGGATGGCGTCCTTGCGTGACGACAAAAGGGCCACGAAGTGGATGTCGAAGGTATTGCTGAGTGTCTCATCGTGGACTTGGGCTTTGAAGTGTGGGAAGGTGTTGATGTATGCTTCGTGTTTCCTCCAGTCAAATACTCCGCTCTCTCAGTGTTGCTTCGCCGCTGGGAGCAAGTCTCGCCGCACACCGAAATGCCAGTCGCCCTGAGAGTTCTCGTATATCGGTGGTGCCAGAGGTGTGAGTCTAAGCACAGCTGTGAGGTCGTCAAGCCGCTGCTGCGGGATGTTCACCTTCCAAGGCTTAATGGTGTTGTATGCGCCATTGGGAACTGTGTCGAACTCGCTGGAGGACATCGTGCAATACAGTGCGATATATTGGAACAAGCTAGTCAGTCTGTGCCGTGGTCAACGTTAAAGAAAATAGGTTTCCTTGGTCTGGTGGAGGTGACGCAACTTTCCTTGATTGATGGATATCCTATAACATGCTTTATGACAGCCGAAAGCTACTCTCATCATTCCAGCATATCGCCAGCCGTCGGCCTTCGTGCTGCGTGAGTGATTACAGCTTGGGTCATGATCAAAGCAAGTGCTCCATATAGGCTATACGCCACGACCAATTGTAATCTCTTATATCGTTTGGCTTATAGGCTTGCGAGTACTCATTTCCTCAGTATTGCATACGACGCCCCCAGGCGACGTGAAAGAGCGAGCATTAAATCTCTGCAAGTTTGTCAAAATTCGGAAGTATCATATGTCGCCTCAGTCGTGATACATAAATACCCGAAGCTGAGACAAAGGAAGCAAGGTGGCGCAGAATAATTAATCAGTTTCAATATTTGCGTCATTCCCTTCTTGGGGAAGCTCTCAAACCTCGGCAACTGTGCCCAAATATTCCCCAAAGCTCACAAGATGTGTATAAAGCGCAGGTACCAGTACTTGGTATTTCCAATTGGAGAAACTTGAATCTGCTAGATCACAGCGGAAGAGATAAGTAATCAGATTTATGCTGGCTTTCTGGGTGCTTTCTCCCATCAATGCCAACCCGCCATCTCTCTCTGCAGGAGCTTCCCATTAAAGAAAGACATCTCTCTACAAACTCCATCATCATCTCGACTCTGAAAACAGCCAAAAGCAATACACCCAGAAAAGGAAAAAGAAAAGTCAATAAGACCATCGAGATCCAGCTAACATGTCGGCCGGCACATCCTTTAAGACCCCACCGCCATCGACGCTCTCGACAAAGATCCTCTTCCCCACGCCATCGACACTTCTCATTGTGCTCAACAACCCCAAGTCACTAAACTGCCTGTCTAACGCCGTGCACTGGTCGCTCGACGCGCTCCTCTCGTGGTACGACAACGAACCGAGCCTGCGATGCGCGATCATCACCGGCGCGGGCCGGGCATTCTGCGCGGGTGCGGACCTGAAGGAGTGGAACGAGAGCAACGCGCGGGCGGCGAAGGGCGACGGGTCCGGACAGCGGGTGATGCCGGCGAGTGGCTTTGGAGCGGTGAGTCGTCGCGCTGGGAAGAAGCCGTTGATCGGCGCGATCAATGGGCTGGCGTTTGGTGGTGGAATGGAGATGGTGGCGAACCTGGATATGGCCGTGGCTGCAAAGAGTGCGCAGTTCAGTCTGCCCGAGGTCAAACGTGGCGTCGTGGCTATCGCTGGTGCGCTGCCTAGAATTGCTAGGACTTTGGGCAGACCACGAGCGATGGAGCTGGCCTTGACGGGGAGGACGGTGACGGCAGCGGAGATGAAAGAATGGGGGATGGTCAATGCTGTCACCGATGATGCTCCGGCTGATGCAGATGTTCTTGCACGGCCCGTGGTTAAAAAGGCTCTGGACTATGCGGAACAAATCAGCAGCAATTCGCCTGACAGTGTAATCATCAGTCGGGCCGGTGTGATCGCCGGATGGGAAGATGGATCCGCGGAACATGCAAGTACAAGCATTCTGGAAATTTGGCAGGGGAGGCTGAACGAAGGAGAAAATATCCACGAGGGCGTCAGGGCATTCGTAGAGAAAAGAGCTCCAAGATGGGTTGGGTCTAAATTGTAGTGCGACCCGTGTGGTGGTAGCTACGAGTAGGTACAACATCGGATTGTCAAGAGTTATGGTTTTGAGGCTTTTTTTTCATTAGACTAGTCGGAGAATTGTGAAGAATCAACTTGACATTTTCTGTGCTGGGTGTGATAGTAAGTCCTGAGTATGAAATAGTCCATTGCCCTCCCATCCACCAGTCTTTGTCCGTCGGTATTCCTGCGCCTCCGATGAACCCAATCATAAAAGACATGAGGAATACTGTTGGACTTGGACCCAGAATGTACATTCCTAGTTCTTAATTTGATGGAGACCGAGAGTTGATGGTTCTGGAAAAATGTGGAAAACGCCAACTGATCAGACAAGAGGTGCACTTTGCGACGGTGTAATAGAGTTGTATCCTCACTCATATTCATATCACGTCCGACATTGATCACTCTCAGTGCCATCGGTGTTATATACCACTTGAGTGACAAGGATCGCAGTTTGTGGGTATCGTTATTTCAACAAGAGATGGTAGATCATGCACGTTGATGCTGAGGCATTTGTGGGATACCGGCGTATTGACCGCCCTGGTTTTGCTGTTGCAATTGCTGGTAGTACAGCGCTTGCTGCTGTTGTTCTTGAGTCATGTAACCGCCATGAGGGGCTGCTCGGGGCATTCCCGCAGCTGTTGGGGGCATGGAGGGCACGTCATCAGGTGAGGCGACGTCGTCAGCGGCGTCAACACCATTCTCGTTACCGGAAGGTTCGGGTGCATTCAAGCATGCCTGAGAAGGGTCAGTCAAGGCTAGGAACACGGGTCAAGTGAGATGTTTCATACTTGAATGAGGTTCTTGCCTTCAGCCTTGGTGACAAGTGGTTGGAGCTTAGGAGTAGTGAAGGTGTAGACAAGGCCGGTCTCAGAGACAACCAGAAGGAGAACTTGGGTACCGGTGAGCACCGACAGTTCATAAGCCTGCGATAAGAGTCAGGACTGTGTGATGTGAGTGGATGCGCAGTGGAATGAACCGACCTTTTTCATAATACCGGCTTTTCTCTTGGAGAAGGTGATGTGACGACGTGATTTATCTTGAATGAACTTGATCTCGATCTTTCTGCGCTCTCGTCCACCCTTCTCGTCGTCATCGTCATCGTCATCACCGGCCATTGAAGTTCTTTGTCTCTTTGTGCCTCGAGAATCGACACCATTGCCAGTGAGATCATCTCCGGGAGAGGGATGATCGAGACCAGTTGAGGGATCGGTGATATCGGCCATGCTGTATTCTTGTAACGCTGATTAAATTCGACCAAGCCTGCCGAAACGAGTAAGTATGTCAATAAACGAAAGAGGAAGCTGGTGGATGGGATGCGAACCTTTCGGGAAAGTGTGTCAGAAGGTCACAACTTTGAGTGGTTGTAGGCACTGGTGACAAGTCTGTAACATAATCGAGTCAGCTAAAGTAATGCGCCAACTTGAGCATCGCATGCTGCACAGGTAGTGCGAGGATTTACAAAGGGCAACATGCAGTGGAAAGTGAAGTGTGGGTTGACAGGGTGAAGGATGTCACTGAGAACGTACTCGGACAAGGGCAGGGCGCAGGCGCAGGCAAAAGCAGAAAGAGGAATAGAGGAATCCGGGGGAGTGACAGGCACAGAACAGATTGAGCAATCAAGCTTTGTGGATTTGACGATGTACGACAATCAAACTGGAAAGGGAATAAGAGTGGGTTTTGGGTATAGAAGGAAGTAACCACTTTCTCTATGGGCTGAAATGAATAGAAAAGGGTTTGGTGTTGAAATGGATAGAGAAGAATGAGAGCAAAGGGAATGGGAAGCGGGAGCTCGGCAAAATTGGGCTGACGAGGGAAAAGGCAAGGAGAGTTGAGTGGTTGCTCGAGTTCGAGGGCAGGGAATCAGACGCGCAGGTGGGAGGTGGGTTGCATTGCCAATAGTGCAGGCGCGATCGAGGGCAAGCGCAAAGTGCAGGTGCTGGTGAAGATGAAGGGGGCTGGGCAGGATGGGGGGCTTGGCAGATTGGGGGGCTTCTTGGGTGGATTGGTGTGTGCACTGCAGCTGTGCATCGATTCTTGAGCTTCCGGGCCCGGCCAGAGACCGCAAGGCGTGCACTGCAGCAAGAGCACCCGTGGTGGATCCCGTTTGATATGGCAGGGCAGTGGTGATGAGCGAGAGAGGAGGGAATTTGTGATGTCTGCCGTGTCATTCTGTTTCTTTTTTCCATCACCCAACAATGATAATGATAACGTTGGATGGATAATAGAAACATGCAAGTATATCCGGTGTAGAGACTCTGTAGTCGACACAGACATCTGTCTTTCTCTCGATGGGGCTTGGTTGAAAGGATGATCTTTGCGTTTGGATGAAAGAGGAATGGGCAGACAGGAAACGTAAAACCAAAACCAAAACTGAATCAGAAACACTTTGACAAACGTACCTTTCCTAGGTGTAAGTGAGCGGGACTCGAAAAGAGCACACGCACACGAGTTCAAGCTTTTCTGGGATCCAAGAAGAGGATTTTTGCTTGTAGCCTGTTAAAGAAGGCGCCTGGAAGAGTTGCGATCGCGTGGATTTGATTGATATTGGTGGTTGCACGGCACAGAAGAATGGCAGATACTCAAAGTCCAGAGAGGAAAGATGTGGACAGTGGACGAGAGAGGAAAGGAAAGAGTCAGAAAGGGGAATAGTGGCAGTGCCTACCTTAAGTAGACTGGAGAGAAGACGACACGCCCACCAGTTAGTGCACCAGTGCCCACCACTGCCACCAGAGCCCACTACTGCATAGCTAGTGTGTGATTGGCGGCAGGTCAGGGGCGGGTCTCTCGACTCCCCCGACTGCCCGGCAGAAGCTGAGCTGCCCGGGTCCCATGCCTGGAAATCCAATCCTGCCCCCTGGAATCAGATCCACGCCACTAAAGACCTGCTAGTTTCGCAAGCATAGCGTAAGCTTCAACAATACCGCACACCACTGCACCATGTGAATGAACTTGTCTCCGGGCCATGTTCATCTCCAGAACGGACGAGTTACAAATAATCATCCCTGAAACTCTGATTCCAATCAATGAATATACCTGCTTGAGGCGTCTTCCATCAACGAGCATTGATGTGTAGACAAATAACTATTCAATTCGTCTTTCATTCACCCATTTAACCAATTCCACCCCTGTGGTGGATGATGCTAACGAGGACCCCAGGTACGGAGTATGGACGTGAAGTACCCACGGCGTATCCCTGGGTGCCTAGAGCTAGGGTATCTTAGGCCGGCACTTACTACTGAACAAGCCCCCGAGTTCGCGGTCGGAGGCTTGCTCCTTAGCGCCCTTCTTCCTGTGCGTGAGGTGGGTGGCCCCTCGATTAGCCAGTTGCGGGCCCCGACTACTCGTATGTACATTTTTGCGTCCGCTGAATCATCATCACGATATTCCATCACCACCACAAGGACTTTGCCCCGGTCGTTCCCAAGGTTCGCTTGTCTTGCAAAAATGGTGCTCTTTTAACGTTTCCTTTGATATCCGGATGCACAGTTGATGCAATGGCCTTGATGGTAAAGAACACAGTCAGCCTTGGACCTTGGTACACCACGCCAGCGCAGTTGTAATCCCATGACTTTGCGACGCAGTACCTTATTCATCCGGCACCCGGAAAATACAAACGGCACGCACCCTCGTGCTCAATAAAAAGCGGCTTCGGAGCTCCACGGCTGTGTAACGTTCCCAGTACCTACTCAGTCCACCAAGTCTTCGTTGGGTAGAAAGAACAAGTTTTATCCAAAGCCATGCTCATGTCTCTCTTGCCCAGCCTCGCACGATCAGGGTACTTTAACTAAGCTTGTTGAAGTAACCCTGGAGGTGTCTGGCGCCCAAAAGTGTTCCTTTCTCAGTGCCCCTGTCTAGGGGGGTATCTCCTTCCTATCCCAGTCCCAGCACTTCCCTCTTCCCCTCTCGTCTAACCACCTGACAACATCAACCAGTCTCTCTGCACTGAATTCTGTACTGAACAACTTCTCCTTGGGCGTATTCTCCCAAAATTGTACACTCAAGTCTGTCTTGACCGTTCCAGGATGAAGTCCGACGCACATGGCGTTTCTGCCATTCTGCATTTTCAAGTATATATCCGTGGATCTGACAAACTGGTTGACGCCCGCCTTCGATGAGCGGTAACTGTACCATCCACCCAGCCGATTGTCTCCAATCGAGCCCACTCTAGCACTCATCAATGCCAGGACGGAGCTGTCTGGGAGGCCGTGCAACGCTGCCATCTTCGTTGCCTTGCGCGGCATAAATTGAGCGAAATGCTTGACCAACATTATCGGCGCCAGAAGGTTGAGTTTGAGCGTCTGCAGCGCTAGATCATACTCAATCTTATCCGGCGCTCTTTCAGGATGCAGCATTCCCGGAAGCAAGAACGCGAGCCTCAAGTGAGCCCCTGCCTCCTTCGAGTTATCATTATATCGCTCTTTGCAGTATCCAGCCAAATCGGAGATGGATGATTCCTTGAGGACATCGCATTCACACACATCGAGGCGTGAGATCTGAGAATCCGCAAGCTCAAGGTTCGACAGGAGCTTGCTTTTTGTCCTTTGCAGATCCGAGCGCGCCGTTGCGACGATTGGCACGCTGGAAGGTAACGTTCGTAGTAAATGACGCGTCAATGCGAATCCTATCCCCCTTGAAGATGGAACGACCATTGCCCATGCCATATTCACTCTCCTTCGTACCCACAGTCAACTGAGCTCTGCCCCTAAAGAGCTGAAAAATATTTCAGCTATAATTAGTTCGGCTTGAACGAAAATCGAAGCTTGGTCCCTCTGAGTCGCTGACTAGCTGTCGATCAAGTCAATTGGTCGGAGCTTCTCTTTAGCAGATCCTCATCAAGTGACTTGCTGCAAAGTCACCTATGTATCCGTACGCCGGACATAGGCCTAGTCAATAGTGTGAGACCCCGAGCTCTCGAGAGCCGTGCAGAAACGCCTCTGACGATGGAACCGCCAAGACCACTCAGCGCACGGATGATCGTGAGACCTCGAAAAGACGTCGAAATCCCTGGTAATCCTCAACATGGAGTGACTCAGTATTGCAGGTAAAGTGATTGATTGAATGATCTACCTCGCCCGAACCAAGGAGGTGCGAAGAGCAGCGGCAGCGTGGCCCCAAAACAATAGGAATAATTCCCCTGAATCACAGAACCTATGTAAGAAGGCAGTAACGATAGCTCTGAGAGCGACGAGTCTACGAGTATGAAGTAGGCACAAGGACTAGAAGCAGAAGCTCCGCGGAAAGGGCAAAAGAAGGCACCACCACTAGACACATCTGGCATACATTAGGTGCGCAAAACAGAAAACCGATTTTCTGTCGAGGTCTGGAACTAGCAAAGCCCTTATGTACTATGAGTATGCACATACATAGGATCATCGTCATAGCTTGGGATGAGGATGGAATGGTGATGATGTCGACGATCCTCCGGCGGGCCGCGAGCCGGGATTTCTAGTGGATGCAGATCCCTCTGGCTTCGATGCGAAGTACTTGGAAGCATATCGGGCGGTGTTGTCATTCGCACTTCTACCTTGTGCGAGTACTAGTAATTGAATCAATTAAGCACTCTCTTTCTATCACAGCATGCTGTGAGAGAATGTTACTCATAGTATAGCGTCGAAAGGCCCTTGGAATATCCGGAGTGAAATGCAAGTGAGATAGCGATAGGCCTTGGTGTGAATTTTTTCATGGACAAAACTTCGTCGTAAATCTCTCGTTATTCCTACTCCAGGGTTTTCTGAACGTCCTCTATGAAAAGAATCAGCTCCCGAAACGCCCCAAATTGTGCCGGTAAGAAACGCTAAATACAGTAGTACATCGACAAAAACAAACACACCTCTGTCCAAACTTTGTTGCGTATCCCAAACATATCTTCACGATATGTATTGGCGTTGGTTGTTCTGTGTCTTTTCGGCTGTGAAACGAATGTCAAACCCACTTTCTGTCCCCGCAGGTCGAAGGGCAAGGGTCATCTTGCTACGCCAGGATTCTTCATCTCCCACCCTTGCCTTCGGACCCCTCTCTTCCTGCCTCGAGTCTTCCCATCTCCTCTCTTAAAGGACCCAATAATCCGCCTTCCCTAGATTGAGCCGTACCCCCTCTTCTCGTCAATCAGTCTATATCTTTCCTTTTCCTTACGATCCTTAATCAAACACATAGCGGCCAGCAGGGTCATCATGTCGACCGCGACGAATCCAAAAAAAGCGGTAAAGACGATATCCAGGAACTGATTGGCAAAGCGGCCAAAAGGAACCATGCAACCTCCAAGTCTTGCCGCGGTCGCAGCGCTCGTACAAGTGGCATCTTTGATGAATAGAGACGGGTTGTCGTAACCGCAGCACTGGAATCGTGCCTGCAACATAGATAGGACTTCGTCGGACTGCGCTTTCCAGATGGGGATTAAGTTCTTATGAGTCTCAAGGGTCGAGAACCAGATCGCTAGCCCAATACCGAGGGTGAGAGTCGCGGACAGAACGATGCCCCAGCAGTGAACTACCAGGTAGGAGCGGTTCGACCTGTTGAACAGTGCGGGTATGGCGAGAAGGGATGTGATGAACATGATGACCGAGTTGACCATGGAGGCTGAATGTGATGTTTGTCAGAAGGCTATGTCTGCGAACTGGATAGGGCCAGACTTACCGAGCAGAGGACAATGGTCCAGAAGGAGATTGTTCGCGATGTTATCCACGGTGTTGTTGTTCTTGACCATGTTCTGGGTGTAGAGAGGTATTATGAGATGGAGGACCGCGCAGAGGAGGAAGGCGACATCGAAGCCGATAAAGACGAGCATGATCTTGTTAACCATGGCTGCTCGACCACCTGCAGGCGTTCACAGATGGGAGCAGTCAAATTCGAGTGTAGTGGAGGAAGTGGACGGTGTCGAGGCCTGCTCGACAAATCTCGCTGTGATGTACTCGATCTGGTCAAGAAAAGAAAACGGCGAGTACACAGAAGAAAGACCGTGGTGGTGATGGGTGAACGCACTGAAGAGAGGAATCAAAGAATGAAACGCACAGAGGAAAAAGAGAAAGGTGGACGAAGCGTAGGTTCAAGGGAGAGTAGATGCAGTGTCAAGGAGTGCACGGTTGGTGGTGGACGAAGCAAGCTGTGACAAGGGGGCGCTTCAGGTCTTGAGCCGTTTCAGAATTGATCCACTGAGCCAAACCATGCTGTACACCGAATTTCCTCACCTGACAAACCCGTGTGGCCGGTATCGACGAGGCTAGGCTTGCAGATCATTTTGATGTACTTTGATACAAGTCTTTTGGGGACCTTGAAGAAGAAAAGTGCGGGAGCAGATTGAGATTGAGATAGAAATGATGGTTGTGACAGGAGGGCAGAGACAGCCTCGGTCAGACCTCAGGAGACGTGCACCCAGTGATGGAGTCAGCTGACCGCCAGACATCATTGCAAGGGTTTGTGCGTGCGGCGTCACGTGCACTCCTATCTTACGTGGAAAGACTTCCCGAGTCCCCCGTACTAGATACACTCAAGGCTCCTACGTGGTGGCCTGTCACCAGTCCGTTTCGGACTTCCTTCGACATCTTGCATCCGCACCCTTACTAGCGGTTACAGTTCTCGCTTCCTCGCCCGTATCGAATGTTCTCCACGTTCGATTCGAGGTGGCAGTTCACGGAGGACACGTGTGCTTCATCTCGGAGGAAGCTTGTGCTTTAAAAGGGATTCCTTAACGGCGCCCTCGGACTCCAGGTTTCAATCAGTCAATATAATGGTCCTCTTATAATGAGGCGATTCTTTAACCAGCAGTTGCGTCCTGCATATGATACAGCTTTGCGCTTCGTCATCGCCCTTATGAGATTGTACATACCCTGACCCGAGCCTTTTGACTTGGACCTATAACGCTCCACACTTCAATTACCACCTTCACAACAACTGTATTCACAGCAAGGAAAATTTGAAATCTCCCATAGTCCATTCGCCGACGCCCCTCTCTTCATGTCCAGGCATCCTCTTCGTAAACCATTCCGACAGGTAAGAGTTTCCACGGGGATGCGGAATTGCACGCTCCTCTAAGTAAAAGAGAGGAGAACCCAACCCGATACTATCACAAATGTCATTAGTGTGCTCGATCCTTGACTCTTGTCAACCAAGCCAGGTGTACTGGGTTGTCCTATAGTTCTGGCCGCTCCCCAAGGTTGATAGCCAGAGCGCGGAATGGAGAATCGTAAACATCTAGCTCCACGGCCAAACTGCTCCGCATTTGAAGGATCTCACGCAGCTGAAATTCAGTCTCAGCGGCGTTGACTCATTCAATCATTGCTTGCGGCCATTGTAGATGCTCTTGCCATGATTCAGGAACGATTTCCCGGATTGTTTCCAACATGTATTTTGACCAGCCCATGATGAACCAAGTTTCGTTGGCGTCCGGGCTTTCCGACCAATAAATGAGCACACAATAGTGAGCAAGGATAATAACTGCCTCAGGCTGTTTTTCCTCCAATAAGTCTAAAAATCTTGGTGAAAGATTGATAGGCCAGACGAATGTAGCGAGAACAGTCCCATGGCCTCGATCCCTGAGTAAGGATACTTGAATGAAGGTGCTGAGTAAAGAGTGGATTGCCAAATCATACGCCTGAGCAGATTCCTGGTCCTGCTCTTTGGAGTTGCATATCCGAAACAGTTTTGTGATCTGCTCTGTGTGAGGGAACCGATAGGCTGCAGTGTTCTCGATGTGTGCCATCTCGTCCAACACCGGCTTAAGGAAACTGCATCGAATGGTTTCGGAGTGCATGTTCAGCACGATATTGGCACCCCTCAACAGATAAAACCAGTGCAGAACCTCTTTGTTAAGGTCTCTTGCCTTATCCTTTGAGGTAGAAGCAAATGCCAGTACAATAATCAAGCAAGAGAAGGCGAAAAGAGCGTGAGCGTTATTTCCGTTAACATGCGGCAAGGTCGCTTGGAATTCGGCCAACCCAATGCTTTGGTGAGAACTACCAATCATGGCATATTCGGCCTTCTTCTCAGGATACAGAAATCCTAGATGGAAAGCTGAGATCGCCAATATGCCTCTGAGTAAGAAGTGATGCTTGAAGCCAAGTTTGACCGCATGCTCCTGCCACACCGCTTGGGCTTCCGGCGATTGGTCGTTGGCTAGATCTAAGGCTGTTACACTGGTGAAATGATGCATTAATCGAAGATCTGTGATATCTAGATCGGTAGTGGTTTTAGTGCTCACAACGTCTGGCAGTTGGAATGGGTCTACCACTATCTGGGATGGTGTCCTCTGACTAATACTGGCTGAGGTTGAGCCTTCGAGCTGTTGGCTTTGATCCGTGATGCCGGGGGAATTGCTGGCACCAGGAGACAAGGAAAAGTCGCAAAATATCTGTCGGCGTTCACAATTGTTGCATACTGGGTGCTGCTCGTTGCACTGCCCATGTTCATAAGCACGTGAGAAGGGGGATCAGAAACGAGAGGTACGTACCTTGATGCGCCGTACTTTGCATTGGCTACAGCCATTTTTAGATTTTGTGTGCGAGCGTCGCTGATTCTTTGGCGGCATCAGACAAAAATAGATTGAAGACAGTTGAGGAAAAAGTGAAGTTGGAGGATTTCATTCCCCTGTTGCGCTAGAATCGCAACTTGGTATGCGTCGCGTCGAAATGTAGTCAAGCGCATACATATGAACTCATAATCGAGTCAATCAAGATAAACCCCGTGCATAAGATCAAGTGAGCGCTTGAATGAGCCTTGTGTAAATGCGTTGCCAGTCGTGGAGCCAGCTAGCTAGTCGCTACGTGGTCTCTTAGTGTGAGCGGAAGTCAACCCAGGCTGCTGGGTCAGGCTGCCGAGTTCTGCTGGGATGGCAAGTCAATTCTGCTTACCACTCGGTACCTTCTGCTGGTAGACCTGGTGGGCGGGTGGACAAGCTGGTGTTATTATTGTACTGTACGGAGTCCAGCGTGCTAATTAAACAGATATCACTTTGGACTCTGGAACTTTGCAACAGCCGCGCGAGTCCGTGACTGGTAGAGTCTGTTTCTGCTCACTAAACATGCCAAGGCTGTTCCGCCTGTCCTTGTGATTTATCCGAGCAACTGTTCTCTGGCATTTGTCGGCACGCTACTGGCAACCTTGAGAAGCCAAACCCGATGCGGTGGGCGATGTAGGTATACCAGTTTTATGAGGTGGTCAAGCATTCGGCGCAAAGTCATCCAAGATTGCGTATTGAACGCAAATTATACTCGGTACCATGTATGACAGTTATTGGTAATGCAAGGCAGGTCATTGTACGGCACGGCACGACTGGCAGAAGGGTTGTATCCAAGGTGCCAGACTTGGTTCTACCAGTCCAAAGGACATACAAGCAATTTCACGAGGCAGTCTCATTATCAGCTACTCTGTTGCACTGAGTGTGGCAATTTGGAGCCATTCAGAATCACCAATTCTTAGGTTTGTGTACCTTGTTTTCGCGCTGGCGCTTCTCCTTCAGCACCGTCCGACGCCGCTGTTTCCAAGCACGATTGTTCTCGCCTCGGTTTTCCCAAAACTTCTTTTCAAACTCGCTTTGATTGCGCGACGGAGTGGCGGTCCGTGATTTTGTCGAATCTACTCCCTTCTTTGGGTTGTGAGATTTTCCTAGTTCGTCATCGTCATCATCGTCATTCACTTCATCGCCTGGAAGACCCGTACTGCCGTAGCTGTTGAATCTGCTGGGGTAAGCGGTGTCAGGAGTGGGTGCTGCACTCCGCAGTCCTCGTGCCCGGATATCCTGTGAGCTGAAAGGGGTTCCGGGTATCCGTGGCTCTTCGTCGGCCTCATCCTCATCCTGTGGGTCGAAAAACGAGAAGGAGGTGGACACTTCTAAAGATGGCTTTGCAATGTCGTCAGATGTGGGCTTTTTCGGTTTCTTGAATAAAGCCTCCAGAGGATGGACCCGGTTTTCAATAGTTTCTTCTTTTTCTTCCGCATCACGGTCATTCTCATTTCCACTCGCGTCATCTGAACCATCTGGTTCTGAGACTGATGAAATGCCGGAGCTGCTTGTCTCATCATCATCATCATAAATTCTCGCTGGCTGACCAACCTCTACTTGCAAACCTTGAGACATTTGTGATGCTGCGTCGTCGTCGTCGTCGTCTTCCGAAAATGATGAAGATGGTACGGGCGAGGGCCTGGAAATCCTTGGTGCTGGTGGCTTTGAGCGACTAGCCGCGATTGAAGTCTCTCGTTGCCTCAGGACCCGTTTGGATTCCTGCTCGACAGTCTCGCCAGCTTCATTGACCCAACCTTGCCCTTCCATGTATTCAAGATTGTTCTTAATACCCAAGCCCACTTCCTGTCTTAGGAATGATGGCTGCTTGGTTGACTTTGCAAATTCATGCACGACATGACCACCTTGAGCCTGTTTGGTCTTTCCCCTTTCGTTGCCTTGATTTCCTGCATCCAAACGATTTTCTGGAAGTTTCGTTCTGAACAACAGCTCATCCTTGTCTGAGTACTTTGACGCTGGAACCTTGGTTTCTCCCTTGTTGGTTTTGCTTAATTTGTTTTGGTAGGCTTCCGTCCATCCACGCTTGACCTTGCGATTAGCGGGTAATAAATGCCCGGGTATTACGTTGTGCTCCTTCTTCTCTTTCTTAGACCTTTTGCGCTTCCTATCTTCTGTTGCACCTTCCTTAGGAGGAGTTGTTCCATTGCCCGGTTCTTCGATGCGTCTGCGCTTACTGGGGCGGGCCTCCTCGACTTTGATTCTCTTTCCTTTCAAAATGGCGCCATTGACCCTTTTTTTTACCTTTTCTGCGTCCATGACAGGGAGATCAAGGTAGCCGTAATTACTCTCTGGAAATGTTTGAATAGAGTTGAAACAGATGTTAGCCGCCGAGGTGAGAAGGGTTGGACCTAGGACAACGGGAAGCAGGTCGGGGTTGAAGGGAGTAATGTGTAGTCGCGTGAAATCCTCTTTCATGCTTGCACCGTTATCTCAAAAACCATGCAACCCATCGACAAAAGCTGGAGTGCAGATAACACGGCAATGAGTATTTTGCGCCTGCTCTGTAGATGAGACTCTCTACGGTGGTTACAGTCCAAAATTGGAGAGCCCTGCACCAAGTATTTGGGAGGTTGGGATGCGGGCAACCCATTGATTTTTTCTGCTGGAGCCATACGGCTGAGAGCCAGGCCGAAGGGGCTTAAGTGGGCGCTAAGAATGAAGTCGGTGTTAGCAGCATGCTTATTCACCGCCCGAGGGCCAGTGCCTGGAACCCAAGCGACTGACGGAGGACGAGTAACTGAGTTTGTCAACTAGTCGTATGTAAGCCGTGAGGAGGGGAAGTCCCTCGGGACAAGTTAGTGGGGGAGGCGCAGGAGCTGGGACTCGTTATTATTGCATAAACGGGCGGCGAGAGGGGCACCTGTGGCCGAGGGGGCCGCCTAGATGCCTATGGATCGTGGTGACTCAGGTTCTGGCAGAAGCGGCATCCAGCGTTCTAAAAGGCCAACAACCAGTAGTATGAGTATGTAAGAATGCTCCTCTGGGCGGGTCAGCTCCCTCCGTATCGTTATCGCTCAGTCGTGCAGTCCCAGGATGACACCTGTTCTGCCCCGGTCATTCCCAAGTGGTACCAAGTAGTGCCCGCTTCCGATTCCAGGTTTGCGTATTTGTACTTGGCAGCTTCTGCAGCGAACGCTTGTCTGGCACTACATTGTATTGTATTCCACTATCATCATTTACACCCGCTACATATCCTGTACCGACTTCACTGCGATCTCATCTCTTTCCGGATCTGTCACTCTCTATTCCGCCCCCGAGTCCGTCAAATCCGCCGACGATCCCGCCACAGTACATCCTCTCCTTTCCAAAAACCCACCCTGCAGACAGCGTACAATCCTCGCATTCACGATCTTTGACTCGACAGCCTTGGTTTGTACAACGCAGACATTCAATGCTGCGATGATCTCACAGTATTGGTGTGGTTGAGCGGCGGGAGATTGCTCACATCATTCGAGAACGAAAGCCAAGATGGGCAATTCTCAGACCAAGGAAGCACGTGGACAGGGTGCATCTGACTCAAGAGTCAGTGGAAGTGCAAGCCCTGTTTCACGGCAAGATACACAATCCAATGCCTCAGAGTTAACCGCCAGACCCACGCAGTCCTCTCGCCAGCAACGACGAGGCAGCCGACCTGATTTCTCTTTCCTCGGAATTGGCGGAACCGCTGATCAAGATGCCTCCTCACTCGAAGTCAGGCGGGAGAACAAACAAGAGAGAGAAGCGAGAAAGGCCGAGAAAGAGCGTACTTCCAGGCTCAAAGAGCGCGAGCGCAGTATGAAGGAAGAACATGTCGATGGCGGCTATCTCGTTACCCAAGGAGTATATGTTGGTAACGAAGATTTCAACAAAGGAATCGTTCGCCAATTGACCGTAAGTCAGAGATTAACTCGCAATCGTAATTTCAATACTGACACTGTCCAGATTGAGCGCAGATTGGCACCTTTTTGGAGAGGTCTCAATGATTTTTCCGACTCTTGGGCTGAGCATCAGCTTATGGCCGCTGCACGTGGAATGGCCATACCTCCGGCTGATGAGGTGCCTCCCGAGCTAGAGTACCGCCTCGCCAAAAGGACTACATCGGACAACAACAAGGACAAATCTATCCAACACCTCACCATCCCTATAGGACCCCGGTCCCAGTCTTTTCAGTCCGACAGTAGTTCAGTACCCGTCTCTCCAGTCCCGAACTCTCTACCACTACCCACGCTGTCCACACCGCCCCCTTCCAGCTCTCCAAGCACCAACATCTTCAGGACTCGAGCTAAGACATTGGCTTCCTTGACCACCTCCTCTCGCAGTAATTCTCAGGCTGATATGACTCCGCGGGAATTCCAGCTACCCCCAGATCCTTTTGTCAATGGACAGCCAATCGAGGTCTATTTGTACAAGGACGCGACAGAATGCCCAATCTGCTTCCTGTACTATCCCCCCTATCTAAACACTACCAGATGTTGTGAGCAGGCAATCTGCTCAGAATGTTTTGTCCAGATCAAGCGCCCTGATCCACATCCACCTGAGCATGAACAGCCAGATCCGAATGCCCCTCCCGTCTCCGAAGCTGAAAGGGAAGCCCAAGCTGAAGGACTCCTGGTCTCGGAAGTCGCGACATGTCCATATTGCAAAACACCTGAGTTCGGCATCACTTACACACCACCACCCTTCCGCCGCGGGCTTACTTATGGCACTGGGTCTCAACCGTATCAAGTCATGTCTGCAAGGTCATCCCAAACCTCGATATCATCAGGTACTCTCTCACCAGGGTCTGGGCGGAGGAGAGGCACTTCCTTGTCTGCCAATGCACCGGAAGTGATTACAACAGACAAGATTCGTCCCGACTGGGCAACAAAATTAGCCGCCGCTCGAGCACATGCGGCTCGACGCGCTGCTGCAGCTACAGCTTTGCACACAGCAGCGTATTTGATGAATGGACAAAACAACGTTGAGCCAAGAACCTTCTCAACCTTTTCCCGACGAAACATGCTTCGTCGCACTACCATAGAGGGCACGGAGTCTAGCCCAAACCCAAGTTTGAGTGCTCTTGCTCTACTTGCGGAAAGACATGCATCACGTCAGCAAGAGGCAGCTCCTAGCGAGGCAAGAGCGAATCCTTTCCTGCCTCCATCTCGTGGTAGTAGTTCGCGAAGGAGCCGCATGGACGACCTGGAAGATATGATGATGATGGAAGCCATTCGGTTGAGTCTCGCGTCTGAGGAAGAACGACGCAAGAAGGAAGAAAAAGACGCACGGAAAGAAGCCAAGAAAAAGGACAAAGAGTCGAAGAAGGCGGAAAAGGCTGCTCGTAAAAGCAGCCTTTTCACCATGAACTCCAACAAGAGTGCTGGTGACTCCGCAAGCAGCCTTATGGAAAGGTCCAAGAGCAACCTTTCCCTGGGAGCAGATGATGATTTAGTATCGGGCAAAGGCAAAAGTGTCGAACGTAGCGGAGGCATCCTGATGGAACGGTCTCTGACCGACGAAGATAATCCGCGTCCATCTCAGGCATATCTTCCGACATTGTCGCTTTCTGGGACGAGTCAAGAATCATTGGCGTCTTCCATCCCTGTCCCGTTAGCAGCCGAGCCATTCCGTCGCTCCCATCTGCGCCAAATGTCTAATGCGTCGTCTGCATCATCATCGTTCGTCGAATCTGGCCCGGCTACTTTTTCAGGAACTGGAACACCACCTCCAGGAAGTCTCGAGCCGATGTTCAATTTTCAATCCCTTGCTGCTATGATCGGGGAGGAAGAGAAAGGAGACGGTAGTGCACATGTGGAAAATGCGGGATCCGACAGGGACTCGTCCCCAAGTTCATTTGATGCGCCGGTGAAAGCACAATCTTCTTCGAAGCTGACAAAAGCTGCAGTAAATGAGGACTCGAGCTCTGAGGCGTCCTTGGAGCCAGATTCGAGAACGAATTCGGCTGAAGATTCTCCATTTAAACAAGCCGAAATGAGGCTCGAGAACGCTGGAACGACCAGAGAAGTTTGAGGATAAAAACAAAGTCCTTATCATCGTCTGAGCAGCAGTCGTGGAAGTCCAGCTGAGGAGATAGTGTTATCGTGGATCATATTTCGCAATTGAGATTTTGGAGCAGACAAGCTCAATTGTATCTATTGTTCCTTAACTTGAGCCACAACATATGCCCATCGCGGCATTGTAGAATGATGAAAGCTGGGTGCCAAAAGGATCCAGCAGGCGCCTGAATACAACTTGGGATGGGACCGATAAGGTATCCTAGGATCATGACCTGGGAGTTAAGCAGCAGGGACATTGTATTGCAAAATCAAGATATAGACAATTGATGAACTATGTTTGAGAACAAGAAGACCGAATCCTCCCTAATGAGTATTGAAAACCGACACTGATTAATTAAGAATGACCCGTTGGAAGCAGAACCGCTTGGGCCTCTCTCATAGGAGTGGTTGAAAATGCACCTGTGATTGGCTCTCTACAAACGCGACACCCAATTTCACTGAGGACCATCTCCATCTCCATTTGTGGCCGATTTGACCACCACCCGCTCAATTCCTGTTTATTCGCATAGTTCTCCTTGGTTCGAGACCGTACAAAAATTATCTGGACATTCAGTGGTCTGCTTTCTGCATCCCCTCGATTGGATCAATCTTACGGAGAACATTATCCCCAATTTCCAGTTTCTTACATACATGATCCTTCTCCCTGTTCCATGGTCCACCTCTGACATTCAACCTCAACCTTGAAGGCGCGACCTATTCATCACCCGCAATAAAATAGACATGGCACCGGATCTGAATACTGTCCCCCACTCTCCTCGAAGCTCCTCGATTTCTCAGGGAACACTCATGACGACGTCTGCGTCGTCGGCATTGCCACATTCTGCTTCTAGAAGAACGTCGACTCAGATGCTGCCCCCTCCCTTACCACTGAACAGTGGCAGCCTTCCCAATTCACCCCGTCCGGCTCAGGCTACCCTGGGAGATAACACAGGAGTCGGTATTGGACCAGGTCCGTATACACATTACAACCGTCCCTAAATCCTTCCTGTGTCTAACCCATCACCTCAGGGCCCATCAGACACCCGCGGCCCTTAACAGCGGCTGAATTGCATCTAGAGCTCGAGAAAGAGCAGGAGAGCATTGTAAGCACATGGCATTCTCCCACGGAGAATCTATCCCTATTGGTCTGACATGAAGCAGGTCAACCGCCTCACTCGTGAATTATCTGCTCTACGGGCACAGACTGCATCCGTGGCCTCCACCACTTCCTCCACCTCGGATCACTTCTTTTCCTCCAGCGATCCATATACATCCACTACGGGGACTGCCACGACCATCATTCCGACCTCAGCACGCCGACACCGCTCCTCCTCGAATCTGTCAACCCGCTCCGCCAGATCAATCCGAGATAATCTCGCCAACGCTGGAAACACCAGCGTCTCCGGCGTTGCTGCCCCGAGAGATCAGAGCGTGCAAGCAAGTAGCAGACCCAGTGTGGAACTCAGCAGGCCAGACATGAGCCGGCAGAATTCCACGTCCGCTTCGGGCTTCCGCTCCTCCTCTATCACATCATCCCCGCATGTCAACCAGGGTGCCTATCCTTCCTATGCTTCCTATCCGCATCGAAGTTCTGTGTCTTCTAACGCGCCTAACCATCCTGCCCCGGCCTCGACATCCGAGTCAGCCCCTACGTCCGCATATCCTCGCAGCCCGAGCTCGACTGCGGCAATCGTTGCTGCCCGGTACGAGGAAGCTGCGCTGCAACGTGCAGAACTCGAAGCCGTCAAGCGGGAGAACGAGCAACTTCGCGCCCGGGTCAAAGAGTTAGAGAGGAGCCTACAGAAATCAAACGAGCAATCTGCCGGTCTGGTGACACCGACGCCCTCGTGACGAGAACAGAACGAGAGCCGCTGTTTAAGGAGCGGAATTGGGAAGAAGATCTTCCTTACGAAAGGACGGATGACGACTTGGGAAGTGTTAGACAATAAAGAAATGAACCCAAGCTCCAACAAAAAGAAAAGGCGACGAACTTTAGTGACGAGAAACCCGACCGAGAACGAAGGAAACGACTCATAACAATGGGAACGAGGGGAAAGACCATGACGAACTTTGCGATGATCATGACGAAAAGGGAACGAGATTGAAACTTCATTTGAATTAAATTGTAAGCAGAGATGCATAAAAGGGAATAGGGAGGGCAGGTGTGCGCTTTTGTTCAAGCGAGGGGAAACGCGCCAGGTCAAATTGCTTGCCAGCGAAAGCGAAATGGATACTGGGAATAGCGAACCTTCTCTCATGGCATGGTCTTCTTCCAACTTCAATGTTTCTATCCTGCCACTCTGTGGCATTCTTTCCCATACTCTTCCACTCTCTGTTTACTTCTCACTATTTTGCTATCGACAGACAACCAAGTGCTCCCTCTCCGCCACCATCTGACATCATCCACTTGACGCCACAATACGCGGATATGAAATGTTCTTGTCTGTCATGCCTCATCGGAATTGGGCAATGGATGACTTCTCTGACCATTCACATACTCGTTCGTTCCTCCTGCTAGTGTAGTTTTGCTCCTTCAAGCCTCCATGCGGGTGACCAAAAGGAACAGTCGTCACCCTGGCTTGACTCTGTGACAGGGGAGGTCTGTGTGAAATTCAGCACTTGAGAGCAGTAAGGGTGATTCTAATCCCTGGTGCCCACTCTGAGAATGTCCAATATCGAGACGTGCCTGCCCAATGGCTGAATGGATATGAGAGACAAGTTTGGGGGCGGCTCATCACTATCCAGAGCATGTAGTAGGGAAGACTAAAGCTTCCTAATCCGGACTTCCGAAAAATGGGTGAAGAAATGGTCTTAAGGGTGGTAAAGGACTTGGGAATGCTTCGAAATGGCGTTCCGGGTCCCCGCGCGGGTGGCCAGCTTCCCCAGATCGATTTTAACCCATGATCGAGACTATGGGCGGATGAGAACGAATCGATCAAGCAGACTCAGGCTCTGGAAAGCTGTTATTGCCTCCGTGGCTGGTAGGTTGTTTTGATGCTCCTTGTTCATTTCAACTCAAGGAGTCTAGGCTCTCTGCCCGTTGATTTGGCCTCGTCCTTCGCGGTTGACAAAGCTTCCTTGCCCTCAGCAGCCTTGTCCTTGACGGCCTGGCCTAATTGTTTCGCCTTGTCTTCGACCTGCTGCCCAAGCTCTTTGGCCTTGGCCTCGATCTCTTGGCCTTGTTCCGAAGCCCTCACCTTTCCCCAGACGGTTGACAAACGATCCTCAACCGCCTCCCTCTTCTGTGTCCAGTCGGTCGTCTGGGCTTTGTGAACCAACTTCTCGACTTCGCGATTCCAACGGTCTTTCAACATCTCGCTCAAGCCGGCTTTGCGGATCTCATATGCCGGTGGGTCTGGGAGAGGAATTGGAGGATCAATGACGGAGTTGAGTAGGTTGGCTTGCTGAGAGAGAAGTGTGCGCTGTACATTACGATTTGCGCGATGAATGTACAAGGAGAAGTAGAGGACGGAGTACGTCAAGGTGACTCCACCAAGCTGTGGTGGCTTGTTAGTAAGGGTGCGCCATGCACGTTCTTGGGACGACTCACAAGACCTGTCGTGAAGCCCATTCTTAGTTTCTTCCAAAAAGCAGCTCCAAATGAATAGTATCGTGGTTTCCGAAATATGTTATCGCTAGGTGGGGAGATATGAATCGAGGATCGAGAGCTCGAGAGTCACGGACGATAAGCTTTCGCGCTTGTCTGTTGACGAGGGGAGATTAAGTGTGATATAGGATCTTACTCCGGCGCTCGTAGGGAACTGAGGACACTTCGAGGCGATTCGATGATTGCGGATGTGGGTGTGAGCGTGGAAATGGTGCAAGGTTTAATATCCCTCAGGCCGAATCCCAGTATATCAAAAGTTGGAGCTGTCTTGCGGTCCGGCAAAGCGTCGGTCAAACGAGGCTTCTGCCGCCAAGCCTTTTCCGCCACTACTTTGGCCGTTTATCTCGCCGAGTCGCAACTGGAGCCATTTGAATTACTGGCTCGCTGATATTAATGCCTGTATTTTGACGCTCTGAGGTTGAACACGGAAGATATGATCCGAAATGGTCACATTGGGCTTTATGATTCGCTCCTATGTAGGAAGAACTATTTCTTCTCTGCTGAAAGATCATACTTTCCGCTTTCCCTCAACATAGATCTTATTCGCTTGGCCCCCACATAATCCATCACCAGATGCTCTTGGAAATCATACTGTTCATACTCTGATGTGTTCAAATGAGGAATGAACCGGAATACGTCTTCGTGTTACTTCGTAGGTCATAATTTGGATCTCCGCCATCCCAATAATCCTTCCGTCGGTGCCAGCTTCTAAAGTTTCCTTAGTCCAATATCCTGAGACGAACTCTGGGAAGGTGGCGCTCCTGATGTATGCTCCTCCCATTTGACGTTCCTGACATTGGCCTGTTGCTGTCGAAGACGCCTGTTCCGTTGGCCTCGTCGCCAGAGGAAGAAGAAACCGCCGGCAAGAAATAGAAGTCCACCTACGACGCCAACGACAATGCCAGCTATTGCACCACCAGAAAGTCTGGAGGAAGAGCCAGACGAGGTCGTCACAGCACCCGAAGCGGTCGACGAGGCACCTGCGGCTGAGCCTGTAGAGGTTGAGCTGTTGTCGTCACCGTCATCATCATTCTCCTCAGGAAGGTCGAAATCATCGACCGTGGCATTGAAGCAAGGCACCTGCACATTGAACTGACTGGTAGCAACGTAAGTGATGTCTGCACATGCATAGAAAGTTTCATTCAAGTCTGTATCAAAGTCGGAAGTGTACTTGATTTGAAGAGTGGCATTGGCGCCTGCTTCAACATCAGCTGCCGGGTTTGGGATCGGATAACACTGATGTCCCTCATTGAGCTCTGGAATCCTGGTGGGTGCAATGACAGCCTCGAAGTCGTCGTTCGAGAGAGGATCTGTATCATGATCAGCTAACCCTGTCTCCTCGGTGGTTCAGGTTATATTCGTACTGTTGCTGTGCGAGATGGCAACCTGTATTTGCCAGGATTCGTCCTGTGCTACCAGTGCAATCTGTCCATTTACTGGATTCATCAGCATGAAAATCCGTGGTGCTGTATGTGACAAGAACTTACACAGTGGGAAAATTGTCCTGTTGGCGACACTCGCAGCCGAGCCACAAGGGGCGCGATTATCTTGGTCAGCACCCCAAAGACGATCTGGTGGCCACATAAATGCTACAGGTCCCATCTCGCGACTGGCATCTTCGCCATGGTCTTGCGCGAGGGCTAGTCTAGCAATGAAGCCGATAGAAACAGCAAACTTTGCGACCACCTTCATGTTGACACAACAATTAGGCACCCAAAACAAAGCAGGTTGAACTCAGAAAGGCTGAGAATGATTGAGGCTGAACACGGAGTATCCCTGCAAGATGAAGGGGAATGGTTGGTCTGCGCTTATTCAATATATGTGCACGCTCTGGAGGAAGAGACGTTCTTCCAACCACCACCTGGGGGGTGGGCGGGCAGCTCGGAAGATATAGCAAACCATCTCCCATTCCTCTTGCGAGCTACGAATCAGACAGAGGCTCTTGCTTGTTAGAAAGACGAGGAAAAGCTATGCCCACCATCACTCATTGCCAATGCCGACAACGGTGGAATCCACCGCCAAGCATGCTGGAAATATTGCCCCAGCCAATGTGGGGGTTCACAGACACACCACTGTTCGATTCTGACTCTCTCTCACAAGTTGAGAGGATTTAAGTCGGTGGGCGCGTGCAGCAGCACAAACTGGCAAATGGATTGGCACATGAAGTAGCCTGCCGAGCACCCAATCAACAAGGCTGCTAAATCCTTGGTGCAAATTTAATCTAATCAGATTAGATGCCGTTCACCCGACTAATTTTGCCAGACACTCAATTTGGCAGGTAAATCAGGCTACCTGGTGCCAAGATGATATGTCATTTGAAGGTCTCGGCAACTCAGTTCCTCCTTCCCTGAACATCACTGGGCCAATCTTATCAGATAAATCACGCATAGCCAAGATCAATGGTGGCCTTCCAACCAACGCCAACTTCGTCGCTCATTCGTCCAAGTCAGACCACAAGAGGGAGCCGTCCAGCTTTCGGCACCAATTCTCTCTTACCCCTCCCTCTATGCTTTTCATGCCATGGCAACGCTATATCTCTCGTACGCGAGAATTCAGGCTCAAGGAGGCGCTATGTCCAGGAGCCTCTTCCAGATGTCTCGGTTCTCGGAGTCATACGGGTGAAATACCAACCCGATTTCTCATCCACAACATCTTTTGAAGTTGGGACGGGAGCCACATGGGCAGCTCACCCCTGGCATATGCACTATTCGTACGAAGCGTAGCTCGACATGCCGCTGCAGGGCAAGCCCGGTTCGCCTCCGTGTTGCGGAGGTAGCAAAGCTATTATATATATGAAGCCAAGGTAGGTACATATACATCAGGCATTCTACATTTCCCTCCAGTTTGCGAGAGTCCAGAATCCTGTCCCTATCCATTTCCTACTCCGTCGAACAACCATTCGTTCCCCATCCACTCGTTAAAACCGCTGCATTGCCATTACGAAGCATCATGGGCTGCTCATCTCTCCTTTCACTCGTGGCAATCCTCACCGCCAGTGTCAGTGCCGTAGTTGCAGCGGGCTCATCCTCCTACCCAGACACAGCAGCCCTCCTCCGCCGTCAGGCGCCAGGGACACCGCAGTATGACTGCCACGCGAACTGCGGTACGTAACACAACCCTACAACCCCACACCTTACGGCCCGCACATCGACGCAATCATACTAACACTGTCCCAAAACCAAAACAGGCGGCGTAATCACCATCGCCCGAACCGAGAACTACTGCGAAAACAGCACGTTCACGACTGAGCTAGAAGCGTGTCTGGACTGCGCACTCGAATACGATATCTGGCAGTACTACGGGGAGAGTGTGGCCGCAGCCGCCGAGGGCTGTGGCCTCGATGCTACCCCTGTGGCGGCGGCAAATGCGACTACCAATGGCACCGCTTCTGCTACCGGCAGCTCCTCTGTTGCCGGAAGCACCACCTCCGGCTCTGGCGGTGCAACGACGACGGCGGCAACAACCGTGTCTGCGACCGCTGCTTCTTCAGGTTCAGGCTCAGCAGGAGTGAGTATTCTCAATTCCTGTCCCATCAGATAATCCAGAAACAGTGAAACACTGCAGCATGTTCCTTGACTTTTGCTGACTTTTGACTCCTTTTTCCTTCTCGCATTAGGCTGCAAGTGAAACAAGCTCGGCGCCCGCTGCCACATCCTCCTTCCCAGGTGCTGGTAATCAACTCATCATTGGCGGTGGCGCCCTTGCCATGGTTCCTATCGGAGCTATGTTGGTAGACTGGCTGTGAGTTAGCAGTACAGAGCATATACATATACACGCAAGAAGTGTATGCCGCTTTTGAGTCTATCCAAGTAAGAAAGCTGATACAGACTGGGTGGAGAATTATCAGCAGTCAAAAGGAACGAAATCTCGTTGGGGCTGACATATTTCTCAATAGCATCTTCCTTACACAATATCGGAGTATTGGGCTAATCAAACATTAATTCATACTGCTAAACACTCTGAGGTACTTGTTTCCAGTCTCATTGTTATGTAAACTCAGAGGCCTTCTGTATCGGCTTGGGCTCTCTAAAGGTCGCACCACTCATGAAAGTTATTATCCTTGGTCCACCCTATGCATGAGTCAAATCGTGTACAGCCCGGAATAAATCAATGTAACTTCACCTGCGCTCCAGGGCTGTTTTCCGTGAGGAACCGATAAGCTTAGACATCATGAAACTTTCCGGTAAATGAGCTGCTGTGCATGTCGCAATTCAAGACAGACCTGTAGGGACATGCACTCAATGCCTCCATCTGTCCATCTGTCCATCTGTCCATCCCGCGTGTGTCCATGCGACGGCGAGAGGATCTCCCAGTGTCCTCCATCAGCATTAGGTAGCTCTCTGCGACAGAAGAGCCGGTTTCTACAATGTGAAAAGAGAAATCTCGAGTAGCATTGATTTTGAGACTAGGAATGCCAGTAGACGAAAATACCCAATCAACAAACGCCTCCTCAAGAAATGGACGGTTAAATTCAAATTGGTCGGCCTTCTCGAGTCGGGTCATTTCTCGTTGGCTGGAATTCCCAAACCGTGCCATCTTAATTGAAATCTTGGAAGTAATCGGCAGGGAAAATAGCATTTAATGTTAATAAGGTTCATTGGCAACAGTTGATCATCGAATTTGAAAAGAGCCGACTTGAGATATCTTACCAATATCTTCGGATGTGGTGAAAGCCCCACAACATCACATGAGAGCTCTTGCAACAGGACAGACATCCCTGAGGGCCATGCGGAATTTGCAATTTGCATGTGGCTGTCGCGAGCTGTACTCGATGGGGACGTAGGCACGAAATGACATCAAAGTCCTGTCCAAACCAAACGTCGCAGACTGCGATGATTCTTCGCAATTGCACATGCAACTCCCGAACGGCTGTAAAGACGGATACTGAGATGTCAACCTTTCAGTCCTGATGATGCCAGGAGGCGGGAAACCGAGACACCCTCGTCTGGATCAAAAGTTGTATTCTCCTCCTGGTACTCCCCATTCATTCTTTATCCCGAAAGCGACGCTCGCCATCATTGTAGACAACGAGTTCAAGCGATGCCAACCTGATCGGTTGCGCACGCTCTGCTAGTCCCGGCACGGACTGATAGTTAAAGACGCTGAAGGATATGTAGTGGGAGCAGGTCAAATCTTTCCTTAGTCATCTCGTAATAAGACTCCGCCTCCCAATTCAAGGAGGGATTATTGGAGGTTGATATTTTTTGTGAGAGGGGGGAACAATGGGCCAGTGCGAGTCTCGCCGGGGCCGACGAATTGAGCTAAGGACTTTTGCAATTCACCACGAAGCCATCGATACGCTCCCAAAAGGGATTTGCCGGGGACTCGCGCTTAGTGGTCATCCATAGAATGAAGTCTAACTCCAAAGTTTGAAGATGAGGCGCAACGAGATGTAGAGATTGTCTCAACGTGCTTAACTCTTCCCTTCCGACGCGGCCAGTCCAGGGTAATGTCGACGGAACTGAGGTCGGGGAAGATCGAGCGTGCGATGATGGCCACCTTGGTACGCGTGGCTGCCTGAGCAGAAAACGCCTACCTTAATTGTAAAAGTGGTAAAACGCAAGTGCGACCACCAGAGGAGGTGCGTACCCAGGTATCTGGGGGAGTTGCACCTCAACGCATACTCCCTGAGGGAAGTGTCAGGAAAGTATTGGGGGGAGGTGCGGCATAAACCCATAAAAAGTCGCATGAGTGTATCCAGTTTCTGAGAATTATAAACTCATGAAGGCGTACTACTATCATTGAGTTTCGGAATATTTGCACAAGAGCTTGCTCTTGAAGAATTGAAGACTGAGGATTCTCATACGATTATGTAGCGGAGAAGAATATCCGGCGCAGCTCGGTGATTGGAGGACGGGACACCACCTCCAAAAAGTCACTGCACGGTATCTGCGACTTGCCGAAATATTTAACAACTACAGTAATTGAACTTGATACTATTCTCCTAATCCCAATCCACCACTCCTGCAAGCGCCGCTGGCCTCTCTACCCTAACAAAGGGTAAGGGTTCAGAAGACCCTTTTCTCCAGCTGACTAGACTGCTTGTTTCTTTTCCAATCAGGCCCTTTTGGGAACCTCCCTGCTCTAGGATCTCGAGGCTTTGGCCTCCCCGTAAACCAGCATGTCTGCACTCAAATATCGCCATCTGTCACGCTCCTCATCCCACCGACAAGCTCTCCTCCGCAATTTGGTCACTTCTCTAATCGAACACGAGACAATCTCCACGACCTATGCAAAAGCGAAGGAGGCGCAGCGCATGGCCGAGAAGCTGATCACGTTAGGAAAGCGGAACACTGGCGCTGCAAAGCACCAGGCACAGCAGATATTCTATGTACGTTCTTGAGTATCAGAAACCTCAAAAGCTATCGTATGCTAATCTGCCTTTCCATGGCATCTAGCTACCAGAAAAGCATATCCCCAAACTCTTCGGTCCGCTACGCGAACGTTATGCTACCCGTCCGGGCGGTTACACTCGAGTTCTGAGGCAAGAACGAAGAGAAAAGGACCAGGCCGAGACCGCCATCTTATGCCTCGTTGATGGGCCAAAAGACGTGCGGTGGCACATGACCGCCCTTACCCTCGCACACGAGCGGGCAACCGACGCTCCAATGCGAGAGATGACCATGATGAACGTCCGCAAGGTCACGCGATTTCGCGAAGACGGGCTGGAGGCGCTAGAGGAGCAGGTGCTGAAGATTGAGAGCGAGAGACAGGCCCCAAAGGACGAAGACGCGGAAGAAGAGGAATGGGAGGATGTCGACGACGACCTCATCATTACCAAGGAGGCACGGGAAGCCAAATGGGCACACCAGAGACAGGAAGATAGCCAGAAGATTGAAGCTATTAAACTCAAGCTCGCCAAAGCGACTGAACTCACCGACAAACACAAGAATAGACTGGAACGGCAACTGAAAGACTTGGAAAAGACACTGGAAGATACATCAAAAGAGAAATTCCCCGTTGCGCTTCCGCAGGCAATACGAGTGGGTGGCAGTCGAAAGCGGAGGAGACTGGCCAAGAGGAATGCGCGCACGAATATAAGAGTGGAAGTGTGAGATCTACTTCGAGGGACAGATGCATACATTAGGTACTATCCGTCATACGCCCGCAATGATGTGTGGAAAAGCTTCTTGCGTAGGACGAGTCAGCGGCTCAATGGAGTAGCAGTGGGGTCTAGTAGAGGTAGATCATGTATCATGTAAATATCCCACCATGTATATTACAACTCAATTCCAAAGGGGGTATCAAACGCACCAATTCATTGTCAAGCCTCGTCCTCTAAAATTCAGTATCTGCCTCTCTCTCGTACTCTCCCACCTCTCAGTGCACATCAGAATTCTGCTATCCTCTACAGCTCTAAGTCCTCATCCCGATATTGATCCCGGACGACTCTGTAAAGATAAGCCGAGCTGACCACCGCTGGGACCTGGTTCGTGATGAACAAGTCAACATCGCCGGCCTCAACGAAGTCATATAGAGGATTCCTGACGCCAGAGTCCAAGCCAGAGCGTAGCTCGCCGTCTTGATACGGAACCACCTTGCCCACCTCGCCGTATGCAATGAGGTTGTAGGGGTCGTGGGGATACAGAGGTGATAGTTTGTAGGTCGCGGCCAACACTAGGACTGGCACACGGTGAAATTTGGCTGCTTTGATCACGGCCTTGGTGCCAGCCACGGCTACGAGTGATCCATTTGTCAGGACGGCATGTGTATCCAGTATGACTTTATTGGCACGTGACATGACGGCGAAGGTAGCGGAGTCCGGGATCATGACGACTGTGATGCCTGCTGAAGTTAGTGGTTTAGAGAAGGAGTCACTGGGGAGATTTTCGTCGTCTTCAGCACTAGCAGGACTGGAAGAGAAGCCTTGATTTCCCGTCAACAGGCCGTGGGTTCTGACATGGTTATTGGGGTATGATTCTGCATGGATGACCGTGAATTTGCGCTTGGAGGCGGCTTTGAGGAGGAACCGTTGGACGGTCAGTGAGGATGAATAGGTAAATATTGTTTCTTGGGGGTGGATTTGTTCGAGAGCGGCACCACAGATTTCATCGTCGGCTTCGTTGATCTCGTCGATGATTTCCTTGATGCCCTTGATGACTTCCGGCCGGAGGTTTTGGAGAATACCTGAGGCAATTTGAGGGGTGGATGTGCCGCTTCTTCCGGGTGAGTCGAGCCCACCATGTCTCATGGTTGGGTGAGCAAGTATGCTGAACATCGAGGTGACTGGGCGAGCACTTCCTGGGGCTCCAGTGTGTGAGCTCATCAAGGGAGGCCGAGGAGGGCCAACACCTGCATGTGAGGGCGAGGAGCCAACGCTGGTATCGGCTCTGGTGAAGAAGCCGTTGGGTAATGCATGCGAGAGGGACTTTGATTGGCTTCCAGGGCGTTCGAGGGGAGTGACAGCGTCCGAGTCGGGTTCACTGGCTGTGGCGCTGTAATCACCCTTCACACCGGGCTGGTCATCTTCATCCTCTTCTCGTATTAAGCCCAAAACACGACGGACAATATTTCCCACGGCTGGTTCATGAGGAGCAGCATTTATCAATTTTTTGCCGACCTCGGAGACCCTCTGGATCAGTCTGGCGGAGTCGGGTTGCTTTGTCAATTCAACGGTGCGGAGGAGAAGAAGAGTGGTAGCGACGGCACAGCGCTTGGAGCCTTTGATTTGGCGTCTTTTCAAAAGACTGAGATATAAGAATTAGTCTTTAAGGCTGAGAGAACAGGAAGGCGGATAGATTAGCACATACGAGACTAGGTACTGAGTAGAGGAATCGACAGGTTCAGTGGAGAGATGTCTCTGGAAGCTGCCGAAGCCAGGAGTGTTGGACGAGGCTGAGGGGGCCATGTTGGAAAACAGTTGATGTGAGACGTGTTGATGATCGTCTGTGATTCATTTGAAACAAGGATTGGCTGCGTCCTTGTGGTTCCTATATTGTTATTGTGCATCCATTTGTTGCCGTAATAGTAGTTAGTCGTGGTGGAAGTGGTTATTGGGAAAAATAATGTGAATGACTCGCATTTCCCAAATGAGCAACGGGCTTAAGGTGGGTTTTGGGCAGGTGGGGTTCCTACTCCCAGATTTACAAACTGGCAGGCGAAGGTCAGGGAAGGCAGTCCAGGGAGTCAGTCAGGCACTGAGGTCTGTTTACCTCGTACAAGGGTCTTCTCGCGGTTTAGCTCCCCGTACCTCGTGTACTTGTCTGTGACCACCACTGAGTCACTGACAGTACAGAGTAGATAGAGGGGGGCCGAGGAGGAGGCTTTAGTTACTCGTAAGCCGCCCTAACTGCAGTGACAAGCCCAGGCCCCCTACTCCCAAGGCTACAGACAAAAAGACGGACAAACCACCTCGGGATTGAAATGACCGCATCCCATTCCCATCCCAATTGATCTCATCACCACCCACATCCATCATCCACCACCCTCCACACCTCATCGACCTTTACCCTCACCCGACTCATAATTCTTGCTGATTCCTTGTTCCTTGTTCCTTGTACTCTATTCCCGGCCCCCTGTCACTTCACCTTCGACGTCTTCATCATCTGGATTCTTCCTATTGTCCTCTCTAGCACGCAGAGCTATTGTACCACCAAATAATAGACAAGCACTGCCTCGTACATCTTCCACTACAGCATGTAACAACTTTGCCTCCAGCTGTCCCTAATCGCACCACGGCCGCTTCCCCACTCTCGTTGAACCCCGAAATGCCATCATAACACCCTTTTTCTGCAAACCTCCTACTCTGCACGCATCCCCTTGTCGCCCTGTCTGCTCTGCTCAGCTCAGGTCGCATCCTTTCCCAACCCAGTGCGCGCGGTTGTCGCGCGCGAGGATGAACTCCCTCAACCTCATCTCGTCCCGAGTCATCGGCCAAGCTCAACCTTCTCGGCCACGATCGCATTCTCAAGGCGATCTCCTACAAAAGGACTATTCCGACGAAGCTCCAAGAGGGAGAACTTATAGTGAAGAGCATGTTCCCCAGACCAAAAAGGAGTCCACTTCTCAATTCCCACTCTTCAACCACGACTCCGCTACACCCGACGATGAAGCGCCTGTAAAGAATGAGGACGACCAGGAGGATGAAAAGACCCCCTTGCTCCAGCTACACGAACGAAAGCCTGCCTCTAAATGGGACAATGGATGGAGGGGTTACGTGAAGAGATTGGCAGATGTCATTACCGCCATCCTCGCCGCCATTGGAGCTCCCGTTGTCTATATTGCCAGGTGTTTCAGAACTCAAGACGGAAGATTTTCAATTGTTCCACGCCCACCGCGAACAGATCGCTCATCATTGAGTGGTACGACCAAGACCATTGGACTGTCAAGCGCCGCCAAAGACCCTACCTGGTCCTCTGAGAAGCCCGGGAAGCCGACCAATCGTCCTCTGCTGGATGCAAAACTACATCACTCTTATTCGAGTGATTCCTTGAACACTCTGAGCTCCGATTCCGATAATGATACACACAAGGCCGGTCAGGGTCAAGGTCAACCCAAGGTCAAGAAAGAAAAAGACCTGCGCCAGGAGTCTGAAACTCGGAGATCTTCAATAAGAATCAAGGAACAAAATGATGCCGTCAAGCGTCGCAAGCAGAAAAAAGCGACTAGTCCACTTGGTGACGCCACTCCCCTGACCGTTGACACTATCAAGTCTCCAAGGTCTCCCTCACCTTCATTACGAATAACTAGGTACCCTCATGCCCCTCAGCCTCCACGTCCTTTGATCCCTAGACGTCAACCGTCGTATTCCAACCTGATTCCTCGCTCCCCTGGCCGAGGTGCACTTCTACAACAAAAGACACTGGTTCTCGACCTTGACGAGACGTTAATTCATTCCCTCGCCAAAGGTGGCCGCATGTCTTCTGGCCACATGGTCGAAGTGAAATTGAATACGCCCGTGGCTCTCTCCGCCCCACAACCTGGCCAGGCTACACCCGTCATTGGACCTCACCATCCCATTCTATATTATGTACACAAACGACCACATTGCGATGAATTTCTCCGAAAAGTGTCGAAATGGTTCAAATTGGTGGTATTTACAGCATCTGTGCAAGAATATGCGGATCCGGTGATTGACTGGCTGGAAGTTGAACGTAAGCATTTTGTGGGGAGGTACTATCGACAGCATTGCACATTTCGCAATGGTGCCTATATCAAGGACCTGAGCAGCATTGAGCCTGATCTGAGCAAGGTGATTATTCTGGACAACAGTCCCGTCAGCTATATTTTCCATGAAGGTGAGTGCACAGCAGATCGATGGGTAATCCCCGAAGTCCTAACGCATCCTTCACCAGATAATGCGATTCCGATTGAAGGATGGATCAACGATCCAACTGATAATGATTTGCTTCATTTAATACCCCTGTTAGAGGCGCTGCAGTATGTGACGGATGTTAGAGCCCTGTTGGCACTGCGGAGAGGAGAGGCAGAGGTCATTTCGTAGCGAGGACCACCTACCTATCTAGGCAGTTAAAAGAAGATGGAATATGGATCGTTTCTCTTTCTTCCTGTACAAGCAGATGACCTGTGGATGAGCTGTGACTCCATGTCTTTATCTCCCCACCTCGTGATTCATACGGGTTCTAGGCACCGTGATCCCGTTGGCCGGACGAACCAACCCCTTGATCTACAACGCCCCCAGCCACGAGGGTCCCAGAGTCCGACAGCCCAATACGAGTATTGTAACTACCAACCACAAGTGCAGTTTTTGGCCTCGCCGGCAGCGTGGGCACTGATCATCATTGGTGTTCCTCGTGGGGTTTCTCTAATTACCGACCGCCGGCAGCCGAACAGTCACAATCCTCCCACAGAAGTTACGAATTCAACCTCAGCTTACAACCTCATCTTTCTTTGTTCCTTTGGGCTTCGTCTTCTCATTGCAATATTCTCAATCTGCGTAAGCGATATCGGCACAACGCTCCTTAGCCTTCCGTTTAGGCGGATAATACAATTATTCCTGGAATTCTTGCCTTTGGGCGTACAAAATCAGTTTCTGTTCGCTTACGCCATTGTATGACACGAAGATATCCATCCCATCCAGGCCGCAGTCCGCGATCCCACGAGCGTTGGAATGGCCCCGGATCATGTCTGTAAACAATGCCCTCAACCATCAGGATGGCTTCCATACATCCAGCCCGAACGATGTCACCATCTTAGCCTCGCCACCCTCGTCGTCATCTCCATCAACGTCAAAGTCTACCATCACACCTTCAGGACCTCCTAACCTTAGATCGTCTTATCTGGGTGTCCCTTCATTTCGTCCCTCCCGACCATCACTCGACAGTACATATTCTGAATTGTCTGAACTATCCTTCCACTCCAAAGAACTACAAACGCAGCATCCTCTCGTCCGCTCGATATTCCAGGATGCAACCTCCAGACCACCCCCGCGCTCTCGCATCGGTGCAGCCTTGCATTCTTTCTACGTGACCAACTATGGAGCCTTGTTGGTCCTTGCTTCTCAAGTGTTCGGCGCCGGCATGAACGTCAGCACGCGCCTTCTCGAGACTTCCGGCACGCACGGTGCGGCCATGCATCCATTCCAGATCATTTTCGCACGTCAATCCATCACCACCCTGGTTTGCACGACGTATGGAATATATACCAAAGCTGTTCCCTTCTTTCCACTTGGTCCACCCGAGGCCCGCTGGCTGCTCGTCCTTCGAGGCCTGTTTGGGTTCTTCGGCGTCTTTGGCCTCTACTTCAGTCTGCTGTACCTTCCGCTGAGCGACGCTACCGTCTTAACGTTTCTGTCTCCCATTTTATCATGTTATATCTGCAGTTTCGTCATTCCAGGGCAGACGTTCAGTAAACAGCAACAGCTCGCTGGTTTTATCAGTCTGATCGGGGTACTCTTCATCGCACAGCCCGCGGCTTTGTTCTCATCATCAAGCTCATCAAACTCCAGCCATCCCCAGTCTCATAACGGTGGCGGCGAGCCCTCTCCCTCAAACTCTACAGCGACCCACCCCTTCGGACCACAAGAGCCAACGTCCGACCATCACCTGTTGGCGATAGGCATTGCTATGCTAGGAGTGTGTGGCGCAACAGGTGCTATTACTTTGATCCGCGCCATTGGAACTCGTGCACATGCATTCATTTCCATTAATTATTTCTCCGCCTGGTGTACCATCGTATCATTGGTTGCTCTCCTTGTGTTCCCGGACGTCAAGTTTCGGTTCCCAGGCAACTTGACTGAATGGGGCCTCCTCCTCAGCTTGGGAGTTTGCGGTTTTGTAATGCAGTTTCTCCTAACCGCCGGTTTGGCCTATGGTGGCCCATCCGCTGAAAGTCACGCCCGGCATGCAGCTAGAACTAGGCAAGCCCTTCGAAAATTCAGGGACGTGGAGAGCAATGATACCACGATCCCGACAAGTGCTTCCACGCCAGAAAGGAGGCTAAGTACCGATCTAGGGACAACGACAACACTTCCTCGCAACGCCCCTTCGGCAAAGCCCAAACTTGATGGCAGTGGCACCCGGGCCACGAGCATGGTCTATACACAGATGCTATTCGCACTTGCCGGCGACAAGTTTGTCTTTGGAGTCAGCCCTGAAATGACGAGCTGGATTGGAACGGTTCTTATCTTGGCCGGTGCCATCTGGGTTGCTAGCGCAAGAGACAAAGACGTAAAGAGCCGCGAAGAAAAGGAGGATGAAGATGATCTGTATCTTGGTACCGGCAGGTATGACTCTTACCGAGAGCAAAGACAGAGCAAGCATACAAATTCGGCCACAGTCGACGAGGCGGAAGAGGAAACGGGTCTAATGAACGACATTGACGACATTGACGGCCGCGGCGACGGAAACTTAGATACTGGAAGACGAGAGTGTGTGCATGACCAGGCCGAGAGTCTTGAATTACGGGATTTACACCCTCACCACCCTGGCAGCGAGTAACTAAAGCACGACACTACCGCCTCCGACATCTATATAGCTAGCGATGGTAGGCAAAAACACCCTCCAAGGGGGTCTATTTCGCCTCCAAACCACACCCGCCACGGGCAGTGCTGGCAAGGGGCTTAGACTGGAAATTGAACGAATAAACCAGCAGGTATCAGATCTACTGAGCACGGAGAGTACGACCAAGTCCTATGAATTTGATGGACGATTTGATCGCCAAAGGGACATGTAGGCAGCAGTAACCATGCATATGTATTACTACTATATCTATCGATACAACGATCAAGATAAGCACCGCATGAATATTCACTCACATGACCTGCTTAGTGCATGAATAATCGGGTAGACGCTTCAGTATTTTCGACACAGTAGCCCCAAGCAACCAAGTGTCGCCCTAGGTGTCACCTAACGAATTACCCAGTTAGCAGTGAAAGAGCTTTGAGAGATCAATTCCAAGACGGATTGAGAGCTATCTCTGCCTATTCGTCTGTCTGCCTATCTATCTGTTCCGTTGTTAGAATCGAAGTGCGGACATGGTTCGAGCTCAATTTTGGTTGGCTTGCTCTCATGTTTTCCCCCTTGCACAGATTTGCCAGCCTGACTCTGAGCAGACCTTTTCGTTCTTTGGGTGCTGACAAGAAGCTCCTTGAGTGCTAGTGTACGCGCGTGCCCCGAGCTCACTCCATGCCATTCCATATTCATATCAATCCATACCTGCCATACCGTCCCAGTGCAATGCAAATGCCTAGCCTCATCGATTGCTAGACACAGAGTTCACAAACTCCATCTGCAATTCTTTGATGAAGCTATGGTGCAAACTATTATCCCATTTTCAATATCCAAGAACGCCTGGCTCTATTGCCTGCTGCTTGCTTTTCTCCCCGTCAATGATCGACCGTGTTCGATGATGCTGCAAATGTAACAAAGGCCGAGAGACTCCAGGGTACTATGCGGAGGGTGCACCGGCGGCGCCTGGTCCCGTCACGCCTCCATTGACTAATGTGGAGTTGGAGCCAGGAGCACTGTTATTGCTGATGATATTTTCCATGTCAAAGGAAGCAAAGACCTGGGATGGTGGAGGCTTCTTAGGCAAATGAGCGGGCGCACCATACCTTTGTTGCAAAGTATCTTCCTTAGCCTGAGGTGAGAATGAATGACTCGATCCTTTGTCGAAGCTGCGTGAACCTGGCGGGAGCGTGTTCGGCAGAGATGCATCAGACCCAACTGGCTTGGACGCAATATTGGCACGATTCTGACTGGACGATGGTGATGGTTTCTTACGACCATTCCGACCTCCGTTGCGACTCGAGGCATTGTTTGGTACAAACGATCTGGTTTGAGGATTGAATAACGATCTTGAGTAACTACCTGGCACCGGGTGTTGTGGATTATATGGAGGGTTTCCACTATAATTCTGACCCGGTAGATGTCCGTATGCATAAGGTTGAGAGTTATTCATGGTAGTGTTTGTCTGATAAGCCGACCAAGAAGCAGGATCTGTGTTGCCAGGTACGGCCTGTTGCGGATAAGGGTTCTGATATTGATTATTCAACCATGGCTGATTTTGCTGTAAACCTAAGTGAGGCTGCTGGATGTATTGGCTGTTGACCTGTGCTGCCATCGGTGAAATGCTCTGTTGGTAGCTGCTTGGAGGTTGTGAGTAATTGAAATAGTTTGTTGAGGCTGGGGATTGCGCTGGATCCCAACTTTCTCGTGGGCTGAAATGGCTGTTGTTGTCGCCATAAGGAACAGTGCAGCGGCTGGTCCCGCTGAACGAGATGTTTGGATCGTAGCCCTGGAAATTCTGTGTCGGGGTGGTGCCGTAATTGATGCTTAGTCCGTACGGATCAGAAGACGGGTACGATCCTTGGAAAGTCTGCTCTGAATATTGAGGCTGATAATGCTGGTGGATGCTCGGCATATTCATCGGTGTATAGCTGGGTATGAACGCGGAACGAGCTTCGAAGCTGTCGTCTTTCGGGGTTTTCACTTTTCGGGTTTTGCGTTTGCCACTAGATGAGCTTGATCGAGACATACTCGCAGAGTGCTCCCCAGTAGAGGCGCTCTCGCTCGGAATTGGCTCTTGAAAGTCGCCAAAAATGCGTTCTCTTGCAGCCTTGTACTGAGCCTCACGCTCTTCCCGGGTCAACTTGGACTTGTCCTTACTAGGTGTGGAGTCGAAGGGTGACGCAATGCCCTCTTCGCTGTTTGTCTCTTGCCCTGCGTCTGAAGTGGCTTTCGATGGTGCTGATGAACTGGCTGCAGTGCTACCTCCAATTGACTGTTGACGTGCATCAAGTCCAGCTCTACGCAAGACCTTAATGGTCATGGCAGCAGGTGGTTGTGCCGGTCCCACAGGAATTGATGAAGCAAGCATGTACAGAGGGGTTGGCCTACTGCACAAATTAGAATTAAAGGAATCGTAGGACTCTTTGTACTTACATAGTGATTAGTGGCGTCTTGAAAAGCCTGATTGATGTGCCGTCTTCGTTGATATGATGGGCAAGCATGTAGTAATCGGCCAACTTGTGAGCAAGTAATCTTGCAAATGCATTTTGAGGTGGCAAATCAAGGAACTCAGATCTGGGGTTTGCAATGAATGCCAGTAATTTTTCCTCCAATTGCAAAAGAGGCAATCGATCCTTCGGTGTTGCCAATGCATCAAGTAGCTTTTCGTCAGGTGCTATTGGCAGTGGTGCTGTACGTTCACGAACATCGTTTCCTGTGTCAGCTTGATGTTGAGGGACATGGTCCTCTTCAGAGCCTGGTTGCGCAATGGGACTGATTGGCAAGTCTCCGAATCTTGGAGTATTGGTTGAGGTCAATGTGTGATAACGCCGAGGAGCGATTGTGACGCCAGATGTACTGGGTCGTAATCCTTGACGGGATGTGGTCGCGTGGTGCTCAGAGTCTCGTTGGAAGCTAAGCTCTCGACCTGGAGGATTCGACGATTCATCATCATCGACAGCTCTCACGCTTGCACTGTCATCTGGACGGATGCTCTCTTTTTCATCCATGGCAAAGGTCGTCACGGATGCCATACTCTTTGTGTCGAAGCTCTGCAGTTTCGTGGAGGAGTTTGATAGATGAGACTGGTCATCTTCCAAAGATTCGCCACTCTCGCCGCTATGAAGGTCTCCTGCGGCCGTTGCAGCATCTTTGACCAACGAGAGTCCTTCAATCGCTGTTGCGACATAGTCGGATTGTGCTTGCACATCCATCCTGCCGAACACTGGCTCATTTGTTTTCCTCGGGCTGGCTGATGGTGTTCCCTGGTCTGTCGGTGGTGTCTTACGAGAATTGTTGGTGACGTGGTTGTTCTCAATGGTACGACTCATCTTTTTATCGTCGGGGATGTTAGGGTTAGGGTGTGGTGCTGGTGCGGTGGGTGCACGCATTGCTGCAACCTTGGGATGAGTTAGCATATTGACTGAATTATGTGCAGTGATGGAGGGAACAAACCTTCGCGAATGACAATTTTTCTGGAACAGAGCCAACCTGAGAAGACGCCATATTGCCTAAGGAGATTCGTCACGTCGTATCCAACAGCACGAAGTAAGGCTACCAAGCTGAGGATTGAAAATGAATGTGGATTGTACGAGCGAAAATTAACGCTTCGATGTCCCGTTCTGCGTCTTCACACAAGATCTTGCTCATCAACAGAGCCGGCGCAGCACAAACTAAGAGGCTCCATGGATTCGACTAACAGAGTATATGTGGTCCAAGGGTTGAAGTTCGCAGTTCGCAGTTCGCAGGGAAGGACCCAGATTTGCGATGTGACGGCAATGGTTGTCTCTCCCTATAGACGGACTTCAAGTGGTGTGATTGAGGAAAGAGGCTTTGATCAAGTGTTTAAAGCTGTTTTGACAGTGAAGAATGATTTTCGTCGTGGTTAGAGACAGATGCCTTTCCAGATGGAGGATGACAAACTAAATGGACCACGATGGGCGCAGGAGACAGGTCTGTGAACAGCGGAGGTAGATTGGAGGGTGACGATGGAGTTGTCCTAGTCCATTGCGCCTTAACAAAGGGCGACGACTGACATCCAAGGGCACGAGGGGCAATGTTAAGGCTGGAGAAGGTGAATATGGGGGATCTAAAATCCATACATGAGGTTCAAAATGCCAAGCGAAGACGGAGTAAAGTATTTGCGGCGCCGTCCTGACTCATTACGAGTACAGCGTACGAGGAAGGAGGAAGAACCGTGCCTGGCAAAGTGGCAGTCGCAAAGTGACCATCAATTGCCGCTTGTACCCAGAGCCACCACGGCCACTAAAGCTCTAACTTCTACCTTGTCCGAGCGGGAAAACGAGTAATTATTCGTACGACGACTGGCACCCATCCATCCAGCCGTCTCACTTGGTTCTGTGCATCCTTTCTCTTCTGCCTGCTTAATGTTCCACTTTATTTCGACTCGTTCAGGACCCAGTCCCCTTTTTATCATCTGTCGAAAGCATCCATCTCAATACCTAATATTAAAATCAAGCGCTGACAAAGAGAGCCAGGCTTTCAAATCCTCGGGTTCATTCCATCGCATCGTCGCCGTGGACGATCCATGATTTGGTACCAAGTAGTCCGCAATTCTTTGGACGTCTCTATTTTACCCTTTTGTTCAACTTACACAGCTCTCGAGGAGAGGGTTGGTTGGCTATTCCCGAGTCTTCTGTTGGTAGAGGATTACAAACGCCAGTCATGAACCGCTATCGAACAATGCCTGGGCTCGGTCCCCAAAAGGCGACTGCTTCTACTCTTTGTCAGAAATGTTTGAAGAAAGATATGATACTCCTCCTCCTATCTTTGTGCGGAGTATGCTAACTAACATGCAAGCCACTATTCCTACGAGTGCAAGGCTAGTGCTCAAGAACGGCCATATATTTCTCGTCCTTCGAGAACTCAGCAACTGCTCAACCCTAAACTTGTGCCCAAACTTTCCAACGACAGTCCTAATCACTTGCTAAACAGGTAAAGATTTGTGAGAAATTCCTTTGTCATTCAACTGATCTTGCATCAGTAAGGGTGTTGCGGACAAACAGTTGGCCCAAGCAGAAGCCAGTCGCAATGGAGAATCGGCGCGAAACTTCGAGAACCGCGGCCGTAGCAGAAGCCCTAGACAAGGGTCACGCTCGCGTTCCATCTCATCGGATTCAGTCTCGACGATCTCCACCAATAAGTCTCGCTCGAGGTCTCCGGCCGACGTTCACGATCGAGGCAGCCAATTCCTGACGAGTGGAGACGTGAGTAGGAGCCGCCTGACCACGACCCCCCCTCACGGTCATGGAAAGCGCAAGCATCGATCTATGTCAAGTTCTCCCTCTCGTTCACCACGAAGAATGGCACATGGCTCTCACCGTAAGACCCGGCGGCACAGGACCATTAGCCCAATTGACCGTGGCCGCCCCAGCTCTATGCGGCGAGGCAGCCACCGTAGCCGGACCAACACCCCGAGTATGGATATCGAGGAGATCACCAAACACAGAAGATCAATGGACTCGGGGCAAGGCTACAACGATGAGAACGGTGCGTATGACCGGAGACACACTCGCCGTGAGAGTCCGGGCTTACGTGAGAGGTATGGCTCCGGCAACACAACTGCACGGCCACGAGAACAGAGGAAGGAGCGCAGTTTGAGTCCATATAGCAAACGACTTGCACTGACCCAGGCTATGAACATGTGACGGTAGACTTATTATGTGTACACCTTACCATCATTACTGGGAATTATGGTTGGATCGACGTGGCAGCCGTTATTGAATATTGCACGGCGTTGGAGGTTGTTGTGTTATCTGGTCTTGTCTGCTAATCAAGTAGCGGGCATTTCATTCTCGATACCCAATCCGCATTCTGTTGGTTTTACTAGATCCATCACTTCTTGGACGCACCTGTTTATGCGAGGAGTGATTGGTTTTCAGATTTGGCTCCTTGGACTTGGTGGCTCGAGAACACCACCCTTCTGCTTCAACGAAACAATAAAACAGCTGTGAACCATTCGCAACAGAACATAACCCTCATCTTCCTTCTATATCCCCTGTATCTGTAGGAGTCTAGATGATGCTCCGATAAAAGGTGGCCGTAAGTGTCAGTATAAGCGTCAGTTTGGAGCTTATCAAGGACTCTGGACTGAGATAGCGATGCTGAGTCAGGGCAAAGGATCTTGAGGCGGCGAGATATCCCCAACTCGTTCTGTATGGTGCTCTTCTTTCGAGGCGTTTTGCATTCGATCGTGACGAAGTTGCTCTCACTGGGCTGTGAGACTCATTTCTGTGCCTTTCGGCTGTGGTTGTGGAAGGTGCTCATAACGCTGGACTCGACTACGTCGAGGCAATGTGGGCCAGGACAGTGCGTGACAGTCCACTCCAGCACAGTTCGTCCCTGTTGATGTTGTTCCTTCTATAAGGTGGACTGCTGAATTTCTGTTATTGCGCTGGTCCGGCGAATGCGAGACGGCGTGGAGTCGAGGTGGGCATTCAGGGTATTTCAGGGTCGTCATCTTCCTCTTCTGTTTCCTTTTGCTCTTCTTTCTCTCGTAAATGAATACTTTCCACTAGGGTGTTGCCCTCGATGCCGACCTCTTCGCCTTGATGGCCGTCTTGCACCGCGTTTCCTTTAGCCAAGGCCTCCTTCTTTGCGTTCTCGATTCTATCTCTAACCAGTCGGGCAATGGCATTTTGGGTTCGAACATCCACAACCTTCATCTTTTCCGCAAGGTCTCGTTTTAGATCCCAATTAGGCTTCTTGGGTTGGAGTTTGAATAGGTCAATCCCCTTCTCCGCTGCGGCTTCGTCTTTGGCTGCTTGTTCGGCGGTAGTGGTGGCAATGCGCTCTGCCCGGGCCTCAATTGTCTCGACGGCGGCGGAGGGATTGTTCTCAAAGCCGAGTTTGGCGCCCTTGGTGGCTACATCATAGTTCCGGCCAGACAAATATGCGTCGGTCTTGGAGGGTTGGTAGTCTTGGTTATCTAGTGGTGTTTCCTCGGTGACGGGCTGTTTGCGCTTGAGCGAGGCGAGTTTCGCGAGGCGGGCTTTGCGGTCGACTGAAGCAGCGTCTAGACTTGTGTGAGTGGCTGACATGGTGAGCTATGCTACTTGATGGAGGGTGTCTATCTTTTGCCAGCGCCAGGAGTGAGGCACTGAGTACAGTGACTGAAAAGGAGAGAAATGAGTGTTGTACTCGCAACCCGAGGATTGGTAGTAGGCATTGGCCATTGGCAATTGGCGGCTCAACCTCGGATTTATTACTCTTTCAAGATTTTCTCCAGGAACTTCAGTTGGATGTGAAACGACGCGACAGGTCCGCCACTACCACCAACGTCGACGCGGACGCCAACACTGACACCACCACTTGCCATTCATCTTCAAAGTGTACCTTTCTGACCGCAGCCAGATGCATGGATTTCTGAATGTCCATCAGGTCGGCCGGTACAGTCTTATCATGCCTACAACATAGCTACCACTCGGCTCGTCGTTCACCATGGGCACCCCTGTCAGCAGCAGTCTTTGCTCTCTCCTCCCTTTCCTCCAAGAAGTCTAGCCATCCTGAACGCAATCCTGGCTCAACTACTTCGCCATCCACAGATCTTCATGAATTGAATGCCGAAACAGGAGGTAACGAGGCCGATCCTATCCGCAGAGCCCCCGTGCCTATCAGGTTCGTCACTCGCAGAGCCCAATGGCAGATTGAAAAACAAAACAACCGAGACGTTCACCTCGAGAAATATGGCTTATTGCCAGGGGCTACCAGTGAAATGACTCCCTTTATCCAGAGGATTTGGAAGAAGTCTCGACATGGGTCGTGGCACGTTTTGTATTGGAAGTTGGCCTTTCCAGAAGATGGTGATTTCGCGCGAGCCCAGAAAGAAATGTTCTATTACACATGCGAGGCAACAAAACTTTTGGTACTTTCCCAGAAATACAGGGGCATCCCTCAAGATTGCAAGATGAAGCACATGGCTCCCTTCCTAATCGGTGCATTGGCACAATCAGCGAAATCCGCCCTACGTCTCATGACCCTAATGGAAGGCGTCCCAGAGTTCAGCTTCAGCATCAAATGTGATTGTCTCCTTTATCTCGGCAGAGTACACCGGTCTGAAATTGAAACAGAACCTGACCTACAAGAGATCTATGATGGTGAAATCGACAAGGTTGCCGGATTCACTGGATGGCCGAATCCAATGCCAAAAAGTGCACTCCTCGCCATGCTGAATCATAGCAGCTGTCAGAGACGCCAAGAAATTATTGAATCGGTTCTCGCTGCGTATGACCCGGTGCCACCGGAGTTGCTCCTCCTGATGGTGGACTACTATACAAAGCAAGAGATGCCTCACGATGCCATTGCCATACTTTCACGTCTATCACCAGATGACCTGAAATTGCTCAGGCAAGATGTGGATCATCGATACTATGCCCTTATCAACATTGACAACGTCGAGCGTAGCGACTCCGGCCTGAATTTTAAGCTCTTGCCAAGTCTGCTTGAGAAAGGCTTGCCTCTGACCGATGATATGCACTGCGCAGTTATAGCTCGGGCTGTTAAGCTGGGGCTGCCAGATGTTGCTTGGGAGGTGTTCCGTTTTATGGAAGCCAATCAGATGGACGTTAACGCCAACGGACATCTCGCTCTTTTGAGGGATAGCTTTCAACGAGGGGATCTTGATGGGCTTAACCTCATCATGTCCAAAATCCATCAACGAAAAGACCTTGTCTCGAACCCTTTCCTCGTATCGTACGCCATGAACATTGTCAGATATGTTTGCTATTTCGAGCGCCAGCTTCCTGTGACAGAGTCGTTGGCACATGTTTTGGCGGTCTACGATAGGGCATACGATCGAGCTCCATTGGTGAAGCTTGCGCTTGCTGATCCGCTGCCTCCAAGCGAGACAAATGCAACACTTCCACAACCAGATGGACGACAGCTAAGCTTCGCTCTTTGGACATACGTACTTATTCAGCGCTCTGATCACCATGTCTCGCATTTCTGGCATCACTTCACACAACTAGTCGCTCGCGGGGAGCCGGACATGTGTGATGTGGCCCGGCATGATGTCCTTTATAATGGCCTGATTGTATACTGGGGTCGCAAAAAAGCTACTCTTTTAAATGCGGTTGAAGTCCTGGAAGATATGGAACGACTAGGCCTTTGCACACCTACGGAATTGACCTGGATCATGGTTATTACTGCCTTCATGAGACACGGTCAGGAAGCCTCAGCCGAACAGATTCGACAAATGATGATGACCAAGGGTGTCAAGACTAATCCGAACAATTGGAATTTCCTCATGAAGGAGTATTCAGATTCCAATCTTATTGCTCATGCTAAGCATGATTTAGGGAAGAAGAGGACGGCTCATGGTCAAGGAACGAGGTCAGAAGCCGCCGAAAATCCACAATCGTCTGTGCTAGACTGGGAAAAGATTGCCATGCCACGATCCCCGATCTAGAGAGGCATCTATTACAATGTCTCACGACCAAGAGTACACTCCTCTCAAATTCGCGAGAGTGTGGGCTTCTCTGTACTGTGTAATTCAGCGGCTGAGATTTGTAGATAATGGAATACCACTTTGTCTGTTATACCAGTAGGACATCAGCTGTACGGAATACTCTGTATATGAAGGGAATCTTTGGCCTTGTAAATGAATGGTTTGCCATGCAGTAGAAGGTGGCTGGAAGCTAGAGTGGGCTGCTTGGGTTCGGAAGCGGATAAATTTCCGCATCCGTGCCGAGTACTTGGCGGATTTCTGCCTCATTGTGCGAGCCGCCCCTCATTGTCAACTCGTCCCAGTTACTGTATGTAATTAGTCCGTATCTCCCACCCTCCGAATAGGTGCCAAGGTACCCAAGGTAACTGTGGTAGGCGACGTACAGTGTCTTCCCTTCGATGAATTCATCTATCATATTGCCACGACTTCAAGGCAGTCGTTTGTTGTCATAAACTTGAATCCCGGAGAAAGTGACAAGTGTTGTGGTGAGGAAAAGAGGTTGCCATCTCGACGACGCTCGCGCTTGGTGTTCTCGCCTGCATCGACAACTCAAGCCGTGTGCAAGATATCAAGTACATCGACGAATCGTTCATCAACTCCTTTTATAGTCTATGGTCAGAAGCATAAGCTCCTGAGATCAGTGGGTGATGGGACAGGATTGAGGCAACACAGAGCCTTGCACGAGATTATGTGTTCTTGACCTACGTGGTACGTGTTGATTTCCATATATTTCCTTCGGTGGCGCCTGGATGTTGTCGCGTGGAATCACTTCAAAAGATGAGTATCTGGTAAAAGGTCTGATTGATAATAACCCCCGGTCATGGTTCGCTTCCTCGCCGATTTCTCCGCTCGAGGAGAATCAGGGACGCAAGCGTTTCCAATGGATTTGAGGAGCACCGTTATCGACAGCACCCGCACAGTTGTGCACACCATGTTCTGCGAGGGCAATACCAGGCAAGAAATAGGCCTTCCAGTCCCATGGCAGCGCCTCCTTGGAGATTTTGTGCAAATTGGCATTTTATATTCGGCACCGCTCACAAGGGGCTGACCTTCTAAGGCATGGAGGCCCAAGCCAATGGCAGCGGTGTACATCAACCCCCCAAAGACATACCGCAAGACATGAAATGGCACATCCTGTCCTGGGAGCTGTCCGTATGGGTGCAATGCTTTCCAGAGGCCTTGCTTGCTGAGACTCTCTTTCAAGCAGAGGCTGAGCTTTCGATGCCAGCCTGGCCGGTGCAAAGTGAAGACTGAAAACTGAAAAGACCTGATGAAGTCTCCAACTTGCGTCGTTACTAGATCTATTATATGGCACTGCTGAAGGCTAATACGGCGTCTATGTAGGACCCATATCTACTATTTCAACCACATGCAGTGCGAGACGAGGAGCTAAATGACTCTTGAGAATTATCGCGCGATATGGCTGCACGAGTTTCCGTGGCGTCAGAACCGCGTGGAAGCTACAGCCTGCAACCAACCAATAGGGTTCACGACGGGACCACAGCCGTCCGGAAGTCACTGGCACCGATCGCGGTCACTGGGACTTCTGGGCCAGGGCGTCACGATGCAGCTATTAATGCTAAAAGTAGCGGAGACAGTGCAGGTGTCAGGGAGCCACCCACAGAGCCACGTTTCATGAGACGCAACAATGTACCTCTACCCTCACAACCAAGGGCTACAGCTCACAGAGTTATTGACCGTCGGACACAGCATGATGTATACAGACCCTCTTCGTTTTGCCTCGCAGATCTGGTCAACCGTGCAAGCACGGTTGGCTCTTCCGTCACGTGGCGCTCTAATCCTTTCCACAGTCTCGATGACACTGCCCATGGCTCGGGACCACAATCATCATCATCTAGGACTTCTGAACATATGAGTGGGACGCAAGTTCGACGGTCACAGCTAGAGAGCTCTCCAGATCAGCCAACTGACAAAGGAGAGATATTGTCACCGTCGCGCCTAGCCCGACGAGCAGATGAAGATTATACTGCAAGACTTACAAGGATACTGAATGGTTCAAACGTCACACCTGGTGATATGCTGATTAAAGCATTCCTGGAAACTCCACTGGACATTGAGTTCATGAGAGAAGAAATCAATCAGGGACCAGCTGAAAAGCGACGCGGTCGCAATTCTCAACAAGGAAGTCACGATCTGAGCAATAGAGACAAAGGCACAGCATTGTCAGGCTTAGCGTTTGCTTCGGCCACCAACATGGGTTTGGAAGCAAATGCCAACTCAACACCCAAATTTTTTGGCCCAAAGGATCGTTCCTCACCCACAACACAAACAACAGACTTGGGTTCGGACATAGGACAAAGCCTGTCATCAGTGGACCCCACACCCTTTTCGTCTCTCAGACCCCACAAAGAGATGGGCAGTGCTTTTGACAAAGGCTCAATCACTGGCGGCTCCAAGTTTTCTAGGTTCTCAAAGGAAGAAACAGCCTCAAGTACATCTACAATAAATTCAAGGACCAAGTCGTTGTGTCGGGAATGTCGTACGCCAGGGAGCGCCCTTACCCCCCTAGTTACCTGCACTTCATGTGATAGAAGATATCATCACAGCTGTGGTAACCCAAAGCCCCCAAAAGGGTTGGTACCTACATTATTCGTTGGTGTTTAAAGCAGAGCTAACACATGATAGTCCTAGCGCAAACGACTTTGTCTGTGGGAAGTGCTTGAAGAAAAAAAGGCTCGACCGAGCTAGTGAAGAACTATCCCGACCTACTCCCGTCAACCCAGATATCTTGACCTCTGATCCAACCATCCAGGCCACTTACATGTCCAAAGCCCTGACAGCTGAGCCTGCCTCACATCTTCACATGAACGATGAAGATCATGACGCTGCTAAGATACAGTCTTCACAGGGCGATTTGTACAAGTTAATCACATGCCATTATTGGAAGCAGGGCAGGTGTAATCTCTACGAGAACCATTGCCTTTTCGCCCATGTCGAAACTGGCCAGGAAAGCCCTTCTGGTAGAAATCCTGCCAAGGCGTTTACCTGCCCAACATGGAAGGCGCACCATTGCGGTAAGTCTTCCGATGAGTGCTTATACTCGCATGAGGATACTGGACTCTACGTTGGCTTCAACAATGACGTCTTGCGCAAACATATCACTTGTTACTATTGGAAGGTATCTGGGTCTTGTCGACATTATGAGCAGGACTGTTCCTACGCTCATCGAGATACTGGTATACTGGCCTGGCAACCTGCGAAGGATGCACAATCAGCACCTGGCAAGAATTCACTCAAGAATTACATGTGCCCCAGATGGGAGTCTAATCAGACATGCATGTGGTATCCGATCAATTGCCCCTATAACCATAGTCCCACTGCCTTGTCATGCCACCGCTCTGCCACTGAGAGTCGAAGAAACGTTCGTCAAGTCGAGCACTCTCCCGATTGGGAATCAGAACCAGTTCTTGGCCCTTCACCTTCAACCTATGTTTCGCAAGTTATGCCCCCCTTTTCAATGGATGGTGTGAAAGAGCGCAAAAATAAGCACAGAGACGCGCAAAAAGATGAAACCTGCACCGCCGTGGCGGGCGTTCAGCTACACACACCTGCCATAGCTCCAGGTGCATCAAGAATTACACCAACACGGGATGACCCTCCAGCTATACGACATCATCCTTTTACCGGCCGCCACATGGCGAAACGTGGTGGCCGGACGGTCCGCAACCTGCCATCGAAACAGAGCAGTGGCACCGCATTGAACAATTCGCTCAGATCACCATCACAAGACCAACATAACCAACATAACAGCAGCATACGCGATTCTGCCAGCACCGTTTCAGCCACACCTCATATGGCCAAGGCGCATATGACTACTGATATAAAGTGGCCGGGAACTCCGGATTTCTCTGGTACAGCAGGTGACACAAGTGCCAAAAGCCTAGCTGGAAACAGGGTGAAGAAATGCGAAAAGTGTGAGAGAAGGATTCTCGGTTCAGCCAATCGATGTTTTTCATGTGCCACAACTGATGCTACCCATAATGAGGATGACTCTAGGGCACTTGGAGGTAGATCCAACGCGGTTGATCTTGAGCTCTCTGACTTGGCAATTCCAAAAGTTTTCCCTGCTCAAAAGATGTCACAGAATGAGTATGGCTTCGATGAATCATCTCGACGGCTTGTTGCTCGTGTTCTCAAACGCGCTGCTCAAGATGACGATCTGTTTGTTTCACGCAAAAGGCTCAAGATTTCCACCCTACCCATGAACTCACAAACAGCGTTATCGGTCTCATCTAACAACTTGCCAAGTGTGCCCGTAACTCTAAAAGCTAACGCCGAAAAATTGTTGGCTCGAAGTCGGCAGTTCCCTGCTGACTCAACCAATCTACCATCTCTTCAAAACGAGCTAGGAATACAGAAAGAAGGTAACTCATGTGGAAGACCAACAGTGCCCAACATGGAAGGCGAGGCGGCATCGGTTCAGCAGCAATCACTAAGCCCTCATAACATTCACGATGCTTCGAGTTATGGCGAAATCATCCATGAAGCACGTGGGTTAAGTCGGTTAGCACGTGCGTTGAGTCTGTTCAATGATCGTGAGACGCGGACGTCAGCATCTAGACCACAATCCCCGGCCAAAGTCGGAATAGCCCAATCCAGTGCTACTGAGATTCCCAAAACGCCATCATCAGGTCGGCTTCCTCCTACATCGCTATCAAAATCCACTAGCGCAATGGAAAAAGGAAATGCACAATCACTTGAAAAGACGCAAGCGCCAGGGGAACTTCACGCTGAGTTTTTTGAATCAGACAATCAACCGCATGATGCTCGAACTAGTCGCGCATTGGTCAGTGACGACAATCACTGGCAAGATGAGAGCGTAAAGTCTGCTGCGAAACATCGCGTCAACTCATCCGCAAAATCTGCCGAGGCAAATCGGTGGTTGGGTATATCCGACAACACTGAGTTGAATACTTCTCCTACGCAAGAAAGCGGATCCCTATCAACATTGAAGGCCCGGTGCGAAGCCTGTAGAGCAGCACACCGTAAGTGTCTACATAGACCTGGAGGGACGCGCGATGACTTAGATCCCTTAAAATGCGCAACATTTCTTGCGGAGAACCCTGAGCGCCCTCTGAACGGAAAATTTCCTCAGAGTTACTGGCTCAAAATCAAACAGGCTGCAAGCCTTCATCATCAAGCTAGTAACAGCTTGAGTGTATCGAAATACAGAGAAAAAGCATTAAAGGTGGCCGTTGCCCTTGGTGTGACGGAAACCAGCGACGAGTCAATGGTAGATGCCATCGAGTATGTGGCTGCTGAAACGGGTCCGATAGGTCGATTTGCTTCCAAGGTGAATTTGACACCGAGATTGAACTCCGAACATCCAAGACTTCGCTCTCGGGCTCGAGCAGCAGCGATAGAAGATCCTCTGAGGGATTCAGGGGGAGATTCTAATGATGACTTGCCCCTCGCTATCATAAGACGACGAAATCGGCCGAAAGACCACCGGAGCTCTTTAGAACACGCCGCCATGCCGGTAACCCTTACTCTGGGGAATTCAAACGAGCAAGGTAACCGCCTGGATCCCTTTGCCAAGAGACCTACTGGCACTCGACACCCTCGGCCTCAGCATGGCAAGGCACGACCTGGTTGGACCGATGACGAAGAGCAACGAGCTCTTGAACGGCTCCGAGAACGGGGTGTGAAGATTGAAACTGATTCAGATTCAGACGAGTTGCTTAGCGACGACGATGCTCCTCGTCAAGCACCAGCACTCGTTACGGATCGGCTGCACCGCGTTCTAGAGTCGCAAAATCCGTTTGATGTGGATTCGTCTTTAGATTTACGCAATCCAGAGAATCGATACCAGGCACTGGGTAAAATTCCACCGTGGAACCGAAATCGCCCGACAAAGAAACAATTAATGGGCAATCTCCTTCTCTATCAATGTCGAGACAACAAGCTGAAGTTCGGAAACCCGCACTACAATGTCATGCGGAAGAGTAGAGAAGTCCTGGTCAATGCGATCATTGAGAAGGACGACGTCTTGAACAGCCCGGATGAATGTTCAGGTCGTGAGCCCGAGATTCAGCAAGTTCCTATGACTTTTCGAGAATTTATTGGAATGCCCAAGCAGGCGACCATTACACGGGGGAAAAGTAAAGACGAGCTGACGTTTGTAGAGAGACTGAACCACACGGACCGGTCCCTTTTGGGCGCCTCCACCAGGACAAGACGATACAGAGACGATGAAGTTTTTCCTTTCATAAAAGGCTAAGAAGATGCGATTTGAGCCAGAGACCATCAGGATTTCAGCTTTTGCAGGAATTTACAGGAAAAAGCTGGAGTTAGGGCAGGTACGGCGGATTAGGAGTGGGAGAGCTGGATTGCTAGTTTCCATTCTCTGATTTTCAAATGATCATGAGTTGTCATATAATCTTGGACCATGGCGTCTTCTACAACAAACCGAGGCAGCGGCAACTCCTAGAGAGGATTTTCGACATAGAGGACATAGAGGAGCCAGAATAGAACCATAATCCCAACGCCGTGCCTCTCTCTCATCTAAGCAACTAAGAGTCTCGCGTTTCAATCGTAAAAAGTAATAATCCGCTCGGCAAGAGGGAACCGAAAAAAGGTTCTACCTAGCCCACAATCATATTACACTGAAATGGAGGGGAAATCGGTCAGTATTTGATGTTTAGGCAGCGACCAGAAGGGAGAAAGGGACTGTGATCTAATGGATAATTGGAGGATTCTCCTGCGTGATTTTTGTTTTGGTGGGGAGGGGGGGGGGGGGAAATCAGTTCTTACGGCCATGAATATCAGCGCGATACTGATATACGGACTCAGCCGTTCCCCTATTCTCGCGAATTTCCAGAATATACCGAGAAAACTGTTTGAATTCAGAACATTGCGTGGTTAGCTGTTGTCCATCAAAAGGATGGGCATGATTAAAGTCGAGATAGGGGCTGAGGAATGGACAAGACGAAAAGCTGAAACTAAAACTAAAACTTACCCGTCTTTATTCCTATCCATAGGACCTGGGAATAACGAGTGCACGTATGTGGATGTGCAGATGAGGAGAAGAAGGACGAGGAGTAGCGATTGGAAGTTGAAAATTGCTGTCTGTTGTGTTGGGTAAGCCGATTGATCAGGTCCAATACTCGGAATATATTTCGTATTGGGGGATGGAGCGAGGACGAGGATGTTGGCTGATGACTTTGGATTAACACAACTTTTATTCACGACATACCATTATTTCTCCTTCGGTGAGCGGCGGATGCGCTCCTTGGGTACTGATGTCTTCGAGCCTTCGTTGGTGTATATCTGAAGAACAGGGGAGGGTCAGGTTCTTGATATACTATGACAGATGGGGGGTGGTAAGTAGAACAGATTGGCCTGTTGTTAAAAGTTTGGGATTCTCAGGTTGATTTGGATTGAGGTTTCCAGATTGGTTGGAGGATTTTGAGGAGACTCTGGCCTGGGGGAAAAGTAGGAAGGAGAAACGATGTTCCGCGCCTGTGCTCAGTGACCTCAGCCTTGGCCATATCCATCCGTACTGAGCGTTTGGATGCTGTTTGACGGCTGGGTACTCATTAATTTGCTTTGATCTGGCGATATTTCACTCTTATTTCGCTACTGCTTCCTTTTAGTATTGCCACGGCTGCCTTGCCAATTGCACGTGGCTTCTTCCATGGCTCGCTAGTCAATACTTCCCAACTACCATTCCTGTACCTTCAATCCCATCATCTCCTCGGTGTCAACTCCACCACATTGTCTCTGCATATATCTTACAAATGGAACCACGCGCCCGCGCCGGGCGGCACAAGGCCAGTCTGAACTTCGGGCATGAACTCTCCGGCCTACTCTTCGCGTACGGCGCACCTACCCATCCAGACATTGTGAACCCCATCGGGGCCTCCTCGCAGCAATATCTCGACAAGAACGGCAGCGGCATGACCACAACGACCAACCACTCCAATAACCACAGCAACCACGACGCGAAGCCATTCCACCAGCCCTTCCCGGAAACCGTCCGGGTTCTCGACGAGATCCTCACAGACTTCATCATCGAAACATGTCACAACGCCGTGAGCGTGGCAAGCTACAGTGGGCGCGCGAAGCTGAAACTCTCGGACTTTGAGTTCGTGCTACGCCGCGATGCAGTCAAGCTCGGCCGTGTCCAGGAAATGTTCAAGAAGAAGCGCGATATCGATAACAAGAAGAAACTCTTCGATACCAATGAGGGACGAGAAGGGACGAAGATGGCCGTGGGTGATTTGGTGAATCTTGGGGAGGTTGTTGGCGAGGAAGGAACCGGAAAAGGGAAAGGGAGAGGTAGAGGTAGGAGGAAGAAGAGGGATAGGCATGACGGAAATGCTGCCGTGGGAGACGATGCCAGAAGTGCTGTTGGGACCGGGACCGGGACCGGCAGGGAAAGCGTTGTTGGCGATGATATGGAACTCGAGGACAGGGCGAGTAAGAAGGCGAGGAGTGAGGTTGGTTGAAAGATGCCAGTGATAACCTCTCTTTTGAAACTACTCGGCTTGAGCGAGATCACCATTTAACCAGGCCGTGTCTCCGACCTGAGACTCATTACAACGACAAGAAGCAACAGCATCGATGCAACACGTTCGCCAAGCATCAATCATCAACAGCATCTATAACTTGAGTCATCCGGCTCGGAACGATTTCTACTATGGACGGAAGCCAGCATGAACGAGACTCATATGATCATTTGACATGGCTGCAAGTTTGTAACTGACTGGCATCGTTCTGTTGGATGCTCGACCTGCAGGAAAACCAAAGGCTCCGGCACCATTTGATCGCCGTACACACAGCGAAACACGACGACCAACTTATGGTGTCCATTTCCCAGCAATTGTTCCCCTCAGCCATGCCTCGACAAACTCGGTTGGGAACTTCTCGGATACACATATCCTTCTACCACCCTATGCGCCATACTTTTTCTACTCATCCCAACCCACGCGGAAGCCAGATGCTATCGAAAATGCATGGACTCATGATAGGATGAAGACTCCCATCCAAACATGCAAAAACATTCGGTCAATAGAAAATGAGAAAAACTGCCTGTTCTGCGGTGCCACATACTCACAAATTGGCTACTGACAAGCTGTCTCCTCGATTCTGTCGGGTCTGCCCACCTCCTTCCCGTCTGTTCTGTCTCCGATCGCCTCGTCCACCTTCTTTCTCATTTGAGCCTGCTCCTGTGTTCTCCCCTCCACCAATCGTCAATTGTGCTGTTGCTAGTCTGTTGGACAGGTCCATCTGTGTGCGAACCATGTTAGCGAGATATGAAACAGTGAGCACGTCTTGAATATGATTGTTGAAGTCCTTTTCAATCTCGGCCGGGTCGACCTTGGGCGCGAGCGCGAGTGTATTGAGAAGAAATTGTCCGAGTGCGGTCGAGGGCTCCTCTTCTTCTTCAATCACGTTCTCCACATACTTGGCGACCCGGTCCAACATGCCCAATGTGTCTTCTAGCGATCGTTCAAGATGTTCAATGTCTGTCAGTGCGGCGCCTGTCCTCGTCTCTGAGTCTTTGGCATTCTGGATCGTGTCCACTCCTGCGCGGTCGGCATCGTTGTAGTGGATTGTATACGGTACGGGGATGAATGCGGCGGAGTCGGCGGCTCGTTCGGGGCTCACGCCCACGGGGGACGATATGTAGGTCCTGACTTCGACGTCCTTGCCTGGCTGGCTCGAGACCGTGACGTGGACGGCAGGGTAAGGGAAAGTGCCTTCGCCCTGACTGCTGTAGTGGTTTTGGATCAAAGCCGAGAAAGTGTTGAGTTCCGAACTGGTCGCATACCAGCCAACCAGGACTTCTTTCGGGTTGGCACGCAGGTGCAGTGCCAACATGGCCTTTTGATATTCCATGTCGACTTCGACCTGGTCGGTCGTCTCGGTGTGGCTGACGGCGAAGGAGGAGTGGACGACGACTTGGGATTCATCGGCATCGGAGCGAGTTCCTAGTAGGGTGCCAATGACTCGTTGTTGGTCTGGTGGGCGACGGGAGCAGTGGTCGAGGATAGAGAATAGGGCCTTTTGCAATCATAGATGACTTGTCAGTAAGGTAACTTGTGAGCCGTGTGTCATCTCATCTTTTGACTGACCTGTGGTTGTATCACGACACGAAGAGGAGCAACTGTGGGTTGGGCACCGACAGCAGCAGGACCGAGAGGCCTGGACAAGTGCAGGGAGCCATCTTGGGCCATGCTGGGCAGTGAGTGCAATAGAAGCCGGTAGATTGTCTGGGGATGCAACTGCCTGCTTTCTATGACAGTTTGCACAAATGCGTTTGCTCTGGGCTGGTCGATGTAGTGGTCCCAAGAACTGCGGGCAACTTTCCCGCACGCAACAGCCTGAGCCTCGTGGAAATTTCATTTTGCGGTGCCAGTGCCTGTGCGCTCTGCGTGGGCGACCAGAGTCACGTGGCATGACCGGGAGCTCAACTGCATTGTCAATCTAATCTAATCTAAACTCCGGCTGAATTGGGATGCATATCAAATCGCCATTAATTATTGCCGTTGGGTGTGGATATGACGAAGTTGCCTCCCTCTCGCAATCTGTCGCTCACTCCTTCTCAATATCTTGATCCTGTTTCAATCAAATATTCCCCAGGTACCCCAATTCTCTTGGCCGTTACTCTAGCAAGATCATGAGTGCGAATGGGGTATTGCGAAAAGACCAGCTCGAACGAAGCCTTCACGATGAAAAGAAACTGATAGAGCAAGGTATCCTTAAGGAGGACAATCCCCTCGACTTCAGCGAGAACTTTCAGACCTTATGTGCCGCTTCCAGACGTGGCGATCTCAAGCTCTGTCAGGAGATGATCCAGGAAGGCGTCAATATCAATGCCAAAGACCAATACGATTATACTCCTCTTATTCTGGTAAGACTGCCAGCCCCCACTGAGAAACTTTGGTGTAGCAGCGGGTGACCCTGCGAGAAGGCTAGCTTGTGCGGTCATTACGAGACCGTCCAACTATTACTTGAATCTGGGGCGTTATGTGAGCGAGATACATTTCAAGGCGAGCGGTTCATTACCCCAGCATCTCGATCTAAGCACTCAAATGCTAATTTGTTTGGCCAGATGCCTGTATAATGCTTTGAATGATAGAATCCGAAACCTCCTATTACAATACGACTATTCTAAATCCACAGACCCACTGCAACCGCTTGCCTCCCACTTAGTTTCGCTTTTGACAAGAGATCACCCTAGGACCTCCGACATAACTGTCACGACGCCGACCGAATCATTTTTGTTACACAAATATATTCTCTCTGCTCGCTCACCCTACTTCAGCAGCAAACTTACCTCCGCCCCGGACACCTCCTCTTGGAAGCTACCACCAACCATTCCGCCTCAGTCCTTCGGTATCGCCTTAAAACACCTATATCTCGGCGAGATACCACGTGATCTCGGTGGTGGCCCTGCCACTGGATTCAGCGACTCTGAAGTGCTTGCTGGTGTCGATCGCATCAGCAAGCATCTTGAAATCCAGAATCTTTCGCGACTCATTCTCGACAGTAGCGATCGCAGACTAGCCCGCCAGCGGCGACAGGATGAGGTTGAAAAGGGTCGAGATCAATTGGAATCCTGGTTCCGAGACAATGTTCTCAAACACGCCATTGAAACCGATGTGGCGAAAGCCGATGACATCAAATGGGATCGTGATAACGGCATCTTCGCAGATATTCTCCTTCGCGCCGACGAGGACGAGGAAGAGGAGGAGGAGGAGGAGGAGGCAGAAGCAATAGACAGGTTCAGTCAAGAACTCTCAAGAAATAAACCCTCCTCAACCCATCGATCCGCCACCGCAGCACTCGGCATCCCACTCGACACCTCATCGTCCCGCAACGCCTCTCGCTCCACGTCACGATCACCTTCACGTGCTCGCTCCAAGGCGCGAAAATCCAAGATCTACCCTGCGCACAAAGCGCAACTTCTGCGATCAGAATTCTTCACCACCATGTTCGAGTCTTCATTCCGCGAAGCGCAGAACACACCGCACCTGCAAATCATCAACATCGACTGTTCGCCCCACGTCCTCGAGATCATCCTCACCTACCTGTACACGGAAAAGGCAGACTTCGGGCTCGACGTGGCGGTGGACGTGCTCTTCGCAGCGGACATGCTGTTCCTGGAAAAGGTCAAAGCCAAAGCAGCCGTCGTTATCTCTACTCTCGCCAACGGCACCGCCACAGGCATGTCTAAGGGAGGTGGAAGCACTTTGCCGAATGGTCTTGATCCCGAATCCACAGCAGCGACGTCCTCCTCAGAGGAACTCATCGACATCTACTTGATCCTTCGCGCAGCATGGTTGACTCGCGTGCAGCGACTGGAGGAATTCGCTGCACGGTACATCGCATACAGGCTTGAAGCGTACATCGACGACCCGGAGTTCGCCGAGCTGGTGCAAGAATCTGCCAGCCGCATCAGTGCCAGGCAGGAGACAGACAGTATTGAATTGCTAGACGACATCCGCTACTACCTGTCTGAACGCTTCCGCTTGCGGTTCGAGGACGTGGGCCTCGAGGATGCCATGGACGAAGATGGCGCGATGCGTGAGGCGCTTGCGGCTACTGCCACTACGACCGATGGATACGTTGCTGCGGTTGCTGCACAACCACCAGAGCAAGACCCTCAGACTGCAACGGGTCAAGCTCCTCTAGGCCCCACGAAACCAACAACAACCAACAGTCTCCCGATCTGGAGCAGTGCAAACGGGATCCCACCCAAGGCAGCCGAGGACGAGGGCGTCGCCATGATGACCTCATCAGGTCCCGGGTCCGAACCCGTCACCGTCGCCCCTGACACTGAATGCCTCCTCCCCAGGGATGCAGTGCGCACGCTAGACGGCGAGTTAGCCGGAGACGAGTTCGCCGCCGACGCCGTCAACTACCAGATCCTGCTCGGCAAGATTGACGCGCTGCTCGATCGCTTGAAACTCGATGCGTAGAGAATAAGGACAGCCGACTCCGCCGCTAGAGACCATGGTCTGTATCTGATTTTACCGCGAGAACCCACCTTGGGCAGGATGCTGGGGCCTTGGGCGTTGCTCGTTAGCTCTGATCTCCGAATTCTCTGCATGCACTGCCGGGGTCATAGCACATACACATATAGAGGAGCATACCATGAACAGGAACAGAATCAACGGGAGAGAATCAAAGGCACTTAGAAAAATCATTGAAGTTAGGCCGTTGGCAATAATCTACATAACAAGAGTGTCGTTTTCCTGGCGTGAATCAACCCTTTCAAGGTTTGCACGAGGCGGCACGAAATTCCTTTCGGGATAGGCCCAAGTCAACTAACTGATCATGAAAAGCAATTTCTTTTGTCAATTTTGTTGTAGTTACGTCACCACTCCGCTCCAGTCAATTTGTGAGTTATCTCATGACCCGTCTCCCCCAGCCCGGCGGTACTCGTAACTGTTGTCACATACATAAGGTGAGAGAGAATCCATAGACCTGAAAAAGAGAGCATGATCTGGTTTGCTGTAAACCTAGTGCTCCAAGAAGATCCCCCCGGAGCTCCCTAAGATGCCATGTAGGTGCTTGAGTCGACACCGCCTTCTGGGTAAGGAGGCAACGGTGCTTGGAACCGGCTCTCAATCTCTTTGATGACAGTCTCATCGGTATCACTGCTGACAAACGAGATACTAAGACCTTTAGTACCGAAGCGACCAGCACGGCCAACACGATGAAGATAGGAGTCAGCATCAGCAGGTAGATCGTAATTGATCGCAAGGTTGATGCGCTCGATATCAATACCACGACCAAAGACGTCAGTTGCAACGCAAATACGCTTGTTGAATTCCTTGAACTCCTTGTATCTCTTGATGCTATTGCCAAAGTTAGTAAAGTTATGTGCTTGATATGAGGCCGCGAACTTACCGCTCCTCTTGGCTAACTCCTGAATGGACGGCGATACTTGGAAAGTTGCATTCACGTAGCAACTTGTCTAATTCAGTTGCTCGAAGGGTACTCTTGACAAAAATGATGACCTGGTTGAACTCGAGACTGTCGAGCAGGTCGTTGAGTTTTCGATTCTTCTCGCCTTCACTGAGCTTGATGGAATATTGCTGGAGACCGTGTAGTGTGAGCTTGGTCTCATCATCGACGAAAACTTCAAGAGGATGTCTCATGAACTTCCTGCAAATTGGGCGAATTGTCTCTGGCAGAGTGGCGCTGAACATCATGACCTGTTTCTCGGTAGGGGTCGCGCGGAAGATTTCTTGAACATCTCGGCGCATGTCTAGGTGTCCAGTCGTCAGATTGGAGAAACGTGTAGGGGGTTGAAGGTGGCATACCGATTTGATCCAACATTTTGTCGCATTCGTCAAGGACAAAAGCTTTCACGTTACGCAATGACAGATACTTGTCGCGGACGAGCGCATTCAGGCGACCAGGGGTCCCGACAATAATGTTGGGGAAGGACTCTTTGTTCTTGAGTAGTTCAATATCTTTCTGAATCGGTGTACCACCATAGAAAACAGCAGTCTTGACCTCTGGAAGGTACTTGCTGAAACGGGCATATTCGTTCTTGATCTGGTACGCAAGCTCTCGAGTGTGGCACATAACCAACACGGAGGCCTCGCCCGGAATGGGTTCCAGCTGATGAAGTGTGGTCAAGACGAAAACAGCCGTCTTACCAAGACCAGATTTGGCCTGGCAAAGAATGTCGACACTGAGAAGGGCTTGTGGAATGCACTTCTGTTGGACTGTAGTAAGGCGCATATGTTAGATTTGTTTCCAGAAAAAAGTGAAGACGATGAAGCAACATCGCAGCGCGGTCCGTCCATCTCCTTGTGAAGTGTTGATGTCAAAGTTAAAGGTCATGTTGCCGTTTGGATCGGTCCCTGCTCTTTTGAAAGCCACAAGTAACCCGACGTAAGACTATCCGTGCCTTTCGAATGTTACAACGAAGGCAAGCTTGTCATCCGGACAAGGAACAATAACAGTGACAGCATTCTCAGCATATCAGACTGTCCGCAAGTCGACCCATCACCTTTCGATGATGAGGCTGTCAATGCGTCTTGGTCTCTCGATTCGCGATCTTGCAAGCAATTGGGGGAGCGATCCGCAGCAGTCGAGGCAAAGTGACATCGTTAACATGATGGACCCATAGGGCTGCTGGAACGCCGTGGCTATGAGAGCCGTGGCCTTGACTTATTTCTTTTCTTTCTTGTGGAGATGGACGGACGCTCGAAGCAGGAACACAGGTGGAGGGATATTGTTTGCAAGAATAAATGACTAACCCTCCGAAGGATGTTCGAAACCGCAGTCGGTGATGGCTCGTAGCAGTTCGCCTTTGAGCAGAAAATCTCTGAAACCGGTGGAGTGGATGCCGACATAACTGCCCTTTCCCTTATCTGTACTCTTCCCACCTGAGACAGTCAGGTCGCCTTTCTTTGCAGCACCATTTGTGACACCGGTGGCAGGAGTCTCGGTAGCTTGAAGCTCCTCATCAGAGTAGTCGATGAGATCTTCTTCGGCAGACATTTTGGATTAGTTTAGTGAGTGATTGATGGTTGTTGTTGCTGTGGTGGTGGCGGTTGTGATGATGGGTGCGCAAAAGCTGGAGTAGGCTGTGGGGAGGAAAGGAAGTGTGAGGGGGATCTAAAGAATTGGCGACGAGACCAAAACAGAACCAACAAAGGCCTGATATAGGGAGATGCGATGGAAGATAGAAAGAAGACCTTGCAGGGAGAAGGATGAAGAGATTGTTGGTTGCAGAGTGATCGATGCCTGAGCTTAAAGGCCGTGCGTGTCGTTTTCAGAGGGAGTGAGGAGGCAACCGTTGCGGGTTGCGAATTGTGCTTTGAGAGCAGATCAGTCACGTGTGGACGCAAAGAAAAATGACCTAGCCTGTAAAACGACTAGCGAGATATTTCTTGGCAATACCCCATTTGGGACGTGGTGCCTGTGGGGAGTCTTGAGTCTCAACTCTTGAGATGAGGCCAGGCCACGGCTTGCGACTTTTTCAATTTGGTATTTGGCACTGTAACCAATGAAATTCCATCCGGAAGCGAGACAGTCCTGATAAATCCTAATCCCAGACCTGCGAGAAATCACTCGAGCCCGTGCTGAAACACAATGTCATCAATATACAGATACAATGGCCAAATCGAAGACCTCGAAGGGCGGTAACCCATCAGTACCCCACAAACATCTTCACTCAAGACTCTCTTATCTTCACCAAGCAGCGACCTTTTTGGCGACTGCCGAACAGGCTCATATGCTTAACGAAGGCCACGAAACCCGATTCTCGTCTGATCAAGTGGCTAGTGGACTACGGGCGGACAACAGACACGGCAGCGAGACGATTCGGCTTCTGAGTAACCTGCGGGGAGTGTCCAGGAAGACGCAAATCCGGCTTGCTCCCAGAGTTAAACACACAATGTGTAAGCGATGCGACGCGTTACTCATCCCTGGAAAGTCTAGTAACAAGGCTATCGTGAATCCCAGCAAGAATGGCGCTAAATCATGGGCCGACCTGTTTGAAGTTCAGTGTAATCAATGTGGAACCATCAAACGCTTTCCAGTAGGAGCAATGAATCAGAAGGAGCCCGGCAGCAAGCATCAAGCAGAATGGGAACCACAGCGTGATCCATTATAATCGACTCGTGCGCCTTCAGTATTCATTTATTCTCCAGACTTTCACAATACATCATTACGCCAAATTGTCTCTTTTGTAGCGTGAGCCATGGTAGTTCTAGAGACGCTTTTCATCAGGATTCACCTCCACAGCAAAGAAAACGCATAGCATCCAGCATATAGTCGCAACTCCGGAAGCGCCGAAACCATGATTACCGAAAAAAAGATCAAACTAGCCAGATATTCATACAATCATTAAACGTGGCCTCATCAATCAATATCCAGCCGTGAGGCTTCTCTGTCTGCCTTCGCCGTTGAATAGAAATGATAAAACAAAGTTGGAAAATCATAATAGATGCAAGGTGTTGCAGATTGAGGAGTCGAGAGTAGATGAGCCGAGCTCTCGGTGGATTGAATAGGTCGGGATGACGATGGCAATATCAATAGGAATAGCAATAGCAATACGCAGCGTTTGTCATGGTTGTTGGTCGTTATGGAAAGTGATGTTGCGCTTTAGTTGAGCGGGAATTTCAACGTCGTGGGCGTGTGCCCGAACCGTGGCCACTTGAGTGACTTCGGTCTAATCTTTCGCTCATGCTGTCGACTTTGTTTCTGAGCTGTTTTATTTTATCTCGAATGTTCCTCATCTTTTCGAACTCGTCTTCGAGACGATCAATTTCCGCCAAAATGTTTCTCATTCTCCGGATCTGGGCATCTGCATCCTGAACGGTACTGGCCGCGCGGTTGCTCGATGAGTGTACTGACTGTTGCGTGGCATTTTCGAGCTAAAAGATGCAAACTTGGTCAGTGGTTGATCATGGGGTGGTAGGCGGAAGGATCTCACAGCAACTATCCGCGACTGGATTTGGCGCATGATATTGTCAAGATGAATATACAGGTTTTGCAGGCTGTGGGGGTCTAGCATAATGCGACCCGTGACACCTTGGCTGCTGGCGGCGCTGGCGGCTCTCGAACTTGGTTGGGACTGTCTGCTCGTGCCACGGCCACGATCCTGGACCGTGCCGCTTGCATGACTGCGCTGGGCCGCAATTTGCTGCTGTTGGCGAAATAAAATCAACTCGGCTTGAGTCAAACCCAAAACAGAGTCTGCGACGGACTGAGGCGCGGACATGGACGTCCGACTTGGACTGGAGAGATCGTAACCAATGTAGTTGAAGTGAGCAGTGGCTTTGACGGGTTCCCGTAGAGATCAAACATAACATAGCAATTCTGGGAGCTGATAGGGTGCGCAAGAAGCCGTCAAAAGTGGTGCAAGAGGGTGCCAACAGCGATTTGGCTGCGAGATATGGCAGTAGGGATGAGCCTGGTCATTGTAGCTTTGACGTATGAGCGGGCGCCTCTGGACAGGCAACAGAGCCTCAGTTTGGCGAAGCGCTCGAAATGTTTCTCTTTCAAACAGGAAACGAGGTGCGTCCTCCTGGACTCCTTTACTTCTGGCGGCTGTGGTCAAGAAGAGGAGGGGTGCTGGGGTCGAGAGCGGACAGGCCTCAGGCCAAGGAGGGTAGGACAACGACGGGAGGGTGTATGGGAAAGGAGAAGGCCAGAATAGAGAATGAGCTGAAGAAAAGAATGGGTACGGAAGCGGAGACGGGTATGGTGGAGGACTGTTTCATCGCCTGCGACGATGAACAAGCCGAGAAGGAAAGTCAGAAGAGGGAGGGAGGGACGGAGCAGGAGGGAGGGGAGGAGTCGAGAAGCGCGGCTAACAACCTGGCAGCAGCTAGTCAGTGAGTAGGTTGGTGGTAAATTAGTGTGAAGATTAGTTCGCGGTGGATTTGGATTGTTGGATGAGCCCCGTCCTCCATACGATTATGTGGTAGCAGTAAACTTGGGTCAAAGGTAGACAACGGAGCATTCGAGGATGGAGTTGAAGTGGCATATGTGACGTCTTAATAAGAAAAAGAATGTGCAATATTGCAAGAGTCCAAGGTCTGTGAATGGCGGCTCTGTTTTCTCTGTCTGCCTGTGTGAGAATGTCCCGGTATCGAGGCCTGCTCGAGCAAGACTGCTTCATGGACCAGGTGGTGGATACGAGAATCGTTACTCCTTGGGAGTCTTGAGGGACCAACGTTATCCACGCAACCCGCATATACTGGAAGCAGGGTTGGAGGTGGACGAGCAGGGGAAACGAGCGTCTGGAGGACTTAACTGTTGGGCCATTGGCCACGAGAAGGAAGAAAAAGAGCCAGGAGCCATCTTGTTTTCACAGCGCTATTGGCAGTGGATGCGCACAATCATGAGTGACCAAAGCCCATGGGGTCCATGGCTCTGGTGCTCAGGGCGGCTTCAGGTCAGCGTGGGAGTGGGAAAAGTGCTTGGTACGGAGTAGGGGCAAGGGTCACGGTAAGGGCAAGCTTTGAATCAGGCTCTGACGGAAGCGAACTGGTCTGGCGGTCAGTATTGGGGTAGAAGGGGAGGGTGCGCCGGCCATTGGGTTACTAACTCAGTAATGGGCCTATAGGCGGCAACCCCAACAGTGGTGGCGGTAAAGCAACCCCAAAGGAACCAGGGGCAAGCTTGGAACTGCCCGTATTCATCCCACCTTTTCGTGGCATGCTCTAACCATACTCTTACCTATCGGTAGTAGTTGGTTAGATCTGTTGGCTAGTCCTCCAGCCAGAGCTTGGGGACATTCCATCATCATGATCAACCGATCAGGTGCTTTCTTCCACTTGCCAACTTAAACTCCGTTGAGCACGAAGTAAGTTGACTTCGAATTCTCTTGTGAGTTGCATCGGATCACCGTCTCATTCCTTTGGGTCGTTTTTGAAACCCCCCGGGTTTGCCGCCAGCCTCGTTCGAGCCTCCCCATCGATAGCCGTCGCCCATCCCTCGTCAGGCTGATCTGTGCCCCCCAAAAATTTATGTTCTGTACCATGGCTTGCAACATCTGGACACATTAATCGCCATTACTATTTCAATCCGGCCTGGAATCGGTTCGTTCCTCCAGCGAGACCCGTTCATGCAGGAGGTTGCTCCGAATACCCATTTCACATTCGCAATCTTCCTCCTCAAACGGTAGCTGCAGCCTGCAATGCAAGACTACCGCAACTGTCAAACCCTGATTACCGCCCTGCAGCCCCTACGTTACCCAAAACCTCAGCTCCTGCGGGCTCCCGATCCTGACCGGTGAGACGTAAAAGTTTTCTGCAACCTGCCTTGGCTGTACCCGCCTGTCTCCTACCCTCTGTTTGGTCGCCTGTGACACCATTGACCAGCCGTGGAGGTGGAGGTGGAAGTGGAGCTCCAAATCAGCTGCAGCCTCGCCCCAATCATTTGGAGAGTGACCTCACCTTCTCACCAACTAAATCATAGCCCGCAGCAGCGGTTGAAACGGATCAATGGCACGCGACAAGGAACGAACAATCAATCCTGCACAGCAACAACGCAAGCTTGAGAAACAGAAGCAGCTCAAGAAGAGTCGCGCGGAACTACAGGCGAGACGCAACGAAAAATTGGCCAAACGAAACCCCGACCGCATTGAGCGCCAAATCCAAGATCTGAATGCCCTCGAGGCCTCGGGTGAAATCAAACCTCGCGAAAAGGCCATCCTAGAAGACCTCGAGCGAGACCTCCGAGCCGTGCGCAAGGCCAGAGAGGCACTGGGTGAGAAGGCGCCCATTTTTGGTGGTCGCAGACGAGAAGGAGAAGGCGACAGTAACAATCACGTTCTCGGAAAAAGAAGGCATAACGGAGAGCGCAAGCAAACTAGCTACAGACAACAAGAATCTTCGGGAAGCGACACCGACGATTCTGTCCGCCGCATCCCCATGCCAGAGGATACACCGCCGCCAATTCCTCGCGAGTTCCGACGGGGCAACAATTTCAACAGGGCTTCTGATCCTGATGATCAACCGCAATCACAAGGAAACTCAAAATCTTATAATAAGCCACCCATCCCTGTGGTTGAATCGAAGACAATGTATTCAAGCGCGCCTCAGATCCGCGACCTGAAAAAGGAAGCGGTCGGGCGTTTCGTTCCCGACGTTGTCCGCCGGAAGCAGCAGGCTGCCAAAGGCGGACTGGCAGGACGCCTGCTCGAGCCAGAGGAGATGGACCGGCTAGAGGCAGAGGGCTACCTTTCGCAGAAACAGAAGCAGGTCGAAAAGGAGCCGGCAACGGAGGCAAGCGCCGACGCTCCCACCTCCTCCACAACGAATCTGGAAGACAGCCACGCCAGGAGATTGGAAGAGGAAGAGCGGCGCCTCCTCCAAGAGCTGGAGATGCAGGACGACCAGATAGGCGGTGTTGATGGTAAGAGTACTGGTACGGAAGCTCTCCCACAGAGGCCAACTAATCGACACGTTGAAATCGAAGAAGTCAAAGACGAGGATGCATAACTTGCTCAATAACATTCTGTATATCCACCCGCGCGTCCATGTGTACTACAGCGTGTTTACCATTGCTCTGTATTGGAACTAAACTACCCACTCAGCAGAAGAAGATGTCAGAACGAAGCAAGACCCGGTGGTCCAAGGTCCAATTAGCTGGCTAGATAGCACATAATATCAATAATGGAAGTATCATCATCACCTTCCTTCCACAGCACCCTCACCTTCTCGGTTTGTTCCTGCGGATTGCTAAATTAATCTTCCTGCTCTACGAACACAATGCCGAACCAGAGCCAGAGCCAGCCCCCGGCCATGTCGCGGTAACCGTGGTCAGCATCAAGTCCAATCGATGCGGTTCCGCCGCGTCTCGACCTCGCTCCCCTTTCCCTCCGTCCCTTCAGCTTGTTCTCGATTTAAAGACACACTTGTTGCCCCACGCCTCAATCTCTCTCTCTCTCTCTCTCTCTGTGTGTGTGTGTGTGTGTGTGTGAGGGAGAGAGAGGGAGCGAGAGGCTTCAGAGCGCGTCGAGCAAACTACGCACCGATCTCCCCCGGTAGGTAGTGGTCAGACCGCTTTTCCATTCCAAACAGGAAAGAAAGGAAAAAAGGAGGAAATGGTCCGAAGGGAAAGCGTTATGTTATAGTACGTCGATGAAGGACATCCCTACACAGAAGGAGCCAGGCCTGTGCAGCTAACTAAGCATGTTGACTCAGACTGTCTCACACACTTAGTGGCGACCGCTTCATTACAGCCATTACGTTCCAACGGTGGGTACCTATATGGTCACATACGCTTAGGAATATGAATAATGAGTGGGAGTATGTTGAGACCTCTCTCTCTCTTTTTGAGCAGTATATACCTAACATACGAGCTACTTCGATGGTGATTTGCCGCAGATCAGGTGACCCTCTTCATCCTGCGTGTCGCTTCAAGAGCCAAGCTATTCAACGTCAGGAACGAGCAAGTCTCCCTAGCCCAAGGAATTCCCGACCAGAGCCTGTGCGCTAGCCAAAGGGAATGGATCTAATCTGTCCACTTGTTGCTCTGATATGATGCCATTTCGCCAGGCATTATGCTCGCAACACCGCTTAAAGTCGGGACTGCAAACACCTCCCCCATGTTGGAAGCTCCTCGGCAAACAAAAGAAATCCATGTGACACATCAGCAGGCACTTATCCAACAGTCCGCCCACGACCTATGAAACACAAACATCCTGCCAGACTGACGGTATGGGGAACACTACCACCAAGCACAACTGAAGTCATTCTCGAGGACTTTGCTGCTCCATATAGCGATCATCGTCTCATCGTAAGGTCATACTGTATCTCCTTGTATACGGCAGGTACTTGAGCATCTTCGCAGATGATCACCGCATCATGCGGACTGCCTTGACATCTCGTTTCAAAAACGGACTAGGCATGTCGTCCCCTGCCGTCTCTGGATCCCAGATCGGGACTGGTGGTAGATCTTTACCTCGGTCCTGGAAATCGAAACTATTCTTTGCCTTCATGTCATTGTGGACACCAAGGTCATCTTTTGGATTTCTCCCTCCAGCTCGTGCTTGAGCAAGCTCCACCAATGTACGTCCACCCAAGGCGCCAACGGCAACGGGCTCTCTGCTAGCGGCCAATTTACTCTTCAAATTGTTTGCTGTGATTCCAGCGCGCCGCACAGGGCTTGTACTCCCACTCCCATCGCTGCCGCTGTTGTTGGCTTGCTCTCGCAGGTCGTTTCGGCTTGGTATCTTGCTTAAACGCCGGCTCGGGCTCGTGGTTTTGGCTGTGCTAGCCTTGATTTCAGTATCAACCGTAGCTCGTGGAATGCCTCGGACGATATTTCCAGCGGCCGATGATGCCATCCCTGCTCGTACTTGGGCGGCAGTACTGCTAGAGGGAAATATGGTTGGCTTTGTGGTCAATCTCTGCATAGTCGCGGTGGTATTCTGCCTCGTTAGCCCAGGTCTGCCCCTGGAGGCTACTGGTGCTGGATTCTTGAACGGGTCTGTATTAACGACATTTGTCTTGGGCCTTGTGGGGCTGGGCAAGTCAGGAAAGTCGTCATCAGAGTCATCTTCAAGATCCAAGTTCGCCTCTTCGTCTGATGTATATGCCAGCTGTGGCTCCCATCTTGCTTTCTGACGGGCAGCTTGCGCAAAAATATTCCTCGCGCCAAGTTCGGTCACGGTGGAGTTGGCAGTAGCATGAGCGGCAGCAGTCCTGCGTGGCGAAAGAGCCAACGAGGAGATCGACATTGGTGAAGGTTCACCCATCTGAACATCAGTGGGAGAATCAAAGGTAGTTTTTGACCGGGCAAAGGGCGTCTTGGTCTTCTTTGGTGGCAAAGTAGCAGTTGTAGAGGGGACTGGTGATTCCAGAGAGAGTTCTGATAGATCGGTCAGATCCGTGACCGAAGGGAAGTCTTCTTCTCCTGAGGTGTTGACGGAAGAACTGGGATTCAGATTCTCCTTATCATATCCCGGTTTCGATGTGACTTGGATATCCTTCAGTACGCGGAATTCTGTTGGTCTTTCTCTCTCCGCGAGCAACGCTGCGACACGGTCTTCGACTTCTTTGTCGAATTTTTTGCGTAGTCTCTCTAGCTCGATCTGGACCTGTCGATCAATTTCGAGTCGTGCTTTAACTTCCCATTCGCGACGGAGCCGAGCATCTAGCTCGACTCTCATTGCAGCTTTGTCGGCTTCGAGAGCAGACAGTCTCTCCTCTGCCTGCTTCAACTTGTGCTCGGCAATCTCTTCGCGTGTTCTCAAGGCTTTCCCGATACAGACCATTTCCTGTTGGCGCCGGGCAATCCAGATATAAGGCACACTGAGAAGAGAAGTAGTATCTGGTCGATGCATGGGATTGGTCTTGAGACAACTCGCAATAACATTGGCAAGGTCCTTGGAATATACAGCTGGTATGGGGTCGAATGCACCCTTTCGAATCCTCTGAACGAGTTGTAGATGTGAGTTAGCGTTAAATGGTGGCTCCTTGGTGCATAGCTCGTACATAATACATCCTAGTGACCAGATGTCGGAATGTAACGTGTACTTCTCTGCCGCACATATCTCAGGGGACATGTAAAAAGGAGTTCCAACATAGGTTGAAGCAAAGTCGTGAGACTGCATCAGTTTTGATAGACCAAAATCTCCGAGTTTGACAGACTGGTCTTCGCCTAGGAAGATGTTTTCAGGTTTCAGGTCACGATGTAAAATCATTTTTTGCCCACTGGGAGGTCGAATGTCTTTCTGTCGAGAAAAATCGTTGCCAGGCTCTGGTGGATCAACGCCATGATGGCACCGATACAGTGCTGTGACAAGCTGACTGAATATTCTCCAGACGAACTCTTCCTTTGCAAATTCGTTCTTTCTCTTCAGTTCCTTGATCACACATCCAAGGTCACCACCTCCACAGTATTCCATGTACAGATACAGCTCTTGACTGTTTTTGAGATGCTCTCGGTGAAAATACCCTACGATGTTTGGATGGTTGAGGGATGATAGAATTGAGAATTCGGAGTGTAGCTGATCGCGTTCTTTCTGCGACATCTTGAGGTAGTTGATCTCTTTGCGACACAGGATCTGGATCGAGTCAGTGAGCATCTTCCGCCACTATTTCTGGGGGCTCGGTGGGCTTACATGGCCATCCTGCTTCCGACGGACTTTCCGAATTATTCCAAACGCTCCTCGACCTATTGGAATTTAGTTTGAGAAGGGAGGAGGCATGATATATCTTACCAATGACCTCTTTTATCTCATATTTGTCTTGTTCCGCGGGAAGGAGTGCCATGTTGACACAAATGGAAGGAACGCTCACGTGAACTGGAAAGTTGGCGAGAAGCGGTTTGGAAAGCTCAAGGAACTGCAGTCATGGAATTGCACACTCCAATCCGTTATTTCAAACTTGACGATAAAGACTAGAAGGGGCTGGCTTGCTAGAAAGTTTGTCTGGCCGTGAGTGTCTACGCGAAACAAGCGGTCGAGTGCACTGATGCTGAGGATTTGTTGACCCGGTGTTGCTGAGCAACCATTGCCAAGGGCGATGATGTCACCGGTAAGACTTCCCAAGACACATTTGTAGTGAGAAAGGAAGCTGCGACACATACACTTCTCCCCTTGCTATTGCATTTCCCACACCAAAAATATGTTTGGCTTGTTATTTTCTCTTAGTTTGTGAAATTTGAAGTTCCGCTCGATAGACTTCCTCAACATGAAAGCCTAGCATTGATGGCAAATCACGCGAGGCCGTGTCTTAGTGCTCTACATCGAGCTGCGTTGGTGAGAGGGTGCACGTGATACAAGTAAATGTGAACCAAAACGTCGACGGTGTTGTCATGCAGAGCGATTAAGAGTGTGTTCTTGATGTGAGTTGAAGGTAGACAGATAGCTTCGCCTTATGGCGAAAAAGACAACCTCGACTTCTAGATCTAGAGTTTGCACTCATTGGAGGACGAGATTTGGCATGCGAATCGCAACAAGCTACCTGCATCCTCACTTTGAGTCTAGACATCCAAGGACAGATGAAAAGAGGGCTATGGTGGCAGGCATGATGCTCATAGTACATAGTTCATCCTCATGGAGACAATGCTATCGCATATCAATTGCGCGTGAAGGACTTTGATGTGGCAGCTGCGGCATATATCCAGGTGTTGTCAAAGCGAGATCGTCTCAATGAAACAAGACTTAACTGCCCATGTCGATGCAAACATTGTTGAAAGCGTGAGACAAGGTCAAATTTCAGTGGCCTCGTCGTGAATCGCTAAATGGCACAGCATTGATCTAGATAGAAACAGCAGGCTTCAATTTCACAGCAAGCCCCCTAACTTACGTGAGGTTAACATGGGTTTATCCCCAAGAGGGAATAGGATTATTAGACGATCGTTTTGAAACGGTGCATAGTCCTACCAAACCGACCCATCAAGTATTGATGACCCCCACCAACCCATTTCTTTCAGCTCCTCCTGCCACAGAGTCTTGCTGAGAAGTGCTGAGAAGCATGAATCCTCAGCTCGTGAGCCGCCCAACAGACTGGGCTCGCTTTATGCCAGGGTTCTCGGTCGACGCCAAACGTTGAAGGCTGTGACAGGTTGCGTTGGGCGAATGTAATTGACATAACACGCGGTAGGCTTGGCAATGTAATGGGTTGTGATTGGTTGCATTTTCATCAGAGCCTAGGAGGTTCGGCTCAGTAGCATCTACGCGTACGAGTCCTATAGTCGAAGTCTCGTCCTGAACCAACAAATCCGTCGGGCCTTGTCAATAATAGTCCTGCCCAGACCGAAGACTTGGTAGTGCGTAGGCTGGCAGCCGTCGTCAAGCCAGCCAATTTAAAATACGCTGGATGTGGGCGCTGATCCGGTACAAGCATGGGAAGGAGTCCAGATGATGCCATGGTGGTATGTACGTCAAACGGTACCAGGGGGATCTACGGGAGAGAGTCGAAATTCCCAGGATTGGGACTCGAGCTCAGCTCCTGTCCAAGGCCCGGCTATTGTTGCCGGTAACCAATCATCCAAGACAGCATCAATAGTTTTAGCTCGGAAATTTAACAGGCTTCGCCCAACCGATGTTTCCGAACTTTCTGGTTTCTACATATGCATTTACTCGTACACAGTGGGGAGGGTTTGAAGTTGCATGATGCAAAGGTGTCAATGTTGTGCACAAGTCAAATATCTAACCGGATTAGGAGTGGCGTGAGCCGGGCGCGATTCTGGCCAGCCCGCTATCAGAAGTCGTCAACAAGCCGTCAAGAAGTCCTAGGCGGCAGGCGATCAACTGCCGGCTGCATTGGGATATTTTGGCGTCGCACCTTTCTTGGCTGATGTGGGGAAACACTCACCCTGTTCGAGCTTGGGACAGTGTTGTTGATAGATGAGCTGCACCATACCACGGCAGGAATATGATCGACCCACCATACTGCTGCTGATGAGTATTAATGCTTGTTGGTACCGGCAATGAAACGGACATCGAACCATGGTGATTCACTTCCACATCTCGCGGAGATAAATTGCGCTCCTCGTCCGTCCGAAAGAGACACCTGCGAGGTTGGCTTTTCACCGCTTCTTGCTCCGAAGGGTCATCATCTTAGTCTTTGCGTTAGGCACGTAAAACAACTAGCTCAACATTGAGAAGGACGCCTAGTACGCAGTCCGTGAACTACTTTCGAGAAGCCTGCGAACCGCCACCATTGACTTAGCTTGTATGGCGTGCTGCTAGTGGCTGCCACGTGGAATTCCCTGGGCTGGGTTTAAGTGCGGTAAAGGCCCAATCAGATATTATCGCACACCTGCAGGGGCGTTATGCCCGAGCTCCTGCTAGCTGGGCTTGATGCGGATATTTTCGTGGAGTTTGTTCTTCGGGGCTCACAGACTAGGCACGTAGATCAAGACCAGTCCCAACATTTGCCTCGCTTGTACGTCTCGTCGTACTGGGTACCGAGCAGCTCGTCGAGTCGTCTACGATACTCAGGACTTGCCGAAGGTCTGTGCCAGCCCTTTATTGATCCCAGAGTTTTCAAAAGGCTGACGCCGAATGGAAGGTGAAGAACCCAGTATCTCGAGTGCGGTAGGGATCAAACCTTACTGTACTCTGTACAAATACTGCAATGCGTGCGGACTTCGCTGCCGGCACGTAAGGCTATAGAGTGCACCTTCTAAATCCAGAAATGTTGGTCTGGTCGAACGTTGTGTCGAATGTGGTACCTGGTGGGGGAGTCCATGGCTTTACGGGTTACTACTGTAAGCTGAAAATACTTAATTAGGACCTCTTCGTACTCCGTATGGAGTAGATAGAGCTTGGGAGGGTGGTACCAGTGGGAGGACAGCAAGCCACGGCAGGCTCATGGGCGGGGGGGTGGGGAAATGATTAAGATGGCGCCTGCGTACATACCCGGTAACTCATGTCTGTACTCGCACGGAGGATATCTAAACAACTCAGGTGCCCGCTATCACTCTAGTACTAGTACAGTACGAGTAGTCGGTCGCGGGCTTGCAGCATCAAGGCTTGCTCCGTTCATACTCGGTACTTTGGAGCTACTGTTTACGAGGGGAAGCGTGTTTGTGCTAGAGCAGTGCGAAGGGTTGAAAGTGGGAAGCTCGCTTTCTAGAAGGACGGCCAGAAAGGAAAGCGCAAGCTGTGTCACCTCGGATCAAAATGAGCAGGAAGGGACAGACCCGTGGCATGTGGGGCCCGACGTGTTAGAGGCTTACGAGCCGGCTGGATTCAGCAGGAGTACGGATACGGAGTGCTCCGTAAAAAGGGCGAGGTAGGCCGGTAGCATACAGCTTGGGTGGAAGAGAGCCTGCAGGTCTGGGTCGGTGGGCCCAGGACTTAACCCCAAATAGCGGGCGGTTGCACCCCTGGCGATCATTACGCGGATTGGTTCAGGCACAGGCAGCTGGGTCCCTAGGTGCCCGAGTCACACTTGCTGCCTTGCCTCTCTTTGCGTGGGCAAACCGAACCTTCTCGTACCTGCTCCGTCCTTCGAGTCCTCCGTAGGCTGTAGGGTTCTTGGTTATCGGCGACATCTTTGAACCTGCCTTGAAAACAATTCCCTGCCCGTTATCGCTGGTCCTATCATAAGGAGTACCTTGGGTAAGGGTGACTCTGGCCGACAAGTCTTCAGGCGCACTTGCAATTCATCATGATATCGCCCACAGAGCTCTATTTAGAGAATGTCCGTCCTTAAGAAATCCCCCCAGAGTGTCCAGAGAGAGGGAGAGGCATGCGCTGGCCAAGGCTTCGTGAGCATACGTATGGGACATGGTTATTGCAGGCCCACGTGAGCTAATTAGCTGCTGAGCTTTGACGAACTCAGGGTTGGACAAACATCGGCGCGATTGAATTCCTGTAATGCTTCGTAGTGTGAGCAGTGAGCACTCAGGAGTCAGGACTGCTGGTATTCACGTGCCCCAGCGGGATACCCAGTGGCCGAACGTAATCGCATTTAGTAGTCTTGCGGTTGCCTTTACAAGCGATCATCCTCGAGTGCTTACCTCGTCCGGGGCCACGGGGCCACGGAGCCACGGAGCCACGGAGCCTAATTTCTGGCTGCCCTAGTTTCTGCATCTGTGTGTCAAAGTCCTTCATGCCTCAGCGCTCCGGCAGCATCAAATGGTTTGGCCAGATTATCTAAGGTCATGGCCCTTGCTTGCCTGAGTCCTTGCCCCGTGGTGTCTGATCAATCACTAAAGCAGCCGTATCTGGCAACTGTGTACTTGGTTTGGGAAAACTTACCCAGGATGGATGGGAGGGATACGGTACAAGCACAAATCACACACTGGGGCCCAAGCGGTTGATCGCTCAGCACATCACATCTCTCCTACCCAATCAAAAGAAACGGCTGGCGAATTATCTGCACATCATCGGAACATGGATGCGCTTTTAGACAGGCAGATCCCAACTAGAAGACCAGGGTGGCATGGGTGGCGCCCCTTAGCCTGTATCAAGTTACGTTCCATGGCTAAGTCGAAAGGGCGATCTGTCTAACCGAGGACTAGGGAAACTCGGGAATGGCTCTATTGACATGGTCAGTGCGTCTAATCGCCACGTGGCATGGCGCACTCTCAGCTTCCTTTTGTCTGACAGAATGATTTGGCTAGTGGGAACACTTCCTGGCTGGCAGCCGTGGGGGCAGTAAAAGCGATCTGTAGAGCAAGCCCTCAAGTTGTTCGATGAGTACTCGTACAGAGCACATTATCGCTTTTATCTATTCGAGAGTCGGAGAGTCGGAGGGTTTGTGTGTCGGAATTTTGTTTCTTCTCATTGAAGAACTTTGGATCAAAGCTTGGAACTGACAGACACTAGATAATAACAACCTTCGTGGCGAGACCAGAACATGCTCGCCTTCCCGCCCGTCGCACCCACCTTGCTTGTCAAATATATGACACCAAGGCAGGCTTTTCAGGCCCTCAGGCGCTAAGTAGCAGAGCTAGGAGAATCTGCACACGTGTGTCTAGCCCCACTTTCGATGTGCGTGCACGGAGCACGGAGCACGGAGCACTGACGGTCTGCAAGGTCACAGAATCCGCACGGAGTACGAGGAGCGAGATATATATAAAAGTGAAGCTGTCTGTGCACTTGAGACGGAAATCTGGCCATCGACCCCACAAATCGCGTCCCAGGGCCGCGGTTCAGCTGTCTGGCTGCCCTCGGGTCATACATTCTTATTCCGGATCACCCACTCAGGCAAAATATGTTGCCCAAAAAAAATCATAACAGTAGCTCAGGCCTAGTCCCTGTAACTTCTGCACGGGGCTCAGAACAAACGAACCTCTTGCGTATGGATAGGATACTCGCCTAAACAGGAAATTCATGAACTAGGATAGGCATGGAAAAGAAAGACATGGCGGGGCGACAGCCGAAGTAGAGCCAGAAGCGAGGCGTGCAGCTAAGCTACTCGTAAGTGCTGACTACAGAATGAACTGTAAATACGACCCTCAATGCCCCCAAAGAATAGTAGGATTCTGGGACAATTGAAAGCTAAAGAGTTGGCACGTGGAAGATTTCTGGAGACTTCGAGCCCTAGTCCTGACTCCTGCTTGACTGTCAAGGCCAGTGGAATTAAGGATCTCAAACCGCGGTCTGCAAAGCGGGCTTACAGGTTTGCATTGTGCACCCTTTTCATCTCGCTTTTGGATCTTGCCATGGCAGGGATTCTGGTGATGCTGAAACACTGGAGTGAGCGCAAGGGAAGAGGAATGGCAGGGCCTGTGGCCAGCAACCGAGTGGCGGGCACCTAAATCGGAAGGTCAGCAGCCCCATGGGAAATGACGAGGATGACGCCGGGGATGCCCTAAGAGACCATGTGCGACACGATCGACAGGCATGGCTGGTCGGTACAGGGATCCCAATGACGATAATTGCAACCCTGGTCTAGAGGTTGGTAGTCCGTCCATTGACGAGAATGACGCCGCTGGCTTTGGCACGACCAAGGATAGCCATGCGAAATACGGAGGACTATGCGGATTGGAGAGGGGAGAGTCGGAGCGTCGTCTGGCTCGTGCCCAAGTTCTCCGTACCTGGAAACCTTAAGTACGGGCTCGGGATGCCGCCTTTGAGGGCGCACGCAGAAAAGATGCTCAACGGCGCCAGTGAAATGGTGCATGCAGCTTCTATAAACGGCTGTTTCTACATTGTGAGTAGCGAGTACGGAGTCCTCGTTCGTGGTACGGAGCACTGCGTAATAATAAAAATAATCAGAATGGCCCTGAAGCCCTAGTCGAGGCCGCTGCCCGAGAGCAAGCAGCCAGATCAGGGAGGTGAGAGCGACAAGGGCAACGTGGGAACAAGCGAGCGTGAAAGCCTGCACATAATCTCCGAGAGAGCCTCATTGGGTGGGCAGGTTGTGCTTTCCTTGTCAGTTGTCAATTCAATTAAGCGAGCTTTTCCCCTTCGCTGGTCAGAAGAAGAGGGAGTACGAGTAGTAGCGGAGGCAAAACGGAACCCTGAGCGGGCCATCACAACCTCGATGCTCAACCTCAGGGCCTCAACCCTCCCTTAACACCCGACTCCCAACTCCCAACTCTCGGCACTCCTGGCACAATTAATTAATCTGGGCCCCCAGATTCAGGCTAGTGCCGGTGGGCAAGAGTCCTCCAGAGGCCAGCGAACAGAAATAATTGATGTTCAGGCGACAGACCATAGATCATGTTCGTGCTCATGCGACCAAGTAAAGGCAGATGCATTGCTTGTTAAATCATACACATCAGTACCACGCCATATCACGATGCAGCAATGAAGAAGATAGCATGGGCTGGAGTGGGAGGAAATTCACCCGCTACCTGCAGCTGGTCTGCGGCACAAACGGTGTCAAGCTTAATCAGATCACCCACCGGTCTGCACTACACTTCGTGGTACAGTACGCTCGAGTGTTCCATGGCAAAGCAAAGCATGGCACAAGGCAGTTATGCATGAACGCCCTTCGCCGTTCGCTTAAGGGTCCTCATTTGGGATCGGGGTAGTTGAGACAACTTTCCTTGGCTTCTTGATATCAACCTCCCGACACAGGATGCTTTGCCAAACAAAAGCGAAAGTTTATTCTTCAACTAGACGGATTCGCACGGATCCGGCGACAAGCATGGTCAGTGCCAGGAAGGTGCTCCGTACCGAATTCCTCCTGCTGTACGGAGTACCTGGACAGTGCTGGGCAGGATGGTGCGGCATCGATCCCCACAAATATGCGCCGATGCATCGTCGTCATCTGATTGCAGAACAGAGCCCCATGGGTTGGAATTCACGCATGCCCTCATACTACAGCTATGATCTTGTAAACTTATTGCTGTCATTCCAGCATTGGAGACGGAGGGGCGGAGCGCCGTGATGGGCGGTAGGGGAACTACAGTAACTACCAAGGTACCTCGCTAGGGTATCCAAGGGACTGTCTATGTGCGTAGCAGTGCCGTGCACAGGCCTGGAACCCCTCGTACAGTAAGTTCGTAACTAGGCCTGCGCGTAGCTGACTACGGAGGACGTGCAGTGCTCGTACATGGTTTAGTCCGCCTTTTAGTCCTGGCAGTCCTGGCAGTCTCCACGATTGCCGCTTGATCGCTGATCGCGCTTCGGCAAGCCGGTTCATTCAAACTCTGGGACCAGGGACCAGCGACCAGGGGTGTCGACAGGGGCCCAGGGATGTCGACAAGGACATGGAGTCTACGGGGCGCACTATGGGGCCCGCTGGAACCTCACCCACGACCAACTAGTAGTAATACTTGACCGTCTGTTCGCTACTACTCGGTGCTCACCACGGCTACGAGTACAAGTCCCTGCGACCTCTACAAAGTAACCACTCCTAACAATCGGTGCAACCACCGGACCCGACCTCCTTCTGGCAAACTCCCTGTTCCTGCTCCTGTTTCTGAGGGTACCAACATCTCGCACGCGAAAACACTCTTCCCTCTCTGTGAAGCCTCGTTCCGGGCAGGTCCTTTTGACACGCAGATATCCTCCTCTGCAGGTCCATTGCCGTCCTTACCCCCCTCCTTTGCCGGGTACGTTCATCTCATTACGCCTCGCATGCCCTCCCTAGACACACTTTTCACTTCCTTGGTCGCGGAAGTGGCCCATTCCAAGGACGATACTGCCCCGCCCGTGTGGCCTTATCCCGGATCTGCCCTCACATCCTGAGTCCTGACGCTTGAGGCACGAGTCTCTCAAGCTACCAGCCGTTGTACATGTGGGCCACACCCTGTTCCCCGTCAGTTTCCGGTCATCCTTCTCCCTGATCTCCAAAATGCGTCCCTTTGGAATTAAATTCTCCATGTCAAGGAACGCGCTTGGTCAAGCGAGCCGCAAAAGTGGCATGCGGCAGCAGTCTTCGACACCAATTACCGCTTCGCTGTCACCGTCTGGTATCAGCCAACCACGGCCTCTGCCGACTCCCTCCAGCTCAACTGGCCGTGCGTCTGCTCGCTTGGAACTGGCTTGTCCACTAGTCACAACTTACAAGGTAGCTCGCTTTGGGTTGGGGTTGTCCTCCTCCTGCTCGTCCTGTCTGTCCTGTCCGTCTCGGTTATTACCAGACAAGAGTAGTCAACGCGGCCAACACCTGGACGTCAAGTATAACCCACACACTCGCCCCTACCTACGCTGGCCCTCTCGTCAAAGTCCTCCCTTTCGGTGTCACTCTTCCAACCTAATGCCACACTTGGACTGCAGAGCTCGCCATTACGTCGGACATCTTTGCTAACGCATGCTAGATGCCCCTAGTGTCGTCAAGCCCGTGCCCACCCATTCCACACTCTTTCCACAGAGCGCATACCGATACCTACCGACCACGCCTCCTAGACTCTAGTACAAGGTGCTACCAGTAGTACGAGTACAGTGGCTCTCGGGAGTCATCTTTCGTCTGACAGCATCTTTGGAGTTCGGGATTTGCTCTCAATCCGAGGCTTGCAGCAGATACCACGCTCCGCACAACACGGCTTCCATCCCATCCCATCCCATCCCACCCAGAGTGGATGAGCGTTCACCATCATCCAAAAGGCTAAAGATCGACCCTACCCAGTCAGCAACCACTTACTCGACCAATGTCCTAGTCCCTGCCCACTACCTTACAGCCAACGGACGGACGGCGCCTTTTAACTCATCTGCCACCCACTTTTGATCTCCAACCAAGCCAGTAAACCGTTCACCTGCCCATTGCCATTCAGGCACACTCGACACTTCTTGCTCGAGTTCGTACACTATGACTAGTTGAACTGCCGGCCAACCATCTTGGACTTGTCTTGACGATCCTTTCTCTTCAACTGCTCGGCTCGACAGTCGGTTGTCCTTCCCTGGAACATTCCAGCCCATGTGATTGTCCCTTTGAGGATCCCTTCCTCCAGGCCTACTGTCAGTCAACGGTCAGCGTGGGGAACTCTTAATTGAGCCTGTCCTGCTTTTACTGCAACTTCACAACTCTGTTTCCATTACTGGGCCTACATCTCATCCCCTCTGCAAACCACCATCATTCTACGTCGATTCGTCCTAGCCACCAGTCGGATACCCCTCCATCCCGCCAAATCCATCGTCATCAAATCTCCAACCTGGCCCAGGCGATTGCCTGTGCTTTTACGACTTTCTCTTGGTACCTCTTCACCCCCTGTGTGCTCGGGACAGAGGGATATCGAGAAGCCTTATATTTCGAAATCAGCACAGCGTTCTGTTTGGCTTGGAACTTGTAGAATTCTCTGAAGGGGATCGACTCATTATCATATACAAGAGAAACAACAGTGTAGTGGAATCCCTAGCTGTCATATTCATGCCATAGTCTGGTATTCTGAACATTACCTGGGCTATGGCACTGGCGCTTCTTCCTGTTCATCACGCGGATCGAACTCTATACAATCCTCTCCCCTTCCCGAACCTCCCATTTGCGACCGCTAGAATGGAGCAAGAAACCAAGTTCAGGCCTTCCTTGCCCTCAATTTCGAGTCTCATCTCGGCGGTCGCTGAACCCTCTGACAAGAGTATGTATAAATTGCTAACGCCCACTTTGCTGTGAGTCTTTGACTGACCTCTTGAAGGAAATGACCCTTCGCCTATATACGACTCTTCTCGGAGAGTGTCTGCTGGATCACATGGCAACAGGGTAAGCCCTGAGCGCCCTCGTGTATCAGAGAGTCCGCGAAATCTCCCTCCACCTACGCCGGAACTGCCTCCCGCCTCGAGTTTTGGCTTTCCACGCCCATCACCTAATGTATCGCCCACAGGCGTTTCCACCCGCAGCAATTATTATCTTTCCGTTTCAACGAGCACAAAACCAGAAACCTATACACAACGAATCTCCACATATCCACCAAATCCCAATGCTTCGACGACCTATTCACCTATATCTGAAACTCCCCACTGGTCTCCAGCCCCTCTGACCCGGCAAGGCACAGATTCTGTGCATGATCAGGTTAGTAGACAACCGCCGGGCTATATTGAGCCTCCCCACGAAGCTCCGGCGTACAACGGGCTCGTCCATCAAAGGCCACTCCCAGCGAATTTTCCGCCTCCTCTTCCAGGACCAGGACTACCATCTATAGAGACACAAATCGCACCAACATGGCAGCATCATCATTATTACCCGCCAGCCAATCCGCCAGCTTATCCACAAACCCAAGAACGGTACATTTGTCCGACTTGTAACAAGCCTTTTTCACGACCAAGTTCATTGAAGATCCATACATATTCACATACCGGAGAGAAGCCTTACAAATGCAAACATGAGGGTTGCGGGAAGTATTTCAGTGTTAGGAGTAACATGAAGAGGCACGAAAAGGGTTGTCATGGAGGAGCCACTTCAACTGCCCCAGGAACCAGTCCAAAAGCAGGCTAATGAGTTTCATGAAGGTTTTTTAATGCGAAAATATCTAGCCTTTGGACAGCGCATGTATTATAAAAGTCAGGAAGAGGGGCATCTCAACAACATCATTATTCCTACGGCCGTTATGCGGCCTTCTGGTCCACCTTGTCTATAATTCTACGTCGAAGCATCAGAGGCTCATATCCATTTGTCCACTTTATCCGCGTGTCTCGAGCAGCACCAGGTAAGCTGGGTCCGAATGTTTATGTTTGACAAAAGCACAACTTTTTGGCAAGAACCTGTCTTCCAGGCCAGCCGCAGGAATTGCGCATGTGCATCGTTTGCATAGCGGGCGCATCTCACCCAGGCAGGGAAGGAACAGCAAGGCTTTGCTGGCATGGATCATCCGACAGACTATCTATTTCTTGTCGGGAACGGCGTCACGACAGCACGAACGCAGAGTGGCAATTTTTTGGGCATCAGGTCTAGAAACGGCGGGACATGCTTGTACATTACTTTTTTCGATTTTCAGCAGAGCAGCAGGCAGACCAGACCAGAACAGGAAACCGGATAGATTGTACGTAACATTGAACAGAGGAAATGATGGCAAAATCGGTACCCAACAGAAATGCAGTAGACCCGTTTCGTATCGTCACACGTCTGGCCTCCGTCGGTCCACCTGGGAGTCGCACAGAGGCGTGCACTAGGTAGAACCGCCACCAGGGGTGATGACAGCTTCATGGGTCACTTCCTGCCACGTGGTGGAACACATTCCCAGCGCAATGGTACCGCTGGGGCTGTAGTTGGCAAGTGGACGAACCGACTTTCCATTTTTTCGGAAGCGCCGCCCGGGATTTCTCTTGATGGCAAGGGGCCTCATTCTCCCAGCGCCGCTTAGGCCCCAGCACTCGGTACTAGTACCAGGACTAGGAATCAACTGTCAGTCGGGGCGGCATGGCTTTTGATGGCTTCTTGCTCTTGTTGATGGATGGGGAACCGACACCGCTGGGCCTAGACCCATTTTTGACTCTTCGTCATTTCTTCTTTGGCGTTTGACTTTCTCTCGCAGCTGGCACTGCAGGCAGGTCACCCTCGTCCCGTCATCCGTGATGGCCCTACATGCACGCCATTTGACATCTCATTCCATCTCAGCCCATAGCGTCATTGTGTCACTCATGTCAGAACCACTGGTTGGAACCGAAAACCCGGCCTCCCCGAAGCACCACGTGGTAGCAAAGGCAGCTAGCGAGAATAGGCGAGGTTCCGGAAGCCACCAATTCTCCCGCAACGTTCCGTTCCCCACGAGTGGGAATTGAGCAGTGAAAACTGAGCACTGAGCACCGAGCACTCAGAACCGAGCACCCTGGCCATAGCACCCAAAATATGTTCTGACAGGGATGTGGCCTTTCCAACCCTTTCCAACAATGTCACACCACTTCGCAGACATTCCATTCAAATACCAACTTGTTTCCGTCCCCCTGCACAGCACCCTCCCTGCCTTGTGCCATTTCGTTGGAGGTCTCCACCGCGCACATCCTCAGCAGTCCCGAATCCTATCGTTTCTGGTAAAATGTGGCTTGCACTTGGCAGGTCGCGTCAGCCGCGCTCAATTGGAAACTCCCTTGCCCAAAAGACTACCGCTCCTTTTGCCTAGATGCTCCGACTGTTGCATAGCCGAATCCCTGTGTCCTCAAAAGGATCTGGCACATTCTCGCCCATGCATATCTGAAGGCCGCATACTAGGAGAACATCTCCTTTGCTTCCACGGTGTAGCTGAAGCGGGCAATTATGTGAATAATCCTTGCTTCTTCAACCCGAAAATCCGCTTATTCCAAAGGTCGGTGTTTGAAGGTCACACTATTCAGCCATAGCTATGCTTTGTCCCAGCTATGAGCCATGGTATCAGCCTGAGTTCAGTCGAGCTGATAGTGATATATCCTGGCTGTAACGACAGCAAGGACAGCAACTGATCTGGCATTGTTTTCGGCCAAAATACACGTCATTATCAGGTCGGTGGATGTCATGATGTTGAGCCGTGACAATGTACCGCCTTGGTTGTGTCGGCATTATTCTTGATCGTGAATGTGGCTACTCTTCAAGCCATTTAGACAGTGCACAACAGGTATGTCCTTCTTGATTGTTTATCCTCATTGCAAAGATGAGCGTCTGAACACCGTTACAATTTCTTTCAGAGGTGAGACCGCGTCCATGCTGTGTGCCTGAACAGCTACAAGCCCGTCGATCGTGCTGACTTCTGTATCAGGAGGTACAGCGGCGTCGATCTCGCTCTCCTCAGTTGAAAAAGATACACCGTGGCCTATGCCACAGATTTCTCCCCCGATCTGGCGTGCGTGCTTTTGCGTCAGATTGGGAGAAGACAACATTGAATTCACGGCCTGTTGTATCGCCCAGCCGACGGTCAGTTGTGAGAGCGCCGAAACGAGTTAGCACCGTTGTCGCTCACTGACAATATCATTTAGGGTCCGTCGACACTAAATCATACGTTCACCACAACATCATTCTATCAAAAATCAAAATGGCTGACCAGGCCAACCCCAACCGCATCCTCTCCGATGAGGAGACCAACCTCCTAGTGGCCTGCATCAGGGCAGCAACGTCTCCACAAGGGCTGGAGATAGATTACAGCCTGTTGGCGGCAGCCACGGGAAAGAAAGAAAGGGCCCTGTGAGTTTCACGTTGTTCTCTTCTTCGCTATTTATGTGCTAATTCTCCTCCTATCAGCCACCAGAGTGTGCTTCGCCTGAAAAGAAAGGCAGGCGTACAGATCTTTGGTGCACGGCAGAAGAAGAAGGGGAAGGGAAAGGCCAACGCCAACGCCGAAGAGAAAGAGGTGAGGGAGGAGGAGGATGGCGATGGCGGAGATAGTGATGGGCCGCCGACCAACACTAAAAAGCCTCGTCTCGATGACGATGACGACGAGGATGACAAGATGGCCAACGGAGGCAACATTGGAGCGGCAGCTCCAGCAGCAACGACAACGGTTGCTGCAACTCCATGATGCTGTCAGGAAAGCACAGGTGTATGTTCCTATTCTTGACTTACCTAGACAAATTCCCTCCACAACAAGCAACATGTCTTGTGTTGGCCTCACATGCAGTTCATTCATGTGAATTTTTCACTCCCACTGCCTACATGCCAGTACCCTAGACTCATGTCATAAATCTCCCTTACCCATCCTTGTCCACCTCCATCTTCCTTTCATCCACATGCCCTCCAACCGATCTCTAACAATCACACAGCAGACATTGTTGCTTCGGTCAATTCGATACCGTAAGTTCTCATGACTAATCCTTGTTGTTTTCTCATGGGTGTTCACTAACCAACGTTTTTGTTCATAGCCATACCTCTAGATTTGATTTTGTCGATCTCGATTCTTCGACCACAGTCCTTTTCACATACACCTCTCGAGGGTTTTCCCGATCTCACCACTCATCCACAACCATCCATCACTGACACCAAAACCTTGCCACACGCAATCTGAGTTTCTCTTCGACACACAATTCACCATGGCCCCCAAAGCTGAAGGCGGCGGTAAAGCCTTGGTCTCCAATGATGCCTTTCTCGCTGCTTGTATCAAACACGCTAAGGAGAAGGTCACTGTCAACTTCGAGGCTCTTTCCAAGGAAGTGGGAATGAGTATTGGTGGTGCCGCGTAAGTACCGCCTCATGATCTCAAAATCTGCTTAATTCCCACACACGAGCACAACCTACAGAACACAGTTCCACCACTCAAACTCCTGGTTAGGGAACTGCTAACAAGCAGTAGGAACAAGTTTCGTTCTATCATGAAGCAACTCGGAGATGAAGGAGCAAGCTGGGCTACTAAGGACACCAACGGTGATGCTTCCGCTGCAACTACTTCTACCAAGCCTAAAGCGAAAGCCGCCACCACCACCAAGCGTAAAGCTGTTGCGAAGAAAGATCCAGAAGCAGAGAAGACCAATGGTAATGCCCATGGCGAACAGAACGAACAGTCTGAGGACGAGAACATCGCGGAGTCCCCGAAGAAGAAGACCAAAGCTTCGACCACCAAGGCTAAGCCTAAGTCCAGTACTACTATCAAAGCCGAGGGTGTAGAGGAGAACGAGGGCGATGGCGATGACTCCGGCGAAGCTGACACCGAGAAACCAGCCACTGTGAAGAAGACTACTGCCAAGGGGAAAGGCGCGAAAGCAAAAGCTGCACCCGACAATGCTGGGAACGGTTCTATCTCTCTTGTTCCCAAGGGACGCAAGAAGGCAGCTCCCAAGGCAAAGGAAGAAATCGTCAAGGTTGAAAAAGAGGAAGAAGATGTGGAGATGAATGATGCTGCTACTGCTACTGCTGGTAAAGAGGATTAGATTCGTTCTGAACTCCTCAGCTGGTCTCTGTGTCTCATACATACACGTACTCAACTCGATCAATGTTCACTGCATCATGACCACCATATTGGATTTTCTTCTGCTTGGATGCAAGCGTACATGGATCACATTGCTGGAAATGGATTTGGAATGGAGCGACGAACTGTACTGCAAGCTGGAGACCTTGGTGGTCATGATGAAGAACAAGAAAGCCACAAAAGGGCAAATGATGAGCATGCTATTGAACACGAGGCACGTGCTCTTGAATTCGAATCACTCACGCATGCATTGAAAGATCGATCGATCGATCACCTGAAATCCAATGATTTTCACCTTTCGTTCTTCTTTTCTATTGTATACAGTAATAAAAGTGAGACTTGAACCATTTCAAGGTGTTCATATGCCGGTTCACTAATGACTCTCGCCGAATCTAACAGTCTCGTCGATCCTCAGTTCGGATGGCGGATGTGCAACATATGAGCGATCAATTCTTTTCCAGTCTCAGCTATAAATGCGTCGCACCACCCTCTCTCCCTTTCCATTTTGACTCTTTCTTCATCCGACTCCACTGGTCTGTACCAAGGGTCTTCTACATTGCTTCCCGACAATAGTCCGTTGGTTCGAACAATCCCTCCTCCCTTGTCCGCCTTTCTAATATCTTCTCCCCACAACCACCCAACAATCACCCAATACCACCACACCATCATCTGAACCCAGCCCAACATGGCGCCCAAAACTCTGGACGAAGACTTCCGATTCATCATGACCTGCATCAAGCACTCACCACCGGCCGCAAAACCTAACTTCGACGAGGTCGCCAAAGAGCTTGGTGCGAAAAGCGGCAATGCCTGGTAAGTACCATCCCCATCATTGTCTCCTCCTACCTCATACATATTCCAATGCTGATATACTCTCCTCTATGTCCTAGCTATCATCGTCATTGGGCCATCATGAAGCGATGGGGTTTAGCCGGAGGAGGTGTTGGTCGAGCACGTAAAGCTGCAGGTGGAGCAGGCGCCACTACTCTTCCTGCTGCTACTGCTGGTGCTGGCAAGCGCAAGCCGAGACCTACCAAAACTATGCTCGACAGTACCGCCAGACATGATAGCAGCTCAGAAACGGGTGGTATTGGAAGTGATGATGCAAACCCATCCCCACCAGCCAAGAGGGTTAGGGTGGCTAGGCCAAAGAAAACACCAGCAACTACTATCAAGGCTGAGGACGAGAGTGATGACGACGATCGAGTTCGGATTGAAAAGTGTGAGGTTGAGACTACGACCATCAAGACTGAGGAAGGTACTCGGGTCATGGCGATGGGTACCCAGGTGAAACAGGAGAGTCATGATGGAGAGTGATGACAATGTCCAGCACCAATAATTGAGCCTAGTGTTTTTACTCGATACACTACGGTTCGAAAGGCGAAAGTAAGGAATTGATGGCCCATGGGAGGATGACTGGTAGAGTGAGCACGGGATGTTTCTGGTTGGATTGACCGGATCAAGATGCTCATGGACAGACTGATAGCCTTGATTCAGAATCAAAGTCATGGATAGCCACTTTGATATGGCTACAGACCAAACTGCTCTGTTTAGGAGGGAGTGGCACCAGCTGATGAGGATCGATTCTCAAACATTACATATGTCTCCTGTCATGGTATGCTCAAATTTCATTTTCAAAATTTCGATGTGTTTGTAATGTTCTGCTGCACGTGAGAACAGCTACAGTACCGTATCCTGGTCTCTATCGCGAGAGGGTCGACTCTAAAAGTGAAATTAGTACTTAATAATAACTCAATAGTAGATTAACGATATTCACTAAGATGAATATATATTATTCTCATTAAATTCACTACACATTCCTACAGCTAAAGCTACATAAAAGAGCTCACTGGACCTGCTCAACCTCTTCCCTCCACCTATCAAACAATTCCTCCCCCGAGTTGGTCCCTTTCCCTCTGATCGTCTCTAATTCTGCTTCGTTACTTACACGATACTGCTCCAACTCGATTACACACCTTATATTCTCTTCGCCTTGACATCTCAGTCTTGTTGATACTGACTGACGACAAGATCTTCACCAACTTACTCTCACCATGCCTCCCAAAACCGCGAACCTCGAGGAGGGTGACCCAACCTTCAAGTTCGTCTTCAGCGTCCTGAAACACTGCGAGCAAGTAAAGCCTGCCTGGGAAAATGTTGCGAAAGAGAATGGTTTCGGATACGCCAGGAATGCGTAAGTCGATCTCAAGTCATCAAACCCTGCTACCCATTTCACCCGGGGAACATGGAAAACTTACATAAATCCACCTCTGTAGACAAGCCAAATTCAAAGGCATTGTTGAAAAGCATGGTTTCAAGCTCGAAGGAGGTCGAATCATGGGCCCCGGCGAGGACGACGTCGCTACTCCAGCCGGCAAGATTGCTGGCAGTACTAGTGTCAAGACTCCCAAGACCCCGAAGACTCCCAAATCGGCTGCAACTGCAGGCAAACGGAAAGCTTCGGAGATGACTGGAGATGTTGCGGCTGAAACCCCGACCAAGTCAGCTGCGAAGAAAAAGAAAGCTGCCCCGGAAAGAGAAGTAAAGGTTGAAGATGGGGGGGATGATGACGCCACCAATGGAGCTGCCAGGGTCACTGCCTCTTATCCGAAGAAGAAGTCTGTTGCTGCCACCACGTATGGACTTGCCATCAAGAAGGATCAAGGAGCTGGAGACCTCTCGGGTCTTGGTCTCGACGTCAAGACCGAAGAACAAGATGAGGATTAGGAACAAAGTGGCTGTGGCCATTCTGAGCGTATTGCGTAGACCTACTCTGCCAAATATTCCGAAGTAGTATTGAAGGCGGGGCGGATAGATGGCCAGACTCCAGGGCGTCGTCGGATATCATTCAAACACAGAGCGTGCCTGGGAAACGATGTGGATCATCTTGTTGAAGCTGTGTGACCAAGAAGCTCGGGCGGATTGGAATGCTGGGGAAATCATATGATGGTCGAGCTGAGGAAAGTTATTGAAGCTACTTTAGGAGCTGAAGGAACTGTTTTCATTACCTGCTATAGTAGGCAGGCCACTGCACTGCAGTGTAGTCAGAATCGAATCAAGAGGCACATTCTACCATCTCTTCTTGGCCTCCTAGCACTTATACAGGTCTGACATCATTCTGCACATTGCCTTCGTTCGCAACACAACTCCGCATACAGGGCGCTCTGGAGGCCGCCTATTCTTAAGCGAGAGTGGGACGTCGCCGAGGAGCCCTGCCAACTTTTGACACCCTCGCGAGGAGCATTTACTGCTTCGAAAGTCCTGCTGTTAGGATGCAGCCTCGACAACATTATCCCCCAGCTGCGCCACCTCGGCTCAGAAGGATGATGTTGATTTTAGGAGGATCAGGCTGAGAAGCGAAAGGAGGCCGGAGGGCGCCGGCTTGGCAGGGGACGACGAGGTACAAGATAAGATAAGATCTGGTATTTGAATTTCGAATTTCTCCAACTCCCCTCCGCACTGCCTCGTGCGCTGCGCCAACAAAAAGTTTGCATTCTGTCGTGAGCGAGGTATCTCTGAGTTTTCGCAAGCCTCAACTTGATAGCAAGATGCCCGGATACCGCCCAAGGAGAGGTGGCGCGAGAGGCGGCGCTGCGATGACGCAAAGGGCGAGGAGAGGGAAAGCACCTATGCATGCTCGTAATGCCTTCCAGACATCCAGGTTGAAGGAGCAAGAGTGAGTTACACCTCTTTCGCTAGCTATCGTGATCTAGCTATTCTAACACAACTAGAGACGGTTCGATACATGGCGATTCGGGCTCTGAGGAAGAAGAAGAAGAAGAAGAAGAAGAAGAAGAAGGACTGAGCGATAAAGAAGACTTAGACAACGTAAACCAACAAAGCGACCGGTCCAACAGCGAGGATGAGGATGGGGAGGACAAGCCCGCCCCGAACTCATACCTGACTCTCTTACAGTCTTTGAACTCTCGCACAAATGGTGGAGAACCGGCAAGCAAGAAAAGAAAAATCGAGTCTGCTTTACATTCGAGGAAATCGGCTATGAAGAGTAGGACTCCGACAGATGGCTCACACGTTGAAGTTGAGGATCCCACCGAGGTGCTGGAACCTGCCGAAGAGGGAAAGCAATATCGTGAGGAAAATAAGAAATTGGAAGACGGTATCGAGGATGACGTGGACTCCGAGGATGAAGAACACATCTTGATTGATCCCTTTGAGCAGCATTATGCCAGCGTGACGGAACAGGCGACCAAAGACGCTGCCAATCAGGTCGATGGAAAGGACTATCAAGTTCAATCCTCCACATCTGAGTCCGAGATACGCACCACACGATTCATTCGAAAGGGAACAACCTCGAAAATCCGTGTTGTTAAATCAGCAAAAGACCTGTTATTAAAGCATAGGCTCAGAGAAACAGGCACCAACGCAGTTTCAACATTGTCGAGCGACCAGAAAGCTGTGGCGGCAGACATTTTCAACTATAATGACGTTGTCTATGGTTGTCGAAACCTTGAAAACGCCACTCAACTGCGAGATATGTCATGCCTACATGCTCTGAATCACGTTTTCAAGACCAGAGACCGCATTCTCAAGAACAACACAAAACTCAGCACCAATAGTGGATCTGAGGCACTGGATCTTCGAGACCAGGGATTCACCAGACCGAAAGTCCTCATCATTGTTCCCACCAAACAGGCCTGTATCCGATTCGTGGATAGTATAGTGAAACTCAGCGAGCCTGATCAACAAGAGAATAAGGCTCGGTTTCTCGAAACATTTTCGCATGAAGACAATGATGAGTGGCTCGACAAACCCGAAGATTTTCGCCAACTGTTCGGTGGGAACCATGAAGAGGACTTTCGCATCGGTCTTAAATTTACCAGGAAGACCATCAAGTACTTTTCTGGCTTCTACAACTCCGACATCATCATTGGGTCGCCTCTGGGTTTGATGCGGACCATCAGTACCGGAGGAGGTGGAAAAGATAAAAAGAAAACGCATGATGCAGACTTTCTCTCCTCGATTGAAGTGCTCATCGTCGACCATGCAAATGCGCTCCAGATGCAGAACTGGCAACATGTCGACTACGTCTTCCTCCAGCTCAACCTTCTGCCCAAGGACTCCCATGGCTGCGACTTCTCCCGTGTCCGTCACTGGTATCTCGACGGACAGGCGAAATACCTGCGCCAAACGGTCATCATCTCCGACTACATGACCCCCGAGATCAACGCCCTGGCCTCGGCGCATCTGTACAACATCTCTGGGCGCGTCAAGTACCAGCCCACCTACCCCGGCACCATGCTCTCCGTCTCTTCCTTCCTGCCAACAGCAATTCCACAGACATTCCTCCGCTTCCCATCCGCCACCGCCCTCCAAGACTCCGACGCCCGGTTCAAGACCTTCACCACCACGATCTTGCCCCCAATCCTGCGCGATCCTAAACACCAGAAAGGCATTCTCCTTTTCGTCCCCACCTACGTCGACTTCGTCCGCCTAAGAAACTACCTCTCCACGTCCGCCGATGCGACTAACCTCTCCTTCGGCTCTGTCTCGGAATACACGCCGCGGAAAGACGTCCTACGCGCGCGTTCGTATTTCCTCAACGGGAGACATAGTTTGCTGCTGTATACTGAACGCGCGCACCATCATTTCCGATACCGGCTGAAGGGCGTCAGGCGCGTTGTTTTCTACGGCGTGCCGGAGAATCCCATCTTTTGGGGTGAGCTCGTTGGGCTGTTGGGCTTGGTGTCGGTGGGCATTTGGAAGTCGAAGTCGAAGCCGGACGGTGCGGATGCCGCAGTTGTGAAGAAAGGTGCCGTGCGTGCGCTGTTTTCGAAGTGGGATGCAATGAAGTTGGAGAGAGTGGTTGGCACGGAGAGGGTGGCTAGGCTGCTCAATGATCGCGGTGGCGATGTTTTTGATTTCGTCTGATCCAATCCAAATTGTCTGCTGCAAACGGACGATATGGGATGCTTGCTTGGGGCTCGGAATTTTCGTTATGTATAGGTAGGCTTTGCAGAGAACAGAGTCGTGAAGTTTGATGTACATCAATTTCATATACTTACTCGGATTCCAATCTCGAATAGAATCTAGAGATTTGTATGTTTCTGATTTCATCTAGTCTAACTGATCTAAGCCCTGGTCCCACGCAGTATCCTTCAAAGCGTATTGAACAGCAGCTCGAACATCGTCGACGATCGCTCGCGGCTCCCATGTGGGCGTGTGGCCGGGCCGGTCTCTGAACACCCCCGTGCGCGTCAACAGACTGACCCACTCCACGCCATGCGGGGAGTCATAGTTGTTTGCGCCGCGGATATCGCTTTCCGGGTTGTCGCCGACCATGTAGACTCGCCTCAGGGGCGTGGCGGAACCGAACAGCGAGTCGCGATGCCGCATGAGCAAATTCTCGGCGAATGAGTATGTCTCACGGTACGGCTTGCCGATCACGGTTTTGTACAGCTCTGGCGTCCCGTGGGAATGTGCGGTGACGGCGCGCCAGAGGCCCTCGAGTGACTCGCGGAAGCCGCCCTGCCCGAGGCGTGACAAGTGGTAGTGGGCTGCCCAGAGGAGGTCGGGATTCGAGAAGTACAGCGGCGGCTGGTTGTCCTGCAGGTAGCCGCAGTTGGGCAGGGAGCGGTCACCGTTCTTGGCCGAGTATGTCCCCATGACGCCCTCCCTGGACAGCAGGACATCGAGGATCACCTGCAGATCTAGGCCCCAGTCTCTGGGGTCGTTGTATACGAACACCGCGTCGATCTTGAGGCTTTCTTCTGGAGAGGCGGAGTCGATGGGTTTTGGCAGCGCGCGGGCGAATGACTTATAGTAGTCCTGTAGGAACGGCTTGCTGAACGGCCAGATCTCAGGGTACGCGGCGTAGATGTCTCCCGGGGTCACGACGTTGGTGAAGCCGTACATCTCGGCGACGTCTCGACATCGTCCGCCCTCGCCGCCCACGACCATGATGCACTTATCCCTCAAGCTGTTCTCGCCGTGAACCAGCTCCGCAAAGGGGGTGTGGGATTGCACAAACATAGACGTGTCGAGCTTGACGTCGAGTTTACACGACAGGTCTTTGACTCGCTCGGATTCATGGTTCCCCCCGCCATTCGTCAGGAGGATGAAGGGGATCGAGTTTCGCTGTAGGAACTGGAGGGTGCGTGAGGCGTGAGGAATGGCATTGGCACTTCGCACTAAGACGCCGTCTATACTGCAAAAGGCTGTTAGGTCGAGTATTTCATGAGGAGTCACTGTTCTGGTTCCTGTTTTCTTACTCAAACGCGAAAGCAAAATCCGTGGCCGGGACTTGTGGCTTGGAGTCATTGCGGAACCCTCTGCTTTGACGATTCTGTAGTCGACACGGAGATTGTCGATGTGATAGAGGGCATCTCAGGTTTTCTAGTGGTCTCGACCTGAGATCAAAGCTGCGCACCCTCATCCTCACCACCAGCCTCTTTGGCTGGGGGGGTTGATGTCAATATTGAGCTGGTAATAGCCTGGGGTGGCAGGATGGGATCGCTTATCGGCTTATCTGATTCGGGGGAGCATATGTGACTCTGACTTGAGTGGTTGCGTAACATACTTTGTGATTCACCGTGTTCCCAACACTCCCTACGAGGTTTCAGTATCGAAACTCCTACACGCCTGCCGTATCAGTCAATGCCATGGAGGTTCTTTAAACCAATCTACTCATTTCACTTGATTGATACTCAAAATGCAGGTCTAGAAGTTAATTCTGTGCCGCTAACCTGTGCTCTAATGTCAGCGGTTACAAAGTGAGCAAGATGGACGATGCGCCAACCTAAATACTCCAATGCGTTCGTTGGGATCAGCACTCGAATTCTGCCAAGTTCTTGGATTTGAGCACCAGATGGAGGCGCTCGATACTTTTCCTGCAGACTTTACGACCCGTACAGCTGGAAGACAGTGCCGGCACCTTGGTCATCTCCCGGTGCAGTGGTAAAGGTCGTTGCGCTGGCACGTGGATAAGTAGACCTCTCACTTCAGCCAAGCTGGCTTGACAATCTCAGCACCGGCCATGCTCGCCCGCCATGGAGAACAGGCAGTGATGTCCGTGCTTCATGCTTTCCATGAGTCCTACGGAGCTGTCCCAACAATCTCGTTCACGAACACAGAACTCCGGTGCTTCTGTGGCCCCAATAGTAGTTGATCATATAATCAGAAAAACTCGTGGTCAGCATTGGTAACGGTACCTCGGGATGGCAAGCACGTGTTATTCTAGGCAGACGAATTGATTTGCGCAGATGCTCTTTCGTCCATATCATACTTTGGATGCTGCCGTCCTTTGCGTCCCCCGTCATGGTCGCTATTGCTGGAGCAATGCAAGCAACCTTGCTCAGATCAGGCTGAGCGTGCAAGGCGCCTACAAAGGGGTGTCACAGGTAGAGTCAGGCCAGACCCAAGCCCCCTCGGCTTTCTTACGACGAAGACCCAGCGATGATGGTAGGCAGGCAGTCCAGCTGGCTGCGGCATGCTCAAGGAGAAACGATATGTGGGATGAACGAGTGGAAATTCTCGAGCATGGATTACTGTAGGTGACAGGTGACAGGGATTTCGATAGCGTCGTTCCGACCAGTGGCTGCAACAGTACACTTCAGCATTTTACAATCAGGGGCAACCATCCCAACGATGCTATTTTTGATTCCCAGATGAACCAGTCTGCTGGGAATTCGCATTGGGGCCAATCATGTGTTCTAATGGATACGGGGATGCGAGAAAAGCCATGTTTTTTTATAGGTGGGGGTACGGACTGGATGCTTTCGACGGCACCCGCCTATGAGGGTCAGGTACGACAAGAGAGGCGGTTCGGATTGAGCTCGCTCTGGTTAAAAGACACCAGCCAGGCTGTGTGAGAGATGGAACGTACACGTGTAACACAACGTTTGACTTTCAAAATCCATTTCGAAGTATCGTCGCACGACGGGGTCTGACCCAAAGGAGCACGGTTGGGTGGTGGCGTACATGGATGAGAGAATAAACCCTGGTACTTTTGACAAGGGTTGGCGACTTGGCTCTCTTAGCCCTGGTAACCCTGGTAGCCCTGGTAGCTGGTAGCCGAAACGGCAGAGGCGTTGATTCTTGCAGACTTGCAGTAGCCGTGCTCTGTATGTACAGTTCAAAAAGGGTGGATTGGCCGATGGCCACCAACGGTGGAACTAGGAACACGAAGCCGAGCGAAAAAAAAGTTAGACTTGGTTGGCGATCAGCGCCGCCTTGGCACCACCACGTTTGTTCCAACCTCCAAACTCTCATGCGAAACATCATCCCATCCTCCAGGACCATCGGCCTAAACGCACTGTGATTGCTTGCCGAGTCGATCAAGCGGCCTCTGCCTTGCCTCCCTGCCCATAACTTGGCATCCCTCTTGTTCCTGGAAACTCCTTCAACCCCCTTCTTCCGGACAGAGGGTAATATCGCCTGGCATTCGGACGTGTGTTCCTTAGACATGCCATTTACAACCTGTCGATTGTGTTGATTCTGGAGGGATGACTCGTCATTGTTTACCCAAAACTGAAACCTCGGAATCTCCTAATCAATCCCTGCTCCACAACAAGTGGCTTAAGAGGTTCGTCCATCCACATCATGATGGACAAGCAATTGCTTAGAGATATCAACCCTGTCGTTCGGCAAATCTTGTCCTGGCCCAAGGCCCAGTTTAAACCGGCTTTGAGAAAGCAGTGTTTTGTTTGATCGCTATGACGAAGCTACTGACCGGGTACAGGCATTATCTTGTAAGACACCCCCTTGTTATGCATGTTTAAGGTTTTCCTATGCTGCCAAGTCAATGGACTCGGCGAGTGTACTTCCAGTCCTTCCAGTACTACTGACACGGTCAAATGCGACACGGGAATTAATTGTACAGCTTGACGGTAATCGAAACATGTGCAATGCAGCCATTCATTGCCATCCTGCCCATTTTTGTTTGTGTCAGGCAAACGGGCGTCGAGTTGCAGCATATCCCTCTTCACACACCCTGGCAATATGACCCTCGCAGTCCTTGTGGACCAACATTTACCGTTCACGCAACTCAAGGGAGGCGCCTGGCTGTTCCCACTGACGCCAGCCTTGCCGCCCCTGCAATCCAACTTCGGCCGGCTAACGTCCAGGCAAATCTTGTTGAACCCGTATGCGATGCAAAAATGGTCGGGCATCGCAGCAGAAACACCGCGGCTGACTCCGGCTTTTCGTTGTACTCTGCTTGGTTTCTCTGGCGCCGAAGGCAAGTTTTAGCATTCTTGTAGCTAAATGCCCTCTCTTTCCGCTAGTGGGGACTGTTGGTGACCCTATCCCATGTACCAGATCCCGGTGTAAATCCACCTCACACCAGTTGGCCGCATATTCACTCCTTCTCACCTCTGAGGCCCAGAAAACGGTGGGCCGGTCAATACACATCCTGGAAACCTCAGCCTTTGATGGATACGGGAGTACCGGTCCTACTTTGGACTCTTGCATAACAGTCCATGGGCCAAAGAGGGCGCAGTATGCGACGCAGATGCTTATCATGTCTCATACCTCTCTCCACTTATGGGCAGCTATGATGGGTGATACGCCTGCGCAGATATGGAAGCCAAAAGATTATGGCTGATTCCGTAGGTTCTTTCCCACCAAAACCTTGATCAGAAATCTGATCCTGCATCAACCCATGCTGGATAGTCCAGGCTCCAAAGAGCGAGGCATCTGCTTTGAGGTCAAGAACAGGGATCTCGACCTCCCGACCAGTCCGAATACTTGCTATCTCTTCTTGCTCTCTTTTTCCATCTCGAGACTGTTTTCTGTCCCTCTATACTCTGCAAATACTAGCACCTTGGATGGTTGCGTACACTCGCTCTTACTCTCTAAACTTGCACAATCGTTCCCGTTCCCGTTGTCCTTCACTCGTTCGCCCTATACAATATGTCCGCTCTTTTGCTTTTTCTTTACGCCCTCTTTTTCACGATCTCAAGCGCATTCCGTTATGACGAAGCGTATGTGCAATACAACTTGAATGAGAACAAAACCGCAACCGATCCACTCGATTACTGGGGAGAATGGACGGGCCACACATATACTCCTTCACCAGAGAACTGGAGATTCCCCTGGTACACGTTATTTCTCGACAGATTCGTGAATGGGGATCCTACCAATGATAACATTAATGGTACAACCTTTGAACATGACACCAATTCGAATCAGATGCGTCATGGTGGTGATCTCCAAGGTTTGGTCGACACATTGGATTATTTGCAAGGTATGGGCATAAAGGTAACACCTTCGAACCAACCTGTTCGTACTATACTAAGGTTTATAGGGCCTGTACATCGCTGGTTCCCCGTTCATCAATAGTCCTTGGGGATATGACCAGTATTCACCGCTAGACCTTTCTATCCTCGACCAACACTTTGGCAACATTCAGATGTGGAGAACAGCCATCCAAGAAATACATGCGAGAAACATGTATGTTGTTCTGGACAATACATTTGCGACCCTTGGAGATTTGATTGGTTTCGACGGCTACCTAAACGCAACCACCCCTTTCCGCCTCGATGAACATGAAGTGCAGTGGAAATCCGGTCGTCAATATTACGATTTCAGCATTGGAAACGAATACAATAAGACTTGTGAATACCCCAAATTTTGGCTCGAGACAGGATATCCCGTCGACGAAGAAGTAACCAAGGAGATGGTCGGTTGCTATGACAGTGACTTTGATCAGTACGGCGACACCGAAGCCTTCGGTGTCTTCCCGGATTGGCGCCGTCAACTTTCGAAGTTCGCTTCCGTCCAGGATCGTCTACGTGAATGGCATGAGCCTGTCCGTCGCAAGTTAGAAAACTTTTATTGCATGTTAATTGCCCAGCTCGACATTGATGGTTACCGATATGACAAGGCGACGCAGAGCACCGTCGATGCTATGGGATTCATGAATGATGCAATGCGTCAATGTGCTCGACGTCACGGCAAAGAGAACTTCTTTCTGCCCGGAGAAATTACAGGTGGGAACGTCTTTGGCAGTCTGTTTATCGGCAGAGGCCGGCAACCAGACATGCTTCCGGACAATTTGACCGCCGCCGTCACCATGACCAACAATTCTGACGACAAATACTTTCTTCGAGCCCCAGAACATGGAGGTCTTGATGCTGGTGCATTCCATTATACCGTTTATCGAACGCTCACCCGATTTCTCGGTATGGATGGAAATCTTGAAGCAGGTTATGATGCACCTCCCAACTGGGTGGATATGTGGAATGATTTCTTGCTAACCAATGATTTCGTCAACCCCAACACCGGCAAATTCGATCCTCGACATATGTTCGGAGTAACAAATCAGGATGTGTTCAGATGGCCTGCCATTACCAACGGTGTCCGGCGACAGCTGCTGGGACATTTCGTGACCACTATCGAACTTCCCGGCGCGCCACTCCTTTTGTGGGGCGAGGAACAGGCTTTCTACGTCCTCGATAACACTGCATCCAACTACATCTTTGGTCGGCAAGCGATGTCTTCGGCAACAGCTTGGCAGACGCATGGATGTTACAGTCTTAGCTCTACACAGTATTACAGAATGCCCTTGGATGCTGCCCTTAATGGATGCCACGATGATTCTGTGTCTTTTGATCACAGAGACCCATCGCACCCCGTTCGCAACATCATCCATCACATGAACCAGCTCCGCGATCAATTCCCAGTGCTTCAAGATGGTTTCTTTTTGCAGCAGTTGTCGAATCAGACTCAGCAAGTCCAATATCCCGGTTCCAATAAAGTGACCACGGAAACTGGAATGTGGTCAGTCCTTCGATCAATCTTCCCGGAGCACCAAGATCTGAGCGGAGCAGGGGCCGGGAATCTTCCCGTATGGCTGTTGTACTCGAATACCAATGATTCGAGAACTTGGGAATTTGACTGCAGCAACAATGATACAGCTCTGAACACGACAAGTTTGATTGCTCCCTACGATGCTGGTACTACTGTGAAGAATCTTTTCCATCCTTACGATGAGCACACTTTGATCGAGAGTGTTCATTCGCTGGGCATTAACGGGAGTGATCAGCCAAATGGCTGCCTAGCAAAATTGAGCATGGAAGCATACGACTATCGTGCATATGTACCCATCAGCCAATGGGTTGGCCCCAAACCTATGATCACCAAATTTAGCCCTGGCCATGACGCCCGTATACATTCCACCGTTGCTCCCAATGGCACCGAATCTGTCGCAGTCGAATTACAGTTCTCTGTGGAGATGAATTGCGAAAGTGTCACCAACAGCATCATGCTCAATTCAACCACTGAAACTGGACTCAGTCCTACAATTGACGCTGCCAGCGTCAATTGCACCGTTATGAGTACTCCTGAAACTCTGGATTACGTGGGTGCCATTTCCTCGACATGGTCGTGGTCTGCGCGATTGAATGGAGTTGCCAATGGAATCCATGCAATTACTGTACGAAATGCCACTACTGAGGGAGGTGAGCAGTATACCAATGCCGTGGACAAGTTCCTCTTCAGGATTGGTCAACTTGACAACCCCATAGTCTTCACCAGAAGCGCGAATTACTCGTCCACTCTTTTCAGCAAGAATGATAACGGCTCGTTGATCCTCTCCCACTCTGCTGCTGGTGCCGACCAGTGGCGATATTCGACCAATTGGGGTTCTTCATTCTCGAATTGGCTACCATATGAAGGTGGTGAGACTCAGATCGAAGAACAACCTTGGTCTGGGACAAATCTGCAGAATTGGAAAGGTACCCACGTACGAGTCGAGTATTTCAGTCGTTTTGCTGGTAGTAGCGACCACATTCAACAGGCCGACCTGGACTCTCATACTCCTAGGCGATTCCCTCACTTGTTCCTTAATGGGCCTTACAATCAATATGGTTTTGACGCGGGCCTTGACAACGAAATGAAGCTGACGGACAACTCAACATGGGAGCATCATTTCATGACAGAATGGAGTCTCTCGGGTACTCTAGCACAAGTCAATGTATGGGGTATCAATCCCGATGGTCAACCCGATCAGACCTACGTCCTGGGCGACGCAGATGGAGATTCAGTTCTTGATAGACTGCCACCATCTTCACTCTCATCAGTCGTTCTCAACATCACCCAACCACCACCAAAGCCTCATTTGGGCTGGCGTATTGTTATCAATGATGGTACTATGCGGTTCGCTCTCCAACCTTCTGGAAACATGTACAACCAGATGATTCTGTATATCCTCTTATGGATCGTACCAGTTTTCATGGCCGCAGTGGCTGTCTGGGCCTTCATGCAGTCATTCTACAGTGTCAAGTTTAACGAAATTGGTATTTCAGAGAAGGCCAGCTTGATCCCGGCCATATTCAAAAAGCATTTCAAGAAACTCGCCGATGAAGAAACCGGTCCTGGTATCGTGGGCAAATTCACCCGCAAAGAGAAGTTTCTACAGCCGACAGACACCGTGATCAACCAAGAAAGACGGCGGACAGTGATCATCGCTACAATGGAGTATGATATAGAAGACTGGCAAATCAAGATCAAAATTGGCGGTCTGGGTGTCATGGCTCAGTTGATGGGGAAGAATCTCGGACACCAAGATCTCATTTGGGTTGTACCTTGCGTTGGTGGTGTTGATTATCCTGAAGATCAAACAGCGGAACCAATGACCGTGACGATCCTGGGAAAGCCATACGAGGTGCAAGTCCAATACCACGTCCTGCGAAACATCACTTACGTCTTGCTGGATGCCCCTGTGTTCCGACAGCAAACCAAAAGCGAGCCATATCCACCCAGAATGGACGATCTCTCGTCTGCAATCTACTACTCTGCCTGGAATCAGTGCATATCTCAGGCCATCAACAGGTTCCCGGTGGATCTCTACCACATCAACGATTACCATGGCTCAGTTGCACCATTATATCTTCTTCCAAGGACAATTCCTGCATGTCTGTCGCTTCACAATGCTGAATTCCAAGGTCTATGGCCCATGAGAACCAAGCGTGAACGAGAAGAAGTGTGCTCTGTTTTCAATCTTTCTTCCGAGCTCGTACAACGCTACGTTCAGTTCGGCGAAGTGTTCAATCTTTTGCATGCTGGTGCTTCATACCTCAGGGTTCATCAACAAGGGTTTGGAGCAGTTGGCGTCTCAAAGAAATATGGCAAGCGATCTTATGCTCGATACCCGATCTTTTGGGGCCTCAAGAAGGTTGGCAAGTTGCCCAACCCAGACCCTTCTGACACAGGTGAATGGGATAAGAAGCTTCCAAAGCAAGAGGATATTCGGATCGATCCTGTGTTCGAAGCGGCACGCCCTGAACTGAAGAGACAGGCACAAGAATGGGCTGGACTTGAGCAAAATCCCCGAGCAGAACTCTTTGTCTTTGTCGGCCGCTGGTCGATGCAAAAGGGTATTGATTTGATTGCGGACGTCTTCCCATCGGTCCTCGAAGCCAATCCAAATGTGCAACTGATTACCATAGGACCAGTCATCGATCTATATGGCAAGTTCGCAGCCATGAAGTTGGACAAGATGATGAAGCTATATCCAGGAAGAGTATTCTCCAAACCCGTATTCACAGCCCTGCCACCCTTCATCTTCTCTGGTGCAGAATTTGCCCTGATACCCTCCAGAGACGAACCATTTGGTCTTGTCGCTGTCGAATTTGGTCGCAAAGGAGCTCTTGGAGTCGGTGCCAGGGTTGGTGGTTTGGGTCAAATGCCTGGCTGGTGGTACACTGTTGAGAGTGTCTCCACCGTGCACCTCATCCACCAATTCAAGCAGGCCATTGAAGAGGCTCTGAGTTCTAAGTCTGATGTTCGAGCCCTGATGAGGGCGCGCAGCAGCTTACAGAGATTTCCTGTTGCAAGTTGGGTTGAAGACCTCGAGATCCTGCAATCCACAGCAGTCAAGATCCACGACAAGGTCGAAGCGTCAAAAAGGCATCTCGCGACAGGAGAAATGATGCGACCAATTTCTGGTCGGACGACCCCAGCTATGTCCGGTGCTGCCACTCCATCGGGATGGCAGACTCCTGTATTTGGTCAATCCAAAGCTGCGACCCATGCCGCACTGTCTTCTCTTGCTGCGCGTTTGAAGCATATTGGCCACAATCGTGAGCAAAGCCATGATAACTCTTCCAATACAGCAACTGGTCTTTCACGGTCCGCTTCACTCGGCTCTCGACGAGGGCCTGGCCATATCACTGTCCATGATCATCACGAGGGCGAAGAATCCAGTACTCCAACAATACTTCCTCCAGTGCCCGATGTGGAAGGCGATGATACTGGACTCGGCACCGCTGTAATGAGGTATGGTGAAGGGACAGATCACGCTTCTGATCAAGAAGACAGTAATTTCGAGGACGATGATGAAGATGACCACATTACCATGCCAACGCAGACCCGTGGCCGTTACGAACGTGTTCCGGCCAACGGTGACGGACCAATCACACCTCCCTGGGACAGAACTTTTGGTTTCTCTAGAACGCCCGGACTGGAATTGGCCCAATACCCTAAGCAAAGACCCAGCCCTTATGGCAGTCCTTCGATTCCAGGCACGCCTCATCCTGAGCCAGAGACCGGCCTCCTTGCCCCCCCTCGGGCACTAGCAGAAGGAAACAATCGGATATCCGCCTCTCCATCGATGCTTTCCATCAGTTCGATTGTGGGTGAGAAGACCGACTTCAAGCTGCAAAAGGTCGATCCTTTCTTCACCGATAGCAACGGCGAATTTTCGAGAGCATTCGAAAAGAAACTCGAAAGTCTCAACGGCAATAATTCAGAGTCTACTACCTGCATTGAGGAGTTCCTTGTCAAGTCCGAGAAGACATGGTTTACCAGCTTTCGCGACGCGAAGCTGGGTCGGCATCAACATACACCAAGCGCCCAGGAGTCACGGTTCACATCCGCTGCACCCTCTATCTATGGAGGACAAAGTGAGCATGATAGTGAAGGTCAAGAACATGACTCGAACAACCTCGCGGATGAGTTTTTGCTTGGCAAGGACTACGTACCACCCTCAGGTGTGAGGAATTGGATGCAAATCCGGATTGGAGATTGGCCGGTATATGCTTTCTTCATGGCATTTGGCCAGATCATCGCAGCCAACTCATACCAAATCACCCTGTTGACTGGAGAAGTAGGTCAAACAGCATCGAAGCTGTACGTGATCGCGTCCATCTACCTCGCCACCTCGATCTGCTGGTGGATTCTCTTTCGACGGTTCAGCTCCGTTCTTTGCCTGTCACTGCCATTCTTCTTCTATGGCCTCGCGTTCGTCCTCATCGGATTGGCGCACTACGCCTCGACGGTCAGCGAAAGAGGCTGGGTTCAAAACGTGGGAACTGCATTCTACGCCGTGGCTTCGTCATCAGGCTCGATTTTCTTTGCTCTGAACTTTGGCGATGAGGGAGGTGCGCAGGTCAAAGCTTGGGTGTTCCGTGCCTGTGTCATTCAGGGCACTCAGCAGATCTACGTTGTGGCGCTGTGGTACTGGGGCTCGTACCTCAACAAGAGCCACAACGATGGCTTGCTGAAATCCTCCGATCCTATCACCAATTCCTGGAAGATTACCGCCATCACACTCCCAATTGCAGGCCTCCTGTGGGCCGTCGGTCTACTTATGTGGTTCGGTCTGCCTACGTACTATCGCCAGGCACCCGGCAAGATGCCTAGCTTCTATAAAAGTCTTTCCCGACGCAAGATTGTCCTCTGGTTCTTCGCCACCGTCCTAATCCAGAACTTCTTCCTCTCCGCTCCCTACGGCCGCAACTGGTCATTTCTATGGAGCAGTCCCCATACCTCAACATGGCAGGTGGTGGTGCTCGTTGCAGTCTTCTTCATCGGCTTCTGGGCGGGCATTCTCTGGATCCTGGGCATGCTGTCGAAATCGCACAGCTGGATCCTCCCTCTCTTCGCGATTGGCCTCGGCGCACCACGCTGGGCTCAGATCTGGTGGGCCACTAGCAATATCGGCCTCTATCTCCCCTGGGCTGGCGGCTACACCACTGGAGCGCTTCTCTCGCGTGCTCTTTGGCTGTGGCTCGGCACATTGGACGCGCTTCAGGGCGTTGGGCTGGGCATGATTCTCCTTGCGACTCTGACTCGCGTGCACGTTGCATTCACCCTGATCATGGCACAGGTGCTCGGCTCTGTGGCCACGATCGTTGCCAGAGCTTGTGCACCAAACAATATCGGACCGGGCCCCATCAGTCCCGACATTAGCGCCGGCTTTGGAAGTATCTTCCAGGCGTGGTTCTGGGTCGGCCTGATTGCCAATTTGAGCATTTGTGTCGGTTATTTCATGGTAAGTTACATCGCCCTCATAACTAGCTGTTTGGAATCCTCCTTTGCTGACATATATGGCAGTTTTATCGCAAAGAACAGCTCAGCAAGCCTTGATGATCGTGCCTTCGAGGAATGTGACGATGTCAGGTGGGATACGGATTTCATCGATTCTTTATAAATGTGTAACAAACGGTGGTGTTTTATGGGCCACATGGAATGAAAATGGAACAGCGACAGTAATGAGCATATCTTAGGGTTGGGTACTTAATGACATTGCAACAATAATGCATTCGCTGTAGAATTATAATACAAACTCCCCATGTTGTGGATCTGCCTCGGGTGCGGTTAAGCTGGAAGCGACCGACCATCATAGTTTTCCAGCTGTAGAACATAGTCTTGCTTATTCATAGTCCTCGCAACCTGCAGCCGTGTTCAGTTGTTTTCGTCCGGCGTTTACTTCCGCTCCATTCTCTAGCAACCAGTTTATACTTCTGCTGTCAGAAGCATCGAGCGCGAGCATTAGTGGTGTCTGGCCAACATTGTTTTTAGAGTTAATATCCGCTCCGTCTTCGAGTAGGCGGCCCATAAGCTCTGTAGACCCGGCCTTTGCTGCAAAATGCATTGCTGTCATACCACTCTCATCTTCAGCATTGAAACTAGCTCCGACATCCGCGCCGTGTTGTAGTAACCAATGCAGGCTCTCGTCGGCGTGAGAATTAAGCGCGACCCTTAGGGGCGTCAGACCCATATTATTTGGGGAGTTCATATCTGCTTCGCTTTCAAGAAGTCGGTCCATGACTTTTGTGGACCGGGCCATTGCTGCAAAATGCATCGCCGTCATGCCATTTTTGTCTCTACCATTAACGTTAGCTCCTCGATTGAGTATCAGGTCCGCGAAAGGTGGGGAGTTAGTTAGAGCCGCGAGCATTAGTGGGGTGCGGCCGTTCTTGTCTGTCCCATCCACCTCGATGGCAATTTCGTTGAGAAGCGTGAATCCAAACCTGAAATCCTTCCTCCAGTTCAAACAAAAATGCAGTGGAGAGTGTTGATCTCTGTTGGGCTTGTTCACGTCTGCACCAAATGCAATCAGGGCCTTGAATGCGTCGAACTTGTCTTGATAAATGCTCTCAATGAGTGGAGTATATCCCCTTCCAGGTTCGATAGCATCGAGGTCGGCCCCCAGGTCCCATTGGGCCTGAATCTCCTCGACGTTGCCTTTCAATGCAGCACGATCCAGTACAGTGAACCCAGTCTCGTCGCGTTCATTTGCTTGAATAGCGGAATCAGGTCTAGGTCTAGGCAATCCCGCTGGCGTTGAACTGAGCTGATTGAGAAAGGGAACTAGGTCTCCATAGTCTGGTCCGTATTTGATTCGAACCAGTGGCCTATAGTTAAGAATATCACCGTCTCGAACAAGTAGGCAGTGCCTATTGGGAATATTCTCCTGCTGTGCACTCACCCACTGCAACAGCACGTCGAAGTTGGGGTCCTCCAATCCGGACCCACATCCCACAAACAGTATAGTCTTGAACTCCAGGAAATTCTTCAAAATGCTCTGGACTTCATTCGACTGCCTGACTTGGTAATAGTCCGTGGTATCCAGAACCACTTCGCCAGGGTCATGGTAGCTTCCATGTATATGGAAAACTCCGTCGATGTCTCCGCGCTTGAATCTTAGAACATCATCTTGATTCGATCGGCCGATACGGCGTAGCTCACAGTGTCGCTCAAGTAAGTCGTCATAGTTGGTAGTTAAGAGAGTTGCGCCTTCCTGGTGTAAGGTGTGCAACACGTCGAGGATGGCAGGTTGCCTCACTTCCTGGTAAAGGCTGTCGAATATCGAACCCAACCAAGTAGGGAACTGACCCATTCGTGTTAGTTGATCGCGAAGAATACCGGCCGCATCCAGTAAGCTGTCAGTATCGCCATCCTCCAGCGCCTCATACGCTCGCCGGGTCCTGCGGTTGGAGGCCTCCACATAATTTTCGGTGACAAGGTAGTCCAAGCCGTTACGGATCAGGCCCTGCCATGTGATTCGCGAAGGAGGTCTGCCATTATCGTCGGTGGTAGCACTGAGGGTGACCCCCGCCCCAACTATTATCACCAGCCGCCTATCTTTGAGTGCCTGTTTGATTCGCACAATAGTCTCATTCTTGCGCCTAGCAGCATCGTTTATTGCTTCACTCTTGATAGTCCATAGTCAGCCTGTTATTCTTGCACAGTTTCTGGTCATACCAGCACTAGGTCATTCATATTTCTCCAAGTGGTTCGACCGTCTGCAGGAGCGCTGGCCGTTGCGCAAGAGCACATCAGTACAAGTCTTCCGGCAAAGAAAAGAGCCTAGCATTGGGCACACTTGCCGGCCGTCTGCAGTTGTGTCGAGTCTGAAAGGCTGAGCCAACCAGGCGTATTCTCGTGTTTGTTGTTCAAAGCCTCCAGGTAAAGATATAAGCCTCAAGCTAGATCTTCGTTGGCGAAATAGATAGATGTGGGCACACTGCCTGGATCGACCTTTGATCCATGAAAAGTATTGAGATTTCGATATCTGATCGATGGGTTGCTTCTCCTGTGTATGCTGCGGCTGAAGCTGGTCAGGCAGCAGGCTCGATCACGACGTCGCCAAGATCAAGAAAGGTCCCGACGAAACAGCTTCACTCGTTTTGCGTGATTTCCACCACGCCGAGACTTACAAACACGAGAATACCTACCAAGGTAGGCAGGTTACACAGGAGTGCCAAGGGCCCTCAAGGGGAGGCAGCGAACCCGCTGGAACTTCGTATCGATGCCGTCAGGCGTTTAAACTTTTCCATATATATAGCTCATGGTCTGGAAAGTGCTTCGACAATCGCTTCCGGCATGGACGTCAAGCTGAAGTAAGCACGCCAAGCTTTAGCTGTCCTGCATCAGGACAGACTGACTTGGCTAGATAGGACAGCACCTGAGGCTTAAGGTCCGCCGACCTCAGAGAGTGAATCGGCTCACAGGCATCTCTGGGCTACTCCGAGCACTAATGAAAACACGTCATCGAATCTTGAGAATTTCGAATCATCTTTCGGCCTAGATGGCAACGAGACCAGCCTGTCCTTCTCTATTGCTAATCATCTCATTTATGAAACAATCTCAGTACTCCCCTGAGGACCTGATGCGCCATTAGCTGATTCGGAGGCAACCTTGGACCGTTATAACCCTTGAGAGGCGGGTCCCACATAGGGTTTGCACCATGATTAAGTGCATTTTCAACCTCTGCCAGCTCAAACCACTTGGCCTCTTCTAACTCTGTTTCCGGGTAAGTAATATCTTCGCCCCCCTCGCCGCATTGACCAATCACGCCAATTAGCATTGTTGACGGGTATGGCCAGGGCTGACTGGAATGAATCTGTACCCTGTCAATGCGGATACCGGTCTCCTCATAGGCCTCTCTCCGTGAAGCGGTCTCAATGCTTTCCCCTGGTTCGATGAAGCCAGACAGACATGAGAAATAATTAGCAGGCCAGCGCTTCCCTCGCCCGAGTAGGACGCGTTTCGCATCTGCAGATATAGCTGCAATCACGGCCGTGGGATCTGTCCGTGGAAAGGCCTGATTGTGCAGTCCAATCCGGGTTGGGCAGGCTCGTTGGCGGAGGACCCCTCTGTCAGCAGGCGGACAGACAACTTTGGCTCCTCCATGGGTTGAGAGAGTCTTGCCTCCGCAACTGGAGCAGAAACGGTTTCGATTGTTCCAATCAATCAGGGAGCGCGCATGGCTGTATATAGCTGACTGTGCGTGGTCTAAAGTGAGGTCGATCCTGGCTGGCTTGTACTCGAGGCCGCTCACCCTCTGTGACTCTTTGAATGCCGTGTAACGATTCGAGGTCACATCCAAGGCGAAGTAAGGCACACCACTGTACTGACCAAATTGCAGATTCCTGCTTGCTGACGTGGGTTTCTCTTCGAGGTCCAGCCCAAGGAAGACGAGTGTCGGATGAAACCCATCCGGATCAAATTCTGCTACTTGAGTCTTCTCGTCTTCGACGTAAGGGCGACCAATCGCGTCTGCAATGTCGCCATAGCTGCTGAAGGCGAGCCTGCCCTCTGAGGTACGCAAAGGGTTTAATTCTTCAAAGGTCAGATATTTTGTGGCAGGATGAGAGGAAGCTTGGTCTAGGAGTTCGTGATTCAGCCTCATGAACGAGAGGCGCGTAATAGGTCCATTGGAAAAGTAGGCGTTATGCCCTTGACCGAAGATTCCTACCAGACTGGACATTTTCCTCGCGGTGTGAAGGTTCCAAGAAGCTCTGCAGACTCAAAGTTGATATTAGACCGGTATCCACTGACGGCGTTATATTTAAGCGTAGGCATGGCGGGGGCGGGGCGGGCTTTCGCCTAATTGCTGAGACAGAGCAAAGCATTCCGTAATGGAAACGAATATTCAATCTTAATAAATGCGAGTGCACGACTGGGCTTACAAGTAATGATGGAACCGAATGCGTCAGCTAGTAACAATCGCCGAAATACCTATGTATGCCATTGAAGCCACGTGATTATAAGTCTGACAACAGCTCTATCCTACTGCGTACATATTCCGTGTCTGCTCGGAATTGTACTTATTTATTATCATGAGCACTTACATGCATTTATCTGGACTTGCTAAAGCATACCTAAGGAACTCAAGCATGAGTTCGAGGCCCCAAAGGTCGTTTTGTCCTCCAGGAGGGAAGAGGCAGACTAGCGACGCCGCTTTTAAATGGGTTTCCAAATTAGCTTGGCCAAGCCACAATCCCACTAGCCCCCAGGGGTTTAGCAGGTCTTGGCATTTGCCACACTCTAGTTAGCAGCCGCGAGCGCTCATATCAACCTTGATCGCCCGCATGCATCGTACAAAGCAACATCCAGCACAGACACACTAACGAGCCGGACAGTTCTACGACACTGTGCCCGAGATACTCAACCTAGAATTTTACTAGGAACTCTGAAACTCTCTCGGTCCAATTACTGATACGACATCCACGATGCCTCGAGCCGAAGTAGGATCTACCAAGTACATCGCCAACCAGATGAAGTCGAAAGGACTTCAGCGGTTGCGATGGTACTGCCAGGCCTGCTCCAGACAAATGCGCGATGAGAATGGCTTCAAATGTCACGTCGCTTCGGAATCTCACGTGCGCCAGATGCAATTAATCGGTGAAGACCCTCGCAAGGCGATCAACGACTTCTCCAACCAATTTCTCAAAGACTTCATCCAACTGCTGCGGACGGGCCACGGAGAGAAGAAGGTCAATGTGAACCACTTCTACCAGGAATACATCTCGAACAAAGAACATATCCACATGAATGCGACCAAATGGTCGAGCCTGACTGAGTTCGCTAAATATCTGGGGCGAGAGGGCATGGTTCGGGTGGATGAAGATGAAAAGAATGAAGGCCGGGCAGGTGCGAGTGGACTGATGATATCCTGGATCGACAACAGTCCGGAAGCCCTGCGGAGGCAGGAAGCGCTACGAAAAAAGGAACGACAAGATCGCGGTGATGAGGAGTTGGAACAGAAAATGATCCGCGAGCAGATACGACGTGCAAAACGAGATATGGCGGATGCGGGTATAGATGAAAACGAAGAGGAATTGGATGTCGGCTTGCCAACATCGTCCAGCGAAGGCATAAAACGAAAAGACGGCGAGAAGATCGTTCTGAACTTCGGCGCAAAAAAACCTCACGACGTGGTCGAGAAGCCTCTTAGTCCGCCGCTTACCGAGGGAGGCGACTCGTCACCGGATTGGGAGAAAGCAGCAGAGTCGGGATCACAAACGACGACGACGACAACTTCAAACCCCATTAACCACAAACCACCTACAACAGCTGCCTTATCCTTCGGACTCTCCTCATCAACGTCAAGCAAACCAAAGAACGTGTTCGCAACAACATCCAAGAAAAATGCTCTGTCAGGGACGAAGAAGGCGCCTTCGACAACCACACAGCGACCCATGAGCGAAGCGGAAAGGATCATGAAGGAAGAACTCGAGTGGAAACGACAACGCGAGGCTGGGAAGTTTCAAGGTGGTGGGAAAGTTTTCAAGAAGCAACGAATCTCATGATGGTTTGCGGGTTTCGAGGTGAAAGAAAGCCCGAAAGGACTCACAGGCGGGCCCGTTTTATGATGAAATGATGTGGTTGAATACTTTTGTACGATTATTTGGCTGCATTTTCGGCGATTGGGGACGGAGGGAATCATCATATCTTGGTTGGTCAAGTTCATGCTGTTTTGAAGGGAAAAGGACAACAGCAACTCATGACACGTTTTGGCACAGGTAAAAAGGCATAATTTATATATGCTTGTACTCATCAAACAAGTGTCATCATAACTAAACGCTCCCACTCCCACTCCCACTCCCACTGCTCAACGAATGCATTTTCTCGTTCGCTGCTGCTAACAATAACAACCTGTTGCGTTATGTACAGGCGGGATTTCTAACTCGAACCCAGCTCCTGCAGCAACTCCCTGATCTCAGCCATGTCAGGTTTCCTCTCATTGTAGATGGCGGCGATCAAACTGGAGTCGATGGTGGGGAACTGCTTCTGCAGCTCGGCCTGGTGTCTATCGTCTTCGCTCTGTGGAGCGTTGGCCTCGTACTGCTGCATGTGCTCGACCTGCGCGGCTCGGTCGCCCTCCTGCGCTAGGAGCTGGTCCGTGTTGGATCGTCGGATTCCCTGCGATGGTGGAGGGCCTTGAGGTGCGCTGTAGCCGCCCTGGTGATACTGTTGCTGCTGTGGCTGGTCGGTGGGGTTCTGGTTGTAGTTTGAATAGAATCGTTGACCCTGGCTTTGCTGCGACTGTTGCCCGGCATTGTGTGGGCTGCCTTGCGAGGGCGCATCCGCCCATGGGTTGTTGGAACTCATGGTTTTTGAGGGAGAGGTGTGTAGCTGGCTCGAGGATTGCGGCAGGATCTGCTGAACTCTCCCAACTCTCCCGTCGCTGAGTTTGACTTTGATTCCTCGAGGGTGATTGTGACGAGTCAGCAGTTGGGCGACGGTGCCTTGAACTTGTTTCCCGGTGCGCTGATCTGCCTTGAGGACAATTGAGACGAGGTAGCCAGGCTTCAGACTGTTGTAGGAAGTGACAGGCATAGAGATGAAAGAACGATGAAATGGATGTCTGCGAAGCGGACGGACGGTAATTGCGCGGGCTGGTGGCTGTTGGAATCGTCGCAGCCTGGGGAAGGCGACGTCATGCTCGTTCGCCAGCCACGTCAATCAGGGACTGTGGCCAGATCTGACTGCCAGGGTGCCCGGCTGCCAGTGCGGTTGCTGTTCAGGACTAAGCCACAGCGCCCCCTCGCCCCTAAGCTTCTGCCCACCGGCCGGGAGGGGTCGCTAGATTGTAGTTAAGACGGCGCCTAACTATGTCTAACTATGTCGATGTCGGTAGACTGGCTAACAGTGCCAAGTGGGCCAAGAGCGTCTCGGGGGATCATCTCCATGCCCGGAAGCATGCCCGGAAGCATGCCGAGTTGGACCTGCGCATGGGCAGGATTCTATTCCTCGTTGCCCTGCAAACGGTGAGGCACATTTCTTCGGTCGCTTTGTTCTGACTACCACTTATCTGCGCCTGACGGCTTGAAGTGAAAGCAGTTGAGCCTCCACAAGGTACCCAGGGAACTCGTGGCTGGGTGCGTAGAGGTATTGGTACTCCTACTTCCCACCGTAGTACTTACCTCGTACTTACTCGGAGATGGTGAAGTTGAGAGCCGAATCCTCAGCCTGTTCTAGTCCTGATTTAGAGCCTAGCTAAAGTAAATGCTCTTAACATCAGTCATGCCCCAAGCATCCATGCCAGTTTGGACACGGCTAAGCCTCGTCCTCCATCGTCTCCAGGTTTCTCCTTTCTGTTATTCATCAATCCCGCAACCTGTAGTGTTCTGAGTGCACTACGATTCTTCCTTTTTGGATCCAGCAATGTATGGTTTGTGTTGAATTATGCTTTTATCTGCAGCTCAGCGCCTCCCGCGCTCTGCGCTTCTTCTCATTTTTGGTTGCGTCTTTTCACTCTACATACTATATACGCTCAACGTACATGTCGGGGATTACGTACCACTCTCAAAGACTCCTGTTACGATCTCAAACCAAGATACGTCGCTCCTTGAGGCACAGAGATCTTTATGGCAACCTTTTTATCAGCAACTACTTCAACACAGGCCAAAATGTGCTCCTGTTCCCCATTCTGAAATCGGCGACTTAGGCATCGGCTTTAACGCTTCTGACCACGGCCACCAACGACCTGACAGGCTCTCCCTCTCCGCTGAACAGGTCACTGAGTTACGCTCAACTCATAAACGCTTTGTACACCATCTGCAGACACAAGCGTACTCTCTGCCTTTTGTTCCCAACACTCGAGGCATTGTTACCACAGCCGGAGGAACTTATCTTCCGGTTGCCCTGGTCTCGATCCGAATGCTCCGCAGTACTGGATCCCAATTGCCTGTCGAGGTCTTTCTGGCTTCTCAAGATGAGTGGGATCCAGAAATATGCGATACCATTTTCCCCTCTATAAACGCTCGTTGTCTTGTGCTTGAAGATATTTTCAACCCTCTGAAGAGGAAAGCCAACCTGGGAATCGACAAATATCAGTACAAAGTCATGTCTATCGTTTTTTCCTCTTTCGAGGAAGTCCTTTTCCTCGATTCAGACTGTTTCCCAATCTTCGACCCCAATATCTATTTCGAGAGCGAACCTTTTCTCTCTACTGGAATGATTCGCTGGCCGGACTTCTGGTTCCCCTCTGAAAGTCCACGATTTTTTGAAATAGCAGGCATTCCTGAACCTGCCCCATGGGAGAATACAGCCACCGAATCTGGAGAGTTATTTTACTCTAAGAAAAAGCACACCAATTCTCTTTTACTCGCGATCTACTACAACTTCTACGGACCCGACTTCTATTATCCGCTCCAGTCACAAGGCGCTCCTGGTGAGGGAGACAAAGAAACATTTCTTTGGTCAGCAGTGGCGTTCAACGAGACCCTTTATTCAGTCAGAAAGCCGGTCAAGGCTCTTGGATATGGTACCACGGCTGGCATTTGGCGAGGTTCAGCAATGTCACAATTTGACCCTACAGCGGATCAGAAAAGCCACGGTGCCGACTCGGGACAAAATGACCAAGTGAGACCATTGTTCGTCCATGCGAATTTCCCCAAACTCGACCCTTCCTCAATATTCGACGATGTGTCGTTTGGTGCCACAGGCCCAACAAAAGATGACGATGGTAAACTCCGCAGAATCTGGTTCGACGACGAAAAGGAGGCCACAGAATTCTTTGGGTTTGACCTCGAGCGTAGAATGTGGGAAGTCCTGCGCGATCTGGCCTGCGAATATGAAGGCAAGATCTCTGCCTGGAAGGGCAAATCTGCAATCTGCGAACACGCCACTACTTATTGGAATACGGTCTTTGGAAACGAATCAGAACCACATGGTTGAGGAGATGCACACTTTCCATTGTGGATCCACCGCCAACTGCACATTTATACAAGCAATCCAGATTATCTCGGTTCAATATCTGGACCTGCAGAGTGGCTGGGCAGGGGATCGATTGGATCTGAGAATCCAGACTTTTCATTTCCTCCTGCAATTACTGGGGTCTGGTCAGCACAATTCGATCGAATCATCCATCATCTCAGAATTCCAACCCGTATTTGTTCCCCTGTTAAAGCTCCATACTGCTTGCTTCCTGAAGTATCCCGTGCTGAAACGCGAGGGACCAATGGATAAAGGACAATTGCCTCATCAAAAATTCGATTACACAGCTTGCGGGCTAGCTACCGGGTAGACTTGAAAATACCAGGTGTTACGATTGCCTGTGGTAAATAGCAATTGGCAAACTCAGTCCGCTTGAAGCCCCGTAGCCTTCTGATGCCATTGTCCGAAAGTTAGTTGCAGCGAAGATGTTACATACAAGGGTATCCTTGCTTTGCATCTGCGGCTTCACAATTCGATCAACCATGGGCTTCCAGATAGAAGCTGCATGCACAGACAAGAGAATGGACACTGTCCGCAAGTGTTATGCCGTCTTCTTTCAACGAGTCTTTCTTCAATCCACCTATCGAACCTGTTTCCTCAATCAGTAAACATGCTTCCGCAATGACTCGACTGATGGCAATGTGTGGAATAAGTCCTAGTGTAGTTGGGAGGCCAAGCATGACGACGTCGACTTCGGAATACTGTCGTCGACAAGAAAGAGATGATATTGGTCATAAATCTGTTATGGTGAAGAAACTTGAGAGAGCATCTAGATTCGGAGAAAAACTGGATCCTTGCGCCTGCAATGTCCAGACGTCTTCTTCATCTCCATAGGTTGGCTATAATGAGTATGCAGCTCTCAACTTGTAAGAAGAAGAAACCTTGGGATTCGTCCATTTCGTTTTAGCCTACTCGCGCTCCAAGCTCACAAGAGTGCCGATTGTGCAGTATGTGCCGATGCCCCATCACCCGAAATACACATCAGTCCTCCTACTTCCCCCTAATGTGGAGAATATGTTATATTACACAGTTCTCATGGATCCTCCACCGATGCCAGAATACCCACACCATTGACACTCGGATATATAGCCGAGGGATTGCCGAAGCATTACCCCTATTCACCTGCAAAACCATCGTAACGGTGTATTCACCACTCCAATGTATCATTCAAACATAGACAGCCAGCTGTCTCGACGTGAATGTGAAATCGCGTGATGACCGTCCTGCTCAGGTCCGCCCAGGTGGCAGCACAGGAGACATGTATCTTCTTGAGTCACATTCTGCCGAACCCTAGCTCCACATCGCAAGTCAGAATATGCCCGATTCTGACATTCACCCAGACACGGCATACGTGGAGATTTACATAACCGATATTGATAACAAGAGAGACAAGACTTCCACCGGTTACATTATTATTCATAAACTAGATATACGGCGAGCATAACTGTGACTGATTGCTAATATTGTATCTAACATTCCATGCAATTGGGTATCTCCCCATAGGTACCAAGAAAGGGAGGAGAAGAAAAAGAAGAAGAAAAAGTAGAAGAAGAAGCACAGCAGCAGCAGAAGAAGCATTCAAGCAGGAGGATATAAAGAAGAGTCGTATCCTGCACTACCAAATACCAGACGCTTCTCCACCATCCATCACCATCCACAGGGCAGCACATTACAACTGACCATGGCACCACCCTCCCAACCCAAGCCCGCCATTGTGGTAATCCCGGGTTCAGCATGCCCCACGCCCTTCTACGCCGACCTGGTTGCCAACCTGACCGCGCACGGCTATGAAGCACAGGTGCACAATCTGCGCACGTACACAGCCAACCCAACCGCCGAAACAGTTCCGGGCTCGCTGGCCGACGACGCCGAGTATTTCCACGGCAAGATAGCGGCGCTGGCGGACGCCGGCAAGGATGTCGTCGTCGTGGCGCATTCTTACGGTGGGCTGGTCGCGACGGATGCCGTGCATGGGCTCAGTAAAGCCGAGCGAGGCGGGAAGGCCGGAGGCGTCGTGAGGATCATCTACTTGTCGTGCATCGTGGGCGCCGTCGGCTCGACCTCCGCTGAGACCTGTGCCCCCTCGCTCCCGAAGTTTGATTTCATGGAACCTGTTGACGAAGTACGTGTGCCTCCTATACATGCTCCGCCCCCTCTTGATTCCCCTCCCTGTATACTGACTGTACCGCCCCCCAAAAAGAGTGGCGCCTTCATGCGCCAGATCCCTGCGCAATCCGCGCCGCTGGTGTACTCCGACATGCCCCTCGCGCAGGGCCTGGAGTGGGTGTCGCAGATGTGGCCACAAGCGACCCGCAGCTTCACGGACAAGATCCAGCACGCCGGCTACCTGCACAGCCCCGTCACGTATATCCTGTGCACCAAGGACGAAGTGCTGCTCCCGGGCTTCCAGCGCGAGCGCATTGAGTTTATCGAGAAGGAGACGGGAAAGAAGGTCGATGTCGTTGAGTTGGAGGTCGGCCATTGTCCCAATGTGAGTGCGCCGGACTTGACGGCGAGCACGGTGGTCGACGCGATTGTCAGGGATGCTTGATTTGTGGGCATATAGGCCGAGTGAGTTGACCAGTGCGTGCGCTTGTATCTTTTCTAGCCGTTCAGCCTCCATATTAGAGTGAGAGCTGAGAGTTGGAGGGAACGCTATGCGATTGAACTCAATAGGCGCGTGGAAGGGAGCGACTTTAGTCACACTGGCAAGATCACAATCGAAGAAGGGGAAAATCGCAACCTAGAAAAGTCGTTAAAGTATCTGGAGGCTTCAACTCATTTCATTTCATTTCATCACATCTGGATATGATGTTTTGCTACCTATCGTAAGCACTGTGGAATGGGGATGACTTTAGATCCCTTCACTACAAGAGTCTGTCCTGTTGATCTCATCTCATCATCATCATCACTATTGGTGTTATCTGTTGTTACAACGTACAAAGCCTGTGGATCTCCAATCTAAGGGGTTGTGCTCGAACGAGGAAATATCCATCTCGGGAGAAGGCTTAGCAAAAAGAAAAAAAAGGCCTTTTGGTACATTCATCCAGTCGTCCCATTCCAAGCTCAACCAACGCCTTGGTAGTTGGAATATCGACATCATTCATCATCTTCGTAATCTCGTAGCAATGAGGTAATTTTCAATCCCGATACCGTCCAAAGGAGCGAGTTCTTTACAAAGCTCTTGAATTGGCCTCTTCATCATGCCAAAGACAATCAGACCAAGGGTCTTTCTTGCATTTACGGCATTGGATATCGCGGCAGATCTCATTGGGGCATTGGCCACAACAGTCGGGGCAGACCATCTTGCCACAGCCTGTTTCGTCTCCCATGGTGCACTGAAGGAATGTGGGCACTTCCTTTCCGTACGGGTAAAGAGTGGTGATTTGGTGCATTCGATCGTCAGCGACTTTGAAAGCTTGTGGGTTGTCCTTATGGTTCTGTAGTGCTAGAACAGCAGCTTTGTACGCGCAGCAAGCTCGCTTACAGACCGGACAGCAATCTTCCATGCATGTGGTGCATTTGAGGTTGCGGGAGTACCAACCGTTACCAGTGTTTGGATGTCTTGGCTTTGGATCTCCCTCGTTGTAGTCTCGTGACCAGGCATTCAAGGTGCGACGGAGGTAGAGTTCCTATGAATAAATATTAGGTTGTGTCTTAAGATGCAACTGAGGGACTTACAAGATCAGGTCGATACCAGTTGCTGCCATCCGCGTTGGGAGGTTCCACTTGACTCAGGTCTGATGCATTCTTGTCAATAGTCAGCTTCGGCTTAAACATCGCAGACATTTTGCGTAGACCGGTCTTTCGAGGTTCAAACTCGCTTATCATTGGGATGCCGTGCACGCTATCAACGGGAGTTTTCGGTGGTTGAGACACTTTCTTGCTGGAAGGTGAACCTTCAGCGAGGATGTCAAAGATGTCGGCATCGGTGTTGGCTCGATCGATGTTGAGACGGGACATCTTGCTTCTCAGCCCAGTGTTCTCCGTACTCTTGTGTCCGGGGGTACGAGGAAGATTGACATTGCTGGCGCTATTGTCTTTCCAGAAAGGACTCGCTGTCTGGTTCATGCGAATGCCCCGAGGTTGAGCTGGACGGTCAGGCGTGGTGAAAGGAGTAGGGGCGACTGGGGCATAAGCAGCTTGAGCAAAGGCATTGCCAGCAATAGGGCGTGGATTGGAATTGGTTATGGGACGAAGGCCTTGCCCTGCCTCGTACTCGCGCTTCTGCTTTGCCCAATCCCGAATCTCTTTCGCGGTAGAAGTAGTGACCATCAATGGCGCATCGCTTGTCGATAGATGAGGATTGGCTTGGAATGCCGGGTGCTGGCTCATATCGGGTGGGGGAAGGTTGAGCAAGGAAGCGAAGTTGCCGGTGATGACTCTCTCATTGTTCTCATTGCGCTCAATACCAAAGGTCGATCTCTGTGCAGTTGAGGAAGACATGGAACGCTGCCTGGTGTCCAATGGCGGGAATTGCGAATAGAGGCGAGCAGGTCTGATTGTCTCTTGATCATCGTCTGGCTGTTTCATCCTCGCGGAAGGAACAGGAGGGAACGGCTCAACCTGCGTGCCAAACATCTGCATGTTGTCGATCTGCGTGCATTCCAGTTAGTCACAGGGGGAGAACATTGCTGTGAACTCGAGCGTCACTTGGATATCACTGCCTGGGACGTTCACTTACGATGGCACGATGTCTGGGCTTGTCAGGGGCCATTTTGGGAGGGGACGGAGAAGGAGAGGGAGGGAGAGCTGTTTGTCTGGCAGCTTCCAAGGCACGGCTGATGTCGAAGTCGAGAGGGTGGAACGCCGTTGTAACGATTGAGAGAGGTTTGAGCGAGCCTCGTCTTGCTCGCAACGGCAGAGGCGACCTGGTCACGTGCCCACCTCCTAGCCTCGCCAGTCCCTTCTCAGGGGAGCCCTTGCGGCTCTTGGGAGACAAATTGCTCACACTGAGCTTGCTCCCAAGGCGCCTCAAGGAGGCTCCCGAGAAGAGGACTGCCTCCGGTATCGAAGGGCAGAACGGACTATTCATAAGACGGGTCAGCGACAGGCTCTCATTCGAGCTCTTGCACAGAGAGTAAGTCCTTACCCAGCGTCAGCCTCGCCGGCATCCACACTCTTGGTGGGTGTGGTGGCCATATTGGCCGCTTTCAAGGTCAATGCGGTTTGTGGATAAAGACGAGCGGTCGTTGGCGAGCAATTTATATGATTGCATCTTGGATGAACGCCGAGAGATTCGTTCCTGATCGGCCAATAGCGCGCTCTCTTTGAGCATCGCACCATTGTGGTCATGTGAACGACGACTATGGAAAAGCAGTACCTATTCAACAGTGGTCGACACAGCTGCACATAGAGAACGAAGAGATCACGAGACACGGAACGAACGTTGGATACAAACCACACAGACGGAGACGGTCGCCAGAAAGACAAAACGATACATTGAATGAACAGTATACTCACAGAATAGAGGTTGAAATCAAAGCCTTCATGGTCTATCAAGGTTGTCATGTAATCATTGCACATCAAGCTCAGCCAAAATTGCAGGATCAGGACCGTTTGCATAAGCAGCTTACTGGATCGTCCAACAACGCCTGCGTGAGCATGCCCTCCAGTATCGAAACAAGGCTCGTAAATATAGGATCCGGTGCTGTACCTGATCATGTCATAGCATGCGTCCTGGTCCACTCTCTCGCTGTTTGGATGGCGGCTTCCTGGTCTTCCTTCCATCGCTGAGCAACATCATTCGCCAATGGATCATCTGGGTTGGGGGCACCAAGCAAAGCCTGTATGGAGAGAAGAATCGTTCGGATCTGCAAAGCTGGTGACCAATTGCCTGCTTGAGGTCAGTATATGATCTGTTCCAGATGCGGGGACAACAAACTCTTCAACACATCGAGACAGATTCGGCCGAGTTTGTCAATGTTGGGATGATAAATCTTGGTCAGAAACCGGATCTTGGGAGGTGTCATGGGATAATCTTCTGGCAAGAACAGTTCCAACTTGAAGATGCCGCCTTGAATCAATCAGCCGGGATCTTTGGGCCGGAGTAGCTTTGTTACCCACCTTCATACGGGGATTGAGAAGGGCCATGTATGCTGACGTCGAAGTATCGGAGGTTATCGTCATGCGGCACAGCACTGATTCCTGGAACACTGTGATATGTCTCTCAGCCTCAAGCCTCTCCGTGCGCAGGGATGTTCATACGGTTCAGCCATCAATCTCTCAGTTTCTTTTATGATTCTCTTTGGTAACGCCATCTCGTCTCAAGAGGATGGCCACTGAAGGCTGGTTCTTCTGGAATGGGTTCGTATCCGAATCCGCAATGGCAGGAAGCACGATATACAGGTAGAGGATTCGTCCTTTTATGCTGCGCCCAACTTGGTCTGAGTGAATCGTCAGGTAGCGGCTCGGCTCAAAGTATTTGGCACGTGAAACTGCCTGCTGTAGGGATAGCTTCACAAGTGATGGTAGAACCCAGATCGCGAATCAACTAGACGTGATTGAGTGCAGAAAACCAGCAACACAAATGACTCGAGGATGTAATCGCCTCTTGAATCCCAGCGGTTGAAGTCAAAAGAAGGCATTTGCAAGCCCTTGAATCATGAAGCGCAACTCCGTCGAAACACTCTACGGTGAACCAAATATTCGGATTGTCACGTGCTTGAATGGTTTCATCCACCGCCAGAGCACCACCTGTGCCACCTCAGACTTGTGCCAGACTGCCTTGAAACCCAAACCTGTTAGAAGAACATGTCACGTCGATTTAACAATCCTTGGCCCGTAGCGGTATTGCAACTTCAAATCAGGCTTCGGTGACAATCTTGAAGCAAGTTCACCTTCACAAAATCACCTTCTGTTTGGAGTACATATGCACTCAGTCATTTAGCAAGTGACAAAAAGTCCCTGGAATTCCATTCAGTCATCAGTGTACCTCCCAATACTACCAAGGGTACACCGTCTGTACAGTCATGAATTCCACATTTTACTTCTCACGATCCCTCTCGCAGCACATGACGCCGCTAAACGAGTATTGTGTGGTGTTCCCTGCCTAGACCAAGCAGTATCTCCAACCGCCAACTCTGATTGTAGTCCTCAAAGCAACGACTTTGTCTAGTAGCCGTAGAGGTTGACATTCTCGGTGGTGCTCTGCTTGATCCTAGCATTCTCACGCTTCAACAGAATCCGCATCCACCAGGCACAGCCGATGCTGCAAAGAGCGAAACCAGCGCTCGCACCAAAACCGATTCCATATCTTGGGCTGTCTCCCTTGGGCCAAAGGTAGGCGCCATAGATGTAACCGATTTGACCGCCGACGTTGGTCATTGCCAGCACAACAGCTTTCTTCTCTTTGGTCTGCGCCAAAGTAGAAGATGCCCAGCCAATGATAACGCTGTTAACCGCGTACGCGCCGACTGGGAAGATGAAGCATGCGATGTATCGACCTGCAGTATTTAGAGTTGATGCAGCGATCACGAATCCAACAATTGCAATAAAGAGGCCGGTCGTGATGTGCCAAGTGCGTTCGTGATAGCGACCAGACGACCACCCAAAGAGAATACCCGCTGCACCGGCGAAGAGGAATGGTGGGCAAGTCATCACCAATGTAACTGTCGTGCTGAAGCCAAGGGTCTTGACAACACTGTCCAATCAATTGTCAAAATCTGTATGTGTGTAGATCTGAGGTGCTGGGGGAATGCTTACGTGGGAAAGAAAGAGTTGAAAGAGCAAGCTGACAGATGGAAGTTCTGCATGAGACAGAAGATCCACGTCTTGGGATCTTTGCAAGCCTGCTTGAGACCGTCCATAGCGGAAGATTCGCCTTGATCACCCACTCTATCACGTTCCATCCGGCTGTGGGCCAATTCGCGTTCCTCAGGCTTCAACCAGCGAGTGGTTAGTGGAGTGTCTGGCAAAAGCCAAAAGCCTACCAATGCCACCACAGCAGTGGCGACCCCTTCGATGATGAAGAGCCACCTCCAGCCAGCGAGGCCGTGTGACCCATCCAGACCTGCGAAGATTCCGGCCGCAATTAAGCCCGAGAAGCCAGTTGCGAGAATCTGGGCGCAATAAAGAAGAGCGATTCGTGCAGCGACCTCTGTATCTTGGGTCAGTTCGGGTGCACCAAAATCGTAGATTTCTCAACTCAACTCACCTTTTCGAGTGTAAAATGTAGAAAGGACGTATGTGGCGCCAGGATAGAACGGTGCCTCTGTTATGCCTAAGAAGAATCTTGCAGCGACAAGGCCGCCGTAGCTTTGAACAAGCGAAGTGCATCCAGAGACGGCCGCCCAAACCAACATCCAGCTGCTCATGTACAAGCCAGGACGAATTCTGGTTATCATCATGTTGGACGGTATCTGCATCAGAACATAACCCACAAAAAGGATGCTGATAGTGGTATTGAATTGAGTCCCTGTCATATTGAGATCTTCTTCGAGATCGTTGAGACGGGCCTGCGCCAACGCATTGCGGTCGACGTAGTTGAGAAAGTACATGGTACAAAGAATAGGCTTTCGAAGGCTATCAGCAGAGCTCCCCAGCCCAGAGCGGTCAGTCCGCTTACCATGATGCGCCAGTCCAGCTTCTTGACAAGCGCAATCTCTACAGGATCGGTCTTTGCTGCAGCACCCGCGTAATCCCCGTTCACCACAACTTGTTCCTTGAAGTCCTCGATGTTCTCGACGGACAATTTGTGAACATCGCCATGATCGGCTACGGTGTTTGAGGGCTCAACTGGTTTCATGGTGGTTGCTGAGCCGGAAGAACAGTATTTCGATTTCAAGACGGATTGTACTTGTCAAGATAGTTCTTATAGAAAGCCCACAGGCGGCAAAGAGAAATTGAAGAGAGTGAAGATCACAATTCACGAGCTTGAAGCGACGAAATGTATCATGGGATCAGCGAGCTCACCGCAGGTATTTATGTCACGTACAATGCAACCCAGTCCGGAGACGACCCTGGGGCCTGTATAACGGGGAAGTTTTCTGTGGAGGTGGGCCGATAGAGTCGTATGCATCTCAGCAATCCTGATTGGCGTTTTGGATGGCATACCGCAGTGTCCGACAGAGGCCTGAATTGCAATCGGCTATAGAATCATGCTAATCATTGCCCTATCCACAGACTTGGGCAATTCCTGATTGGAAGATCGAGGGCTCGGTGCCAGATCTGATTCCGGACACTGAGTTGAGGGAGGATCTCATTGCTGTTATGAGGTGACATAACATGGGGAACCAAATCTTGGAAGTTTCTTGGGACGGGGTGCTTGTTGAGGCCAAGATCGAGGATCGCATCGCATCGTTCAAAAGGTTTACCCTATGAACAATCTTTGAGCTCTCGAAAACCCTGTCATTGCAGAAATCCAAGACTTTTCCAAGGACCTAGCCCGCGAAAATGGAAAAGAGTCTTTTTGAGGCTGGAGGAAGGGAAGCATCGGCCCTTTAAGTCGGCAATGTCGGCGGAGATCCCTTAGCTTGGCATCAGCCGCTACGGAGGACCACAACGTGATGAAGTGCAGCTGTAACTAGTCCGTGTGGGGATTCTTGATAATAAGATTTCCCGAATTACGAAGATGCATATCACGCATGTCCGCACCCTTCGGGCATTTTTCTTATACTGATGCCGATCAGATACGGCGCTGTATCCGGAGGAGTCGCCCTGGCCCATATCCGAACCTGAGGGGCACGGACTACTATCCTCCAGTATGGTTCTAGGGATGAAGGCCAGTATCCGGCATTATTCTACAGCCTAGTGGGCGAGATGCGATCTGTGTTTAAGCAAAGTAGATTAATCAAGAGTCTCATGCCTTGGGATGAAGAGTCAACTCGATCCCAAGTAGAGATACAAGTCATAGACTGCCCCTGACACGCAACATGACTCTTCACATTCCTCGCTCACCAGGCACGCTTGGCTGGTCTCCTGCCTTGGACCGTCAGACCTACGTTGCAACGACTTCAAACACCACCGGGCTGGACCTCAGTTTAAGGCGAGACTATTCTCTGCCATCTTTGCCCCTATTTATGCAAGCGCGATCTCACGCCATCGCCGCACCATTGAAACCAGCTATCATTGACAAGACTAAGAACGAAAGCTTCACCTACTCGAACTTATTGAGTGATGTTGCTATTTTCAAGACAAAGATTCAACAAATACTTGATAATCACAGGAGATCCAAAGTAAATCTTCGGCTGGAAGAACCAAGAATTGCTTTCCTCGTCCCAGCCGGCTATGACTATGTTGTTGCTCAATGGGCCATCTGGGCTATTGGGGCCATCTGTGTACCGTTATGTGAGTCAACCTTTGGTGGATTTCTAACTCGATGTTGAGAATGTTAATGCTGACGTCTCAGGTACAACACATCCTCTCAGCGAACTCCTCTACACGATCTCCGACTCTGATCCTTCCTTGATCATTCTACATCCCAGCTTCCAGGGTCTCGAAGCGGGTCTTCGCAGCAAAACAGAGGATATTCCACTGCTCAGGTTCGACCCACTATCCAAGTTTGCAAAGCTGGACATTTCTCCAGCTGTCCCACCATTCACGAGTTGTCCTGCCCTATCGCAACGAGCATTGATCATATATACATCTGGAACTACCTCGCGGCCGAAGGGGTGTGTCACCACGCACGAAACTCTAATATTCCAAGCTCGATCTCTAGTTCAAGCATGGAAATATCATCGTTCTGACCACTTGATACATATGCTTCCACTGCACCATATACATGGAGTCATTAATGGTCTCACTGCTACACTTCTCTCAGGCGGGACTATTGAAATGTACACCAAATTCGACCCAAAGATTGTATGGGACCGCTGGTCCGAAGTGGGCTCATCAACCATGTTTATGGCTGTTCCAACTGTATACTCTAGACTGATTGACTATTTCGACGCCAAGATAAGAGGCAGTCAATCAGAGGCAGCAGCTAGGAAAGGGGCACGAGCCTTGCGCCTGACTGTCAGTGGCTCAGCAGCTCTTCCTGTATCGACGAAGCAAAAGTTTTGGGAGATCACAGGACACGAGCTTCTTGAGCGTTATGGCATGACCGAGGTAGGCATGGCATTGAGCTGCGGTCTTGATCCTGCACAGCGTATCAGTGGCAGCGTGGGCTGGCCCCTCCCTGGAGTACGAGTGCGTCTTGTCAAACCAGAGACCCAAGAAATCATCAAGTCTTTTGGCAAGGACGAATCTGGTCTCATCGAGATCCATGGGCCCAACCTCTTTGCTGAATATTTCCGCCAGCCAGAAGCTACTGCTGATTCATTTACCTCAGATGGATGGTTCAAGACGGGGGACGTGGCGAAAAGAGATGCGCACGGAGCATATTTCATTCTAGGTCGCGAAAGCGTAGATCTAATCAAGAGCGGCGGCTACAAGATCTCTGCACTAGAGGTCGAAAGAAAAATCCTTGGAAACGCTCAACTAGGCCCCATCATCTCCGAAGTGGTGGTCGTGGGAGTAGAGGATCCTGACTGGGGGCAAAGAGTCGCTGCTGTCGTGAAAATGAAGCACTCGGTAAGTCAAAAGAAACCCCAAAGTTGGATGCTTTACAGCACTACAAGAACCTAACAGAAGACCATTCAGGTATCCCAGTTAGATCTGGCAACGATGCGGAAGCATCTCAAGGAAGACATGGCGCCTTACAAGATCCCATCAATACTCAAGATAGTAGAAGCCATCGAGCGGAACGCGATGGGAAAAGTGAACAAAAAGCGGATCGTCAAGCGCTATTTTGGGCCTAAATTGTAGGTGGGTGATTTTTCGTTTCCCCAAGCCCATTATGGCCCGCTTTTTACTGATTTTATGCTAACAGAGAAGGGGCAGATGATATTACATTATATCGTACCTGAGGGGTGGAAGCTCGGTACGTTGTAGAACTGTGGATTGGTTAATCAAAGATATTCATTGATTGTGGGAGACACGCCTGAACCTCTGTTCGGAAGCAACGCCTTTCGACGCTCATACTCAACACTATCATGTACATTGAATAGTCCAGTTGTCCCCCTTCCTTATGGAAGGGAGACTCGGCCGAAGGGCGCCTACGTACACCTGAAATAGTGAGGCTGGCCCTGGGAATGCTTGAGTTACAGAAATCTAGCAATAACACACCCTTAGAGTAGGGAGCATCAGGTGGGAGCGCAGTCTCGTAATACAATATCATATCTGAGAGTCTGAGACAATACTTGAGACAATCACTTTCCAGACCAAAGGTACTATAACCGGTTGTGTAGGCTGCAATGGTCGGCCAGCAAGACGTACGAGCGCCGAACTGTGAACAAGTCAGCAGCAGTTGATACTCTTCCCATGTCATTAATGCCAATATGATCATTTAACACCCCATTGAGTCGTGATAGGGAGTCTGTATTTGACAGCTTCGCACTGGCAATGTCAGGACTCAGAACCCGTGCTACCAGGTCCGGCTTCAGCACGTCAAGCCCCCTGGTACCCCATCTGTGTAGCCCTCAACATGATTCAAGCTCCATGAGACCGGACCATCGAAGTTCCAGGCTCAAGAAGTCAAGACTCCACCAGAGCCCGGGCTCAGAAGCAAGAACACTTGCACCTCACGGCCATGCCAACGAGTCAACCACAACGATGCCGTATCTTTCTCTCATCCAACATTGAACCCTCAAACCCCAGCCCGGCGCCACTGTGCCCCTTGCTCGGAAGGATATGTAGCCCGGCGGAAGTCTGGTACCTCTCACTCAACAATTCCCAGAGACACTCCATCTCCAGTCGGACCATGCATGGTGAGTGATAACCAGGAGATGAGGAGCCTTCGGTCAAAAATAAACCACCGAAGGCTCTCCCCCCCGCGCGGGGGTTGAATGTCGGATTCTATAGCGACACAATCTACGTCGGGCTTTTGGGGATGTGAAGCGCAAATGTCGAAATTGGTTGGCGACGACGCGCGTGGTGATTTTTCTATGTGAGTGATCGATTAGATGGTTCAATTGGTTGGAGTGATTATGTGGTTTCACAAAATGGAAGAGGTTGCAAAGGGGGACGCAGACTCAAAGTGAGGAATGTAGAGGGACCTCTCGAGGGAGGAGGGAGGGGCGGCGGGTTTTTGATAGCCTTCCCCCCAGCAATGCTGGCTGCGAGGTAGCTTGTATCATGTTATGTGTATGAGCGCTGGTATCATATGGTTTACTCAGGGATGTTTCTCATATGTACCGCTGGTATGAATGCCTGCCCTGTTGAAAACACCCAGATTTCTACACTATCAGGAGTCAAACTCCTTCCCTGTGCAGTATCGACGCTGTCGCCCATTTCCTTGTATGAATATCCAGATAGCTTGGGAGCAGTCCTCGGAGGTTTCGTTTGCCCCTTCGCCTTGGCAAATAACGCTTTGGCCGCCATCGTTATTCTGCAGCCCTTTCTGCAGGGATGCCGGCTGTAGTTATGAGCGGCCCAAATAATTAGCCCTTTCCAACCCCCGGATCACTGACGGCTTGGCTGTCAGTCATGGCGACGGGCTTCCTAACACTCTTTTTAAAAACAAGTATTCGTCAACGTCCTCTAACCACGGACACGGTGCATTCAATTGTCGAGCAGTGCTCTCCGTGAGAAGAACCGTCGACCTCAGGATTTGATCTGTTGCGCCTAGATTGACTGAACCAAAGAAATGCCTGATGCGTGCGCAGCGCGGACCATTCGTCAGTACGATTCTTAATGAAAAGAGAAGAGGACGAGCAAGAACGACAATCAGTCAGGATGGAGAGGTGGCAAGAGAAAGGCTCACCCCTTGGCCTGCGGACTACACCCGTCCGCCAAACAACAAACAAACTCGAGCAACCCCGTCTCTAGTCCACCAATAACGCTGTGCTCAGACAGCAGCTCACCGTAGATGCAATTGATCGCGAAATGCGTGAGGTCGCCACCTGACGTAGCGTCCATTGCGGAGATAACGCGTGCAGTATGCTGACGGTAGATGTCCTGGAAAAAAGACAGACCTCGCTCGTATTTCTCGGTGGATGAGAGCGGGGAGCGCAGAGAGCGGTCGGTCGCTAAAATCGATGAGAGCTGCGAGTGGTTTGAGGAGTCGATGGCGGATTTGAGGGAGAAGAGCGCGTTGATTGCCTATGGATTGGCAATGTGTTAGTGCTGGCTTGGGCAAAGAGAAGATCCCATACGATAAACTGAAGGTTGGCTTACTCTAGGAAATCCCACGAGGGTACTCGACTTGAGGCACGCCTCTCTGATACGCCTAGCCACCGACATTCGCTCTTCATCGTCATCATCTCGCAAGCCGCTCGTCACATACGTCCACAATTCGCCGATGAGCTTTTCCTTATGGTACGACAAGAGCACCGCTGTCGTCAGGATGTACCACAGAGGCGATTGTGGCTGTTGGGCGGGATCAGACGTTTGTCCATTGGTCCTAGTCGAGAATATCTCCCTTAGGGCGGAGAAGTTGAGCTGCTGCTGCTGCTGCTGCTGCTGCTGCTGCTGCGGTGCAGGTTTTGTGGATGTTGTTTCCCTTGCTAACGAGTCTTGTGAACTGTTGGTGCTGGCGAGCAGCGAGCCGGTGCTGATTGTGGAGATTTCGGAGTTGGGTGTGTCAGTACCATTATTCTTTGACAATGACGGCGACGCGGAAAGGTGCTTATGTGTGACAGATGAGTTGATGCTGTAAGACAGTGTTGCATGAGGTATAGACCCCATCCTTTCTAGATAGTAAAGTTGTACTCGTATGCCTATGGTTAAATGATTGGTTGGTATGGGAAAAGCAAAGTGGAGTAATTAGCAAACTGTAGGTAGGCAGCAGATGAGAAGTGTTTCAGGGGCAAGGCTGTGGATATGCGGGTGCAGGTGTGTGGCCGATGTTCCGGGTCCAGAGTCAGGGCAGAGTAGGCAACAGGAGAGGGAGCGGAGGTTATAGGGATAATAAGTAAAGTGCATGGGAAAGAAAGAATACGCGCATTTGCGGAGTTTTATGAAAATGCACTGTGCCCCATCATGCATTGATGTTTGTATCATGGCAGTGGACGGCAAAGTACAGAGTAAGATCGAGGCTGTGCCACCTGAAGAATATTCTAGCGGGGACGAAAAGTGGCAACGTTGTCTAGAGGGCCTCACATAACCGTGGCCTTAGGTTGATATGGTGGGGCCAGAACAGTGCTCCTTTCCCTTCCTCCCTCGGCAATAGGTTTTTCTCCAGGTGAGCCAAGTCACGTCATCTGGATTGGCTGTTAGAATTACCGTCACTTGGTAGAAGGTGATGCGGAACTCGTGACTTGTAAGACGTAGCAGTTGGTCGCTGAGGGAAGTATCCGGTTCTGGCTGGGAAGACCGCACCGACAAATAGTGAGAAATAACAAAAGGCAGAGGTGATATTTCGGCGGATTCGGCACAGCGGCTACGTGCATGGCAAGCTGCCTTTGCAGCTGGCCTATCTAGGGAACCATATTCGACAATTAACAGTCACCCAATTAGTGTTCCATCACAAGTGCAAGTTCAAGCGATTTATTACCTGGAGCATACTGGGATTGAGAAAGAGTAACGTGGATAAATACAAAATGAGAAAGTAATAGCTGCGAGACGGCATATGTACCTCCCTTGACCCCTTTTTCATTCGCGGGCACCTTTCAGCCTTGCGCAAGGAAAGCCAACGAATTAATCACCTACAGTACACCTGTCTTATCGTCTAAATAACTCTGCAATAATCGAAGCCTCACAGATGCGAGCTCTCCTTCCCTTTATTTTCCTTATCCTCCTCAGCCCCCTTCCCCTTCATCAAAGGCGCCAAAAACCGCCAATGGCCCTGTGGCCCCCACCCCTTCCTCTTCCACAGGTTCGCCGTGTTAGGGAAGTACTCCAGCACGTCCAGTAAAGAATTATCATGAGCCAGAATCGTCAAGACGTTCTCCTGTCCGTCAAAACCCGCCAGCTTGTCCACGCTTCTCTGGGACTCGGCGAGGTCTTCATCGGGTCCGGCGGCGAGGCAGAAGGGTGTGGTGTGAGATTTATGAGCGCCGTTTTCCTCGTTGCGCAGACGGTGCATCGATGCGAAGAAGTCTCCGGGGCATGATGATGATGCATTGAGGTTTGTGAGCGCAAGGCTGCTGTTGGGGGCGGGCGAGATCGTTTCTGGCAAGGGGTACTTCTCAGTCGGGCGGAAGACCATGCAGGAGCGCGCGATGTCGCCGCCGAGGAAAAGAAACGTCGACTCTCCATCTTTCTCCCTTGCTGTCGTTCTAGCGAGTGCAGACAAATGTCCGACCGTGTGCCCAGGTGTACTCAGGAGGTAAAAGCTCCCGTCGTCGAAATAATCATACGCCTTGAACTTCCCGATCGTTGACACCTGGTGGTCATTCTCTGCAAACTCGATCTCCACCGTCCCCCTTCCTTCATACGTATCCGTTGTTGTCTCCGCCGCCTCAGGGTTTTCCGGATATCCCGGCAGGTACCGCTGCTTATACCCTGGCCCAACGACCAGCCTCGTCGTGCCTGGGAACTTGGTGGTATCTCCGACGTGGTCGAAGTGATGATGACTGAAGATAATGCTGTCAATATCCCCAGGCTGCACGCCGCCATGCTCAGCCAGAATCTCCGACACATCCTTCTCGACGCTGATCTGCATGCCCACCTTCTCCATGGCTTTTAGGAGATGCGGGCTTAGGTGCGTGCGGAAGTCCTTGCGCACGCCGAGGTCGAAGAGTAGCCGCGAGTCCGATGGCCGGTGGTGGATGTAGAATGCGTAGCTGGGCCCGCCGTTGAGTTCGAGTCCTGGATACACCGGTTTGATCGAGAACCAGTATGGGACGTTGCCGACCCATGAGGTGCTGTTGATGATTGATACGTCAACCGTCACGGACGACTCGGGTATGTCGATCTTGTTGGTTGCTCCTGTCATATCTTCGGCTTTTCCAATTTCCACTGTTTTCTGGATGTTTTCTCTTTCTAAGAAACCCAGAAGGTGACACCCGCTGGGCATGCACAATGAAATCAGCCCATATAAAAATGGCTTTGCATGTGTAACATAGGTGCTGGAACTCACTAACCCACGCTCTGCTGACTTTCGGAAAGACTCAATAAAGACCTAAGGCCGGGTACCTATCTTACGGCTGCTCTTCGACAACAGCCCGCCGTGCGGATCGAGTAACGTTCTTTTTCGCGGTATCGAATCCAATCTCTTCGCTAGATATAGAACCCTCCTGGTCTAAAAGCTTGTACGCAGTACAAACCGGTACCGCACCTGATCCGTGCAGATATTTATGGACATACGGATCTTCATATCTCGAGAAATATCAGGCAACAAACGCACACGACCGCCACTGTCCCCGCGCCGTCGCACTAACTCCGGATTCAAGCTGAAGATAGGCTTTCGACCTTCCAGCTGATTGAACGGGAATACGAACAGTTTGCATAGATGATTGGAGTTGAGTCTCGTTTCCGAGGTCTGCATGGGCGAATCAGACATGGCTGGGTGTTGTTCCCCGCAGAGCGTGTTGTCTGTATGGTGCAATTTCTGGGATATAGTCGGTCAGGACGGATACCAACCTTGATACTGTACCGACTAGTAGATGTCTCCAGCAAGCAGCACTGGACAGGTGGTTAAGGTGGAAATACGGGACAAGCAGTAGCGGGCTACAATGCTTGACATCTGGAAAATGCAGATCGAAGCTGCAGCAGGAAAATATTCATCGGACTAAACTTCAGGCATCCACGGAAGGCGTGGCTGGCTAGCCACGAGGTAGGGCGGAAATTGTCTCGATAGGCGTTGGCAAATTGCAAAATGTGCGAAGACTAGATGTCTCAGTACCATATCATGCACAGTTCTCGGTCCAGGGAGCTATCGGTGAGGAAGAGAAATACATCTCAGCGAATGTGGAAGATCAGACGAAATGGTGCCCCGATTTGATTTCTGTATTGTTGATTATCTCCCTCCCCGTTCAACATCCATTCAATAAATCATTCCTCAAGCGTTCTAAACCGAGAGCAGATTTACCTTTTGTAGATGTGTCCCCCTGGCAGCTTCTTGTCGGTCTCTTTCCCCCCCC